CTACCAAAACCTATGTTTGGTTGGGCCCTTATAAACTCGCTGTCTCGATCAGGTCTGAACTCATCGCAGCCACAGTTCCCAGAGCAGCTGTAAGGGTTTAGCGTTTAGGGTGTAGAACTCTCGGATTTAGGGTTTAGGGCTTGGAGTAGACATCTCCAAGCCTGAGGGAAGTCATGCAACTCACGGAACCCTAGCGCTTAGCGCGTTCCCCCGAATTCGATCCATCCGGTCCCATCCGGCTCCACATGGCGCGTCCAGAGGCTTCGCGTGTTGTTGCATTTTTTGTTCCGCGGGGCAATGTAGAAACCTACATATCTGGGGATGCTGTTCCTTCATAGTCCCCGTGATCCCAGAACCCCATTCTAATTCATAATTATTGTGATTGTTTTGATTATTTTGTAAAACTTGCTAAAGCGCAGGTAACCAGGGTGAGGCGGCCCTATCCTAGTAGTAGAGCAGGTAACCTTTATCTTTTTTGGGGTAATACCATCTCTAGCATCTATTCCGGTTTAGGGTTCTCCAGACCTGACAAATAGGCTACAGGGGTATTGAGTGTGTGGGGTTGTTCAGGGTTGAGGGTTTGAGGTGATATGTTTTGGGATTAGGGGGTTTTAGGCGGTTTAGGGTTTTAGAATTTCCCAACCCCCAGCTCCTTCCCCCGATAGAACAAGACCATAACACCCTATTCTCAGCATGGATAGCGGAGGCTGTGGACAAAAAACAACTTAACCCTGCCCAGAGGGCCCAATACCACTTTAATTGATGGAGTCTAGATTAATTCATACATTGATGCCCCGTATACTTTAAGGTGTATTCCTTAATTGAGGGACAGTGGGCTGTGTGGGTACTAAGGAGCCCTACACCCCATTGCCCGCAAAGCTCTCATCCCCCAAGCCCACAAAACCCCAAACAATGAGACCCTACACCCTGAAGTCTACAAAACCCAAGATCCAATACCCTGCAATACCCTAAATCCTACAACCCTGAATCAAGTTCCTACGGTTGATGATATAAATCCTGCATTACCCACAGTAAGGAATATACCATAATTCCGATAGCTTAGGGTCCTTAAGGTCATGCAGGGTTTATATCACCAACCGTAGTAATCAAACCCCTTCGCCCAAAAAGGTCTCCTAAGCCCCAACCAAACCCTAAACCGCCGCTGCTACAAACCCCAAATTCACAAGCCCTCAAACTCTTCCGGGCTACACCCGAAACCCTGAGCCCCTGCACCCTAAACTAAACCCCTTGCACAGGCAATATAGCTCAAGTCCTAATACGAAGCTCCTTTAAAAGAAGGTACATTCCTTAATGTAGGGGTATTTCACCTTAAAAAAACTTGATAAAAAAACCTTACAGGCCCCCCCTTGCAGGAATCCTAACTTAAGGTATATTCCTTAATTAATGGGCATTGGGCTCTCTGGGTAAATCGGAGTTTCCGGAAATAGGGGACCCTATTATGGTACCCTAAATAGTAGGGTCCTTTTTAAAAGAACCCCAAGACGAGGTACCCCCAATTTTCGGAAACTCTAAACCCTTGTATAGAGCCCCTTTCAAGGAAGTCTTATAGTACCCTTATAGTAACTTTTTAAAGGAAACCTCCATAGTACCCTTATAGTAGCCTCGGATGCCCAGTAGTACCCCTTATTCCCTTTTTGTAGTCCTAGGTTCCTTATAAAGTTACTTGTTATTCTTAGGTTACTGGGTATCCTAGGAGCCCTTTAAAGCGGTAACTCCCTTTCCAGGCCTTGATCGAAGAGGCAAGCTCTTCCCTTGCCTCTGACGAGGCAAGGAAAGTCGGTCCCCGGAGTTTCGGGGGTTTAGGATTTAGGATTTAGGGTTTAGGCTAGGATTTAGGGTTTAGGGTTCAGGATTTCGGGTTTCGGGTTTAGGGTTCCTTCTTTTTAGGGTGTTGGTGGTTTTGGGATTTTGAGTGCTTTTAGGGTTTAGGGTTCTCTCTTTTTAGGGTGTTGGTGGTTTTGGTGGGTTTTAGTTCTTTTAGGGTTTGGCAGTTTAGGGTTGACGGCTTGGGGCTCCGGGTACTCCTTACAGGGCCCCGTAAAAACTCAAGGGCTACCGGTATAAGGACCCCGAAGTTTAGGGTTTAGGGTTATGTACTAGGATGCCCAGTAGTACCCTTATTCCCTTTTTGTAGTCCTAGGTTCCTTATAAAGTTACCCAATGGCAAAAGGAGAGGCCTTTTTATTCTTAGGTTACTGGGTATCCTAATGTAGGAACCTTAGGGTTCCTTTGAAGGGGTCTGTAAGGGTTACTATATGGGCTCCGAAGTTCCCAGAACCTCTTCACTCATGGCTGTAGTGTTGGAGTTATTTATTTTTATTCTTGTTCATATAAAATCCAAGAGAGTATTGAACACATCATTTTTATTATGATTATAGGGGGTATAGATGGGAACCTGATGTTCCAATTTGTGGCTACTACTATAGATCCTTGCGATGGTTGAAGGGAGACAATATGATACAACTTAGAAGCTGCCCCCGGCCTGTAATAGTGGTATAATAGGAATATAATAGGGCCCTAATATAACCCTATATAATCCTTATAGTCACTATTACAGGGTGGGGGCAGCTTCTAAGATACAACCCTAAACCGCATAAACTCTAAATTCTCAACCTTACCTTAACCCTGAAGAACCTACCGTTTTAAGGACTTATACAAGGAAATCATAATAGGGAACCCTAAAAAGGTAGGTTCTTCAGGGTTAAGGTACACCTTGGGCCTCAAGTGTAAGTACGTAAAGGACCTGGCTGCTCGGAGTGAGGGCGTCATATGGGAGTTTCCGAAAATTAGGGGTACCTTACTTTGGGGTCCTTATAATAAGGATCCTATCATTTAGGGTACTCTATTAGGGTCCCCTATTTTCGGAAACTCCCATATGGAATCCTAGATTGCACTGGGCTCCTGATGAGGAACTTCAGTTGCCATCACAGGGGTCTAGTCTAGAGTAAACCCCACAAAGTTGGAAACTGGACTAAGGCCAAGTAGTGCTGGGATTCCCTATACATTACTCTTCAGGATTGAGGCTATGGGGTTTCCAACTTTTGGGCTTCCACTGTATGTAAGACAGGGTTTCCTTTCATAATACATAACTTAGAGTAAGTTAAGTCGAAGTTAAGCTCCTTAGCAAGAGCCCAGTTTAAAGGCACCCCATTCTATTTGTCAAGACCCCTACTAAAAGGATCAGGGACTTAGCAAGTAGGCTATAATTGGAAATATAAGTCCCAAAAGTGGGCTTATCCTAATGAAACCTTACTTATAACCTTACTTACTAAGTCCCATGAGCCTTTCAGTAGACCCTAAACCCTAAACCCTTCATTATTATAGAACCTTACAATACCCTTAAAAGGAGCCCTAAGCCCTTACTTACTAACTCCCCTGAGCCTTTAAGTATCGTAGGTGGAAGGCTGGGGCTCTGGGGTGTCGAGGTGCTACTTGCTTAAACCATCTTGAATATCGATCCGTTTAGGGTTAATGGCAAAAGTCTGCTTAAGCTCCAAACTCATTTTGCTAAAGCCTTAAGGGTTTGTGGCGCAGGGAGTGGCCTTTCTTCGACTGACTTGCAGATCGTTAGGTTTTAGGCTTTCTCGCGTCCTCTTTTTCGCATGTCCTGCTAGGTCAGGGTCTTTGGGGGCCTTGGCGGTTAGTTTCGGCGTTCGATTGCTTGTAGTCTTGCTTTGGAGCTTGCACTAGGGCCCGAAGGGGTTTAGAGTTGTCGGTTCGACGATGATTTGCAATTCTGTTTTGGAGATTGCATCTTGCGTCGAATCGGCTTCCCGCTCAATCCTCAAAGCCAATACACCCGAGAACTGTACATCATCATGCTTTCTGAACCACGAAGGGTTAAGCTTTAGCACCACTTCAACCCCAAAGCTTTCATTCGCAAATGGGTGGTTGTCGAAATTAGGGTCCCTTTTTGGGTACCCTCAATAATAGGTGCCATATTATAATACGGACCCAAAAAGGGACCATAATTCTGGCAACCACCCAAATACCCTCTCAAGAAGTGCTTTACCACTTAGGTACTGCCCCTATACAGTAAGAGTCCATAATAGGGCTACAATTAAGGTCCTAATAAATCTACTTTATGATTATTCTTCAACAGTGGGGGCCGTGCCCAATCTACCACCGTAAAGCCTTCTACCAAGACTGTTCTAACTAAAGTTGAGGCTGTGAGCTTCCAGAACCTTACAGCCTTGAACTCCCAACCCTGACCCGTGCATCCTTACGAGCTCAATCAATAGACTATAGCCGAGGCTATAAATCCACTAATTTGGGTTGTTCTGACACACGCCTTACTTATGAGTTGCTTCTTCTAAGCCCTAGACTCTATAGCCCCCTGCGCCTTCTAGTAACCCTCAAACCCTAAACCCTACACCCCTAAACCCTAAACCGTGGTTTAGGGTTTAGGGTAACCCTAACCTCAGCTACCGTTCTCGAGCCCAGAAGGCGGAGAAATAGTTTGGTATTGAAGTTTTACAGAGTTAGAAGTGCTTTAGCTTCATAAGCGTTTTGCAGGGTGTTGTAATGGTTCTTAGGTTTGCAAATCTTTAGAGTTTGGTGTTTAAGACTTTGAGACAAGGTTTGGGTTCGGGTTCGGATTTATGGCCTGGGGTTCAGAGTTTCGGGTTCGCACTTGCACTGGTGAGTCTCAGCCACACAGCATTATCGCTTTCTTACTCATAAGGTGTATTTTGAGCCCGTAGACTTTTTAAGTTCAGCTTATTGGACGCCGGATGACTGCTTGCTGCCTGCCGCTACATCTCAGATCAAGCAAGAAGGAGCTGTTGAGTTGTCAGTTGACAAGAGGAATAGGTTAGCAACAAGCCGTCAGTAAGCAATTAGTGGTCGCAAAAAGCACTCGGCTTAAAGGCACGGTTTAAGACAACAGAGTCTCATAGCATTTTTGGACGAAGTATCCCACCCTGCGCCATCGAAGTGTTTGAGACACTGCTTTGCTTGAAGTTCTCAGTGGGGAAGTCATGAACGCAGATGTCATGACACCCGAGCTGGAAAATAGCATTTCCAAAAATCTTAGTCGCATCTTGCGATATGAGGCCTACAAGTACGATATATCGCAAGACCGTAATGGATTCATTATGCTGGAGGAGTTCATTGAGAAGTCCAATCTCGGATACACGCAAGAGCAAGTTCTGTACGTTGCAGAGCGCAGTGCAGGTGGGCGTGGCAAGCGTTTTCAGGTTGACTACGCGGCCAAAGGCATTGTTCGACTGAAGGCGTATTACAGAAATGCTCCTAAAGACGAAGGAAAGTCGAAGCCAAGCGGCAAAGCAAATGGTCGGAGCGGAAAGAATGGAACCAGCGAGAACGGCTACAGCAGAAGCGATGCTAGTTTGTCCGGTAGCATACTTCTATACTGTTTGATGTCTGGGTTGCCTGAATGCTAAATCCCAAACCCTCAACAGAACTCCCTAAACCCCTAACTCCTAAACCCAAAACTGCACTATAACACTGTTTGGTGTCTGGGCTCCTAGTTAGTTCCCTGGGCTTTGGAGTACCATATGTCTTAAAGGAACCATTCTGAAATAGCAGTTTATACTTTTTCTCCTTGGTTACTCAGCAGCCCAGTTCCCTAAACCCGAAACCCTTCAGTTGTTGATTTCTGCATGAACCACCCTAACCCCTGAATCCTAAACTAACCCAAACTCTTAGATAGCGAACGGGGGAACTTTAAAAGCTTTTTGGCCTAATATATTAGCTCTATCTTAGAAAGTTGAACTTGTTGGGGCGCCCGGTTGTTGAAGAAGAGAGAACTCTAAACGATTCTTATACGACCCAGGATGGGTTCAGGGACAACCATGCTTCAGCAGGCTCGTCATCCTTTGAGCATCTTGGCCGTCCCTCAGAGGTTGCTAGAAATGTGAGAGGATTTGGCTTGCAGTCCGGTTATTTTGGGATTTAGGTGTTTAGGGTTTAGGGTTTAGGGGTTTAGGGATTTAGGGTTTAGGGTTTAGGGTAGGTTTAGGGTTCAGGGTTAGGGTTATATTATTGGCTTAAAAGCAAAACAGAAGCCTGAGCTTTTAGTCATGCTATTCCTGAGCACCCTTTTCTAATCACTCAGGCTCCCATGGCATTCCGGGTCCCCAGAGAGTGGAAGACCCGTTAATTGAGGAATATACGTTACATCAGAGTAGTACATCCCATGCGTTTCTCGGTCCATACCTTAGATCCCCAATACCCACCTTTTGAGTTTTTTGGGTTCTTGTAGTCTAGTAGGGATCGGAAAGTTTAACCTTTTATTTCTGTGGCTTACTGGGGTAGAAACATACCGCCGAGGGTCTCAGCCTCGGCCCTAAACCCTAAACCCGAAACCGAGGCTTTAACTTTAACTTTGTCGGATTCGGGCTTTGGGCACACGGTGCTACTGCTACTACTACTACTACTACTACTACTACTACTACTACTACTACTACTACTACTACTACTACTACTACTACTACTAGGACGACGACCCCCAAACCCTTAACCCTTACCCCTTAAACTTTTGACTCTAAACCCAAAGCAGTTCCTGATCTTGTTCGTATCGCAGGACGGGCCGTGAGAAGTCATACGGCACACAGCAGCCGAAGGCCCAGGAAGAGACCGCGGCGGGCAAAGGCAAGCAATCCTACTATGCCAACCCGTCGCGAGTTGCTTGGTTAGGGTTTAAGGGTACTGTAAGGGTTTAGGGGTTAGGGTTCCTTTACATGGATATTGTAAGGGTACTACTAAGGGTTTAAAGTTAGGGCTCAGGGCTCAGGGTTGATGGTTCAGGTTGCGAAGATAGCTAGATCGTTCTTGGACAGGGTTGTCGGTCGGTTTCTGTCTTGCACCATCGTGTTCGATTAAACAGGACAAGGGGGGGGTCTCTGAGCGAATTGTGACTGAGTTTTCTGTTGTTGCTGCTCTAGCTGTGGTGACAGAAACAGCCTAGTTTCCTGAGTAGTACCCTTTTGCCTTTTTTAGTTAAGACCGCATCGTAGAAAAACGGGTACCCTTATAATAAATGCTCAGGAACCCTGAACCCTAAACGACACCCTTAATAGCTCCCTTTAAGGGAACCCTAATCCCTAAGCCCTTATAGTACCCTTATAGAGATCCTTAAAGGAACCCTCACGGAGGGTACTACTAACAGTAGGATAGCAGCAAGTTATGGTCGTCGTCGTTGTCGCAGCAGGAGGAGCTGCTGCTGGTGCAGGAGCAGCTTGTGATAGAAGTAATATAGTGGCCTTAATAATGAGAATAGAGTTTCCTTTTTGGGGACCGAGGAACCCTGGGAGACAACAGGATCTGGAGCAACAGAGCCAAAGATGTTTGCCTGGGACCACGGCCGCGACTCGCTTGCTGCACAACCACGGTGTAACATAGGGGCCTCAATAGTTGGCAACACTAGTTAATAGACTTCAAGAGTGTGCAGTAGAGCCCATGTAGACCCACAAACCCTGTTCTAATTAGCACGGCCCCTAAATTAACAACCCTATACAAATTCGTTGTAGTAACCTTTTACAGAACCCTTGTAAGGGAGCCCTTTACGGAACCCTATTTTAATCAGCAAGGCCCCTAAACTCGGATTTCATGGTGCGCTTTGCAGTAGATCTATTGGGGGAGATAGCATGGGAAGACGAAGGCCACGGATTTAGGTTTGAGGGTTTAGGGTTTAATGTGGGTGTCGGTTTAATTGACGGGTCCCCCCCCCGACCAAAAAAAAAAAATATATATATATATATATATATATATATTTAATATGGAGCCGGTGACGCCGGACAGGGGTCAGGGGTCTGAGTGGCAGGGAATTGGGAGGTGCCGGTTTGGGGGCTGGCTTGGGTGCAGGGTCTGCGGTTCTGCGCGAATGCGCGGTCGGGGATCGGGGGGGGTCTGGGGATCACCAAATGCTAAAAACCCAAGCCCCGATCACTCCAAGATTACTACCAAGACTAAAAACCCTTCATTTTGAACACTTTTGCCTCCGTAACCTACACTCCCACACTCCCACCCACAATCGACCACGTCTGAAGCTTGGTGCGGTACAATAATAGTACAGTAGTACAATAGTAGTACAGTAGAAATAATACAGTAGTAGTACAATAGTAGTACAATAATAGTGCAGTAGTACAATAGTAATACAACAGTAGTACAGTACAGTACTGTAGTAGTACACTAACCTTCCCAAAGGGGGATCGGTCCAGATTGGACCCAAAATTGAATTTTTTATACAAAGTTTAGTACTGGAGAGGCCTTTGTCGAGCAAGGGTCCAATTCCCAATTCGGCGGTTCACCCTAGCAGCCCCCCCAATAAGCAAGGCATACAGTAGCAGTACAATAGTACAATAGTAGTACAGTAGTAGTACAGAGTCTCATTCCTGACGCCCCAATAAGCGAAACAATTCTGCAAGAGATTTTCGGGCTTCAGGGCCAGGGTTTTAGGGTTGGGTGGGGGTTTGGGTGGGGGTTTAGGTCGTGGCTGCCTTAAGATTGACCATCAGCAAATAGCACAGCCCCGCCACCAAAAAATCACCCCAGCCAAAAAAACGCATTAATTAGTACCCCCAAATTTTTTGTCAGATTCGGAATTAGCCCCCGAGCCGACGCATTAAAGAGGCCTATATTCCTAAACCGACACCCACATTAGGGGCTTAGGTTTAGGGTTTAAGGTTTGATGGCTTCGGGACTTAAGGTTAGAGTTTAAGGTTTAAAATTTCGTCGCACAGAACTTATATAGCTGCATGTAATCGACCCCAAAAGTTACACCAGACACCAACATTCAAACCGGGGGGTTGACACCAGCTTGCAGCTTTATAGCGGCTGAGCCCGCTTTTAAACCAAGAAAGAGGTTTCGGGCCGCGGGTATAGGGTTTAGGGAAACCCTACACCCTAAACCCGACAGATTTCTTGCATGGGTTTGGTTTGGGTTCGCTGGCGACCCAGTTTCATGAGTTTCCCATAGTTCTTGCTGCGGAGCATGTGAAGATCCAGTTTCGGGGCTGAGGACGGTTCTAGGACCCGGAGTAGGCCCTGATTCCCTTTTTTTAGGGTTTAGGTACCCTTATAAGCCCCTTTAAGCCAAAAAGGGCACCCTTTTTGTTCCTAGGTTACTCTTGGGTCTAGGTTTACCTGAGCCTAAGCCAAAAAGCCAAAGACCAGAGCCAAAACACTCGAAACCTTCCTGAGCGAATGCCCTAAACACTTGCACTAGTAGTGTCCTTGTTTATTGTTTTTCTGGTCTAGTATGTTTCATGTAATCCTATAAAGTTTAGTAACTTGTCCAACTGGGGTACTCAACAGCCTAGTAAACCCTACTTGAAGGCTCATGGGACGTAGTAAGTAAGGTTATAAATAGCTTATAATTAGGATAGCCCCACTTAGGGGACTTATAGCCCCAGTTATAACCTTCTTACTAAGTCCCACTATCCTCTAAGTAACCTAAACTCCCCTTATAGAGCCCTTATAGACTTATAGATCCCGTAAAAAGGAGCCCTTTAACCCTAAAGCCTAAAGACTAAACTGTGACTGAGGCAAACAATGTTGGAATGGCTCGTCGGAGGCTCGGTCGTCTGCCGCGGCACCGGCACCAGCTTGGCCTACGGACAGTGCGAGTTCCCAACCGAAAGCCACTGAGGACCCTCATAGTAACACGGTTCGGGGTTTGGGGTTTAGGTTTTTGTTTGTTTGTAAGGGGTTTCGGAATCATGAAGAGTACTACGGCATACCGTCGCTATAGCATTCCGGTAGAATAGTGATCTTAGTTTCCTAACGATTCCAGAACCTGAAGCTCTAGATGCCCAAAGCTCTAAACTCTGCATCTCATAATCACACTATGCTCCCAACTCCATAGCTGCCAGAGGTTCGAGAGTTTTCGGGGGTTTTGCTTCTAGGATTTCGCAGTTTAGGGTTTGGCTTCAAGTGGGTGTTGTTCTCAAATCTAGCATCAAAATGCCGTTCACCTTAAGCCTTTCGACCCTCATCAAACCCAAAACCCTAGAACTCTTAAGCGAATCACTCGCGAAGCCTCTACAGTCGAAACTATGCATGTTCCGCACTGAGCCTCGAAAAGGGCTTCGATCATTAGCAGAGGGGTCTAGCAGGGAAACATAGTAGCGTTGTCTATAACCAGCAGCCTTCATAACCGGCTTAGGCCTGAAGGGACGATAGGAGAATACTGCTAGTGATTATTCAGACCCGAAATTCTACCGTTGCTGAAGTTTCAAGACATCATCATCACGAACCTTCAAATTCTGGACTAGAAAATTACATGTTCTGGGCTACAGGTATTCCTTGAAGTCTGAACCCATTATGCTATGCCTCAATATTTCAGCCCAAACCCTCTTCGATTTGCCGCAACACTTGCTGACAGCTACTTTGCCCCTACATGAAACGTCCCTAAACCCCAGCCTAAACTACGAATATCTACGTGTTTGTGGGTGTTTCTAGTATCACCGACCATAGTGCTTATAGGGGCCCTGCAAAAAGCAGGTTTTGGTAGTTTAACATAAGCCGGAAGCCAGAGGATGCCGGAGAGGCTCAAGAGGGCGTCGCCGAGAGGGAAGAGTGGCACAAACTCCTTGATGACGACAACAGGCGCTTTGGGGTTTAGGTTTTAAGGTTCGGGGTCTAGGATGTACATTTTTAGGCTGGGTGTGCTAAGTCTATTGCTTAGCATGTACGCACGTTACTGCCATCAGCAGAAAGTTATGACACTGACAGGGGGATTGACAAAGATACCTCTGTGTATCCTTAAACCCTAAACTTTCCCCAAACCCCGACCCCTAAACCCCAAAACCCTAAACCCTAAACCATGATTGTTTTGCTATGGCCGGCTTCGGAGCAATTAGCATATCCGTCACCATGGCATATGTTTTTGTTGATTCTTGTTGCGTAACCATGTCTGGTACATGTTCGATACACCTCCCTCTCCCCCAAATCCGTGTTTAGATATTCTTAGTAGCTGAGTGGACACACTTTTCACTTGATAATATTCCCCAGTATGAAACTGAAAGTGTACACTTTTGGGGGGCTTATGAACTCAGCAACTGAATATTGTCAAGCCTTCTGACCTTCAAGTGCTGCGCGTTTTGACCTGGCCCAGGTTTGAGGGTTTCAGTTGTTGAGGGTTTAGGGTTTAGGTTTAGGTCTTGCGCAGTGTCTCTGTGTGTGTGTGTGCGTGTGTGTGTGTGTCTGGATGTTGAAATGATTGCCCCTAAACCCTAATTATCGCTGGAGGCCGTACTACTACCACCTTCCGACGCAAGAGTATTTTTACAAAGAAGAGGCGAGCAAGTTCGGCTGGACGCAGTCTCTTGGATGATTTGCCACAGCACGTGCTTTTGTTTGAATCTTAACTTGCACCCCTTAAACCCCGAGGCTGTAATACAAAAACACCCTAAAGCCCCGGCGCCGTCTCAGTAAGCCCTAAAGACCCTAAACCCTGAATCCTGAATACCCTAAAGACCCTAAACCCTGAATCCTGAATACCCTGAAGACCCTAAATCCTAAACCCTAAATGCCCTAAGCCTTAAATCGCCGACAGCCCGCTGTTCTGGGTTTAGCGTTCAGGGCACGGCTCCCTAAACCCTGAAATCAAAAGGCTAAGCTAGTCCCAGGTGGTATTAGGCAGCCGCCTTTTTGGGGGACCCTTCTTAAAGCCTACTTCTAGCTCTCTTTGACAAGGACCTTATGGAGAGGGTCTATATCCCCAAGGGTCCCCCTAATCCTAACTCCTAGCCCAGAGAGCCCACTACACCTGAATTAGGGAACCTGGCCTTAAATCAGGGTTTCTTTTGAATCTAGGGGCTCCTTTTGGGGAATCTCCGAGCTAGGTACGACCACGACGGCTGCCACTGGTGGTGCCACGAAAGCGGCCGGTTCTTCTTCGAGCCCAATGGAAATTGAGCGGCATCTCTCCGCTCCATAGGAACTTGGAGGTTCATGGGTAGTTTTTCACTTCTTGGGCTTAGGAGGATACTATTTACGAATATGTTTTCAGAGGGTTTAAAGGGCCAACCTAGACGTATCGGAGCTGCTAACCCTGGGACCACAACGCATCCTTAAAGTCACCGTACCGCAGATCTTGCAACAACACCTCATACCAGGTGTCATAGATTTTAGTTGTTACTTTCCCTTGCTGTTCATTATATAGAAAAAATTTGGGGACTGTTGAAATCGACACCTAGCATAGCATTGGGGGTTTACCCAACCCTGATTGGTAAAGGTGAGGCCTTAAGCCCTGAACCGCCAATATCCCTTAATTGAGGAATATACCTTAAATTATAGTAGGACCCCTAGTATGATTTAAGGAATATGCCTCAATTAAGGGATATTGCAGTCTCTGGGAGCCCTGAACCACCATGCCCATTCGGCTTCTGGGCTCGTGAGAGACCCTGAAGTCTTGGACGCGAGAGGACGTGAGGGGCAAATCGCGGGCCGTGCGCCCTGTTTTGGCCATTGCCGCCCTCTCGATCTTGATGCTCAGAGACTCCAGTGACTCCAGTGCCCGAATCTGGGAATATTCTTGACGCCTATACTGATACTAAGGGTTATTCTAACGGTTAGTAGACGGGTTACTGGAAGGGTTGCTTCTCGAACAGGGATCCTGAAAAGCCCTAAACCTAAACCCAAACCGTCAAGAGAGGTACGTAACTGAAACGATCTCGAAATGGCATTTAAACTTATATACTAAGGGTCACGACAAGGGTTCTGAGAAGGACTCATACAAGAATGAGGGCTCTATAGTACAGATTCTGCGAAAGGTACCCTAAACCCGTAGCCCGTAAAACCCTAAAACCCTAAACCCTAAAACCCTGAAGCCCTAAACCCTAAAACCCTATACCCTAAACCCTTAAACCCTAAACCCTAAACCCTAAAACCCTAAAATCCTAAACCCTAAAACCCTAAACCCTAAAAGACCTTAACAACAGAAGTCCGGAGCATGGAGGCTCTGTGCCCCTAGCTAGATCTGACATCGGAGTTTGAGGAACTGCGGATGGGGACCCTACAGCCCTGTAGAATCCTTAAAACAACCCTTCTACGGCTGATGACATAAATCCTGCATTACCTTAAGGACCCTAAACTATGGGAATTATGTTATATTCCTTATATGGCTAATGCAGGATTTATACCATCAACCGTAGGACCCCTTCTAGAACTCAAAAGGACCCCCGACTGCTCGATTTGAATGTCGAAGGGCAGAGGATGAGATAAGGGAGGCCCTGCAACAAGTCAGATCAGGCTTGAGAATGCATGGGATTACAGGGGTTTAGGGTTTAGGGTTTTTTAGGGTATAGGGTTCAGGGTTTGGGATTTAAGGTTTTTTAGGGCATAGGGTTCAGGGTTTAGGGTTTAAGGCTTATAGTGCTTGTTAGTTCATAGCTTCGAACGAATGAGTTTGGGGTTGTGTTCGGGCTCATGATTTAGAAGTGCGGGTTTATAGGGTTTGAGTTTTCAGGTTAGGTTTAAAACGGGATGTAAGGATTTGGTACGGATTTGTTTCAAGCCGCCTTAAGACCTGGCTGCGAACCACAAAGCAGAGGTTCGTAGAGGTACTGTACCATGAGGTGAGCGTCAAGTAGTGTTCAGTAGCACAGTGTTCTTAGACCTTTGCCTTCAAAACCTCTGGTCCAAACCCTGAACCCCTAAACTGTAAATCGTAGAGAACTGGCCCATGAGAGTTTGGGTATCGTCACATGGGATCCTTGTGAAGAGATGTCTAGTGAGTCCTAGGGTTGGGAGACTTTCAGTTTTGTGGTGCGTCCAGCTTAGGGGTTTAGGGTTTAGTCTTTAGGGTCTAGGGCTTAGGGTTAAAAGGCTCCGTTTTAGTGATCTATAAGTCTATCAGGGTTCTATAAGGGGGAGTTTAGGTTACTTAGAGGATCATGGGACTTAGTAAGTAGGTTGTAATTGGGGTTATAAGTCCCCTAAGTGGGGTTATCCTAATCATAACCTACTTATAACCTTACTTACTAATTAAGTCCTATGAGCCTTTAAGTAGGGTTGATTTTTGCAAGGGCTGCTTGCTCCCGCTATGCCCTTCGTGCAGTTAGTCCGGACTCTCGCTGCCTTGTGGCGGAATGCCGGAAAAGCGTGCAATGGGAAACTCGGACCCTCAACTCCTCAAGACCCCAACATAGCTCAAAAGCCCACATGATTCCTGATGAGCACTGTACCTCATATGTTCCCTCAGCCCCGAATTGGGTTCTTGTTAAGGGACTTACTTTTAGTTGCCATAAGAAAGAAATTGTATTATGTACGATAGATCCCCACCATTGTAACTTAAAATTAAATCCTTCGACAACAACCCAGCTTTAGCCAACCAACCTGCCTAAACTAGCACAAAGCTTAGGATTCGCTGAGATCCTTGGAACTCCCGAAACCCTACAACCGCGGCTAAGGGTTTAGGGTCTAGGCTCGACCCAAGACTGTAGCTTGACTTCTATGTCCGCCCTCGTTGGCTCTGAACACTACCAGTTTGTCGTTCGTGTTGGGAGCAAAAGCACCCCAAGCCCGAAGCATCCAAGCCTTGATTAAGCTAATGCAGCGGCCTGAATAATCAGCGGGGTCTCGTGGCTTGATGCTATAAGGATTTAGGGTATATAAGGAAGCTTAAGGAATAGTGAATAGTCTCTGTTCAGGCCCCTGAACTAAAACCCTAGAGCCTAAGCCCCAAATCCCGAACAGTAGACATCCTGAACTCTGAATTCTGCGTGGCATTTCTATCGACTAGTTTTCTAGCTGGAGTTTGAGGGTTTTGAGGCTCTAGTGTACAGGGAGTTGGGAAAAAACTTGGGCCTGAAGAATACTCGCACGTATTTCTAAGGGTCTTAAAAACAACCTCATGGTATAAGCTCCCCAAAATCTTTGTCCTTGTCTAGGCATGTAGTTTGTTTTTTCTCGCTGTTAGTTGATAGCTCAGGGTCGGGTGTTTGATGGTCCTTAAACCCTGACCCATAAACCCTAAACCCGTAAACCCTGGACCCCAAAATTAGGTCCCTTAGGATCCCTGAATGAAGTAACATAGGGGCCTTGGCAATTAGATGAGGGTTTTGGGCGTACATTATCCTTAGATGAAGGAACCAAAAGAAAAAGAACGGTACCTATGCGGACCTGTATAGTACGGAATTTGGGTTCTGGTTGTGATGGTTTAGGGTCTGGGCCAACATGATTCTGGGTTTGCTGTTTAGGTTGTCAGTTCATGTGTTGGGTGTTTAGGTTCCGACATGAATATCCGGGGGCCCTGAACCCCGAAGCCCTAAACCCAAAGCCCTTGAACCCTAAACCCTGAAACCCTCGAAGCCAGAGCCCTACCTGGAGAAAAAGCAGCTCAACCGATAACTGTCAGCCATTTGCTTGAATATAGACAGATGATTATCAACAGTAGCATTCATACTCAGATTAGTACTGTATATGCAATGAAAACTCGGTGCAGACCTTTGAAGCCTGGCGCACGAAGGCGCAGAGAACCTTCACAACTTTGCCGCCGCCCCAGGTAAGAAATAGTAGGAGTAGAGTAGGTAACCTTTAACTCTTTTGGGGTACTATAATCCCACTATAATCCCAAAGGTTACCCTTCAGTCCCCCAGGGTACTGGACAAGTAGATTGCAGTTTTACACACCCCAAGCCCTGATCCCCAAACCCTGAACCCCAAAACCCAAACTTATAGGATCCTTAAGGGGGGGTGGTTCAACGGGGGAGGGTACTAGGGAGCTTTGGGGAACCTTAGGGAAGCTTAGGGAGTATTGGGGAATAATGGGGATTACTAGGTTACCTACCCCCCTTGGACCACCCCCCTTAAGGACATCCTAACAAACCCTAAACCTGAAACCCTAAACCCTAAACCCTCAACCCTAAACCCTCAAACCCTAATGAGATTGTGGGGCCGGGCCCGGCTCTCAGATGCTTTACATCCAAAGGGAGAGCTAAAGGGCTCTTAGTCTCTGTAGGGGCTTGAATTATTGTTTTGGAATGGGGTTTTGGGGTGCGGGGTGGTATAATATGTATATCAAGAGCCCTCAGGAAGCAGGTAGGTACTGGTTCAGGTGTCCGTATTGCTTTCGATTTTGATCTCGGGTTCAGAGTTGGGTGTTCGTTGTTCTTGTCGGACTCTGCGTTGTTTCCTTTACAGGCATCGCCGAAAAGTAGACTCCTCTGCTTACCTTCTACTCCCGAAGCCCTGAACCCCAGAAAACCAAAGCTTCTAAACCGTAAGGAGTGGAGAAAACGAAGCACTGAACCCTCAAACCGACACTTCCTCCAGGGTCAGTCTTGCATACGGATTGGGATGTGGGTTACTTTGGGTGGTAAGACAGGGGTGACTATAAGGGTTAGGGTTTACTTAAAGGCTCATGGGACTTAGTAAGTAAGGTTTTAAGTAGGTTTTAATTAGGATAACCCCACTTAGGGGACTTATAACTCTCCGCGCAGAACCGCGACTCGAACCGGAGAAGGTGGACAGATGAGACAGGGTAGCGGACGTCGAGGCGTCGACGGCGATGAGGATGACAAGGATTCAGCGCTGCATTTTTTGTGGCAAGTCCGTTCGGCCGGGCGTGGTGCATGCCTTGAGCAATTGTGAGAGTTTTGCGGGCCAGCGAGGCCATTTGCAGCTGTGCTCTCATACGAACGCCCCTAAACCTTCAAAGGGCTTGGGGGCGTGTAATTTACGGGTTTGGGCCATGGTCGCGACTCCGGGCGAAGTCCGCCGCCTGATTGGCACAATGCTGCGCAAGACCGGGGCAGACAGATTGAGCGAGGTACTGGATGCGGATGTCGCCAGGTCGTTTTTGCAGTACCCTGTAAGGTCGCCTCGCTTTGCATTAGTTCTGAGCATGGCGGTGGAGATCGACAGACGAGCCAAAGCCTTCTGGGACGCAGCCTCTCGAAAAAGAATCCGCAACGGGTAGCTCAGGACATGCTCTCATAGACCTGCCTAGGTCTGGAGTTGCTCTCCGGTTACTTGGGGGCTGTTGCGATGTAGATGAATGAGGTTATCATATGAGGTTACCATTAGTGCAGGCTTGCCCCCATGCCGCTTTTCCACAGCCTCCAATGCTGTGAAGACTTCACACACACACACACCCCAATTATTAATTATAGCCTACTTGCTAAGTCCCATGATCCTCTAAGTAACCTAAACTCCTCGTTATAGAGGAACCCCAAGGGTTTCTTACTAATGACCTAGTCGGGAGGCGTCCTGGTCCAGGGCGAAGCTTTCGGGAGGGCTTGAACGAGGGACTGACGGTTTAGGATGTAGACTTAGGGGTACTTAGAAATAATTTTTAATTTTTGGTTATTAAAATTCCTAAGAAACAGCTAAAATTATAATTTTTGCTAGGGTTCTAAGTTTAGGATGTAGAGTGCACGAACTTAGGACCCAGACCGGGCACTATCTGACACCCCAACCAACCATCATCAGAGCTTACATGCATGCCCTGTAAGACCCACCAAAGCAAGAAAACTGTGTTAGTGCTAATGCAGAACCCTGATCAATAAGCTTAATATTAGGATTCGAAACATAGTTTATAATGCATATTCGGAGTGCGGTGATGGGGAAGTTCCTGGTACCGAGGAAGAGGATTCTCGACAATGTGCCACCGGCAAGATTGATGTGCAGCAGCCCGTCGTACTCCTTGACGTTCCATGTTTATGTCATCCCCGGGCCCACAAACCTCAAGCCCACAACCCGAAGCATAACCCTAAGCAAACCCCAAAGCCCAAAAGTCTCCAAACTAACCCTTAAACCGTAAAGCCGTAAACAATAGAACCCTAACCTCTTCATCCCCTAAGCTCTCGCTCCTAAACCCCAAAGCCCAAGCCCTGAAACCGTGGAGGGATGCTTAAACCCTCAACCCTAAAGCCTTAAAGCCCGAAACCCTAAACCCTAAAACCCTAAAACCCTAAAGCCCTAAAGCCCTAAACCCTAAAGCATAAACCCTAAAAGCCCAAACCCCTAAGCCGAGTCTTGTTTTCGGAATCGGCGGCTTCGGATGGGGGGTTGTGATACGGTTGATGATACAAATCCTGCATTACCCATAACAAGTACCAGACTCCCCGTAGTTTAGGGTCCTTAAGGTAATGCAGGATTTATATCATCAGCCGTAGCGCTCAGGTGCTTGGTTGAGGCTCCCGGCTATACCCAGGGGAGCCCAAATTCCCTTCACGTAAGGAATATAGCCTGAGCCAGGGTTGTTTTAAAGGGCCCCCTTTAAGGGTTCTATAAGTACGATTTAGGGTTTTAGGGTTTAGGGTTTTAGGGTTCAGGGTTTAGGGAAGTCTAAGGGTCGGAGTATGGGCCCCGAATGTGTATCCTTGAGGCTTTGAAGGGGACTAAGGGAACCCTGAAGGGCGTATATATGGTATATAGGAATCCCAAAGTTCCTAAAGGAATCCTAAAGAAACTTCAAAAAGGGAGCCCTAAAGGTACAAGGTAAGTATATACGTATCTCCAGGGCTAAGGGCCCATGCTAGGGGTTGTGGCTTCCGCCCCCTAGGATAAGGGCCCTAGAGAAGGAATATGGCTTAAACGCTACTATGAAGCCCCTTAATATTTCAGTAATATTCCTCGATGAAGGGGAGTTGGGATCTCTGGGTACCCGGTTTTGGCTTACAGGGGCTCGAGATTTCATCGGCCCAGGCAAACCCGGGTCGGGGTTTGGAGTTTGGGTTTGTATTTCCCGTTTTGCATGTTTTGTATAGGCGGTGAGTGCAATTCCAACTCTTCCAAAACAGATCAATCTCTCGAGAGCCTTCTCTTTCGGGATTGGAACATACTCCTAGCCCAGCCTCATAAATGCAAAGTATGGAAAGATGCGACAGGTCCTTTCAAATCCTGCCGACGACAAGTACAGGAGAACTGTCCGCAGTGTCGTCGAAAGTTTACGAGCAAGTTTGGGTACCTTGCTTTCGGGTTTATATTGAGGATGCCATTGTTCAGGGTTCTGCAATATAAGGCAATAAATAATTGCCAATACTACTTTGGGGTTTCCACATTATAAGTATTGTATAATGGGCCTCAAAACCCTATTCTAATTGCTAAGGCCCCTATATTATGCAGGTCCCCTTCTTGTTGAAACTCCCTGGTGTTTGGGATACCAACCACACATGGTCGAGCCTTTCGGATATCGGGCCCAGGTATCAGAGAGTTGCATTGAAGACATCCCTACGCTTCAACACCAGAGAGCCCAATGCTCCTCAATTACAGAGCTTTAATTTCAAAGAGGCTCCATGTTATGATTTAAAGCTATGTTTTGAGTACGGCCGCCAATCAGTAATAGTTGAATAATTTTCATAACAGAGATATAATAGGACCTTAATAGTAGCCTTGTTATAGACTCTTACTGTATGGGGGCAGTATCCAAGCTATGCCCCTTACTTACGGTGTATGGAGCTCCCTGGGTCTCGGTCTTCGGATGCAGTGTGCGTAGGAGCCCAAATGACAAGTAAAAGTCTTATGGGCAGTGTGTACCTGGACCCTAAGGAAAATGCCTTGTTAGGGTTCCATAATACGACCTCTTTAAAATTAGGTAGGTTACTTGTGGTTAAGGTATAGTGTTGTTGCCGTGCACGGTCACTTGGAGCCCTGCTGGAGCTACAGTACCCAAGGTCCGCAAGTTGCAGTCACATCGCTGATTGAGCACGATACTTAAAGGCTCATGGGACTTAGTAAGTAAGGTCATATGTAAAGTTATATTCAGGATAACCCTACTTCGAATACTAAAACCTGAATTATGTCCTAACTTACAAAGTCCCCTGAGCCCTTAACCCTAATTCCCTATAGGAACCCTTATAGTCCCCTCATAGGAACCATAAGGAACCCTGAAAAGGCTCTTTGGCCGGGTGTGGAGTTAACAGCCTCGCGCTCTAACGAACTGAGCTATGGAAGTTATTGAAGCAGGCCCAGTCCTGCCCATCATCTGCAGGCCATGCAAAAGTCAAACACACACACACACACTCACACATTGTGACGTCCGTGATCAGGATTCCTAATTCCCCTGAGACTCCAACATCCCTTAGTTAAGGAATACCTAGGACCCAGGGACTCCAATATCCCTTAATTAAGGAATATTCCTTAAATCATATTAGGGATCCTACTATGATTTCAGGTATGTTCCTTCATTAAGGGATATTGGAGTTTCTTGGGGACCTAGGGTTCCTTTAAGGGCTCTGTCGGGGGTCTGCACTGTGGGGTTTAGGGTTTAGGGAACTCCAATTTCCCGTGACTAAGGAATATGCTGACATACTCTACATAGGACCCCTAACATGATTCAAGGGATATTCCCTAATTAAGGGATATTGGAGTCTCTGAGTCAGAGGCTTCAGAAAATGTGGAAACCGCCATTTTGGGTTCAGAGTGAAGGTGCCGTCAAGGACTACCCCAAACCCTAAATGCTAAACCGTCACTTTTCAAAAAATCTCCCCCCTATGGTCCCTATGGAATTTCAGTATACGGCAACACCCGTTTCTAAATCCCACAATCCCCGCATGAACAACAAAAGCTGAAGTTTTTTGGACCGTTTCCCAAAGACTGCAATATAACTAAATTAGGAATATACCTTAAAATATAATAGGCATCCTCCTATAGTGCAAGGTATATTCCACAATTAAGGGATATTGGAGTCTTTGGGTTCGAGCCCCCATTCGAGCAGGGTTTCTCTGGTGGTTCCCTCAACGGTTTCTGTAAGTGGATTCACAGGGAGTGATCAGAATATGGCTTTGGGCATGCTATACTACAGATATATGTGGGGATTGGAAGGGGTCGGGTGCGCCTCAAGCTTTCAAGCCATGCCCAAATCCAAAAATCCTGAAAGCCCCCCTTACATCCCAACGCACCTCAAACCCCAAATCCTAAATCCCCAGGCCCCTAAACTCAACAAGCTTGGAACTTAGGGGTACTTAGAAATAATTTTTAATTTTTGGTTATTATACTCCCTAAGAAACAGCTGAAGTCATAATTTTTTGCTAGGGTTCTAAGTTCAGTGTAGGGAAGGGCAGGCCGGCCTAAACCTGAAACTCCAAGCCTGGAACATGTGTAGTTTTGGGGTACCCTAAATATTAGGTGCCGCAATATAAAAAGGACCCAAAAACGGACCATAATTTTGACAACCACCCGTATGGATCCTAATATTTGCGGGGTGTAGGACCAGGGTTTCTGGACCAGGTTCCTACATTGTGATACAGTGAACCCCATAAAGTTGGAAACTGGATTAAGGCATGCTGGGATTCCCGTATACATCACTCTTAAGGATTGAGGCTACAGGGTTTCCAACTTTTGGGCTTCTACTCTATGCCGAAGTCGATGTGCTGATGTCCTGTGGTTCTAAAAATTAAGGGCCCCATAACCCTGAAGTGCTAAGCCAGAAGCGGTCTATGCCCTAATCTTAAGCTCAACACTTCAGTTTTCGAAGTTCAGGCTTTAGGGTTTAAGGCAGTTTAAGGTGCATTCTTAAATTATATACGCTGAAACCCAAGACTCCGTAAATCCCAACCCTAAACCTCAAACCCTACATCCTATACCCCTAAACCCTAAACCTTAAACGGGAGTTTCCGAAAATTAGGGGTACCTTATTTGGGGGTCCTTATAATAAGGATCCTACTATATAGGGTGTACCATATCAGGGTCCCCCATTTTCGGAAACTCCCATATTCCTAAACCTAAACCCCAAAACCCTAAACCCTAAGCCCTAAACCTTAAATCTTACCAGGAAGCTGACAAAAGACAAGCTGAACGGCAAATTGGCATCGATTGGAACTCAGATCCTGGAGGCTCTCTCGGTCCGTTCTATAGTCTTATAGGTCCTTAAGGGAGGGTGGTTCAGGGAGGGGTACAAGGGATCCTTAGGGGACTGTAAGGGAACCTTAGGGAGTACTAGGGAGAATTAGGGATCGCTAGGCTATATACCCCCCTTGGACCCCCCTCCCTTAAGGATATACTACAAAAGTCCCCTAAATAGTAGAGTTGCATTGAAGACTTCCCTGCGCTTCCTAACCAGAGAGCCCGCTGCTCCTCAATTACGGAACCTTAAATTCAGAGAGGCTCCATGTTATGATTTGGGAGTTTCCGAACATGAGGGACCCGAAGATAATACCCTAAATAGTAGGATCCTTATTACCAGGATTCCAAAATAAGACACCCCCAGTTTTCGGAAACTCTAAACCCTTATAGTAACCCTTTCAAGGAACCCTTCTACATTTAAGGGATCTGGGTTTAGGGGTTTAAGGGTGCATATGGGTTTGGGGTTTATATAGGGGTTTAGGATTTCGCGTTTATAGGGTTCAGGGCTTCTTAGGGGCTGACCACAGAACCTTGAACCTTTTGGGGCTTATAGAACACTACTATAATTCAAAAGGTTAACCTGTTTTGGGCTAGGGTGCTCAGCCTCTCAGTCTTCTTTGTTTGGGTTGTAAAGGGGTGGCTCTCTAAATTAGGGTCCCTTCTAGGGTCCCTGCCCATGAGGGTGCTACGCTATTTTTGGGGGGACCTGGAAGGGGACCCTAATTTCGAAACCCATAGAGCTTGATAAGGGTTTCAGAGGAGGGTTTGGTCCGTGGAGGGAGTCGACTGAACGTGAGGGACTTAGTAAGTATGTTATAAGGAAGGTTTCAGTGAGGACCACCCCACATAGGGGACGTGTACCCCCGGTTATAACGTAGTAACCAAAGCCCCCTGAGCCGCTGAGTAGGGTTTAGGGTTTAGGGTTTAGGGTTTAGGGTTTAGGGCTTAGGGCTTAGGGTTTAGGGTTTAGGGTTAAGGGTTTAGGGTTTAGATATCACAGGGTTCGAGATTCAGGGACCGGGGCCAAGCTCAGAACCCCAAACCCTCAACTACCCGATTCTCGGCGCGCACCTAAACCTTTAGTCCATGAGTCCAACCACAACCCTCAGTATATGTGGTGCCGTGTATGTTCCTTTTGCCTTTTTTTTTGAGCGTGCGGGTGTCTGTGACGTTTTTTTGAGGTTCAACGGTGTGTTCTGACATTGTGAAGCGAGGGGCGTTTGCTCCCGGGAAACCCCGGTTGAAGGGTTCCCTAAATCGGTTCCATTAAGGGTTCTGTCAGGACGGCATCTCAAATTGTCGTGCAGTTCAGGCGATACATACATGTTTTGTCAGATATCCCGAATACTGACGCATGTTCAGACACATACCCCATGCATGCGACCGTGATCTACACTCTGAAAAAGCTGAGCCCTACAACCCTAAACTCCAAACCCACGGCCCTCAACCTTAAACCCCTAAACCCTAAACCCCTAAACCCCTAAACCCTAAACCCTAAACCCTAAAACCCTAAACCCTAAACCCTATAAGCCCTAAAGCCCCTTCGCCGGCAGGCTTTAGGCTTCCAAGACTCTGGAGAGGCGTCTTGGCTGACCAGACAGCCAGGGTCTACTTTTTAGTGCTTTGATCTAGGGTTTAGAGTTTAGGGCTTAGGGTTTAGGGTTTAGGGCTTACCTAAAAAACCTACCTTTTTAGGGTTCCCTAATATGATTTCTTTATATACGTCCTTGAAAAAGGCAGGCTACATGGGGTTGAGGTAGTGCTTTGATCTAGGGTTTAGGATTTGAGTTTTGCGTCTAGTTGTGGGGTAAGAGATCTGGCATCGAATAAGATTTTTTCGAGCATCGGGTCAGAAGAATTTGCTGAGGTATGGTGTTGTATAGCTTAGAGAGCGAACGGGGGAACTTCAAACTTTTGCTCAAGCCCGGTTGTTGAAGAAGAGAGATGGCTTGCACCGATACCAGGGATCCTGGAACCCCCAAATGGTATAGCAAGGTTTGTTTTTCCAGGACCACTGACAAGGTCCGAAGCACCGAAATACCACTTAGGATTCCCCTGTATGGGAGTTTCCGACAACAGGGGACCCTAATGAAGTACCCTAGATAGTAGGATCCTTATGATCAGGGCCCCAAAGGAAGGTACCCCTAAAAGTCGGAAAGTCCCATATGCCAAGGTATGGTGCTTAATCACGGTGCTTTAGGGTTTAGGGTCTACCTGGACCCTAAGGAACCTGCCTTTTTAGGGTTCCCTAATATGAGTTCTTTGTATAAGTCCTTAAAAAGGTAGGTTACTTGGGGTTACGGTAGGGTTTAGGCTTTAGTCCAAGGGTAAAAGGAGGGACCCTTAATAAGGACCCCTGGGTATATACCCTTAATATAGCTATAATATTTACCCATTATATAGCCCATTATAGGGCAGGGGTCCCCATTACGGGTCCCTCCTTTTCCCCTTGGATTTAGAGCCTGTGGGTCTATTCAGCTAGCCGGAGGATGGCTGCACAGCCGAAGAAATCTTCGGTCAAAGTTCGGTGAAGCCGTAATAAAGGGGCTCTAATAGTTAGAATAGGTTTTTCGGTTTCATTATACTACATTGTGACAAGGAACTCCCAAATTTGTATTCATATTTTTGTTAGGCCCTATATTATCCGGACTCTGCCATTGCTGCCAATGCGATAGCAGCCCCAATCTTAATCGACTGGGAGTGTAGGGTCACTGGAAGCTTGCTATGCAACAAGGGCATCTGACTGGCACTGCAGGAACGGTTGGTATGATATGTCTCCTGAGGGACACGCTGGCTTCGCAGCCACTGCAAAACCACAGACAAGGTGCACAGATTAGTCTAGCATAGTATAGTCCAATCTGTTCAGTGGTACACTTTTTTACTTTCAGGTTTCTGGGTTCCAATTACAAAACAAGAAGCCTAAAAAAGTATACATTTTTCCCAGTGGGTTACTGAACAGCCTGGTAGTGCAGTATGGTACAGTATAGTATCTTGATATATGGGGATCCTTGCTGGAGTTTAAGATACGTTCTTCAGATAAATGAAATCTCGACACACTGGGCACTGTCTTTACAAGTATAAAAACAACCCAGTCACGCGGTCTTTTCCTAGGACTCCGAGCATTCCCCAGGGAGTCCAACACCCCTTAGCTAAAGATCAGACCTGACAGCATAATATCAGCACGCGTTACTTAAAGATTAGACCTGACAGCGTCATATCGACACCCCTTAGTTAAAGATTAGACCTGACAGCACAATATTATGTCCCTTATACCTTGTCGTATACGCCTTAGTTAAACGATCTTCGTTTGAATCTGTGTCGGGCTCAGGGTTCGGGGTTGCAGAACTAACCTTAGGCGCACTTAGAAACAATTTTTAATTTTTGGTTATTATAATCCCCAAAAAACAGCTAAAATTATAATTGTTGCTAGGGTTCTAAGTTCGGTATAGTAGCCTTCAAAACCGCAACACCTTGAACAGAAGAATAACCGCAAACCTTACCTGGATCCCAGAAGACCTGCTGTACCTGTCCAGGGCTCCTTATTATGCTTTCCTTATTTGGATGCTTGAAATTGCAAAGATACGTTATTCGAGAAGATGGACCCTAATGTAACCTGTGCTTTAGAAGGGGCCCCCACCCTGTAATAGTGGCATAGTAGGAATATAATAGGGCCCTAACATAATCCTTATAGTCACTATTACAGGGTGGGGGCAGCTTCTAACCTGTGCTCACTCAGTAACAGTTGGATAATATTGATAATATAGATATACTAGGACCTTAATAGTAGCCCTACTATAGACTGTTACTGTATGGGGGCAGTACCCAAGCTGTTCCCATCTTGAGGCCTTTGTTCTGCCCTCTGGCGAAGTGTCAGATGACCTTCTGCAGGCTCCGGGCGTCTTAACCTAAGGAGTTTCTCCAACGTTGAGGGCTTAGGATTTGCAGTTATCCTAGACACCCCAACTACCCATTATAGTAGTCCCAAATTACGTCTTTAATGAGAAATATCAGAGCTCTTTAAAGGGTACTTGGGGTCCTGGATGAACTTAGGCACATATGTGCCCGCGCTCCGCGTTCTCGACCCCTCCCCCCCCCCCCAATGGTATCCCCCCCCCCCGAGCCCGGCGACCACACAACAAGAACAAGAACAAGAACAAGAACAAGAAGAAGAACAGCAGCAACAACAAAGCAGCAGCAACCACGCGGAGGAACCACAGGAACCACAGGGGGGGAGGGGGGAGACAGGAACCAGAAGAACCACAAAAGGGAGGGGGAAAACCAAGAGGAACCACAGGGGGGGGGGGAACCACAGGAACCACAGGGGGGGGGGGGGGGAAGGGGATTACCATGGGGGGGGGGGAGGAGGGGGGGGTCGGCGGATGCTGGCACATATAGAGGCTAGGCTCAGTGTTGGCCTCAGGTTTAGGGCTTAGGCTCAGACAGGTGTAACGGTCTAGCTTTAGGGTTTAGGGATGACGCGTTACACCTTTTTGGGACAACACATTACCCTGTAGAACTGAAATTGTACAGATTTTTGGGCTTATGAACTCAGCACTTGAAGCCCAAATAGCCTGCCTTGTTAGGGCTCCTTATTGTGATTTCCTTACATAAGTCCCTAAAAGGGAAGGTTATTTGGGGCTAAAGTAAGTCATTGAGATGGCTAATCTGAATCTGTACAGGCTGTACAAGCTCTATACCTGGTGGATATCTCCATCCTTGCTAGGGTGCCCAGTAGTACCCCTATTCCCTTTTTGTAGTCCTAGGTTCCTTATAAAATAGCCCAACACCAAAAAAGGGAGCCCTTTTTATTCCTAGGTTACTCTTAATCGGGTTCCTACATTACTATAGTACCCCTATGGACCCCTTATAGTTACCCTTATATGTGCCAGCATCCGCGCACCCCCCCCCCCCCCATGGTAATCCCCCTCCCCCCCCCTGTGGTTCCTGTGGTTCCCCCCCCCCCCTGTGGTTCCTCTTGGTTTTCCCCCTCCCTTTTGTGGTTCTTCTGGTTCCTGTCTCCCCCCTCCCCCCCTGTGGTTCCTGTGGTTCCTCCGCGTGGTTGCTGCTGCTTTGTTGTTGCTGCTGTTCTTCTTCTTGTTCTTGTTCTTGTTCTTGTTGTGTGGTCGCCCGGGTCGGGGGGGGGGGGGATACCATTGGGGGGGGGGGGGGGGGGGGTCGAGAACGCGGAGCGCGGGCACATATAGACCCCTCCTAAACCCTAAACCCTAAACCAAGTACCCTTACGGACCCCTGATAGCCTTATAGACCCCTCCTAAACCCTAAACCCTAAACCCTAGCTTGGGATTTACCGGAAAGCCCCGGACCTGACATGTTCGGTTCTGGAGGCCTGGAAGAAGGCGGAAGCAAGCCCGGCCTCCTTCCCTCCATCCATCCATCTTAGGGGTTTAGGGTTTAGGGTTTAGGGTTTAGGGGTTTGGGTTGTCTAGGGTTTAGGGTTTGGGGGTTTAGGGGTTCAGGGTTTAGGAGTCTAGGGTCTAGGGTTTAGGGTTTAGGGGTTTAGGGGTTTAGGGGTTCAGGGCTTAGGAGTGTAGGGTTTAGGGTTTAGGGGTTTAGGGGTTTAGGGCTTAGGGTTTAGGGATCCATCCATCTATCCGTCCATCCATCCATCCATGTATGCATGCCTACATACATGTACACATAAGCGCCGTAAGATAAATGAGTTTATTAATATCACATTCAGCTCGCCATAAATAGGAGTTTCCGAATATTGGGGGGGTTATAATAATAAGGATCCTACATAGGTGCTACATTGGGGCCCCTTATTTTCGGAAACTCCCAAATAGGTTAATTGCCACGCAAGGCAAAGGAGCTTCTCGACTGCCTGGCTCTGTCTGCAGAGGAGGATACTGGGGACAAAGTGGACAAAGGCCTTTCGCCCCCGAATTCCTACGGTTGAAGTACCTTAAGGACCCCAAACTATGGGGAGTATGGTATATTCCTTATTATGGGCAATGTAGGGTTTATCTCAATCGTCGACAGTACCATCCAGCGATCCAAACGTGCTGAAGACACTGTCCCAGAAATTAGCGAACGGTTTCTACTAGACTATTGGTTAAGATAATTTCGTTACACCAAGACACGAGACAATTAAGATGCATTGGAGTCTCTGGGGCATCGGGTTCTGGTTGTGCGTTGGGGCGCACCATCTCGGGGCCAGTCGCTGGATCTGGCTCTCGGAAATACGGGTTCAGGAGAGAGGGTTTAGGGGTTCAGGGCTTAGGGGTCCAGGAAAGATCACTTCTAGGCCACCGCAACACATGGCCTGGACATATACTTTCAAAAGGTCGAGGGGTGCAAGTGGGAGCCGTCATCATTCCGAATGTCCGAGCATAAGGGCTCTTCACACGAAAGGCTGGAGCTGAAGATTGCCTCAGGTCTTTCGTGGGACAAGGCAACTTGGGATTCTCATTTCTACAAACAGTCGTAAGGCCGTTTGGGGTATGCGGTCAATGGTCTGGGGTTGAAACCAATATCGGCAATAGGAGTAAGAACAAACGTGTTCAAACAATTTTTGCAACACTTCAGCAGCAGTATTAGTAGTAGTTGACGTCGCCGTCGTCGCAGCAGTAGCAGCAGCAGTAGCAGCAGCAGCAGTAGCAGCAGTAGCAGCACTAGCAGCAGGAGCAGCATGGAGTAGCAAGAGCAGCAGGAGTAGGAGTAGGAGTAGGAGTAGGAGTAGGACAGTAGGACAGTAGGAGTTGCAGTAGGAGTAGCAGTAGTAGTAGTAGTAGTAGTAGTAGTAGTAGTAGTAGTAGTAGTAGTAGTAGTAGTAGTAGTAGTAGTAGTAGTAGTAGTAGTAGTAGTAGTAGTAGTAGTAGTAGTAGTAGTAGTAGTTTTAGTAGTAGTAGTTTTAGTAGTAGTAGTTTTAGTAGTAGTAATTAGTAGTAGTAGTAGTAGTAGTAGTAGTAGTAGTAGTAGTAGTAGTAGTAGTAGTAGTAGTAGTAGTAGTAGCAGTAGTAGTAGTAGCAGCAGTAGTAGTAGTAGTAGTTGTAGTAGTAGTAGTAGTTGTTGTAGTAGAAGTAGTAGAAGTAGAAGTAGAAGTAGAAGTAGAAGTAGAAGTAGAACTAGAACTAGAACTACGGTTGATGATAGAAATCCTGCATTACCTTAAGTACCCTAAACTATGGGAAATATGGTATATTTCTTATTATGGGTCATGCAGGATTTATATCATCAACCGTAGAAGTAGAAGTAGAAGTAGAAGTAGAAGTAGCAGTCGTGGTGGCACCGGTAGTCGTAGGGGTCGTGGTAGTGGTAGCGGCAGTGGTAGTGGTCGTGTAGTGAAAGTTGTTGTTGTCGTAGTAGTAGGAATATGTTGTACGACCTGTGATAGGTATCTGTTTGTTCATGTTTGCTGTTCATAGAGGCCTGGATGATGCTCGATTCTATCCAAAAGGTTGCTTAATGTACTTACACTACAGTGTACCCAAAACCTCATTCTGTTCTTTCATTCAGCATTTCATCCGCATTAAACCCGTCAAGACCTTACAAAAGATGCAAGACCCTTCTTCCAAATCCTAGTAACATCCGATAAAAACCATTATAAGAAGCCCTATCGAAACGTATCGAACCCTGTATCAAACTCGTTCAAGAACCGCCTACAAAAACTTCTAAAGAACCCTGGCAGGATCCGATTGAAGAGCCTTAGTAGCACCGTTTGAAGAACCCTTTGAAGAATCCTTTCCAGAACCGTTCCAAGAACGCACTGAACAACATCTTTTACAACCATTTGGGTGGTTCTCACAATTAGGGTCCCTTTTTTGGGTCCTTATTATCGTACGGCACCTGAAATTTAGGGTACCCCAAAAGGGACCCTAATGATGACAACTACCCATATAAAACCCGTAAGCCGTTCGATCACCCTAAACCCTAAAACCCTAAACCCTAAAACCCTGTAGATCCCTTAAAGGAACCCTAAAAGGAACCCTAACCCCCGGTTTAGAGAGTCCAGCAGGTGTCTCCAAGTTGGAGCCTGCGGATCAGGAGGACGAGGACTTAGCCGAGGTGCAACTTCCGCCTTACCGTTGCTTAGTAGGGCATGGAAGAACGGTAGCAATAGTAGCTATACTGTTGATGATATAAATCCTGCATTACCTTAAGGACCCTAAACTATGGGAATTATGGTATATTCCTTATTATGACTTATTATGGGTAATGCAGAATTTATATCATCAACCGTAGTTGTACCCCCATTCCTCCATTTCCTACTAACCAAAGGCAAGCCGCAGCGACTGCTGGGCTTAGTTTTTATTCGAGAGGTTCTAGCGTTTGCGATTTAGGGTAGTTTTTTGGGCTTAGACTCTTTTGTAAGAAACCCTAAACCCAAAACCCTAAACCCTAAACCCAACACCCTAAACCGAAAACCCTAAACCCTAAACCCAAAACCCTAAACCGAAGAGGTCCTCCAGGGATTCGCTCAAAGGCTGTATTCGGGATCTGCAAAAGGTTCTAGTAGAATTGTTTACACGGTTCTAGCATAGGATGGTTCAATTAGTTTTTTTGGGAATTCTTTTGAAAGTTCTGTGACGATGTCTAAACGGTTCTATTAGATTTTGTTTTCTGTACTGTGCTTGTTTGTTGGGGGTTGGGAGTAGTAGGAGGCCGTAAAGCCCGAGACACCAGGAAGTCTTTGAAGTATCCTGGAAGTACAGGGTTCGCGGCGAAGGTTTAGGTTGGGCTGCAATTAAGGTTTAGGATCCTTGAGGAACAGGGTTTGGGGTGGGTCATGGGGTCTAGGTGTTGGTTATTTTTCAGCTCCGTAGGGAATGAGTAAAGTGGCTTTGGGGTTTCATGGCATCTACGTGGGCTTAACTAGATAAATTTAGGAGGGGGGTGAAAGGATATTATCAGAAAGGAAAGAGTTAAAGAAACAAACAACGCCCGAACCCGGTAACCACTAGGAAAGGTAGCCCAAAAGGAGCCCGGATCCTTTGAATTGGCCCTGGACGGAACACAATTATAGCCTACTAACGCCCAGACCTCCGGGAGGATCTAGAAAGTAGATCCGATCCCCTAGGATTCCTTCAAGGGCTCCTTCAAGGGATCCTTTAGGGTTTAGGGTTTAGGGATCTATTAAGGGATCTACTTTTTGGATCCTCCCGGCTGTCTGGGCAGGTCAACCGTGAACCCTGGACACCTGTGCTCTGAAACCCTATCAGGGTTTTTGCTTAGGGTTTAGGGTTTAGGGTTTAGGGTTCTAAAAACCCCAAACCTTAAACCCCAAGCACTACCTGAACCCTAAAAGCCGACTACAGGGGCCTTCATAACTACCAGTACTATTCTTGGGGTTCCTTATTTTGTTACTGTACAAAACATACGCCAAAACCATATTCAAATTATTTAGGCCCCTGTGGTATAGAACCCTTAGGAACCCTTTTAAAGGCATTCTATTCTAATTGTAAAGGCCCCTACATAAACCCTAAACCCTCACCCTAAACCCTAAACCAGAACCCTAAACCCTTAAACAACTGAACCTTAAACTCTAAACCGAAGGCGATGCGGCTGTCCATGGGCGACATGGGCGATGCAGCACCGGGCCCTCCAGACGCCAAGCGTGCCCGGGGAGAGTCCAGGGCTCGGCTTTCTAGGGCTTGAAGGCTTTAGGTTTCTTAGGGGTACTTAGAAATATTTTTTTATTTTTGGTTATTATAATCCCCAAGAAACAGCTAAAATTATAATTTTTGCTAGGGTTCTAAGTTCAGTATAGGTTTAGGTTTACGGTTAGGGGTTTAGGGCTAGGGTTTAGGGTTAGGGATTAGGGTTGCGCCCCAAACCCTACGCGAACAAACCCTAAACATCCCTAGACTCTACACCCCAAGCATCCCTAACCCTTAAACCCTAAACCCCTAAAACCCTAAACCCCTCTAAACCCTAATACCCCTAAACCCCTGAAGCCCTAAACCCTTAACCCCGGAGCCTCGGAGTTCGGCGTGGTGTTTCCTTTCGCGACTTGGGGTTGAGTAGGTCTGGGGGCCTTAATTAAGGGCTCCTTTTTGAAGGGTCTATGGGGTTACTGCAAGGGGTATTATGGCGGGTTTAGTATAGGGGCCTAAAAACTAGATACCTATACTATTTTTTTGGGGGGTTCCTTATTATCATTATAGTCTATAATGGGCTCCAAAACCCTATGCTAACCCGATATTGTTGTGCTGAGGCTCCGTACAATTAGCTCCTCCGAACTCGGAAATGAAAGGGCGTGCACCAAAAGACACCGGAGCCCTCAACCCTACCTGAAACTTCTAGGCCCGAAAACAGGGTGCCTTATAAGGACCCCCCCAAAAAATCATACCTGAAGGTAAACAAAAGATCAGAGATTTGGGAGTCGATGCCTTGCTTTCCTTGCCAAAGGCCACCAGAAGAGGAATCAGTGCGGGCCCTGGAGTTCCTAAACACACGGCAGTTTCTTAAGACTAGACTAGGGGTGCCTGTTTTCTGCATCCTTGAAACGAGAGGTTCATCATCGTGCCGGTTATTTATATGAATATGTGGGGCGAGGAGACACAGAGTGAGAGTGAGAGAGAGAGAGAGAGAGAGAGACCTTTTTAGTAAACATCCTTTGCCCTAAAACTACCTTTGCAACCTCAGTGTAGTGCCCTTTGCAGTCATGAAGTGTATGCAACGCCCTAGAGCCTTGAAACAAAACAGAATTCTTTGCAACACCTTGCATCCTCAATCCCAAAACACGAAAGCCGTAACCGGCCTATACCTGCAGCCTCGACCCTCCGCATCAGGGATTTTGGTGAGTTTGTCAACTGCCCCTGTTTTTGAAAAAATAGTGAGAGTACATTTTGGGTCGTGGTATGGGGACAAGAATAATAACAAACAAGCGCTACACCACGGTAGTCTTGGTAAGCTGGTAGGGGTCGGTTGTTTGCATGGTTGCCCCATTTCATATGATTGCTGTTGCTACGATGAATCAGGTTTCCAAGCAGGTTCACTTCTTCCTGAAGGACCAAATGACCCTTAAAAGTAGGGGCCCTTTTCCCATATACTATGTATCCCTATATCGTATATGAACCTTAAACCCTTTTAGGGTTCATTTCGTCCTTAAGGTTCTGCATGTCGGAGCATCTGGCTGCTCTTGAGCGCACACCTACACTTAGGCGTACTTAGAAATAATTTTTAATTTTTGGTTTTTACAATCCCCAAGAAACAGCTAAAATTATAATTTTGCTAGGGTCCTAAGTTCAGTATAGACAAGGTATAATGGGCATCTTAGGAACACATGCAGGAGATGCCAACCTCAACAGCAGCTGCTGAGCGCTTAGGTGTCATCCGCTAAATACTCCCCGTTGATATTATATTCCTAAAGCCCGAAGTCTAAGTCTAAACCCTAAATCCTACAAGAAACAAAGTCTTTAAATCCTAAGCCCTCTAGAACAAAGCCTATATCCTATATCACAAAACTCTTGAGTCCGAACCCTTGCGAACTTGTTGTAAAACCGCGAAAAGCTCCGGGAACCCTAACTATACACCCCAGCCTGCAGCAAGGTTTAGCATTTGGCCGTACTCTTGGAAACAAGCGGTTATAACACACTTCGGAGCAGTCTAAGATTCTTAAAACACCCTAGACCCTGAACCTCTAAACCCCTAAGCCCTAACAAAGGGGCCTGAATGATTCCCTACACTACTTTGGGGGTTCTTTAGTATATCTAATGTGTAATTTGCTCCAGAGACCCTCTGTTCCAATTATTACGGCCCTATATTACACCTTTACAACCCCCTAAACCCTAAACCCTAACCCGAAAGCCTAGCCTTTTGAGTGGAGCCGGCTGAAGCAGGATCTCCAGCGGCGCCTGGAGAAAGAAGAGGCGATGAAGGGGTGGGGGGGTTTAGGGTTTAAGGGTTTAGGGGTTTAGGGTTTCGGGATCACGGTTTCGGGATCAGAGTTTAGGGATTATATAGGGTTTCGGGATCAGGGTTTAGGGAGTAGGGTTTAGGGATTGGGTTTTAGGGATTATGTTTAGGGCTCAAGGGGATTAGGGTTTAGCAATTATGTTTAGGGTTTAGGGGTTTAGGGTTTAAGGGTTAAGCTTGTCGGGTTTCGGGCATGTCGTACTATGGTTGTTTAAGGGGTGCGCACAGCGCAAGCAGCCAACAAGGGATCTCTTCTGCAATTTTTGTTACGCCCATCTCGGCCTCCAAAGGCCCGCATCATGAGCATCAGAGGGGGGCCCCGTGCTAGTTCAAGCGCTCCGAGCCCCGCTGATGCGGTGCGCGTCGCGGGCGGAAGCAGAATCATCGGATTTGGGTCCCCGATTGTTAAAAGCATGCCCGGAACCAACCCGCAGGGGGGCGCATCACGAGCATCAGCGGGACCCCCGAAACGCGACGGAGGAGAGTCGGCGCCAAGCCTGAGAACTCTGTCTTGCGTTTCTTCATGGCTAACAGGCCTAGGTAGTCGGTACAGGTAGGGCGGCTGACCCAGCGCCGCGTAGCTAGGCCTAGTTAATTATAGTCGGCAGAGGTAGGGCTCATACCTAGTTTTCCGAGCGTTGGTAGCTGGAACTCTGGGTCAGGCTTCCTCCTTGGCCCTTATTCGTCGCCCCCAGGCCTTCGTTCAAGGCCAATCCGGGTTTTTGACCTGTTTTGGCTTTGGACGAGGACCATTTGGCAGCGACTCCGACATCATTACCGAGCAAGACTAAGACGATGCGGAGAAAAAACGGCTCCTGTTCGCCAAGCAAGGCTCGGCCTACAAGCGACCCGCCCAGGACCAGCACAGCCCATACCCTTAATTAAGGAATATACCTTAAATCATAGTAGGATCCCTAATATGATTCAAGGAACATTCCTTAATTAAGGAATATACCTTAAGTTATAGTAGGATCCCCAGTATGATTTAAGGAGCATTCCTATAATTAAGGGGTATCGGGCTCTCTGGGAGCAACAGAGACGATTTGGAGGAGGCCTTAAGGACGAAATGAACCCTAAAAGGGTTTAAGGTTCATATACCATATAGGGATTCATAGCTACTGTTTGCTTAAGAACCCCACAAAAAATAATAAAAAAAAATACCTATATTATCCCTATAAGGAATATATATTTTTTGGGGGGGGTTCTTAAGCAAGTAGTAGATATGGGAAAAGGGCCCCTAATTTTAAGGGTCATTTGGTCCTTCAGGGGAGCTGGAGAAGTTGATCGACGAGTTCTGGGCCCAAAGCCGATATGGACCCTCAACCGGGTTTAGGGTTTCGGGGTTTAGGGTTTAGGGGTTTAGGGGTTTAGGGGTTTAGGGGTTTAGGGGTTTAGGGGTTTAGGGGTTTAGGGGTTTAGGGTTTAGGGTTTAGGGGTTTAGGGGTTTAGGGTTTAGGGTTTAGGGGTTTAGGGGTTTAGGGTTTAGGGCAAAACCTGAAACCCTGAACCCTTAAAGACCATAAGGCCCTAAATTCCTAACCCTAAAGCCTAAACCCAAGGAGCGCCGAAAGGAACACTGAGGTCTGAACCCATATGGGTGGTTGTCAAAATTAGGGTCCCTTTTTGGGAGAATCGGTGCCGTATTATAATAGGGACACCAAAAAGGGGCCATAATTTGGAGAACCACCCATACCTTAAACTACCAAACCCTACTTTTTTGTAGGTTCTTATTATAAGCCCTAATATGGAATTTATAGGGACCCTACAAAAAAGTAGGTTTTGGCAGGTTAAGGTATGAATTCCTTGAACCTGGAAGCGTGCAGGAGGAACGAGCCGAAGTGGCCTTTGAACGCTTCCGCGCCGAGGAGTCTTGTTTGGGAGTGCTAAAGTACTTGGAGGATCATGGGACTTAATAAGTAGGTTATAATTGGGGTTATAAGTCCCCTAAGTGGGGTTATCCTAATTATATACTACTTATAACCTTACTTACTAAGGCCCATGAGCCTTCAAGTAAGAGTCTGAACAACTATAGTGACGACAGCCACGCTGTTATCTGGCTAGTTAGTAAAAATATTATACCTTTGGAGCCCCGTTTTACATATGCTAGCACGTACCTCAACACCTTGTTCGAATCATAGTGCACCTAGACAAAAGCCCTAGTACAAACCCTGAAGGAACCTTACAGGAACCCTTAGCCGAACCCTTGAAGGAACCCTAAAACGAAACCCGAAACCTAATCGAATCACTGTTGCGGCCAACAACTTATTTCGAAGCATGGCCCGCTTGTCGAGGTTAAAGGCTCGAGGCCAGCGAGTGATACCAAAGTCTGTCATCCTAGGGTTTCGGATTTAGAGGTTTAGGGTTCAGGGTTTAGGGGTCCAGGGGTTTAGGGTTTTAGGGTCTAGGTTTAGGGGTTTGGGGGTTTAGGGTTTAGTAAACTTAGGGTTTAGGGTAGTGAGGCGGAGGAGGAGGACGGGGAGGAGGAGCAGGAGGAGGTGGGGTAAGGAGTGGAGGTGGTTTCGTCGTCGTCGTCGTCGTTCAGCGACGTTTTGACTGTCATGCACATTTTGTTTATCAAAGCTTCCGTAGTATTGTGGGGATATTAGTGATGAAGATGATGAGGTTTCTCTTATCGTGCTTTTTGAAGAATGCTACGAAACGACGATGCCGCGGACAAAGGCTGGTCGACCAGAACTCCCAGAAGCGCCAAAATCCCTGACTAAAGGAATATTCCTTAAATTTATGGTAGGATCCCTAATACGATTTAAGGTATATTCCTTAATTAAGGGATATTGGAGTCTCTAGGCTGGCAGCCCCGACCCCGTCGCCACCACTCTACTCATAGGGATCCTTAGGGGTGTAGGGGGAGGGGGGGTAGGGGGCCTGAAGGCCCATAATAAGGACTAATAAGGCCTTTTTAAGGAAATATAGTCCCCTACACCCCTCCCCCCTACACCCCTAAGGATCCCTACGATCTACACACCCTGCAGGCTTCGGGCCGCACTTTTTCCGGCTTTTGTCCTTAAACCCTAAACCTTACACCATAAACCCTGAAACCTAAACCTTAGACCCTAAAGCCTAAACTTTACACCATAAACCCAAAAACCTGAACCCTAACCTTTACACCATAAGCCCTAAAACCTAAACCCCAAACCCCTAAACTCTACACCATAAAGCCTACAACCTAAACCTTAAACCTTCAACCCTAAACCGGGTTCCTTAAGGCCCCAAGCCCTGCGAACCCCTTATGAGGATGTGCAGATCGAGCTCGATGCCGTCGAGAAGATCAATGAGTTCTGCAGAGAAACCGGCGACAAGTATGCCGGGCACCGTGTGCAGAGTCCAGGGCTTTGGGGTTTAAGGTTTGGGGATTAGGTTCTATCGCGGATGGAAGTTTGGGTTTAGGGGACCTTCTACAGCTATGACATTTGTTCTGCTGTTTCGGGGCTTAAACTTTGGGCCAGGCGTTTGCTTTGGAGATTCGACACTGTTTAGGGTTTAGTTTAGGATTTAGGCCCAGTAATGACATCTGGCGGAAGCCTAGTAAAGCAAGAAAACAAGCCTGGTTTGGGGGTTAACCCTAAACCCTGAACCCTAAACCCTTCGCCTTATAGGACGCCAAAACCCCAAAATCCTAACCCCTCAACCCGAACCCTAAATGTTAGGAATCCCGGACTAAAGCCATCCCTCGCCGCTGGGGGTGTTTGGGGTTTAGTTTCATTCTGTGCTCCTGCATGCCCGAAGCCTGCAAGCGCTCCCCCTCAAGTCTGAGCTGGCCATTTCAAGCTTTGGGGTTCTGGGGTTTAGGGGTTCAGGATGCAGGATTGAGGGCTAGGATGCCCAGTAGTACCCTTATTCCCTTTTTGTAGTCCTAGGTTCCTTATAAAGTTATATACCCAATACCAAAAAGAGAGGCCTTTTTATTATTAGGTTACTGGGTATCCTAGTCTAGGTTGGAGAGGTTTAGGGGCGAGTGAGGGTTTATGGAGCTTAGGAGTGGAGTTCACTTTCGCGTCTGCTATCAAAGGGGAAAAGCAGGGACCCTTAATAAGGACCCCTATAGGTACATACCCTTAATATAGCCATTATGTAGCCACTATATGGTCCATTATAGGGTCCCAGGGGTCACCATTAAGGGTCCCTCCTTTTGCCCTAAACCCCCTAAACCCCCAAACCTTTAAACCCTAAACCCTATACCCTTGTAGAATCCCTATAGATCCCTTTAAAGGGTCCCCACTGATGCTATGTCGCTGGCCATTGAGGTGAGCCTCATAAGCGGCAAGACAGTCTCCCTCGAGGCAGAAACAGATGAATCCGTGGAATCACTGCGGCTGCGGGCGCAGACTGCTTTGGGAGTTGGGAAGGGTCGACTCGTAACCTCAAGCGGGGATATCCTGGATGGAGAAGCTCCGGTCAAGCGAGCCAGGCTAGAGAACGGAGATGCGCTTCTTCTGCAAGTTGGGACGGTTCAAGCATGCGGTGGGAAGCATCTTTTTGCTGCGATCTTGGGAGATGGAGCCGTCGTTACCTGGGCCAAGCCATGTCCTGGGAGTGTCTTCCTTGCCATGCGGGATCAGCTGAAAAATGTGCGCCAGGTGAAAGCTTCTGAAGCGGCTTTTGCTGCAATCCTCAACGATGGATCCGTCGTGACCTGGGGGGATGTGGCTGCTGGTGCGGACAGCATTGCGGTACAAGATCAGCTGAAGAATGTGCAACAGGTTCAATCAAACGGACGCGCATTTGCCGCAATCCTTGCAGATGGATCTGTTGTGACCTGGGGCGATGTGGACGCTGGTGGTGACAGCAGTATGGTGCAAGGTCAGCTAAAGAATGTGCGAGAAATCCAAGCAACTGGCCTTGCATTTGCTGCGATCCTAAGCGATGGAGTCTGCATCACCTGGGGCCATGCTGCTTATGGTGGTGACAGCAGCGCAGTCAGAGATGAACTGAAGATAGTGCGGCAGATTCAATCAACTCACAGGTCTTTCGCAGCAATCCTGGACGATGGATCTGTTGTGACCTGGGGTGATGCTCTGAATGGTGGTGACAGCAGTATGGTGCGAGATCAGCTGAAACATGTGAAGCAAATTCAAGCAACCTATTCGGCCTTCGCTGCAATCCTTGCCAACGGTGCTGTCATCACCTGGGGCCGCTCGGACTTCGGGGGCGACAGCGGTGCTGTGCGAGATCAGTTGGATAATGTGCAAAAGATCCAAGGGAGCATAGGGGCTTTTGCTGCGATCCGCGACGATGGTTCCGTCGTGTGCTGGGGTGACACTGGCGTTGGTGGTGACTTTTCAGCAGTGTGTGACCAGTTGAAGAACGTCAATCACATTCAAGCAAACATTTTGGCCTTTGCTGCGATCCTGGGCGATGGATCCGTCGTCACCTGGGGCCATGTTGGCTTTGGTGGTGTCAGCAAGAGGGTGCAAGATCAGCTGAAAAATGTTCGGCAAATCCAGGCAACTCGCACGGCCTTTGCCGCGATCCGGGACGATGGATCTGTCGTCACCTGGGGTGACCCTGCAGGTGGTGGTGACAGCAGTTTGGTGCGAGATCAGCTGAAGAATGTGCAACGGATTCAGGTCACTGATAGGGCATTTGCCGCAATTCTCGACGATGGATCCGTCGTTACCTGGGGCCATAGTGACCACGGCGGTGACAGTAGTTGGGTGCGAGATCAACTGACAATCGGGTAATTTACGCTGCGCCGGCATCTTGTGGATCGTTTCTCTTGTCCTGAACTCCCTTGCTTCATTTTCTTCTGACAGGGCTTGACATGAACATCCTAATAGTCCTCATAACCTGCCAGTGTTGATATGGGGGAGCTAAGGAGGCAGGGATGATGATAATCCTTATTGAATAAGGAGCTAAAGAGCCAAGGGAACCCCCAAAACCACTGGTTAGATTATCCTCAGGGCTTTGGGTTTAAGGGGCCATATACCCCGTTTTAAAGATACAAAGGAGCGCCATGGCACCCTTAAGCGCTCAAGGGGCTTAGCAAGCAGGGTTATCCAGCGGTCGGAGTTCTCTTGTCAAGGGTTCTAGAAGGGGCCCTGAGAGGATCATGGGACTTAGCAAGTACTAGTAGGGTAGATTTGGGGTCATAGGTGCAGGGTTATGCTAATTCTGACATTGCTTCTAACATTACTTACTGAGTACCCGGAGCCTTTATGTATTCGAATTACCCAGGCTCCTACTTTAAGGTAGCGTTTGCGCTTTGCTTCGCCGTGTTTCGAACATACCCAAGCAGTGCTTGAGCGAACAAAGGCTGAGATGGGCAAATGTCAAAACATCACTTCAAGGACAATACAATTCCATAATTCTCAGCTCTAACTTATCCGCAAGTTGTTTTCCACAGCTCTACGATTTCTGGATACAGGGTCTGGCAACGCCAAGGCCATATGTGGAAACATAAGATGATGGGTGGAAGCTTCTTCTGCAAGTCTTCAGCATTCCGGTGGGGTACATGAAACCGACTACTCATTGACGAAATCCACAGAAAACTTGTCAAGGAGAATTCGTCGGCATTCCGTGTGGCCAGTGCCCCCTCCCAATTTAAACGGTATCCCGAGCCTGCCCAAACCCGAACCTACAGTAAGGGCTCAAGGGACTGAGCAAGTACTTTATAGTTGGCGTGTCAAGTCCCGAAAGCAGGGCAATCAAAAGTATAACCTAATCTCTTATATGCTTAAGTTAAGTTACTTACTCAGCCCCTTCAGCCTGTCAGTAAACCCTCCACCCCTTATCCCCAAACCTCCAAACCCGCAAATCCGACCCTAAAACCTTAAACCCCTAAACCCCTAAACCCTTAATCCCTAAACTTCCCCAAACCCCCAAACCCCTAAACCCCAAACCCCTAAACCCTAAACTGCGTGGTGGTAAGGTGGATCCGCAGTTCCCACCCACGGACAAGACTGGAACTCAGAACTCAGAACCTCCCCGGACTGCCAGGGTTTAGAAGTTTAGAGGTTTACTTAATTAAAGGGTCATGGGACTTAGTAAGTAAGGTTATACGTAGCTTATAATTAGGATAACCCCACTTAGGGGACTTATAACCCCAATTATAACCTACTTACTAAGTCCCATGATCCTCTAAGTAGGGTTTTGGGGTTTCGGTGTTACGCAGGGGTTCAGGGTTTAGGGTTTACAGGATTTATAGTTTAGGGCTTAGGGTTTAGGGTTCACAGTAAGTAGGGTTTAGGGTTTGGGGGGTAGGTGTAGGGTTTAGGGCTCAGGACTGTGTTATTGGGATTTTCCAGGGATTGGTATGCGTTTTGAATATGGGGTTGGTTCATATGGTTTGGATATTCTTTTACGGGCGTATGGCTTCATGTTTTGTTTTGTTTTGAGGAGTTGTTAAGTTTTGTTAATGTGGATTAAGGTATTTGGGCTGGGTATCTCCCGCCGTCGGCACCCTTCCAACAGGGAGCTTTCTGTGGGGTCACCCACAGAGCACATCACGCTGAGAACGAAGATCAAAAGGACGTTTTATTTTGTATCGAGATGCAGCAGGTTGCAGATGTTACTGCTGATGGACAAAACCCTGCATTACCCATTATAAGGAATAGACCATAGTTCCCATAGTTTAGAGTCCTTACGGTCATGCAGGATTTATATCATCACCCTAAACCCTAAAACCCTATAGATCCCTTAAAGGAGCCCCTTAAAGGTACCCTTATAGATCCCTGTAAAGGAACGGTCATGCAGGTTTTTGTCCATCAGCAGTATCAACTTTGACAAGCCGACTGCCTGCAGGACGAGAGCTGCCGCAAGGACAGAACATGAGGACAGGAGTAGAACCCAGACCCCCTTTGGAGGATCTAGAAAGCAGATCCCCTAGGGTTCCTTAAAGGGCTCCTTTAAGGGATCCTTTCGGGTTTAGGGTCTAGGGATCTATAAGGGAGAGTAGATCCCCTAATTTGGGGCCCTATACTACTAAGGGTACTTTATAGGAACCCCCATTAAGGGATCTACTTTTTAGATCCTCCCGGGGGTCTGGGAATAGAAGGTCTGGCAAACACGCACCGCCGAGCCCCCATTGCTGTAGTGTCGGGACCAGGCAAAACGCGGGCTCATCCGTTGCCCCCGAGCCTCTAATTAATCCCGAAACCTGCTCCGAAACTTGCTCTGCCGGGCCCTGTGCTATATGAGCCTTTGAAGGAACCCTTTGGAAAGTTTGGGTTTTGTGTCGAGGGAATCCGCTTCGTTGGATGGTTTTAGGGTTTAGAGTTAAGTCGAAAAGTTAAAGAAGCATCTTTCATGTACGTTGGTAAAATAACTTACGGAGTTGTCTCTAAAGTTCTACAGGACAAGAGTGAGAATAAGAATTTTTTTGTGTTGCTTCTGATTCTGGCTTGAGCCCGTCGAGTTCGGTAACCACCCTTGCTTTGTTTAGGGTTCTCCTAGGGCTTCAGAGGGGGGGTCGCATCCTTCAAAGGGGAAAAGGAGGGGACCCTTAGTGGGGACCCCTGCCCTATAATGGGCTATAGAATGGGGATATAATAGCTATATTAAGGGTATATACCTAGGGGTCCTTATTAAGGGTCCCTCCTTTTCCCCTTTGAATCCTTGGTTCAGGGTTTACGGGGTAGAGTAACGATGAAAGGCTAGGGTGCGATGATTGAGGGCTGCGGGTTCAGGATGTTGGGTTTTGTTTTTGGTGCCTGTGGTTGTGGGGTTGTGGGTGTAGGGCCGTGTGTGAGTCACAGGTTGTGTGTTTATGCTTCAGTGTTTACTTTTTGTCTCTAAGCCTCTGAGTCCTAAACTTTAACCCAGAGAATCTCAGACTAGTTGGAATATGCCTTATATCAGATGAAGCACATAACCGTAGAGTAGGTAACCTTTAACCTTGTCGGTGTACGATAACCCCTATATACTCCCAATATACTCCCAAAGCCCTAAAGCCTAAATCCCAAGTCCTAAACTCTCAACTGTCAGCCTAAACCCTAAACCCAAACCTTAAACCTGAAACCCTAAGGATCCCTTTAAGAGATCCCTTTAAATCCCTAAACCCCAAACCCTCCGAGGTCTCTGTATCTTCATCCGGATGACGCGTCTCGCTGGACTTGCTTGGGGCCGAGTTTCCCAGAGACTCCAATATCCCTTATTATAAGGACTATTCCTTAAATCATATTAGGGATCCTAGTATAATTTAAGGTATATTCCTTAATTAAGGGATATTGGAGTCTCTGGGTTTGTCAGGGCGAGGGGGCATAAGGGGCTCTTAGAGCCCTTTTCCTTGGACTTTGGGGCGTTTACGGAGTTTCGGGGAGTTTAGGGACTCTGGGCTTTAGGGCTTAGGGAGTGTAGGGTTTAGGGAGTTCGGGGTTTAAGGTTTAGGGTTTAGGGAGTTTAGGGCTTATAGCAGCTTTGAAGGAGCCGGGCTTTGCAGCTTCAGCCTGAACTCCGAGCGTTACACTCAGAATGGCGGCCCGAAACCCCTGAACCCTCAAACTTCCTAAACCCTAAACTCCTGCACCCCTAAACCCTAAACCCCTACACCCCACGGTTGAGGGTTTAGGGAACCCTAAACCCTAAACCCTACCCGTAAACCCTGAAGCAAACCCTAAAGCCCAGCCAGAGCGGCCAAGCCTGAGGGTTCAAGGGTTAGCATAGCAGGGCAGTCACCAGCTGGGCGACCTACGGTTGATGATATAAATCCTGCATTACCCATAATAAGGAAAAACCATAATTCCCATAGTTTAGGGTCCTTAAGGTAATGCAGGAGTGAGATCATCAACAGTAGTTTCAGGCACTCTCATGGGTTCCTTTAAGGGTTCCTTTACCCTAAACCCTAAACCGTAGTTTATCGTAGTTTTAAGGGGAACCATGGGCGTCTGAAATGCTCCCTTTAGAGGGTACCATGGGTTCAGGCCCGTAAACGCTAACTGAGGGGCTGAGCAGGTAACCTTTAAGCTGTCGGGGCTTTTATGGCCCTACTATTTTTTTACAGTAGTTCGCTTGCCAGCCTCACGAGCCTCGAAGCATCCGCCAAGAAGGACGCAGAGCGTCACAGCAGCTGATTTGCTGAATTAGGAAAAGGCCATAACAAAGAGAAGAAACAACCGAGGGATTCAAGGAGGAAGGAAGTCCCAAGAGGGTGTGTAGTGGGCATTGGGGCGGCTCTTAGTCACAGAACTTCTATTCCAAACAGCAAGGCAATGGCTGATTAACAAACCCCAAACGACCTCAGGGAACCGAAAATGCCCACGCGCACAAATGCCTGCAGCGTTACCGCCGGTCAAACATCTTAGATGGGAAATATTAGAAAGTCCTATCAATGAAACCCCGGCGGCCGACAACACTCTGACCGAATGATCTCTGAATCGCCGTGTCAGGAGGCTCAAGCGAACGTTTGGTTCTAGCAAGCCCTGTACACTCCCGAACTCAGCAACAAAGTCGTAAAGCAACTCCTGCCACGTGACTCTGCAGTCCGATACTTTGGGATCATTCGGAAAGTGCCATCTACACTGCGACCAAAACTCCAGCAAGTTCTCACAAAAGCGCTTGTTCGGATGTTTGGCCCAACCGAAGTCTTGGACACCAGAAGCCGGCCCTGGTACCCAAGACTGCAATCTAGAATACACCACCCAGTACGCTGGATATCGATGCCGCAGTGCTTGCCAAAGACTGTTAGAGACAGGCAAAGAAAGCCTAACATTGTCAAGAAAGGCTTGGTCAGTGGAGGAAGGGCCCTGACCCAAAGCACTCCGGCATTCTCCTAGACACCAGCTACGCTTAGTTCGGGTGCGGGTGAGCGGTGAGCAAGTGCAACATCTCTGTGGCGACCTATCAGACTTACCTTCGTCAAAAGGAATCTGAAGGAGGTTAAGGCGCCTACATAACGAGGCAACAAGATGAGTCTGCAGATCTAAACCAGAAGAGATGTCACTTACTAGCGCTGCACGCTTTAAGCTGCACAGTTTGCGGGCTTCGGTTTTCGCGAGCTTGTCAACTGCTTCGTTGTGTTTTGTGAACCAAGGCTCTTGAAAAGATGTCGACAGGATGTGGGCCTTTACCTTCCTTATAGAAACAAGATCGTGCCTACCATGGACAGCTGTTGACACAGCATTCCACAAGTCAGCGTTGTCAAGCTTGCTGATCAAGGCCTTATCCCATTTATGGCGATTTAGCCACCGAAAGGTGTTCACTACATATGCGCAATCGGAGACTATGCACAAGTTACCCTCAGACAACACCAAGGCTAAATACACGGCATGAGTCTCGGCACGCGTAGAGGAATGATCGGATCCAGGGGTAACTTCTGCATAGTGTGTCATGCCGGGAAACACTACAGCTGCTGCAGAGCTTCTTAGCGGGGCCCATTTGTCAAAGAAACACGAACCATCAGTAAACGCAAACTCGGCATTCACCGGCTCAAAAGGCATTTGCTCTAATAGCCCTACTAGAACCTTCTGGCTACCTAGGGTTCAGGGTTTAGGGTTTAGCACCTAGCGTTTAGGGGTTGGGGGTTTCGGGCTTAGGGTCTAGATGTTTAAGGTTTAGGGCCACAGACCCGAAACCTGTATGTTTGTTTGCGTTATTTCTATTCCCAAACACAGAAACGATGGCACATCCTGAGGTCTTGCATGTGGGAAGAATTCGCCGCTGCACGGGCCTCAACGGCTTACGGGTTATGGGTTTAGGGGTCGAGGGGTTCAGGAGTTTAGGAGCTGTCGTGCGAGTCTTGGAATTGGGAGTTTAGGGTTTAGGGTTGTCATATGTGGTGTGTTTTGGGGTGTTTCAAGCAAGGGTTTTCCCAGGGTTATGTGGCTTTACAGGGCTCCCCAAGATTGATGGGGCGCTCAAGAGGCTACCTGTTCTGCGGTGAGGCCACCTGTAGGGTTACTCTTTACCGTGCCAGCAGGTTCGGGTTTGCAGAAGAGAGGAGAGAGCCCTACTTAGGACCCTATGCCCAGAAAGCCCAATACCCCTTAATTAAGGAATGTGCCTTAAAGTATCGAGGCCTTGATGTTATGATTGAAGGTATATTCCTGAATTAAGGGGTATTGGGATCTTTGGGACCTAGGCCGCATTATCAGGAGCCCTTAAAACAAGGTAGGTTGGATTTTGGGACTTTTTTATTTTCGTTATTTGGGTTTATAAGGGGCCCTATATATAAATATTTTTCAGGGTGTTTAAAAGGCCAACCCAGCAAGGGATCACGGTCTTTCTGAGGAAGGCCCTTTGGAGCCCAAGCTTGTGATTTTTGTGTCCGGTATAAGTGCTGCCGGGATCCGAACCTGAACCGCAAGAGACTAAACACTCGTGGCCTACTTAAAGGCTCATGCGACTTAGTAAGTAGAGGTGTAATTAGGATAACCCCACCGAGGGCACTTATAACCCCAAGTATGGCTTACTTACTAAGTCCCACGATCCTTTAAGTAGAGTCATCGTCCACTCGCGCCCGAAACCCGAAAGAGCACCAAAGTCTTACAGACCTCCCGAGCCGTCGTTGTCCTTGTAGAAGTTGTCCTCGTGGTCGTACAAGTACTAGTAGCCTTGTCATTGTTGACTGGCAAACCGAAACCCTACTTCGGACCCTATACCCGGAGAGCCCAATACCCCTTCATTGAGGAATGTGCCTTAAATCATAGAGGCCTTCATATTATGAGTTAAGGTATATTCCTTTCTTTTGGGGTACTAAATTTTAGAGACCCTGATGCTTGAGGCCGCCGCAGCCTGAACTACCTAAGTCGCAGGAGGAGGTGCCGTGCTGAGACTTTTCAGGGTTTAAAGGGGCTTAATACAGGGCATTTATCGGGCTTAATAATTGGATTGGGGTTTTGGTTTTGGTATAGCTGTTGTAGGGAACCCTGCGGAATACCATTTTAGGCCCCTATAAGCGCCAACCAGCTGCAAGCCCACTTTGTGAATCACTGTCCTTGTTGTGGCAGAATCTTTGCCCCAATGCCCGATCCCCGATTCATCCCCCGGGATTCGAGTTGAGGCTTTGTCAAAACTATGCTGGCTGGTGCGCCGTGCACGAGCGCGCGAATGGTGCGCTTGCTTTCTGCTGTAGTCAGAAGTCATCTCCCCAAGCGCCCGAACCTTAGAGCCTAAATCCTACACTTAAACCCCAAACACTAAACCCCTACCGCCCAAGGCACCCCGAATTCGGACTTTTGGTGGCTCAGTGGTGTGTTGGACTATGTTTTTACACACATATGCGTGTGCTGCTTGGCAGACCTGTCTTGGTCGAGAGTTTGAGGCTTGAGGCTGTAGAGCGGGGGTTTGCGGCGTCAAAGGGCGTCGCAGGAAAGAAAAGTTTTTAGCCTGGTTTGGGACTGTGCGCGAAGCTTGCAAAGTTCTTGAACCAACCTGAAACGCTAATGTAGGAACCTGATTAAGAAACCTTGGGCCTATAACCCCAAAATAGTAGGACTCATATAAGGAACCCCAATAAAGGCCCAAGGCTTCTTAATCAGGTTCCTACATCAAACCCCGCAGCCTTAATATTCCCGACGGCCTAGACTCTAAACCCGAAGTTTTGTAGCCTTGAACAAAGCAGGCTCAGCAGCAGGAGAACGACTTCATTGCGAAGGCCCGAAACACAAAGCTGTCATGAAAGGGTGCAGGTTTTAGGGTGTTGGGATTATGGCTTAAGGCAGAGGGTTTAGGATTTAGGGTTTGGGGTGGGGCTGTCAGGCCGTGGCCGCAAGTGACACCTTATACGACCCAAAGACTTACTAGGATGCCCAGTAGTACCCTTATTCCCTTTTTGTAGTCCCAGGTTCCTTATAAAGTTACCCAATACCAAAAAGAGAGGCCTTTTTATTCTTAGGTTACTGGGTATCCTAGCTTACGACACCCGAAACTCTAGACCCTGATCACTCAACACGACACCCAGGAGCTTCCAAAGGTAATCAGGATGCTAGTAGTAGAGTAGGTAACCTTTAACCTTTTTTTGGGGATATTATACTCCCCAATATACTCCCAAAGGTTAACCCTTACACCCCTAGGATGCTTAACAGGCTCATAGGACTTAGTAAGTCAGGTTATTCGTAGGTTATAGTCAGGATAACCCCACTTAGGGGACCTATAACCCAATTGCAACCTACTTACCAAGTCCCATGAGCTACCTTAAACTCCCCCTTACAGAACCCTTCATAATGGATCCCTTAACGGAACCCTTTAAGGACCCCTGCTTACTAAGCCATCAAGTACTGGACAGTGACAAAAGTAGGGGATCCTCCTGGGGGCTGAACCCTGAAACTGCTAAACCCTTAGTACCCACAGAGCCCAAGGGGTATTTTAAGAAATATGGCTTAGTATAGGGCTTCATGTTCGGATTTAAGGTCTGGGTAACAGTCGACCGACCATTGATATCGAGGGAGCTAAGGAGCCAGGGATGAGGATAATCCCTATTAAAGAAGGAGCTAAAGAGCCAAGAAAACCTCCGAAACCACTGGTTTAGTCGCAGTCTGCACAGATCGGTTCAAACATATCGTGTGAGGGAGTTTATTCAGTGGCTAAGGTATGGGGCCGTTCGATTCTCCAAAGTAGGGCTAACCTGCCCTGAACCCTGGACCCTGAACGCTATCACGACAACGCTCAACCCCTGAACTTGGCAGTTGCTTCTGTAAGACACCCAGAGAGCGCAAGACCCCCTAATTAAGGAATATAGCTTAATTCATAATACTGCTGATGGACAAAATCCTGCATTACCCATTATAAGGAATATACCATAGTTCCCATAGTTTAGAGTCCTTAGGGTCATGCAGGATTTTGTCCATCAACAGTGTGAAGCCCTTTATAACTTAAGCCATCTTCCTTCATTAAGGGGTATTGGGGGCTCTCTGAGCAGATGCTTGATTCGATCTTTGGCGGCAGGCCAAGCCCGTGTGTCAAGCAGGGTTGGCAAGATGGGTTCTGGGGTTGCTATAGTCTTTGGGGGACTTAGATATAAATTTTTAATTTTTTGTCAGAAAAATCCCTAAGAAACAGCTAAAATCATAACTTTTGCTAGGGTTCTAGTGTCTGGTTACCTGTCTATTTTGAATAATTGGATGACTTCACGTTGCCCTTCGCAGGCAACTTCCAGAATCGTGGTCGTGAGCTGGGCCTCACTCCATCCGACAATCAGCCCAAAGGGTGGATGGACATCGCCAAGTTCAAGAAGTTCTGGCATCAGCAAATGACATGGGTAGTGCAGGATTTATGTCCCTAAACCCTGAACCCTGAAACCCTATAGCCCTGTTGCACATCACCTTGTCCCCTGAGTCACAGGCAGCTGAAGGCTTGCTCTCGATGAAGTGGCATGATGCTCGATTGAATATGCATCTGCACAAGGCGACCGAGGTGTCTCATCCGGCGCTAGAGTCTGTTGTGGCACACCGCAACATTCAGTTTGTCGCTGGGCCAGAACCGATTCTGAGGAACAGGAGGCCCCGGCCGAGCCGAAATTGGTCTTTTGGATGAGGGGGCTTCCTGCTGAGGCGGCGTCAGGGGCCACGCCCGAAGCCTCCCACTGGACTGCTGGCATTGAGGCGGCATCAGGCGAGCCGCCTCCGGGATACGAAATTAACATGCTAAGTTGTTCTTCGAGTCTCCGAGCGAGAGCCATCATGCGCTTCAGCCTACCCCACAACCTGAATCCCAAGGCCTTTCATCCCAAGCCGCCCGAAATTTGAACTCCGATGCCCCACGAGGTGAAGTGTGTTCACTGTGGCGTCAGCTCCTCAAAGGGGTGTTTCAGAAAACAAGGAGCCCTATGAGGGTTCCGGGGTTCAGGGTTATGTTTTGGGAATGTAGGGTTCTGGGCTGGTGAGCGCTGTCCGCTGTTATGGTAAGAGGCTCATTGTCGCCGTCCCTGACTATGAGTGCGATAGTTTAGCAGCTGCCCCCACCCTGTAATAGTGACTATAAGGCTTGTATTAGGGCCCTATTATATTCCTATTATACCACTATCGCAGGGTGGGGGCCCCTTCTAAACGATAGTGAGCATTTCAACCAGCTGTTGATTGGACACTGATGCTTGTGGTGCTCCTACAGCCACTGCTTCTGCTTCAGCTACTCCTCTGCTCCTGCTGCTGCTGCTGCTGTCGCTCCTACGACAGCGACGACGAGGGCCACTAAACTACTACGGTTGATGATATAAATCCTGCATTACCCATAATAAGGAATATACCGTTTAGGGTCCGTAAGGTAATGCGGGATTTATATCATCCACTGTAGTACGAGTGCAACTACATCTGAATCTGTTGCTCCAGTTGCTGCTGCTACCATCAGCACACGTTCGCCACCCCCACAACCACAACCATCAGTACTGTTCGTGCTGCTGCCACCACCACCACCACCACCACCACCAGCACCACCACCACCACCACCACCACCAGAAGCACCGCTACTACCACCCAATCCAAAGCAGGAAGCCGAGCCGTGAGACCCCGCAACCATCCCGAGCCCAGTAGCATAGGAGGCCAAAAGGGGTTTTGGCCTATGGGGGTTTAGCAGGGATTGGGGTTCGCATAATAGTACATACTGTTGATGGACAAAATCCTGCATGACCTTAAGGACCCTAAATTATGGGAAGTATGGTATATTCCATATAATGGGTAATGCAGGATTTTGTCCATCAACAGTATTAAGGCATCTCTACCCCAAGAATCTGAAAAACCCCCCTTTTGGCCTCCAATCATCATCGGCTCAGACTCCTGCTCATTACGTTGTGCGGGCCTGGCTGGCATCTTTGTGTCCTGAATCGTAAACCCCAAACCCCTAAGCCCTAATCCCCAAGCCGAAATCAGAAAAAACTTTGAACCCTAAACCCGGAACCCCAGTACAGGAGTTCTAGCTGTACCTGCAGGTGGAAAAGAGCCCTTTAAAACAAAAAAACCTTGAACCCTAACCTGAAGCCTTCCTGGACCCTAAGGAACCTGCCTTTTTCGGGTTCCCTAATATGATTTCTTTATATAAGTCCTTAAAAGGTAGGCAATTTGGGGTAAAGGGAAGCCTTAAACTCATCATATTCAGAGTTCAGCTCCGCGGGACGAAGGGCCGATAGTGGAGAGTTCAGGGCTTCAGGACATTGCGGTGGAAGTCCTAAACCCTAAACCCTAAACTCCAGTCGTCAAATATGGGAGTTTCCGAAAATCGGGGACCCTAATATAGTACCCCTACATAGTAGGATCCTTATAATACGGACCCCAAACTAAGGCACCTCTAGTTTTCGGAAACTCTAAACGACTCTAAACCCTTATTGACTTATAGTAACCCTTTCAAGGAACCCTCATAGTACCCTTATAGTAACCCTTTAAAGGAACCCTTATAGTCCCCTTACAGTAACCTTTCAAGGAACCCTAAGATACCTCTAATAACACAACAGGATGAGCTCAGCGTTTCATCGAGCATCCGAGTCCCCAAGGTATTCAAGTTCACAGACGTGCACACAACTTTTGGAGCTGCATGCTCGGGCTTGGTTAACGGCGGGTCTAATCAGCGTTTAGGGTTTAGGGGTTTAGGGTTTAGAGGAGACAAGGTGGGATCGTCGATCTGAGCTTGGATTGCAGATGTTGGCGTTTCGGGTCGGATTCTAGGGTTGGCCAAACCGGCATGAGAGCTATTCCACACAGCCCGATCCTTTGCGGAGGGGAGGAAGCAATGTCGAGATCCTCAGAGCACAGTACACAGCATAGAAGGCTGCTTCTACGTAGAGGATCATGGGACGTAGCAAGCAGGTTTTAACAGGTTGTAAGTACCCTAAGTGGGGTTATCCTAATTCTAACCTACGTATAATCTTGCTAAGTCCCATGAGATGTGCTGTCTCTGTGCCGGCTGCCCCTCCTCAGATGCTTGGGATGGGCAAAAGGGAACTTGGAACGCACAGCCCAGGAAAAGGGAAAAGCCCAGGCGATTTACCTTTATGGATCACTGTGACCTCAGAAGAAACCGCTGGAACTGTTGATGGACAAAATCCTGCATGACCTTAAGGACCCGAAACTATGGGAACTATGGCATATTCCTTATAATGAGTAATGCAGGATTTTGTCCATCAACAGAAGGGGCATGATTCCACTGCCACCCAGCCTGCTGCTGCTGCTGCACAGCATACCCAGGCAAGTGAACGGGGTTGCAGCTTACCACAACGGTTTAGGGTTTAGGGTTTAGGGTTTGGGGTTTAGGGTTTAGGGTTTGCCAAGCGCGATGGCAATACCGGCGATGGCAATGGTGATGGCAAAGGCGACGGTGCAGTATGTTGCCGAGTGTGCAGCGCAAATGGCCGTGCCGTGGCGAACGGGAGGCGGCAGTTCCAGGATAGATAGGGCATTTTGCCGTAATCATGTCAGCTAAGAACCACAAGCCGCAAAGAGTAAGTTTTTTAACTTCATCCTTGAACCTTCAACTCTGTCAAGCTTAATATCCGGGTCGAAATTAAACACATCATCCCCCCATGGTCTGTTCTGATAAAAGCATAATGTGACCCCAAACCCCATTCTATCATGTGGGCAAAAATGGTACAACAATTTGTGGGCTGGGAGCCCGCAGCGGCCAAAGGATGCGGGCTGGCGGTCGCAATGATGGTACTGTGGCTACAGTGGCAAAAGCAGGGATGCGGGCTGGCTGATGGTGGCAGCCCGGCAGTGGCTATAATGGTACAAACAGGGGTGGGGCTGTGCTGGCAGCCCGCACTATGCGCGCTGGGAGCCCAGTGGCGATATTGGTACAAACAGGGTTCGGGCGACCAGCTCACACAGGCTATAATTCTGGGACAAGGAGGGTGCGGGCGACCACCTCAAATTATGGAGCAAGCAAGGTGTGGGCAGTTATGGTATACTAACAGGGTGCGGGCTGGCACCCCGCAGTGGCTATGTTGATACAACAAGGGTGCAGGCTGGCAGCTCGGGATAGCCCGCAGTGGCTCTTCATACCGGTACAAGCAGGGGTGCGGGCTGGCAGCCCTGTTTGCATTCCACGCTACAATGATACAAACAACGTGTGGCCTGGCGGCCCGCAGACAAGCCCCTCATAGAGGCCCTTATAGAACCGTTAGAGGAACTCTACAAAGGAACCCTATTGAATTTGTTGAAAGCCAGGTGCAGTATTTCACTCGACCGACACAGTGGCTAAGACCTGCAGAGCGCTGCCCAGGGCGGCTTGTCGTGATTTTGAGTGGGATTCCTTTAAGGGTCCCTAATATAAAGGATGGTACAAGGGTTCTACAATATGGTGGTGTTGGGTTGGGTTTTAGGGTTTGGGGTTCCAGGGTTTGGGCATCTTGATGTTTCAGAGCTATGGGTTTCGGTTTTAAGGCTTGAGGGTTTTAGTTGGAGGGTTTGGGGTTCTGGGTTTAGGGGCTTCAGGGTTTCAGGGAAATTAGGGCTTCATAGGGTTTCGGGTTCTGGATTTGGGTTGGGATTTTGTTGGGGGATTTTAGGGTTTGCGGCTTTATGGTTCTGATTCCGGGTTTTAGGGCTTATAGAGTTTACGGTCTATGTCCTGTGTGTGGGGTTGTGGGGCATATATATGGTTAGGATCTTATAATAGAGATTTTGGTTAACCAGAGACAGGAACTACAATGGAGACTATGGGTAGTATCCTTTATTTCAGACTACTCCGCGAACTCTGGCCGCTAGCCGGAATCCTGATGCTGGCCCGGTAAATGAGCGGTTTAGGGTTTAGGGCTTAGGGTTTAGGGTTTAGGGGTTTAGGGTTTAGGGGTTTAGGGTTTAGGAGTGTCTGATTTGTTCGGGAGCTGGGGCCCTAAACCCTAAACCCTAAACCCTAAACCGTGCTTGTCGGTGATGGTTTAATTTGGGGATCCGGGTCGAGCAATGTCAATGCAGCTACTGCGACTACCGCTACCTGGACGAGAAGATGACTTAGAGGATCATGGGACTTAGTAAGAAACCCTAGGGTTCCTTTAACGGGCTCCTTTTTAAGGGATCTATAAGTCTATAAGGGTTCTATAAAGGGGGAGTTTGGGGAACTTAGAGGGTCATGGGACTTAGTAAGTATGGCCATAATTGGTTCATAAGTCCCCAAAGCGGGGTTATCCTTATTATAACCTACTTCTGGCCTTACTTGCTAAGTCCCATGAGCCTTTCCCCTCCTCCCACTGATGCTACCAGGTGTGAGTTGCTATATAGCCATCTCCCTGCCGGCAAGGACGGATAGTTCGGGCACGAAGGGGATCCTTAAAGGGGTCTGTAAGGGTTGTATAATATAGGGGATTTAGTAATTGATGTATCTAGGGGCTTGGTGACTTCATATGTTTCCCAAGCATTTGCCGACAAGGTCATCGTCTCAAGTCACCCCAGGTTTAAGATGTGCTTGGGTTGTGGGTCGCACAGGTCTGGTCCCGAAAGGGTTGCAGGGTTTAGAGGTTCGGGTGCAAGGTTTGTAGCGCTCAGAGGCTTTAACTTGTACAGTTGAGGCGCCATTGTGTTGGGCCTAGAGGAGCGGTTTAGTGTTGGCGGTTTGCAGGCTCAGGACAAGCTTCCAACCCTAAACCCTAAACCCTAAACAACCAATCGCAGGCCAATCAGTCTGGCCAGGCAGGAGAACTCCTACAAAGCCTATACATAGCTAGGTAGGGCTTTGGGACATTTTATATTTTCCCTTATTGGGCTTAAGAGGATCTTATTTACTAATATTTTTCAAAGGCTTTAAAAGCCCCACCTAGATAGTAACCCTAAATACACGAAAGCATGAAGCCCCAGCACAAAGTGCTAAGTGCCAGGGATGGTATTTCAATTGTAGCTTGCTGTGCGGAACTCATCTGGTCTACGGGGCAGAAGCTTTCATCAACGAAAATCCTTACATCTTGAATCCGAAACCCTGCAGGTTTACGCCGTCAGCCCTCACCCCGCCTCTCCGAAAAGAAGCAATATACCTGAAAGTACCTTAACATAGAAAGGGCTTCATATTCTGCTCTCAGCTGTATGTCAACCCTCACCCCCCTCTCCGAAATCTTAAGCCCTGAAGCCTAAACCGTATCTGTTTTCGATGGAGGCTCCCAGGACTTATCTAATCTAATCTCGGGGCTTACTGCTTAGAACGGGGTCTTTTTGGGGAATGTGTCATATCGGTGTAGGGTTTAGGGTTTTGGGGTTATAGAATAATCATACAGGGACTGCATGGGCCTAGAGTATCTAATACTCCCGGCCCCGACGTTCGACCCCAGAGCCCGTTGGCCTTTGGGCCATCAGCCTAGCCAAGGGTAAAAGGAGGGACCCTTAATAAGGACCCCTAGGTATATACCCTGAATATAGCTATTATATACCCATTATATAGCCATTATATAGCCCATTATAGGGTAGGGGTCCCCATTAAGGGTCCCTCCTTTTCCCCTTTGAGCCTACGACCCGGCGACTCCCTCACCCAAAATCCCCGAAATCGGAAACCATAAAAATCCCGTAAATCCTGGGTCCTGGGTAGTCAGGTTGAGGCTTAAGGGTTTAGGGTTTAGGGAAACCATGAAACATAAAACCCGTAAATCCTAGGTAGTAAGGCTTAGGGTTAAGGGTTTAGGGTTTAGGGAAACCATTGAAAACTCTACATCCTAGGTCCTCTAGGTAGTAAGGTTTAGGGTTAAGTGTTCAGGGTTTAGGGAAACTAAACCCCCTAAGCCCTAGGTTCTAGGTAGTATTAGTATTAGTGAGTTTAAGTCCTCTAAACGTAGGGTGCAGGGGCTGGGGGCCGGAACCCTAAAGCCCTACCCCCGGGTCTGAAACCCACAACCTAAACCCAAAAACCCTGAACCCGTACTTAGAGGATCATGGGACTTAGAAAGTAGGTTATAATTGGGGTTATAAGTCCCCTAAGTGGGGTTATGCTAATTATAAGCTACTTATAACCTTACTTACTAAGTCCCATGAGCCTTTAAGTAGTACTCCAGCTTGAGGCTGTGATGTTCCCAGAGACATCAATATTCCCTAATTACAGGAATAACCCCAAATCATATAAGGGCTCCTTCTTTTTCAAGGTATACTCCTTAATGTAGGGATACGGTTGATGATATCAACCCTGCATTACTCATAATAAGGAATATACCATAGTTCCCATAGTTGAGGCTCCTTAAGGTAATGCAGGATTTATATCATCAACCCATGGACGTCTCTGGGCTCGTTTTGGGATTCCAATATTCCCTAATTACAGGAATATCCCCAAATCATAGAAGGGCTCCTTCTTTTTCAAGGTATACTCCTTAATTTAGGGATACGGTTGATGATATCAATCCTGCATTACTCATAATACGGAATATACCATAGTTCCCATAGTTGAGGCTCCTTAAGGTAATGCAGGATTTATATCATCAACCCATGGACGTCTCTGGGTTCGTTTTGGGATTCCAATATTCCCTAATTACAGGAATAACCCCAAATCATATAAGGGCTCCTTCTTTTTCAAGGTATACTCCTTAATTTAGGGATACGGTTGATGATATCAATCCTGCACTACTCATAATAAGGAATATACCATAGTTCCCATAGTTGAGGCTCCTTAAGGTAATGCAGGATTTATATCATCAATCCATGGACGTCTCTGGGTTCGTTTTGGGATTCCAACATTCCCTAATTACAGGAATAACCCCAAATCATATAAGGGCTCCTTCTTTTTCAAGGTATACTCCTTAATTTAGGGATACGGTTGATGATATCAATCCTGCATTACTCATAATAAGGAATATACCATAGTTCCCATAGTTGAGGCTCCTGAAGGTAATGCAGGATTTATATCATCAACCCATGGACGTCTCTGGGTTCGTTTTGGGATTCCAATATTCCCTAATTACAGGAATAACCCCAAATCATATAAGGGCTCCCTCTTTTTCAAGGTATACTCCTTAATTTAGGGATACGGTTGATGATATCAATCCTGCACTACTCATAATAAGGAATATACCATAGTTCCCATAGTTGAGGCTCCTTAAGGTAATGCAGGATTTATATCATCAATCCATGGACGTCTCTGGGTTCGTTTTGGGATTCCAACATTCCCTAATTACAGGAATAACCCCAAATCATATAAGGGCTCCTTCTTTTTCAAGGTATACTCCTTAATTTAGGGATACGGTTGATGATATGAATCCTGCATTACTCATAATAAGGAATATACCATAGTTCCCATAGTTGAGGCTCCTGAAGGTAATGCAGGATTTATATCATCAACCCATGGACGTCTCTGGGTTCGTTCTGGGTTTCCAATATTCCCTAATTACAGGAATAACCCCAACTCATATAAGGGCTCCTTCTTTTTCAAGGTATACTCCTTAATTCCTAGGACCTAGAGTAGGCCCTTATTCCCTTTTTAAAGTTTCAGGTTCCCTTATAAGCCCCTTTAAACCAAAAAGGGCACCCTTTTTATTCCTAGGTTACTCCTGGGTCTAGATTCAGGGATCTGGGGGTCCCTGGGTTCGTTTTGGGATTCTAGCTGCCTCGTGAGGAGCTGATCCCCCGTCTCTGTGCGCATTTCCTTCGGGACTCGATGTCTGCAACTTAGAGGATCATGGGACTTAGTAAGAAACCCTAGGGTTCCTTTAAAGGGCTCCTTTTTTAAGGGATCTATAAGTCTGTAAGGGTTCTATAAGGGGGAGTTTAGGGAACTTAGAGGATCATGGGACTTAGTAAGTAGGTTATAACTGGGGTTATAAGATCCTGATTACAACCTACTTATAACCTTAGTTACTAAGTCCCATGAGCCTTCAAGAACCCGGATTTCTGGGTCCAGGGCTATTAGGGGGTGTACCTTATTTTGGGGTCCTTTAAAGGGTTACTATACGGGTACTATAAGGGTTCCTTAAAGGGTTACCATAAGGGTACTATGAAGGTTCCTTGAAAGGGATACTATAGGGGCCTGGGTCCAGGGCTAAATGGGGTCCTTCTAATAAGGATCGTAATATTTAGGGTTCTGTATTAGAGTCCCCTAAGCAGTTCCTTTAAAGGGCTCTGTAAGGGTTTAGAGTTTTCGCAAATTTATGGGTACCTTATTTTGGGGGTCCTTGTAAAAAGGATCCTACTATTGAGGGTACTGTATTAGGGTCCCCTGTTTTCGGAAACTCCCATATGCTGCCATACTTTGCCCAGACCCCCGGGAGGATCTAGAAAGTAGATCCCCTAATTTGGGGCCCTGTACTACTAAGGGTACTTTATAGGAACCCCCATTAAGGGATCTACTTTTTGGATCCTAACGGAGGTCTGGGTAAACCCTAAAACCCTAAAACCCTAAACCCTAACCCCTACCTTAACCCCAAGTAACCTACCTTTTTAGGGACTTATATAAAGAAGTCAGATTAGGGAACCCTAAAAAGGTAGGTTCCTTAGGGTCCAGGTAAACCCTAATCCCTAAACCCTAAACCCCCAAGCCCCCGTTTAGAGAGTCCAGCAGGTCTGGGTTAAAGAAAGACCCTAAAGTAGAAGCCTCTATAGGCGTTCAGGGTGTAATTACTAGGTTCCTGAGTAGTACCCTTTTGTCCGTTTTGTTTTAGGGTCGCCTTGTTAAACCCGAATAGCAGGAACAAGGGCACCATTAATATAAGGTAGAAGCCAGAATGTTGGAATATGATTTTCCTAAACCCTTCTATGGTAAATTAGAGGGTATCCTACCCTGAAACCATATTCCAACTTTCTGGAGTTCCCTGTATATAAAGAAGTCATACTAGGGAACCCTAAAAAAGTAGGTTCCTTAGGGTCCAGGTACTACAGTATATACCCTACGTATATCCTCAAGGGTCCCTAGCAGTTCAGTGGTGGAGCCTTCGGGGCTCTGCCGGTCCAGGCTTCGGGCTCGGCTTAAAAACGTTCTGAAGGGTGGATGAAAGGGTTTAGGGTTTAGGGGTTTAGGGTTTAGGGGTTTAGGGTTTAGGGGTTTAGGCTTAGGGTTTAGGGTTTAGGGTTTAGGGTTTAGGGGTTTAGGCTTAGGGTTTAGGGTTTAGGGGTTTAGGGTTTAGGGTGCAATCTGACGACAGGGTCCCAGTTGCGAAGTTCTTCCAAGGATGGCTTCGAGTCATAAAGGGGAAAAGGAGGGACCCTCAATGGGGACCCTACCCTATAATGGGGCTAGATAATTGGTATATAATAGCTATATTAAGGGTAAAGGCTTACTTGGGGTCCTTATTAAGGGTCCCTCCTTTTACCCTTGGAAGCCCTGGGAACTTGAGACCCAACTGCTCCAGGACGACCCTTTGCCCCGTAAGGGAAGGCTCCTGAGTAAGTGGGTAATAGGTAGAGCTATAAGTACCTTAAAAGGGATCCTTCTGCGGTTATGATATGAATGTCTATAAATTCTATAAAGTAACTACTTACTAAGTCCCCCGACCCTCCAAGTACATTATCGGAATATCTATCGGTCGGTTCAAGGCCCTCAGTACGGCAAGATTCTGCAATAACCCCAAGCGCCTAGACCCCTACTTCCTTAACCCCTCGAGATGCACGCTGGGGTCCGACGTGAGTGATCTCATACTGTGGAATTCGCCAGAGACCCGGACCAGGACCCCGCTCTTTAAAAGAGCCAAAATGGCCCTTAACAGTGGGTATTTGGGGGTAGGTGAGAGGGTAGTTGGGGGGGTCGAGGTACAGAGGACTGGAGAATTAGTCGCATGATCAGGGGTTCAACCGAAGCCCTAAACCCAAAACCTAAGAGGATCGGGGAGGTTTTGGAGATATGCGTTAAAAACACAACCCTGCAAGTCCTCAAGCAATAAACCTCCCCCCCAAACAAGGGACACTTAAACCCTGAACCCTCACCTCTGAAACCTAAGCCCGAAACCATAACAAAGCTTAGACACTTTGAACATCTCCAGGTCAAACACGACGGTCGGAGCGCCCTGGAAGCTCATCCGTGGCGAGTCGAGGGCAGAGGACGGTAGATCTGTTTAGTGGGTTATAGGGTTAAGGGTTACGGTTGTTTTTGGTTGAGGGTACAGGGTTTAGGGTTGTGGGTTTTGGATAAAGTGTTTAGGGTTTAGGTTTTCGGGTTTGGGGTTAAGGGATCAGAGTCTGGGGTTAAGGTTTGGTCGATACCCCGCGCACACCACCATGCGGGGGCAGTCTGGGTCTAGGTTTAGAAGGGTCATGCACAAACATTGTCCCAGCACCCCTCGCTGAGCCTGTCGCACCAGCTCCGCCGCCAGCCTCGCTGACGCCTCGGCACACTCGCTGCTGCTAATCGCAGCGCCCGCAGCTCGCTCCAGTCTACAGTCAAAGCTTTAAAGCTTGGGGTTTTAGGGTTAAACATGTAATTACATGTACTTGTACATGTACTAAGCCGGCTTGGCCCCAATGTCCGAAGGACCCCAACCTCTTGCCTTGATAAAGTCCCTAACCTAGTCCGAGTATAGGTAACCTTTTAACTTTTTTGGGGTAGTATAGTCCCTATATAATTCCGAAATAACCCAAAAGGTTAACCTTTAGTTCCCCATGACACCCGACAAGTTTAAACCCTGAACCTAAACCCTAAACCCGAATCCCTAAACCCTAAATCCTAAACCTTCAAATCCTACAGCCCCGCCTGTAAGTAGACCCTAAACCCTAAACCCTTAAAGTGAACCTTATGACAGAATTTTTTAGTACCCTGAAACGGGAACCCTAAGCCCTTACTTACTAAGTCCTGAAATCCTACCAGCCCCAAGCAGGACGTTTGCCAGGGTGGTCTGGGCAACTGCTGGTTTGCTGGCGCTTTGAGCGCCCGGGGGCCTGTGGACCTTCGACGTGAGTCTGTTCTATGGTCTCCTTAGGAATTATGTTCTATTTTTGTTCATATAAAACCCAAGAGAATATTGAACATATTATTTTTATGATGGTTCTAAGGGGAGTATAGTGTTGTTCCGTCAGAGTTTTCCTTAAATTGCCACAATATGCGTGTTTCCTGTGGGATCCTTATGAGTTCAATCATACTGCTCTATGTCAAACCCACCGAATAGGAGGTTTTAGTGTTAAGTTAAGGTAGTGTTGAGGCTTGGAGGTTTCAGGGTCTTAAATTTCTTGCTCCCTCATAGTATTCTAACACTTTCGAGGGTTGTACCGAGACCGTTCTATGGGGTTGCGGTTGGGCTTAGGGCTTGCAGTGCATGGCTCAGGTGTCTAGGACTGGCATAGTCCCACAGCCAAGAGTTAAAGCAAAGGGTGTTCAGAGTTGGGGATCTGCGCTTCATTCAGGTTTAGGGTTGAGGGTTTAGGGTTTAGGGTTATAACTAAAATCTACACCCCAAGCTCCAAATCTTGCGTCTTGAAGATAAGCAATGTGAAGGCCCTATAAGCACCATGTGGTCGTTTATGAGTCGAACTGCGAAGGGAAGCAAAAGCTCTTGATCGGGATTTTGTGGGGGGTGAACCTAGAGCCTGATAGCCTTTAACCCTATCCCCTCTAACCCGAAACCTAAATCCCAAACGTTAAAACCACTACGCCTAAACCTTGAGCCTGAAGCCCCAAACTCCATAAACCCCAAAAGCTTATAGGATCCTTAAGGGAGGGTGGTTCAAGGGGGGAGGGTACAAGGAATCCTTAGGGGACTGTAAGGGAACCTTAGGGAGTACTAGGGATAATTAGGGATCACTAGGCTATATACCCCCCTTGGACCCCCCTCCCTTAAGGATACTATAAAAAGCCCTAAACCCAGAACCGACAGACCCTAATTTCAAAACATCGTTCAGCCCCCAAGCCCTAGTGCGCAAGCCTTAAACCAAAAGAACCTGCAAAAGCCACAAAGCCTCAAACCCTGAGCCCTACACCCTGAAATCCCTAAACCCCCAACCCTGAACCTTGAGAACTTTAAACTTTAAACTCAAACACCAGAAACCCCAAAAGCATCCAAAAGCCTAAAATTCCAAAAAAACCCAATAGTATAAGTTCCAAAACCTTCAAATTCCTAAACCGAAAAAGCCCTAAAGCCTGAGAGCCTCAGGTCGTCGCGACGTGTCCGAAGCTCGTTGAGAATTTGTTTGAGACGAAGGACCTGGGTTTACAGTGTAGGCTTCGGGGTTTCGGGCAAAGCTTAGGGTTTAGGGTTTAGGTTGTATAGAGTTTAGGTTAGGGTTTGAGTTTAATAAGCGTTTAAAGCAAAATGGGGTGTAGGTCCATGGTTTAAGGTTTGGGATTGATGCTTCTGCATTTGGGACACAGGCTTTGGGGCTTCGGGTTTCGTGCTTACGATGTCGGTTTTTGGGACCTCACTTGATAGGATTCAAAACGTTATTGTTTTCTTGTGGTTACGCGACGACGGCTGCTTGCAGCGACGACTCAGCGACGACTACGAGGTACGACGACTACGCTTACGACTGCTATATAGGCAGAGAGAGTGGTTTGTTATTGGTGTTTCACGTCGCCGAAAGAGAGACAAAAGTCAACGCCCAGGGCGCTGCAAGACGAAGAACGGCCAGGGTGAGAGCCGCTCGCCTTGGTTTTCGCAGTTAGTGTCAGGCTAGCAGGCGAACAGTGTTAGTAATTACTAACTCTCTCTTTCTCTCTCTCTCTCTCTCACTCTCTCTCTCTCTCTCTCTCTGTGGCGATACGCTTGACTACGAGAGCCGAACTCTGAAACTAAATGGAATCTTAAATCTTAAACCCGCAACCCTAAATGAAACCCGGAAGCACCAGGAGTTCAACCCAAATGGGGCGTACCTCCTTCGCCTCCATCATGCAGGAAACTGGCGCAGGAGCGCGAGGGTCGAAATGGGTGTGGGAGTTAGCCCAGGGTTTAGGGTTTCCTGAAGGACCAAATGACCCTTAAAAGTAGGGGCCCTATACCCATATACTATGAAGCCCTATATGGTATATGAACCTTAAACCCTGTTAGGGTTTATTTCGTCCTTAAGGTTGGGATCTATAGAGCTTAGGGTTTAGGGTTTCGGGCAAACCCCAAAGACCTGCACCCTAAGGCACTCGAGCCGGAAAGCCTAAAATCTGAAAGCCCAAACGCACCCTAAAGCCGTACACCTTAGGAGAGGCTCCCACTCTGTAAGAGTGACTATAAGGATTATATTAGAGCCTAAACCCCCAACCCTAAACCCTAAACCCTATTATATTCCTATTATACCACTATATTATATTCCTATTATACCACTATATTATATTCCTATTATACCACTATATTATATTCCTATTATACCACTATTACAGGGTGGAGGCCCCTTCTAACGCACACCCTAAGCCACTGGAGCCCTCGACCCCCGAGCCTCGGATGTTTGAGGGTTTAGGCTTCCTTTTAAGGATACTACGGGGTTCTTCCATAAGGTTCCCTTTAAGGGTTTAGGGTTTAGGGTCTACTTACAGGCTTGGGGCTGTAGGATTTGAAGGTTTACTTGGTTTTAGGGTTTAGGGGTTTGAGGTCTAGGGTTTTAGGGTTTTCGGGTTTAGGGTTTAAGGTGTAGGCAGAGTTTAGGGCTCAGGGTTTTAGGGTTTAGGAGTTTAGGGTTTGATTTAGGATGCTCAAAAGGTGCTGAGGTGAAGTGCCTGCGGAGTCGAGATCAAGTTAAGGGTTCAGGGTCGCGTCTTAGAAGGATCTAGAATCTAGAGGGTTTTTTCTGAATATTTTCATCGGGGGTACTAGGGCCTTTTAAAGGCACTAGAAGGACGTTATACTAGTTTCGGAGTGGTTGACCACGGTTGAATAAGGGTTCAGACTTTAGGGTTTAGGTCTAGGGTAGAGGTGGGGTGGGATACTGAAATTATTGCCGTTGCATTTGCAGAGCATCCCTACTGGCGGGACAAAAAATCAAGGCATGCCACCCAAGCCCCGAGACTAGCTTAAAGTTTTGGGGTCAGCACTGCGCCCTAAAGCTTAAAAGATCCTAAGGCCCGAGGCCCTGAACCTTAAACCCCTAAACCCCTAAACCTCTAAACCCCAAACCCCTAAACCCCTAAACCCCCAAACCCCCAAACCCCTAAACCCCCAAACCCCTAAACCCCTAAACCCCAAACCCCTAAACCCAAAAACCGCTAAACCCTAAACCCTAAACCCACCCCTGAACAGCCTGTTGTAACAGTCTTATCACAGTCGTGCTTATAAGACCCCGAAGCCAAAATCCGAAAACTCAAACGCTTGCAGCCCAAATGGGAGCACCTTATTTCAAAGGGGAAAAGGAGGGACCCTCAATGGGGACCCCTACCCTATAATGGGCTACATAACGGGTATATAATAGCTATATTAAGGGTATATACCTAGGGGTCCTTATTAAGGGTCCGTCCCTTTACCCTTGGATTATTTTGGGGTCCTTGTATGAAGGATACTCCTATTTACCTTGTAAGAAGGATACTACGGTTTAGGGGACTATATTAGGGTCCCCTCCCTATTTTCGGAAACTCCCAAATCCTAAATCCAGGATACTGATAGATGACCTTCTTCCCACCTCGAAGATTTTCGAGGGAGTCATCGTCGGATTGCCCAGCCCGTGCTTCGTTACTGTTGTTGTCACTGTTCCTCTTCTCACCCTAAACCCTAATCCCGAAACCCTAAACCCTAAACCGGTTTTGGGGTTTATCCACACCTATGCCGGCGCATGTGGAGATTGGGGGTGTGGTGTTAGGACCTTAAAAGCGAGTCTCTACTGATTTCACGTGTCTAGGGTTTTGGGCCGTCGGGCCTAAGAGAGTTTAGTGATTTCCGAAGGTCTAAACCCCTAGACCCTCAACCCTCCTGAACCCCAAAGCCCCAAACAGCGAGATCGATCGGAACCTGGTCAGTACTGGTCTTAGATTTCAGGGTACAGCCTTGCAAATGTTCCGCGAAGGAAGCCTGAGACATCCGGGTTTCCATCTCGCACCATGGTTGTTGTGTGTATAGCTTACGTTATTATATCAGTTGTTGCATTGTTTATTTATAGTCCACCTCCAGTCCTAGCAAAAAGTACACCCCACGACCCGCTTTGTCATCAGCCTGGCCCCAACTTACACCCAACAGCCGAAGCCGCAAAGCCCTGAGTCATCGAAGCAGAAACCAGGCCTAGACACAGTAAACCCGAAGCCATCAATCCTAAACTCTACAGCGTTGCTTGGTGGACTTGCTGAGGATGGACAAACGATTTACTACGCCCGCGGCGGCAGCCTTTGCTACCTGGGAGGTCTGGTCTTCCTAAGAATGCAGAGAGTTCTCTAGATTAGGGTTCCTTCTAGGGGTCCTATCTATCAGGGTGGCGCACTAAAGGGACCGTGATTCAGAGAACGAGCCATGTGAAGGTTTAGGGTTTCGTTTTTTTTGCAAGCTTCCATAAATGTCCTAAACCCTAAACCCTAAACCTTTAAGGTAACAGATGAAGGGTTAAGGGTTTAAGTTGTTTTTTGGGGGTATCGGGTGTCAGGTTGGCGGCATTATAGATTCACATGTTTTCCGAACACCTTGGCAGATAATAGTAATCACTGGTTCTTAGTAGGTAGGCTTTGGGGATGTCTTACATGTTGCCGTGTTGGGCTTAACAAGATCTTGTCTACTCATTTTTGAGGCATTGGGGCCAGCCTAGCTTAGTAGGGTAATGATTAAGGCTTCTATAGTACCTATTTATTCAAAGGCCCCTGTACTATACCCCTATTCACCCCTACCTGGACCCTGAAGAAACTACCGTTTCAAGGACTTAATAAAGGAATTTTAGGTTCTTTAGGGTCCAGGTAAACCCTATTCTAAGCATTGAGGCCGTCAGCCATCAAGGCTCCTGTATATATTTCATTAATTTAAACCCTATTCTAAGCATTATAAGGCCCTTAACTAGGATGCCCAGTAGTACCCTTATTCCCTTTTTGTAGTCCTAGGTTCCTTATAAAGTTACCCAATACCAAAAAGAGAGGCCTTTTTATTCTTAGGTTACTGGGTATCCTAGTTAACCATGAAGGCTCCTGCATTTCATTAGCAATGGGAGTCTCGGCGGCTTGGGGCTGGAATTGGTGCCAAACTCTCCTTGTATCCCTTGAAACTTGGAGTTGGGTTTAGGGTTGCCTTATTGGCTGTAAACTCAACTTTTCAACTTTTGGGGTTCTTATAAGGTAGTCGATTCTGAAAGTTTCAATGAGTTGCTTGGATGAACTTTACTGTCACTTTGTAGCTTTAGTAATTGCAGGGTTGGCCCATTTGATAGTAGGGGTACAAAAAGTTGTAATCTTAACAAGGTAGTAAAGAGCGGCCCGGGTGGGGTTTGGTAGTACAGCTATACTCATGTAAAACCTGCTCCGAAACCCCATTCTGTAAGCTTAGCGTCCCCACGTATTCAGTTCATCCGAGATGCTTCCCGCTTCTTCTAATAAGTGTATACCCTAAACCCCAAACCTCTAAAGCGTAACCCCTAAACCCTAAACCAAAACCCTAAGCCCCAAGCCTCTAAAGCGTAAGCCCCGAAACCCGACAGCGCAGGATCGCGGCGTCAGCTTTGGGTGCCCCTGGTGGAGAAGGCTGGTTTACTACTGTTTGCTTAAGAAACACCCAAAAAATAAAATAATAATCCCTATATTACCACCATAAGGAATATATTTTTCTATTTTTTGGGGGTTCTTAAGCAAATAGTAGTTTAGGGTTTAGAGCAGGGAAGCAGAGTTTGGTTTTTGTATTATGTTCTTTGGGTGTAGGATAATTTTTGTAAAGGCATACGAAAGGGGTCTAATAGGGTACTAGGAGATGCTATGGGGAAGGAGATTCTACTGGTATCGTGTTGAAGAATGTAGTTTTTCGGCCTCAGGCTTCCTTAACCCCGCGTAACCTACTTTTTCAAGGACTTATATAAAGAAATCATATTAGGGAACCCTAAAAAAGGTAGGTTCCTTAGGGTCCAGGTATTCCCTATAGTCACCCTAAGATAAGATACTATACCCTAAGGGTCCATGTACTCATATGGTACATACATTGGCCTGAAAGTACTCCCTTGATAGGTACATTGGGTCCAAAGTATATGTTATATGGGTACATGGACCCTTGCGGATAGGGTTTCGGGTTAGGGCTTTAGCACCCCTTTGGCGATGAGCTTGGAGGCAAGAAACTTGATATGAAGTACTGGTTCGTTCCTGTGCCTTAACCCCAAGTAACCTACCTTTTTAAGGTCTTATATAAAGAAATCATATTAGGAAACCCTAAACAGGTAGGTTCCTTAGGGTCCAGGTGATTCTAAGGTCAGAAGCATGGACCCCTAGTATGGGCCCTTAGGCCCTCCTAGGGGGATTCTAGGGACCCTCAAGGGTTCATATTAGGTATAAAGTCGGTATATAAGGCTCCCAGGGTTAAGGGCCCATACTCTTCTTGGCTGCAAACTCAACCTTTCAACTTTGGGGGTTCTTGTAAAGTAGTCGACTCTGAAAGTTTCAACTTTTATTTCCTTGGCTTTTGGGCCAGTGAGTGCCCATGGTTTCAACCTTGCGGTGAGTCATGCTCGCTCCCTACTCTTCGATTCTGCAGGGTTCTCTAAGGTACTTACAGTATCAACCCTCCCAACATCCTAACCTGGCAACGTGCCCCCATGGCTTCGCGGAAGGAGGAGAGATTGGGGATTTCGGATGGTATTTGGTGGGCTCATTACAGCGCTTGAGGTTGCTAGTAGAGCTGATACCCAGTTTTGAGGAAGTTTACGTGGTATACCCTGGTGTTTTGCAGGAGAAGTTCGTGTTTTACACGTGCGGCCATACAGGCCACCTGTACAGTCATGCCGGAGCCGCGCCGAATTCATTGTCGTTGGAAGCCACCTGGTGGACCTGGTTCGCGCTGAACCGCAGTCGAAAAAGTGGGATGTCTGAGGGCAGCTTCCGCTTTGGAGGGATCATATTGTGCGATCTTCAGCTACACCACCTTGTCGTTGTCACAGCCTTTGCAAATCGTGTGAAGTGCCTCTTCTTTTCCAGCCACGGCTTGTACGCAGAGAAGGTGGCAGAGCGCGCGGCCTTTCTAGACGAGCTCCGCAAGCTTGCGGCGCATTTCAAGGAGAGCTGGGTGGCCAATCGGGCGGTGCGCGTTCTGCAATGGGCAGGCACAGGCGTGTCAGCTCCCGCCAATATCGGCTACCAAAGGCGAGGGAGAGCTTGTCGTGGTTGCAGCTGTGAGTGCGGCGGCGAAGCCTTCCAGCATCGTTGCCACTGCAGCAAAGCGTAACTTCTCGGTCTCTTGTAGTAGGATGAAAAGGTGCATGTGTCATGGAAAAGGTGTCTGGAGCCTTTTGGGTAGCAAAACTTGCTGATTAGTAGAATCGTTCTTTATAAACGACCCCCGAAACAGACTCCATAGATCCCCCATATATTCGTAGGATCCCTTTCAACCCGAAACCCTAAACCCCTAAACCCTGAGCCCTAGACGCTAAACCCCTGAACTCTAAACCCCAAATATTCGACCCTAAGGCAGCTGCGAAGCTGTTCGGCAACTACTTGGGCCTGAAGGGCGGCACTTTTGCTGAGGCGGAAATTATAGGTTTTAGGGGAGATGGGTTTAAGGTTTACTACTATTTGCTTAAGAAACCCCCAAAAAATAAAAGAAATAATCCCTATATTACCCCCATAAGGAATATATTTTTTATTTTTTGGGTGGTTCTTAAGCAAATAGTAGTTTAGGGGTTTGGGGATTTGGGGTTCAGGGCTTAGGGGTCAGGATTCAGGGTTTAGGGGTTAGGGTTTAGGGGCTCAGGGTTTAGGGGAGATTTTCGGCTGAGGAAGCATGCGATAAACGGTGGAAGCCCAGCCAAACTAACGAAGTAAACCCGGACCCTAAACCCTAAATCCTAAACCTTAAATCCGAAACCCTAAACCCTAAACCCCAGGTCTTAAACCTCAGATCCGCCACCCGCGGAAGCCAAAAAATTGAGATTAACCAAGCATGAACCTACTGTTGATGATATAAATCCTGCATTACGTTAAGGACCCCGAACTATGGGAATAATGGCATATTCCTTAGTATGGGTAGTGCAGGAATTGTATCATTCACCGTAGTAGTAGAGTAGGTAACCTTTAACCTATTTTGCGTAGTATAGTCCCTATATAGCCCCTATATAACCAAAAAGGTTAACATTAAGTTTCCCATGATACCCGACAAGTAGGTGAAGAGCACCCGCAAAAGTTTGGGTTGAAGGATGCTGACGGCTTGAGACTCCGGATTTGGGCGGGTTTCAGGCTAAGGTTCGAGACGCTCTGAGGTGGGCTTAGGGTTGCAGTGCTTGTGCGACTTGTCACTAAGCCAGGATGCCCAGTAGTACTCTTATTCCGTTTTTGTAGTCCAGGTTCCTTATAAAGTTACCCAATACCAAAAAGGAGCCCTTTTCATTCCTAGATTACTGGGCATCCTAGTAAGACTCAAACCTCAGACGCTAAACCTTAAACCCTTGAGCCCTCCGCCGTCATTACCGTAGCTTAGCTTCAGTATCTTGCCGGTTTCTATGCTTGCCTTCCGAAGGTCCTCACGCCCGGATGCATTGAATATGCGGGCAGCATAAAAGCCTGCTCTTTACAGTGGTTTAGGCCCCTACACCGGTAGGATCTCTGTTGAATTGAGTCTTAGAAATGGGTGGTTGTCAAAATTACGGCCCATTTTGGGGTCCGAATTATAATACGGCACCTATAATGTAGGATACCCAAAAAAGGGACCTTAATTTTGACAATCACCCACATAACAGCAGCCTTCGCCACTTTACCCATGACCCCAGCAACACGTGGGCCAGCAATCTGCCAGGGTTTTGGGGTTAGGGCGTCTTGGGGTGCGGAGGGTTCGGTTTAGGTGTTGCAAACGTCCCTAAACCCCCAACCCTTAGACCCTGGCCCTAAACCCTACTCGTAACACCCAAACCCTAAACCCTAGACCCTATAAACCCTAAACCCTAAACCCTAGACCCTAAACCCTAAGCCCCTAAACCCCTAAACCTTAAAAAAAGACCCTAAACCCCTAAACTGTTTTTGTTGGCCCTGGCGGCAGGCCTTGGCGCTCTTCACCGGCTTCCCGACTCAACGCATTCCGCTCCATGTCTGCCATGGAGAGACTTCCCACAAGGGGGTTTAGGGGTTTAGGGTTTGGGGTTTAGGGTTTAGGGATTTGAGGTTTAGGGTTTAGGGATTTAGGGTTTAGGGATTTGGGGTTTAGGGTTTAGGGTTTAGGGATTTAGGGTTTAGGGTTTAGGGATTTAGGGCTTAGTGTTTAGTGTTTAGGCATTTAGCGTTTAGGGTTTAGGGATCCCCGGCATACATACACGAAGCTTTTCACGAACATGTTTTCCTTGCTCTAGAGGGCCAACCTAGGAACAACATCTCTGAATACAGACACCCTACTGTGTACTTTGACTCAGTTCTCAGTACTCAGGATCTAGAGTGTGAATTTTATCGCAGGGGAGACTCTCTAAGGGATTGATGTTATAACGCGTTTGGCATGGGGTTTCAAGTTGAGGCTGCGGTAATTTGAAACGCTGCGCGTCGTCCGCCTCGGCCCGGCTGTACGCGCATGCGGCAAGTGGCTACTATCTGCAGCAAGCTCTTGTAGGAAAAAAGTAACAGTTGGAATCGCACTTATAGTAAAAGTAATGTTCATAGCAACACGAAGCAGGATGATTGTGAGTAGTATTAGTAGTGGTAGTATCAGTACGAATTTTGGTGTCGTCATTCCGAAACACTGGATACCAAGACTCTCGCAAGCGGCGGGATGCCTTAAGTATGGGCCGTTGAGGCTGTGGATTTCGTGGGCGTCTTGGATTAGGGAAGCATCAGACCCTTTTCAACCACGTTACTCCGCCTATCCCAACGAAAGGGCGTCTAAAACAAGCCTGAGACGCACATGAACATGCTACATTGCAGTCCCGTGTCGTCGAAAACTACAGAAAGCTCGCACCTGTCAGCGAGCGGAGGAGGGGTTTCCATTTTTAAGGGGGGGGGGGTCAGCGGGCCTCGTTTTTGGGGGTGGGGTCACTGGGGAGGGGATTAAGAGGTGGGGAATAAGAGAATCCGAATAGGAACCTCTGACCGCTTCGGCCGGGGCCGAGGCGAATATCCAGATGGGGGTGCTTTCCTTTGAGGAAACTCTGAGACACTGCTAGATAAGACCACTAAACCCTAGACACTCAAAACGCACTCAGGTTTTGATATCTAAGAAGAGGCAAGAAGATTTGACGGTTCCTCGGTTGGGGTTTGCAGGAACTCTGAACCCTACATTGGGGTTCGGACCGTGGACAGGGTGAGTGGGCAGTATATGGTATAGGGAGAGCAAGACCCCATTCCTCGACGTCCGCAGAAGGTTGTGGAAGTTGATGCCGACATCAGGAATATCGGCAGGAATATACTTTAAACTAGAATACCGGGGGCCTGATATTCTAATTCAAAGATTCCCTTACCTAAAGGGTATTGGATTCAACCCTAAATCATTGCAGATCGCTGTTCCTGCCCCTTACGTAAGACCTTCCATCATCTCGAAAGCTGTCTACACAAACGTTTCATGCTCTTCTGGGGTTTAGGGTTTAGGGGTTAAGGGTTTAGGGTTTAGGGGTTTAGGGTTTCTGAATCCTAACGCATTATCATCCCCTATACCCCGAACCTCAAAGCCTCGCAGGGCTTTAATTGCAGTAGGCCCTACTCCAATCATTGAGGCCTGTGTAGTATAATGACTCGATAGCTTTACCTTAACCCCAAGTAACCTACCCTTTTAAGGACTTATATAAAGAAGTGATATTAGGGAACCCTAAAAAGGAAGGTTCCTTAGGGTCCAGGCAACCCTTCATTCCATTGTCTGGAAGCGAGGTTGCACATCCGCAAGGAACAGCGAAAGGCTCGGGAAGAGCGCAGCACCTCTGGCATGTGATTGCCGCTCTGATCCTTAGGGGTACTTAGAAATATTTTTTTGGTTATTATAATCCCTCAGAAACAGCAAAAATTATTATTTTTGCTAGGGTTCTAAGTTCAGTATAGTGATCCTTAGGGTTTAGGGTTTAGTGCGTGGGTTAGGATTTAGGTTTAATGCATTTGGTTTAGGGTTCGGGAGAAGTTTAACTTACCCTGTCCCTTGTTTGCAACAAGGTACATATTCATGAAACATGTTGGGGGAACTTAGCAGATCAGCCCGGATAAGCCTTGTCCTACATGAGTGAGCTGTCTTGGTATTTTCTTGAGGGCGGGTTCAGAGTTTAGGCACCAAATAAATATGAAGTGTTGCCTAGGCTTTCGGTCTGCATTCTGGCACCCATCGTGGTTGCCTCGAAAAATTTGAACGGGGGTTTCGTTTCAAGTTGTGGCCTGCAGGTTTTGGGCGAAAGATTGGGGATTGTTTGGCACTACACCAACCGTGTTGCAAAGTACATCCGGCTGATGGACACAATTTTGCGCTACCTTAGGGTAACTAGATTATATTCGATATTCCCCATGTTACACCACCCTATGCAAAAGTCTTACAAGAAAAGGGTTCGTGACCGAAAACACCTTCTGGAGAAGGTTTCCCGAAACCGTGAGAGAGCTTCACAGATCCCTGAACCCTAAACCCTGGACGCTAGACCGTAGATTAACCCAGTTTCAGAAGTCGTTGCGAAGAGAGGGAGAGAAGAGTCAGATCCGGGGATCGCGAGAAGTATTGGCCCTTAATATGGGAGCTTCCGAAAATTAGAGGTACCTTATTTTGGAGTCCTTATAATGAGGATCCTGCTAGTTAGGGTACTATATTAGGGTCCCCTATGTTCGGAAACGCTCCCATGGACCCTCTGGCCTGCCTTTCGGGTTTCCAGGGACCCTGGAGGGTATACGTAGGGTATATACTGTAGTGCCTGGACCCTAAGGAACCTACCTTTTTAGGGTTCCCTAATATGACTTCTTTATTTACAGGGAACTCCAGAAAGTTGGAATATGGTTTCATGGTAGGATACCCTATAATTTACCATGGAAGGGTTAGGATAATCATATTCCAACTTTCTGGCTTTTACTTTAAGTCCTTAAAAAGGGTAGGATACTTGGGGTTGAGGTAGGTATACAAGGATCGCAGGGTTAAGGGTCCATGCTAGGGGCCATAGTGTTAACCTGACTTAAAGGCTCATGGGACTTAGTAAGGCCTTAGGGTTCCCTTTAAGGGTACTATAGGGTTCTATATTAAGGGTTTAGGGTTTAGGGTCTACTTAAAGGCTCATGGGACTACTAAGTAAGGGGCCCATGGTGTTAACCTTAGAGAGGGTTTTGGCCCACTTCTTCAAAGAAAATCGCTTAAACTAGGGTTCCTTGAAGGGCCCATTCAGGGGTTCAGGGGTTCTGTAAAGGTTTTAATTGAAGGGATAAGATGGAATAGGTATAGTTTCAGGTACATTCCGAAATAAAGGGATTTTGGGCTCTCTGGGACCAATGTTAAGACCCTTTGTGTTCTTTGTTACAAGCCCCAATAACTAACCAAACAGTTTTAAACATGCGTAGACCGTTCATAACTTGGAAAGACGTTGTACACGATGAACCTATGAAGTTTGGTATAACAGCATTGAAGTTCCTGTAACAAGCTGTAGAAACATAGGACTTGCGATGACCCTAAACCCTAACCCCCGCAACCCGGTTATACCCTGAAAACCTTAAAACCCGAAACCCTCAACCTTAAAACCCTTAAAACCTAGAATCCTAAACCTGAACCTCTTAGGATTCCATCGCAGGTGCAAGGCTCGCCGAAGAGAGGACACGGCTCCTTTTGCAGGCCTGGCAGTGTCCACCTTAACCCCACGTGACCTACCTTTTTAGGGACTTATATAAAGAAATCTTATTTGGGGGGGCCCTAAAAGGTAGGTTCCGTAGGGTCCAGGTGCAGTGTTTGAGTTTTTAGGTTGGGACTAACTGGTACGCGCAATGTTGGGTTCTCATGTGTAAGGATTTGGGATTGTTTTCGGTCACAGGTTGTTCTGCGTGAGTTCAGAATTTGGCTAGAACTCTTGAATGTTGGTTCGGTGGTTGTACTTGCTTCGGGTTTTGCGTTCGCTGCTACTTAGGTTCAGGTTGTAAATTCGGCTCTAAACCTGTCCTGTACCCTAAACCCGGTTTGGGATAGGGTTCAGGGTTTAGGTTTTTAGGGATTTCAAGGTCCTGACTTCAAGCATACAGCTTTTGTCATGTGGTTTGGCAGATTCACCAGGCCCTGCGATGTCTGAGTTTAACCTTCGGGGTTGAGGGGTTTAGGGTTTAGTGGGGTTTAGGGTTCAGGGTTTAGGTGAGTGTCTCGTGTCTCGATGTTCTGAACATTTGATTTCACACTTTCCTATGTGTTCATTTGATGCTGGGGGCCCGGGCTGTGGCTCAATCCCTTGACACAGGGGTCTCAATAACAAGTAACGGTATCCTGTTGCCGTCCCTGTATATTATGTATACTAGCATGCCCCAAAGCCCTAGTCTAATTAGCAAGGCCCCTGTCTGAAACCCTGATAAATCTTTGTCAGACCCAACCGCTGATAAAGATCGTATAAGCACTTCATTTATGAATTAGAAGAGTAGATTAGGAGAGATACCTTAAATAGAAAGGATCCCCCTAAAGGTAAGAGCATATGCCTTAATATCGGGGTGTTGGAGTCTCTAGGTAGGTTTTTGCTGGTGCTTTGTTTGGCAGCCGCAGAGGTTCCCGGCTTAGGGTTGAAATCTAGTGTTCAGAGGTTTAGGGTAGGCTTTGGTTTAAAGGACGCTTTTATGAGGTGTCACGAGAATGCACCACGGATACAGCTCAAGCCCAGAAGTCGTTTCGCAATTCAAGGTATACTTTAGAAGGGGCCCCCACTCTGTAATAGTGGTATAATGGGAATATAATAGCTTGGCACCATTACAGGGTGGGGGCAGCTTCTAAGGTATACTCCATGCGCCTTAGACATGGAAGCCTTGAGTCCCCAGGCTTAAGAATCGAACTGAAACCCTTTAAGGTAAAAGCCAGAAAGTTGGAATATGATTATCCTAACCCTTCTATGGTAAGTTATAGGGTATCCTACCATGAAACCATATTCCAACTTTCTGGAGTTCCCTTTAGGGTTTAGGGAAACCATCAACCACATTTAATACCCTGTTCGATAGACCCCAAAGGTTTGCAACAGCGCTACAAATCCCAAGGCAGGGAAACATCAAGCCATCAAGCGAAAATCCAGGCTGTTCATCTCAACCCAAACGCCAGCCCGAAAGCCTAAAACCCCAAACCGCAGTTGAGGGTTTAGGATTCCCTGAACCACTCCTAAACAAGATCACGATCAAACACATGTTCCAGAAGCTCGGCCCTACACATGACATGGATGCAGGGCCTGCCAGTGCCGCCGGAGCTGGACCAATGGGTCGTCACTGTTGTTTAAGGGTGTTCTGTCGTTTTGTGTGTGTTTCCAGGTCTTGGTTTAGGGTTTTGTGTACTGACGAGGTCCCGTCATGCAGAGGTTTCATAGGTCGTGCGGGGTTTGACGGTTTTCCAAAGCTTTGATATGTCTCTACATGCTTCGACAGGTTTCAGTCGTGTTATACGGGAGTTTCCGAACATTGGGGACGCTAATATAGTACCCTAACTAGCAGGATCCTGATTATAAGGACTCCAAAATATGGTACCCCTAATTTTCGGAAACTCCCATATAGGAAGGGTGCATAGATCGCATTTCTTGGTGGTGCTTGGCAGTAGTGGTGGTGCTCTTATTGCTGCTGTGGGTGGTGTTGCGGGTGTAGGGTTTAGGGTTAATGTTGAGTGGTAACGGAACAACATTTTAAATCTTGCTATATTATACTGTAACCCCAAGCCCTAAATGCTGAATAACAAAACCCTTAATTCAGGTCCTTACAGTAAGGCAACTATAAAAGGGTTCTTGGTGTCGCGGGCGGGTCTGCTGGTGAACCCTGCTGGTAAACCCAGTATGTTCGTGTGCATTCTACCGGTACTTGAAACGAAACCCTAAACCCTAAGCCCTAACTTAGAGCAACTTCCCCGGTGACGGTTTGCATCCAAACCCTTCGCTTGACTTCATTTGGCCTTTGCTTCATTCCGCGGGGCGCTTTGCAGATTTCAGATTTAGACGGTTTAGGGTTTAGGGTTTAGTACATGATTGTTTCACAAGTTCCGGCTTCTGAGTTTAGAGCTTGGGCCCGGCTTGGGGTTAACGTTTCAGAGTATACGGATGAGTCTTTGATGCGAGTGGTTTGACTTGTGACATTTGGGACAGTCGTCGGGCGCTCAAGCCATTACTCCTGCTAAGCCTACGATGTCGAGTTCTTGCCACAAAACTCTCCAAGATCAGGAGGACGATGATGACGACTTTGATAATGATGACCTCAAGTGGTCGCAAATTCTGCCGCGCCCCTACCGATAGTCTTGGATGTATTCACATACGACTCCAGTGGGCAACCTCATTCCTGGTTCGGCTAGTATAGTGGTACAAGCCCTTTGCAAACCCCGAATTGCTACACTTCACAACCCAAGTTTCCCGGGCAGGCAACCCTATATCCTAGTCCACAGCGCAAGAAGTTTGGGGATTTCGGGGCGTTGGTATTTCGGGGTTGGGTTTCGGGTTTCAGGGACTTGGGCGGTTTTGAGCTTCAAGTCGTATTTAATCCCAAGTGTCCAACAACAACAACAACAAGAAGCAATCCCACAAGCCCTGGACTCTAAATTCTCTAAATCCTCAGCTCTAAATCACAAACCCTTAAGCTCTAAACTCTGCGCCCTAAACCCCAAACCCTTAAACTCTAAACCCTAAGCTTTAAACCCCAAACCAATAACTCTAAACCCCAAACCCTTAAACTCTAAACCCTAAACCCCAAACCCTTAAACTCTCCCCCCTAAACTTTAAACCCCCAAACCCTTAAACTCTAAACCCTAAACCCCGTGAACCCTGATCCCCACCACTCCAAGAGCCCAAACACAAAATAACACGGTTTAGGGTTTAGGGCTCGCGGTTAGGGTTTATATAGGGTTTAGGGTTTAGGGCTTAGGGGCTAAGGTTTAGGGTTTATATAGGGGTTTAGGGTTTAGGGCTTAGGGCTTAGGGGCTAAGGTTTAGGGTTTATGTAGGGGTTTCGGGGAGCTCGAACCAGAAGCTCTGAACTTCAAACCCTAAACCCCCAGCCCCTAGACTCTAGACCCTAAAAACCCCCAACCCCCTGAGCGCTAAAGCCCTAAACTTAAACCCTAAACGACCTAAGCCTCTAGGTCTCAGCCCCGCATCCCTCCCTAAAGCTCTACAACCCTTCAAGTAAGGAATATACCTTAAATCAGGTTTAGGGTTTAGGGTTAATCATAGTATGAAGCCTCAGAGTGCAAGCTATGTTCCCTAATTAAGGAGTATTGAGCTTCATGGGTCCCTTCAACCCCAACCCCTCCTAAACCCTAAGCCCTAAACCTCCTGAATCTTAGGCCTGAACCCCAGCCGCCTAAACCGTGGAACCTGAGCTAGGGTTTATACAGATATTCCAGCAGACTTTAGGGTTTATTGTTTGGTAGACTTTAGGGTCTTGGGCTTGGGGTTTACGGTAGGGTGTTAGGGTTTAGGCGTTGCCGTAGGGTTTAGTTAGGGTTTAGCTTTTAGGATTTGCGGTAGGGTTTAGGGTTTAGGGAAAGCCTGAGCTTCGAAAACCCTCGAGCGCCCATAACCCCCAACCCTCAGCCGTAATGCCCTTTAACGGACAATGGCTGAGGTCGGCTTGCGAATCGGGGTGCCCTCTGAAGGGACGACGTGTTGTCCCGGAGATTCGTGTTTCATCGGTTTTCGCAAAAGGGTTGTAGAATGGTCTGTATCGGGTCGAAAAAGAGTTAACCGTAGTGATCTGGGATGTGGGTGGTTCTCTAAATGAGGGTTCCTTTTGCGGTCCCAAAGATAGTACGGCACCCTTATAAGATGGACCGTAAAAGGGGCCCTAATTTGGAGAACTACCCATGAAAGGTGTGGGACTGCGGCTTTAGTTTAGGGTGTCGGATCTGGTGTGTGCATGTGTGTGTGTGTGTGTGTGTGCGTGTGTGTGTGTGTATGTATATATATATATATATATATATGTGTGTGTGTGTGTGTGTGTGTGTCTGTGTGTGTGTGCGTGTGTGTGTTTGTGTGGCTCGACTTCGGGGCGTCGACCACGCAATTCCGGTGCTATGTCTTAGGATTTATGTAAGCCCTTGGCCCTTGCTGGATAAGCACTGTTCCTCGAAAAAGATCATAGCTAGGATGCGGTAGAGCCCCAATGAGGCTGAAGGGGAATCCTTAAAACAGCTAAACCCTAAACTCTTGAAACCCTCCCTAAACCCGACAGGGGGCGGGCGGGTGGGGGGATGGGGGTGCAAATCAGGTGTAAGATCAGGTTACAGAACTTTAATAGAATTGGCTTGATTACTCCTGAGGGTATATGCTTCAGGGCTTATATGTTTACCGTTATAGCAGAAATCCTCACCCCTAAATCCTATTCTAATTAGTCACCCTCCCCAAAAAATGTCCTTAAACCCTAATCCCACCTCCCAAAAGGAAGACGCAACCCTGCCAAGCCCTGGAGGTACTTGATGGGCATGGGATGCACAGAGGAAGGATGCCATGTCCCCAGCATGGCAAGCTGTAAGATAGAAGGTTTAGGATTGAGAGTTCCTTGTTGTAACTATACAGTAGAAGCCAGAAAGTTGGAATGTCATTATCGTAGCCCCTCTAAGGTAAATTATAGGGGATCCTACCATGAAACCATATTCCAACTTTCTGGAGTTCCTTTTAAAGGAGCCCAAAATCCTATTCTAATTATTAAGGCCCTGTGGGTCGGTATGTCGTTTGGCCAGCCGCCTAGCTCTTCTCTTTGGGTAGGCCAACAGCACTAAACCATGCCACTGCAGATCGTATGGAACAGCAAGAATGAGGGTTTAGGGTTTGGGGTTTAGGGTTTGGGGTTTAGGGTATTTAGGGTCTGGGTTTAGGGTTAGGGCCCAATACGCTTTAATCCGAGGCTGTGTGGCTGTGTTTAGAGGATCATGCGACTTAGTAAGTAGGTTATAATTGGGGGTTAGAAGTCCTACACGAATTATGACCTACCTATAACCTTCCTTACTAAGTCCCATGAGCCGTTAAGTGTGATTTTTAAGGGTGGTGGAGAAATATGGGCTTCGGGGCTTATCTCATTGTCTCGCAGGTGAGAAGACAAAGGATCACATCGTGGAAGAAATGGGCCTACAGGTTCTGTCTGCGCGTTTACCCTACCTTAACCCCAAGTAACCTACCTTTTTAAGGACCTGTATAAAGAGTTCATATCAGGGAACCCTAAAAAGGTAGGTTCCTTAGGGTCCAGGTAAACCCTAAAGCCTCAACCGTAGTCCTGACATTCGTTTACCCTAAACCCTAAAGCCTCAACCGAGGAAATTAGGGGTACCTTGTTTCGGGAGTCCTTATAACAAGGATCCTACTATTTCGGGTAGATATTTGGGTACCCTGTTTTCGGAAGCTGAAGTCCTGGCATCCCTTTAGAGTTCAGGCCACAAACGGCTATTAGGGTTTAGGGTTCAGGGTTTAGGGTTCAGGATTTAGGGTTTAGGGTTTAGGGCTATGTCCCATTATCACTACACCTTGCGGGTGTATGTCGTGTTTTCTCACCTTAAAACTTTGAAGGGCTATGTCCTGGATTTAGACCCATACTGAAAACGGTGTATACATAGAAACCAGAAGAATTATTAGTGCGATTCCTCAGGATGCCCATGAAAACCATAGTATGGTAACCCCACAAGTCTGTTTTAATTATTCAGGATCCATACGAAATCCCTCTAAGCCCCTGATACCGATTAAGGCCCCAATGTTGTATCCGCTCTGTGCTGTACGGACCATCCGTGAGTCCCACGAAAAAAATGCAAACCCCTGGTTGAGGTTTGGCCTCAAACCCAACCCCTAATCCGTGCATCCTAAACCCCAATCCCTGAAGACAAAACCCCGACCCTAATCCGTAAACCCTAAACCCCAAATAGGAACCCTACCTAAAGGCCCATGGGACTTAGTAAGTAAGGTTAAACGTAGGTTGTAATTCGAATAACCTCACTTCGGGAAATTAGAACCCCAATTATAACCTACTTATATACTAATTCCCATGGTCCTCTAAGTAACCCCTAAAAGTTGTCGACACTGCGTTCACACGCAGATTGGGAATCGCCGAGATGCCGGTCCACCAAGTTCCAGTCGTTTCCCTCACGCCCAACACCGCACAGGCATGGATCATACGACTCATGGCCGCGGGGAGGCCACTGGTTTTTGAGATATTGCGAACCCGCCAAGAAGCACTGTTAGCCTCCTTCATCATCAGGAAATTGAGGAAGAGCGACGAGCAATACGACGTATCAGACGTCCTGAAGAGTCTCCACGAGGCCGGCAACATCACAACTGAAGGACCAAGGGACCTTTCTCTGTGGAGCTATCGTGCGCAGCTATTTCAACATGTCGACGACAGGCTCGAAGCTCTCACCATCGTTCCTTTTCCATTGGTCCATGGATAACTTGGCGGTTTGGGGTTTAGGGCCTAGGATTTAGGGTTAGGGCTTTGGATTTAGGGTTGAGGGTTTAGGGTTTAGGATTTAGGACCATAGAAAGCATCCCTAGTGTTGGAAACTAGCATCAAGCCGGTGAAACCTCATCTGAAAAGAAAACTCTCGAACCCGAGCCCCCACACCACAAACCCTAAACCCGAAGCCCTAAACCCTCAACCGTGTCCCACACCCGTGAAGTTTGGTTCCTTCATCCACAGGCTGGTGTGGTAAACGTGCTCGTTTGACTCAGGGCGCAGTGGTTTGCCCAGAGAGCCCAATTCCCCTTAAGAAAGGAACATACCTTAAAATCGAAGGTTATACATTTTGTAAGGTCCTGCCCCTATCGATTCTGTCTTAGGGCTGGTGATCAGAATTTACAAACTACTAGGCTATGGTACGGTTGATCATATACATCCTGCATTACCCATAATAAAATTATGCCATCACTCCCAACGTCTAGGATCAATAAGGTAATGCAGGATATATATATATATATATATATATATATCATCAACCGCGGTTTAAGGCAGGGTTAAACCCTAAACCCTTAAACCCTAAACCCCAAACCCTTAAACCGTAAACCCTAAACTCTTCACCCTTAAACCGTAAACAATTAAAACCTTAAACCCTTAAACCCTTAAACCCTAAACCCCAAACCCTTAAACCGTAAACCCTAATGGTTTCCAACGTTCGAAAACTGGACCAACTGGGCTTTGGAGTACCATACTTTAATACTTTTTTCTTAATGGAACCAGTATAAAAGGAAAGTTTATACTTTTTTCTCCCTGGTTACTTAAAAGCCCAGCCAAGAAGGCCCTCCTCGTCCGGTTTGGGCTTTGGGGCAGCGTAGATCATAGGCATCATGTTCCTTAAAGGGCTCTATAAAGGGGGTTGTGGAACTTAGGTTTGTAGGTATTTCGACTTATAAGTATCATAACAACACTCTTGGATCCCGTTTAGGGTACTCATGACTTTACTTCTGGCCTGCTTACTAAGTCCCCTGACACTCCAAGCAAGCTTGTCTGTATATTTTGGTAGAGTTCTGATTAGAGAGTGGCATTCCAACTGGCCGGCAAGTTGGTTTCCCCAGCGTATTTCTGATCATCTCGTTGACATATGCAGAGGTCGGAATATCAACGTTTCCCTTTGACGCCCTTCTAAAACTGTTAAATACGGTAATTGCATGTTAACCCTGAGCCCTTCACCCCAACCCTATCCCATGTAAAACAACAACATTCTCAAACCATGAACTGTCTCAACCCCCCTGAACCCAAAACTCTGAACCTGAAACCCTAAACCCTCAACCCTAAACCTTGAACCCTCAACCCTAACCCTGAATGACCCCCTGGCCGGAGGCTCCTCACGCCTATGGCATCCTGGAAGCAAAGGAAGTGGAGGTGCCCTACACTAGTCGTGTTTTCCCTAAACGGTAAACGTGCGATGTGCCGCTCTGGTATTGCTTGTCATTTTTAAATACAGTTTCTGAGGGCTCAAGTTTTTCAACCCGATGCAGTTTTGGGTTTGTGCAGGGGTGCAGTTTCATGGGAAGCGGTAGCATATGCAGCCCTGCAAGAGAAGTGTCACAGTCTAACACAGGGGCCTCAATAGTTAGTGGCATTCCTTATAGCGCTCCCCTAAACTCCAGCCCTCGAATATGGGAGTTTCCGAAAATAGGGAGCCCTAATATAGTATCCTAGATAGTAGGATCCTTATTATCAGGACCCCCAAAATAGGGTACCACCGAATTTTCGGAAAATCTAAACCCTTCTAGTAACCCTTTCAAGGAACCCTCATAGTACCCTTATGGTAACCCTTTTCAAGGAACCCTTATAGTACCCGTATAGTAACCCTTTAGAGGACCCCCAAAACGAGGTACCCCCTGATCTTCGGAAACTCCCATATGGTTTAGAAGCTGCCCCCACCCTGTAAAGTGACTACATGGATCGTCGGGCCCTATTTTATTCCAATTATACCACTATTCCAGGGTGGGGCAGCTTCTAACATATGGTGCTATTCTTGAAGGCCACCAGTCCCAGTCCACTTATGCTAGGATGCCTAGTACCCGGAGACTCCAATATCCCTTTAGTTAAGGAATATTCTTTAAATCCTATAAGGGATCCTACTATAATTTAAGGTAAATTCCTTAATTAAGGGATATTGGAGCCTCTAGGTAGTACCCTGATTCCCTTTTTGTCGTCCAGGTTCCTGGTAAAGTTGCCCAATACCAAAAAGGGGAGCCCTTTACTATTCCTAGGTTACTGGGCATCGTAGTATTCACTCTTTTGTATGGAGTCCAGTCACGGAGTTGCGAGTTCGGTGCCTGAGGTTTTAGGGTGTACATTGGGTACCGCCCCCACCCAGTAACAGTTGGATAATATTCATAATATAGATATATTAGGCTCTTAATAGAAGCCTTATTATAGACTGTTACTGTAATGGGGCAGTACCCAAGGTGTACACCTCTCTGTATATCATCCTTTCTCTGATACAGCTGCTGTTGCTTCTGCCATACTTTGATGTTTGCATATCTTCCTGTTAGTAGAGTAGATAACCTTTTAACCTGTTTCGAGTACTATAATCCCTATATAACTATAAAATACCGACATACTCCCGAAGGTTAACCATTAGTCCCTCAGGACACTGGACAGGCAGGTCTTTCTTGTCAGGACGGTCGTCTAGGGCTTAAATAACTACCGACGGGTTCCTTATTGTAACTGTAGTATAAAGGGGCCTAGAACCCCATTCTGATTGTTAAGGCCCTATATAATAGAACCTTACTGCAGATCCCTTATAGACCCCTTTGAGGAACCTTTTAGAGGAACCTTATAGTAATTGTTAACGCCCCTTTCTTACCACCATTCTCGTTCCCCTCCCCGGAGGTCTCAGGGAAGATCCTCCGCATGATGAAGATACGAAATCCCTGGGGCGAGCGTGCACCACGTACATGGAAGGCGCTTTTAGGGTTTAGGGTTCAGAAGAGCTGTGATTAGTGGCTTAAGGTTTAGGGCTTAGGAAGGCGCTTGAAGAGCTGTGACCAGCTGTGGTACGTTTATGATGGTTTTGGCACTTGAAGAGTTGTGACCAATGGCTTAGGAGTGGGGTCTGCAGGGTTAAAGTTCGGAAATGTGTTGAGACGCTCTGGGAAGCCCAAAGCCGCCAAACCCTATAGTAGAAGCCAGAAAGTTGGAACGTCATTATCCTCATGCCCTTAAGGTAAAGTTTGAGGGATCCTAGCAGTAATCCTCCTAGATCCATGTTCCAACTTTCTGGCTTGTACTAAAACCCTAAACCTAGGACCTGGAGTAGGCCCTTATTCCCTTTTTTTAGGGTTCAGGTCCCCTTATAAGCCCCTTTAAAGCAAAAAGGGCATCCTTTTTGTTCCTAGGTTACTCTTGGGTCTAGAAACAGTTTTTGAGCTTGAGGGCAGTAGGTTTTGACAGCGTCGGGTTGCTGAGTGAATCACATGAGGGCTTTAGGATTCAAGACCATCTGCAGGGGTTGGGCCTTAGGTTGGCAGGGTTTTAGGTTCAGGGTACCCTAAACCCTAAACCCTAACGGTTTCAGATTTTGGGGCTTTAGGGTTTAGGGTTTCTTGATGAAGTCAGCTCGTAGAGTTTGTCGTTAAGTTCAATAACTAGGATGCCCAGTGGTACCCTTATTCCCTTTTTGTAATCCTAGGTTCCTTATCAAGTTACCCAATACCAAAAATCAAGTTACCCAATACCAAAAAGTGAGCCCTTTCTATTCCTAGGATACTGGGCATCCTAGCTAAAGGCCCAAGGCTTCTTAATCAGGCTCCTACATTACTATAGTGCCCTTATGGACCCCTTAATAGTAACCCTTATACCACCCTAAACCCTAAACCCTAAACCCTAAACCCTAAACCCTAAACCCTAAACCTAAACCCTAAACCCTAAACCCTAAACCCAAAACCCTAAACATATAGACCCCTTTGAAGAAACTCTAGGGTTTCTACATAACCCCAGGATTGAGGGTTTAGAGCTAGGGGTTGCTGATCCCTAAACCCAAGGCCCTATTAATCTTAGGGTTTAGGGGTTAAGGTTTAGGGTTTAGGGTTTGAGGTTCAGGTCGGGGGTTGATTCAACGTTTGGGCCTAAAGTGGTTTGGGGGTTGTTTGGAGGTTTAGGCTTCAGTGTTCAGGGCGTAGGTTCAGGGTCAAGTATCGGTTACTTAAAGGCTCATGGGACTGTAAGTGATTAGGGTTCCCTTTAAGGGTACAAAAAGGGTTCTATGAGAAGGGTTTAGTGTTTAGGGCCTACTTAAAGGCTCATGGGACTACAGTAAGTAAGGTCATAAGTCGGTTATAATTAGGAGAACCCCACATAGGGGAGTTGTATCCCCAATTTTTACCTACTTACTAAGTCCCATGATCCTCTAAGTACCCTAAACTCCCCCTTATAGATCCCCTATAGATCCCTTAAAGGAGCCCTTTAAAGGAACCCTAGGGTTTCTAAAACTCTAAGTAGTCTTGTTTGCTGGCGGGCCGTTAGTTTCTTAATTAATGGCTCCCTGGACTTAGCAAGCAACTAGCAATGAAGGTTACAATCCGGATAACCCAGTTTAGGGGACTTATATGATAAGCCCAATCATAACCTCCTTTCTTCGTCCCCTGAGCTCGTAAGTTGGGTTGCAGGAGAGGCGAGGTGCAGAAAGAACAAGCCGTAGCCATTCTTGCCGTGCTGTACACTCGGTAGCTCAAATCGGCTTATCAGTTCTTACAGGTTGTTAGCTGTTGTGTCGAGAGAAAGAGAGAAAGTGAAGAACCAGAGAGAGAGAGAGAGACAAAGATAGAGTGTCAGCTAAGTAGACAGAAAGCTCATGGAAGGAAAAGATAGAAAAAGACAATTGATAACCAACGAAAAGAGAGAGATGTTTATGAGAACTTTGCGTATTCGGCATGTTGACGATAAACTGAACCGAAGCTGACGTCTTCATTATGTCGCTGACCTGTGAGGTAAGCCTCATAAGTGGCAAGACTGTGTCACTTCAGGCAGAGGAGGACGAATCCGTGGAATCGCTGAGGGCGTGTGCACAGAGGGCCCTGGGAGCTGGCAGAGGTCGACTCTTGGACTCCACTGGAAGGGTTCTTGATGGAGGAGTGCAGCTCAAGAAGGCCAGGCTGCTGTATGTGGAGCCGTTCACATTGCAGGTCCGAAGGGTCGATCTTTGTGGCAGACGCCTGGTCTTTGCCGCGATCCGGGGAGATGGCTCGGTCGTGACCTGGGGCGATGTTGGTGCCGTTGGTAGCACCAGTGCCGTGCAACATGAGCTGAAAAATGTGCAGCAGATTCAAGCAACCGAGAGGGCCTTTGCTGCGATCCTTGGGGATGGCTCCGTTGTGACCTGGGGCCACCATGGCTCCGGTGGTAACAGCAGCTCTGTGCGAGATCAGCTGAAGAATGTTCAGCAGATTCAAGCGACGTCGTATGCGTTCGCTGCGATCCTTGGGGATGGCTCCGTGGTGACCTGGGGCTTTCCTGACCGCGGTGGTGACAGCAGCTCCGTGCGACATGAGCTGAAGAATGTGCAGCAGATTCAGGCAACTCAGTCTGCCTTTGCTGCGATCCTCAGTGATGGCTCCGTGGTGACCTGGGGCGATCGAAACTGCGGTGGTGACAGCAGTGCTGTGCGAGATCAGCTGAAGAATGTGCAGCAGATTCAAGCGCCGCCGTATGCGTTTGCTGCGATCCTTGGGGATGGCTCCGTTGTGACCTGGGGCCACCATGGCTCCGGTGGTGACAGCAGTGCTGTGCAAGATCAGCTGCAGGATGTGCAGCAGATACAAGCAACCAAAGGGGCCTTTGCTGCGATCCTTGGTGATGGCTCCGTCGTCACCTGAGGCTTTGCTGGCTACGTAGGTGACAGCAGTGGCGTCCGAGATCATCTGAAAAATGTGCAGCACATTCAAGCAACTCAGTATGCCTTTGCTGCGATCCTTGACAATGATGGGTCCGTGGTGACCTGGGGTGATGCTGGCAGGGGTGGTGCCAGCAGTTCTGTGCGAGATCAGCTGAAGAATGTTCAGCAGATTCAAGCGACGTCGTATGCGTTCGCTGCGATCCTTGGGGATGGCTCCGTGGTGACCTGGGGCTTTCCTGACCGCGGTGGTGACAGCAGCTCCGTGCGACATGAGCTGAAGAATGCGCAGCAGATTCAAGCAACCGAGGGGGCCTTTGCTGCGATCCTCAGTGATGGCTCCGTTGTGACCTGGGGCGATGGTATCTGCGGTGGCGACAGCAGTGCTGTGCGACATGAGCTGAAGAATGTGCAGCGGATTCAAGCAACGGCGCAGGCCTTTTCTGCGATCCTGGGGGATGGCTCCGTGGTGACCTGGGGTAGTGCTGATTTCGGTGGTGACAGTAGTGCTGTGCGAGATCAGCTCAATCAAAGCTACGAGTAGAAAGCAAACCCAGACAGTGCGAATCATTTCTGCGCGCGTCTCCGGTGACTTTGTCGGTGAAACGCTCATCGTAGCATTGAACCCTAAACCCAAACCCCTAAACCCCTCAACCCCTAAACCCCCAGTCCCTGAACCCCTAAACCCCCAAATCCTAAACCCTACTAAGCCCCAGTAGTCTCTCTATACCTAATGCCTGAAGTCCGGAATCCTCCAGAGACCTGGTACTTGACCACAGCCTTTGAGCAGATTAAGGTAGGGTTTAGGGTTTAGGGGTGTAGGGGTGTAGGGGTCAGGGGTTAGGGTTTGGGGGTTTAGGGGTCTAGGGTTTAAGGCTTTAGGGCTTTAGGCATTTAGGGGTTTAGGGGTTCAGGATTTAGGACTTTAGGGGTTTGGGGGTTTAGGGTTTAGGCTTAGGTCTTCGGTCACCGAGGGCCGGCCCAAGATAGCGAATGTTGACAAGAAGACAAGTCTCACAAAGGTCGGGATACTTTCAAGCAGCATTCCCGCTCGTCTTAAGCCCTATCTCTATGTTACAAAATAATCCAGCACTCCACAAAAAGCCCAGAGTTGCCACTCCAAGCCCTAAGCATTAAACTCCAAACCTGGGCCGGAGGCGGGTGGACCTTCGGGCATCGCACGTATAATAACCAACTTAGTGGCTGACTTAGTACACGTAATCGAACCCGTACAGAACCAAAAGCTTAAAACCCTAAATCCTAAACTAAACCCGACACTCTAAATCCAAACTTCGCAGGGCCCCTGGGGGAAGGACTCCGACAAGTCGCTCGGTAGCATTTTGCATTTTGGTCTCTGGTGTAAGTTGAGTTCACGGGTTAGGGATTATAGGGTTTAGCAGCTCGGGGTCGAGCCGTTTTTCGTCGAGCTCGCTACTTCGATCCTAGAAAAATACCCACCCACCCAGGAACCCTCAACATTAAGAAACCACTTATTTTAGTCCTAGAGCTTACTTACTGAACCCCAGAGCTTAAACTTTCTCACCTCTAGCAGCGATCAAACCCTCTGACCATGTGATACAACCACAGGATACCCCTTAACCCTATGATACCAACTCAGCATTTTAGATCCTATGATACAGCCCGCAGCATCGCCCTTAAACCCGATGATACTCTGCAACGGTGACCAACCCAATGAAGACAAAACATGAGCACTTTACGGCAGAAGGTCCGTGTTTTTTTCGTCAGCCTCAACCCTAAACCCCTAAACCCCTAAACCCCTAAACCCTAAACCCCTAAACCCCTAAACCCTAAACCCCTAAACCCCTAAACCCCTAAACCCTAAACCCCTAAACCCTAAGGGTTGAGGGTTTGGGGGTTGCGGGTGAAGATGTAGGGTTTGGAGCATCTCCTCACTGGGAAGTAGCAGCATGGCATGGTCTTCTGACACAAGCCATAATAGGGATCCTTAAAGGGTTCCTTAAAGGGATCTATAAGGGTTCTATGAAGGGTTTAGGGTTTAGAGTTTCCGAGAATAGGGGTACCTTAGTTGGGGGTCCTTATAATAAGGTAGGACTATATTAGGGTCCCCTATTTTCGGAAACCCCCATATGGCACAGTGCTTTATCACTAAGTAGCTGAGTAGGTAACCTTTAACCTATTGGGGTTTATACAATCCTACCATAATTGAAAACGTTAACCTTTTTCGGGCTAGGGTACTCCCTAAATCCTAGCCCCTAAATCCTAAACCCTGAACCCTAAACCCTACCCTTTTTTGGGCTAGGGTACTCAGCCCCTAAGATCATAGCCTTATTCGAGCCGGTACCAAAAACATGGCGGCCTAATTAATGCGTTGTTTTTTTTGTTGTGGTTTGTTGTTGTGGTGTTGCTCCTGTCTGCTGATGGTCAAGCTTAAGGCACCCACTTCCTTCGAAAAGTCCTTAAGAAGGTAGGTTAGGTACGGCCCCCACTCAGTAATAGTTGAATAATATTCATAGTAGTAGCCCTATTATAGACTCTTACTGTAAGGGGGCCGTACCTACAAGGTAGGTTATTTGGGGTCAAGGTAGAGGACCGGAGGTTCGCTGGGTTGAAACTGAGGAATCCTTCGTCTGTGCTCTGCCGCTAAACCCTAAACCCTTAACCCCTAAACCCTAAACCCTGAACCCCTAAACCCTAAACCCCTAAACCCTAAACCCTAAACCCCAACTCCTAATTACTTTCGAGCAAACCTCGGGGGCTGGAGTTGAGGTGTTCCTTAAGGACCAAGTGACTCTCAAAAGTCGGGGCCCGATACAATGACACGATGGATCTCTATAAGATAGAGGAACCCTAAACCCTTTTAGGGATCTTTTCGTCCTTCAGCTTCGGATTGTTCTCAGGCTACCTCCTCGGATTCGGCTCGCAGGGGCAGGGACCCTAAACCCTTAACGCTTAACCGCACACCCTAAACCCTAACCCGGTGTTAGAGTCATACGAGTTATTAGCTACTATTTGCTTAAGAACCCCCCAAAAAATTAAAAATTATAATCCCTATATTGTCCCTATAAGGAATATATATATATATATATATATATATATATATTTATTTTTTGGGGGTTCTTAAGCAAATAGTAGTTCTTAGAGTTCGGGTTCGCCTCGCAGCCCGAGGTGGACTCCTGAACTCAAGCTGCGCCTTGGGGTCCCAAGCCCAGACCTTCAGGGGCCTCGTTAAGGTTCCTTACAGTACAGGTTTAGGGTTCAGGGTTTAAGGGTTTAGGGTTTAAGGGTTTAGGGTTTAAGGGTTTAGGGTTTAGGGTTTAAGGGTTTAGGGTGCAGGGTTTAGGGTATAAGGGATCCTAGCTTCGATAAGGGATCTATAGGGGTTTAAGGGGTTCCTACTTAGAGTTCCTTACAGCGGCTCTATAAGGGATCCTACTTGGAGGGGCAGGGGACTTAGTAAGTAGGGTATAAGTAGGGTTATAATTGGGGTTCCTCCATTCAGGGTTCTTATAACTCTACTTATAACCTATTTACTAAGTCCCCTGCCCCTCCAAGTAGCTTCGATACGGGATCTATAGGGGTCTAGGGTTTCCTGGTTTCCTGAGAAGTACCCTTTTGCCCTTTTTGCTTTTCTCTTCCCTTATCCAAACCAAATAGCAGGAAGAAGGGTACCCTCATTAAACGAGGCTACTCAGGAACCTAGTCTAGGACCCAGAGTAAGCCCTTATTCCCTTTTTTGGGGTTCAGGTTCCCTTATAAGCCCCTTTAAAGCAAAAAGGGCATCCTTTTTGTTCCTAGGTTACTCTTGGGTCTAGAGTCAGGAACCTAGTTAGGGTTCTACAAGGGTTCTTCTGGGTTCAGGGTTTAGGGTGGTTTCGGGCCTAGAGTCTAGAGTTTAGGACTCACAGTTAGGGGCCTCAGGATTTTGGTTTAGGGTTTAGGGTTTAGGGTTTCAGTTCAGGGGTTCAGAATTTTGGATATTTGCGGTTGGTGACTTGGTTTTGCTTCGAGCAAGATCGTGGTCTAGGGTGGTAAATAAACCCCCTACCTCAAAAGGATGATAGGGATCGCAAGACTCAGCTCCCTAACGAGAGAGTGTATTTATCAGCGTATACACAGATTGAATCCCCCAATTTGCAATGCTAAAGGATTTTAGCATAAGTTGGCTCGGGCACTTGAACTTTAGCCTTCTTCAGCCAGCGGCTCAGAGATCGACATTCACCCGGCCCACCCGCCCGGCGCGATCATATCTTTGGTTTGGTATATTTTGCCCTCCGAAAGGGGACGGCCTACATAGCAGAAGCAACTTTCTCGTCTGCAGCGGTACAAAGCTCCGGTTCGGTTAAACAAGAGCCTAAGCCCGAAAACCCTAAACCCAAGGTTTAGGGTTTAAGGTTTAGGGTTTAGGGTAAAACCCAAGCACCATCACAGCCAGGTTGTCAACAGCTCCAATGTGCTCATGGAGGCATCGACCAGCGCATTGCAGTACGAACCCCTACATACACGGCCACGCATCTTGAAAAGCTTAGCAACCCTAAGGATCTGCCAGAAACCCCACATGAGTCTTACAAAGCACCAAAAAAACCTGAATAAACTCGTGGTAACCCTAATGGTTGCGCAGCTGGGGAATAGGGTCCCACGGGGTCGATCCGGTTGAGGCTTTGGAGGTATAGAGTCTACTTTAACCCGGAATAACCTATCTTTGAATGACCTATATAAGGAAATCATAGTAGTGAACCCTAAAAAGGTAGGTTATTCAGGTTAAGGTAGAGTGTACGGCAGAGCAATCTGGGTGCTGGTGCCATCGATCAGGTAGGACACGGTAGTTTGGATTGAGGGTTTGAGGGTGCAACTAATATGGGGGCCTTAATAATTGGAATAGGGTTTTGGGGCCCATTATACCGCTTTCGTAATAAGGAACCCCAAAAGAGTACGGATACTTATTCAGGCCCCTTGTGTATGTGTGATCAGCGCTGAACCCGGGCAAGCAGATTCAAGGGAGGAAAGCACCGCGTGCTACGTCTTTCTGCCCCTAAACCCAACACCCTGCACCCAAAACCCTGCACCCTAGACCCCACACCCTAAACTCTAAGTCAGTCTAAACCCTACTCAACCTCAGCTTAACCCAAGCCGTCCAAAAGACGTGCTTGACTGAGGAGCGTTCCATATTCCGATTGACATCCTGTGAATCTGTGGGTTCCGGGTCTAGGGAGTTAGGGTTCAGGGTTTACAACGTTCAATCAGAGGGGCACATATTGACGGCAGACCCCGTTCAATTCAGGAATTCAAGCTCTCGGATTTAGAGCCGTCGGGTTTATGCTTTAGATTTCAGGTGTCATTCTGGTGTACTCTCCGTCATGTTGTGGAAACCCTGAAGCTTCAAGCCATGCACCTTCAAACCAAACTCCTACATGGTGGTCAGAACCCGTCGCCTTGCGTTTGAACCATAAGCCCTTACGAAAACTTCCAAAACCCGGGCAAACAGAGTCTAACCTCCAAAGCTCGTATAGAATCCTGGGCATCGATCCCGTCCGTCTTGTCTAAAGCAGCGCTTCAATGCTCAAGTCCTAGGCCCTAAACCCTAACCCTAACCCCCCCCGCCTCCTTCCTAGAGACCCCAATATCCCTTAATTAGGCAATACCTTATTAACCCCAAGTAACCTACCTTTTCAAGGACTTTTATAAAGAAGTCATATGACGGAACCCTAAAAAGGTAGGCTCCTTAGGGTCCAGGTATACCTTAAATTAAATCAGATGAGGGAGCCATCTATAATTTACGGAATATCTCCTAACAGAGTGATATCGGAGACCCTGGGTTCCAGAACCCTAAACCCCTAAACTCCTAAACCCCTACACCCCTAAACCCTAAACCCCTAAACCCTGAACCCTAAACCCTAAGGAGCCCTGTAAACAAAAAAAATTAAACCCTAAACCCTATAAACCCTAAACCCTATAGATCCCTTATAGATCCCTTAAAAAGGAACCCTAGGTGACCCCAAACCCCCCTTTTCCTTCTTCCAGCAGGATCCCAATATCGCGCAATTAAGGAATATCCCTTAAATCATATTAGGGATCCTACTATAATGTAAGCCATATTCCTTAATTCAGGGGTATTGGGCCCTCTGGGTTCTTCCAGCAGGATCCCATGTCCGTCTTCTGGATGCAGTTCGAGGCCTGGCCTGGGCTTAGGGTTGGAGCGTTCCTTTACTAACCATTGATATTGGGGGAGCTAAGGAGCCAGGGATGATGATCATCCCTATCAAAGAAGGAGCTAAAGAGCCAAGGGAACCCCCAAAACCACTGGTTAGTTAAGGACGAAATGAGCCCTAAAAGGGTTTAAGGTTCATATACCATAACCCCAATTAGGATCCCTTTTGGGGTACCTATAAGTCTACTTACTACCTACTTACTAAATCCCCCGACCCTCCAAGCGTTCTTTTAGGACGAAATGCCTTAAAAGGGTTTAAGGTTCATATACCATATAAGCATTCATAGCTATATAGGGCTTTCGGGACGTTTTAGGGTTTAGGGTTTAGGGTTGGAGCGTTCCTTTAGGACGAAATTCAAAGGGGAAAAGGAGGGACCCTTAATGGGGACCCCTACCCTATAATGGGCCATGTAATGGGTATATAATAGCTATATTAAGGGCATATACCTAGGGGTCCTTATTAAGGGTCCCTCCTTTTAGGACGAAATGCTGGGCTTTCGAGTACCATACTTTAATACTTTTTGTCTTAATGGAACCAGTATAAAATGAAAGTTTATACTTTGTTCTCCCTGGTTACTTAAAGGCCCAGAATGAGCCCTAAATTGGTTTAAGGTTCAAATGGGTGGTTGTCAAAATTATGGTCCCTTGTACCCTAAATATCAGGTGCCGTATTATAATAAGGACCCAAACACGGACCCAAATTTTGACAGCCACCCATATACCATATAGGGATTCATAGTATATGGGTATGGGGTTTGAAGAAGGGATAGTACATGATTTGTCTTAGGTTTTTTAGGGGTTTCACGACCCTAAAACCCCAAACCCTAAACTCGGAACCCTAAACCCCAAATCCTATCCTATAAGCCCTAAACCGCCGAGATCTGGCATGGACCCCCAATTTCCAGCGCTTGCGCTTTTTGGGGTGCCTAGAGACTCCAATATCCCTTAATTAAGGAATATACCTTAAATCATATTAGGGATCCTACCAAAATTTAAGGAATATTCCTTAATTGAGGGTTGTTGAAGTCCCCTTAACCCTATACCCTACAGATCCCTTAAAGGAACCCTAGGTATTCCTTATATGGTCTCTGGGTGGTCTGGGGGTATTTGTTGGGGGGTCCCGGGGCACCAGGTGGGCAGATTACAGCAACTGTTGCAGTCTCTACACCGCCACCTGGAGCATTTGCACCTACAGTGGGAGGACATATGGAAGGAGTTGGCTATCAGAACCAGGGTTTTGCACCTCGGACAGGCACCTCTGCATGTCGGCCCTGCTATTTTGTTATTTGACCATTTCACTCCGCATACAGTACTGCCGTGGCCGATGTTTGGCGTTGGCAGCCCGAGATGCTACAGGAGTTTCCTCCTCCTCCTGTGGGTAAAGATGAAGACATGCAGTATGAGTTGAAAGAATCAGAGAGGGCCTCCTGTGCCGGTCCTGGTTTAGGGTTTAGGGTTTTAGGGTCTAGGGTTTAGGGTTTAGGGTTTAGGGTTTTAGGGTTTTAGGGTTTGGTGTCCAGGGTTTTAGGGTGTAGGGTTTAGGGATTCAGGGTTTTCGGGTTTAGGGTCTGGAGTTTAGGGTTTAGGGTTTTAGGGTTTGGGGTCTAGGGTTTAGGGTTTAGTATTGGGCTCGGAGAATATACTGGCGCCTAAATCATTCGAAGAGTCTTTGAGGGCTGCTTTTTGGGCTAAAAACGGTTTTGGTATAGGAGAGTACAGGGGTTTGGGGTATGTTATGGTATGGTTACAACAGGGAACCTTAACGAACAGTGTTGGTAATTATTCAGTCTCCTGCATTGGAGCTCCCTCCTCTGTCATCCCGTTTTCATAGCGGCTCGTACACCGCAATGCAGGAATATACCTCAACGCACAATGTTAAGCCCCTTGTAATTTAAGGTATACCCCCGAACTTAAATTAAGGAAGACACCGAACATCATTATATATAAAAAAAGGATGTCCCCGATAGGTTTAAGCTCTATATTCCTGAATTTAGGGGGGTGGGGCTCTGTGGGCTGGACCTGAATTCCCATGATGGGGGAGTTTCAGAAAATATGGGACCCTACCCTAAATAGTCGGATCCTGATTATAAGGCACCCAAATAAGGTACCCAAAATTTTGGGAAACTCCCATGGAGCTCAAAAGCTTCGGAACATAGACCCCGAACTACATGCTCAACCCTAAACCCTTTACCCGAAGCCCTTGAACCCTGAAATACGGCTGATGATATAAATCCTGCATTGCCCATAATAAGGAATACACCATACTCCCCATAGTTTAGGGTCCTTAAGGTAATGCAGGATTTATATCATCAACCGTACCCTAATTAAATGCCCCAGCCACTTAAGGAACCTAGGACGTGAAGACCCTAGAAAGCTCTGTATATTCCCTTCACAACACCTTAGAAAACCCACGACATGAAAAGGGTGCTTATTGCAGTATCCGGATATCTTAATGAACCGGCGGGCGTTTGTCAATCACGCGTTTGCATGACATGCCAACCCTAACCCCGTAATGCAGGGTTCGGAAGAACTAAAATTAAGATTACAAGTTATGGCCGTTCTAGAATTCAGCGATAGTAAACCAACAAACACCCTAAAACCGATAGCCTCTGAAAGGTTCAACACATGAAGTGGTAAACTCTAAACCCTAAACCCTGGAAATCTCTAGCAAGAACCCAAATATCGCCTAGCAGACGTTTCGAAGACATGTATGGTCTGGGTGTTTAGGGTTTAGGCCACTTGTGAAGCCCGAAACTCGAAAGCCAGAATCTCAGCAAATGATGCATGGAACGCCAGTAAACCACTTCCAAGCCACGCTTTAACATTAAAAGCTTGTAGACCCTCACAAAACCCCCCACAAGCCCAGATAAACCCTTTCGAAAAGTAAACCAGGACGTGAAGGAGTACTTCGGGGCGGTGGAGATCTGCCGCATCCATGAGAATTGGAGCTCGGACCGAACGCAGGCCAGGCCCTGCCATTCGCTGTTTCAGTCTGGTTTTACAGGGCTTGTGAGGGTTTGGCGAGGGTTTTAGAAGCATCGTTTTGAGAAGGGTTTGTACACCTGTAACCCCAAACCCTACAAAATGGTCGGTTATGACCCCTTAATTAGAGGGTCTGACCCCTTAAAACGGTAGGTTTTTGGATCCACAGGCATGAATTGCAAGGTTCTTTCGTGTGCTATCGAGTCCCTAGCTTTTTTGCCGGCCAATACCCCATGAAAGAACGGGCTGTACTTGGAGGGGCAGGGGACTTAGTAAGTAGAGTTATAAGTACCCTAAATGGAGTTACCCCAATTATAACCCTATTTATAACCTACTTACAGAGTCCCCTGCCCTTCCAAGTATATCAACAGAAGAAGCCCTCTATAGTTTCAGCAGGGTCTGCGCAGAGCTTTTCAGGGTTTTCAAAAGAGGTTTCGGTAGCATTGTTTTGTATGTTTTTGTGTAGGGGGGTGAAAGGGCGGGGTCGGTGTCTAACGGTATCAGGGTTTACTTGCCAGAGTTGCATCGCTCTCGACCTGGCTGGAGGTGTTTTCGGACGCGTTTTGGAGTTCTTTTGGGGAAATGGCAAAAAAGATGAATTGAGTTTCTTGCTGTTTAAACGAACTGGAATACTTAAAGGATCATGGGACTTGGTAAGTAGGTTATAATTGGGCTTACAACTTACAACCTTCCTTACTAAGTCCCATGAGCCTTCAAGTAGAGACAGCATAGAGACCCGGTGGGTAACGCTCCAGCGCAGGCGAACTTCATACCTCAGTAGGTAACACGTACCGGGATTCTAGGGACCCTTAAGGGTTCATATTAGGTATATAGTAGGTATATAAGGCTCCCAGGGTTAAGGGCCCATACTCTTCTTGGCTGTAGACTGAACTTTTCAACTTTTGAGGTTCTTATAAGGTAGTCGATTGTGAAAGTTTCAACTTTTATTCCCTTGGGTTTTGGGCCAGTGAGTACTTTGCCAGGCTGCAAATACAGGGCCCCAAGCTTCAAAAGCCTAAACCCCATCCAAGCACCCAAAACCGCAATATAGGGGTCGTACAAGTTACTTCTAGTGTCTGTGTGTATATACAAACATTTCATGTGTATGTATATGAGACGTATACTTATGCTGTTGTTCAGTTTTGTATGTATAGAATTCGGGAGGCTACAATAGTATACAGTAAGGTCCCCGGTGTTAAACCCAAATAAATTTTCTGGGATACCAGCAACTCGGCAACCAAGTAGAATTTCATTTGTAGTTCCCTTTTTATAAAGTTGGTTGACCCAAACCAGGAGCTATACACATGCAGTGGACACGTAGTTGCTACAAGGGTAGTTCCTGCAAAGTTCCCTGTATTTCTGTTGAAATCAAAGACCGTATTCTATATCTTCCTCACAGAGGGGGATTTGCACAGTCTCCGAGTACTGCCAAAAACACACCACGTTCTACAACTCTGACAATTCCCTTAGAGGATCAATGGACTAAGTAAGTAGGTTATTGTTGGGGTTGTAAGTCCCCTAAGTGGGGTTATCCTACGTATAGCCTACTTATAACCTTACTCACTAAGTCCCATGATCCTTTAAGTAGACCCTAAACCCTAAACCCTTCTTATAGAACCCTATAGTACCCTTACAGGGAACCCTAAGCCCTTACTAGCTAAGTCCCATGATCCTTTAAGTAAACCCTAAACCCTATAGATCCCTTTAAGGAACCCTATAGATCCCTATAAGGACCCCTTTAAGGAACCTTACTAAGTCCCATGATCCTTTAACTAATGAATCCTGAGTCCGTACAGAAGCCTTGAAATGCCCGAAGCCCTCCCCTCGTGAATCCATAGCAAAAAATAAGCTGCGCTGCAGGCAATCCTAGAGACTCCAATATCCCTTAATTAAGGAATACACCTTACGTCATATTAGGGATCCTGCCATAATTTAAGGAATATTCCTTAATTAAGAGATATTGGAGTCTCTGAGATGTTAGGGTTGAGGGGTTAGGGTTTGGGAGGAGGACAAACCATAGGTTCCCACAGCGTCCTCTTCTGCAGGGTTTAGGGTTTAGGGAATATGGGAGTTTCCGACATGATTTTGGGTGCCCTTGTAATAAGGATCCTACTTTTTTAGGGTGCTATATATTACGGTCCACCGTTTTCGGAAACTCCCATATAGCTCCGTCAGGGCAATCTTGAGCTTTTGAATCGCTGTAAAGCCCGCCCTCAGCCCTAAGCCTACTAGAACCCTACTTGGAGGGTCGGGGGACTTAGTAACTGGTTATTTTAGGGGCTTATATATAAGTACCATAACCCCAATTAGGGTCCCTTTTAGGGTACCTATAAGTCTACTTACTACCTACTTACTAAGTCCCCCGACCCTCCAAGTACAGGCTAAACCCTGAACCACAAGCCGCTCCGTTTCCTTACCAGGTTTGGCTCCCATCCATGGTCGGACCCGGCCAGGGCGTCGATGTCCAAAGCTCGGAAATACTTGGAGGGTCGAGGAACTTAGTAAGTAGATAATAAGTAGACTTGTAAGTACCCTAAAAGGGACCCTAATTGGGGTTACGATACTCATGACTATACAGTAACTACTTACTAAGTCCTCCGACCCTCCAAGTATAATTTAGGGCTTGGGGTTCCGTCAGGTTTAGGAATCCATAAGTCCATCAGGTTTAGAAGGTTTAGGATTTTATAAGTAAGGTATTATGTTCTATAGAGCTTTGGGTCTGTACGTCTTACGGTTTCGGGAAAGCAGAGAAGAATTCTGGCTTCGTTAAGGGGTTCAGTTCAAGTTACCAAAATAAAGGGATTCAAGTTACCATAACAAAAGGATCTATAGTTTTTATCGAAAGTAGCAGGGTTTTCTGATTTTTGATATCTGTAATTATGTTCCTTACCCCTTAAATCCTAAGCCCTAAAACCCCGAACCGATAACCCTAAATCGGGATCCAGAAATACGAACAAGAGCCCATCATTGGCGGCTAGGAGGCAGATCCGGCTTAGAGTTAGAGTTAAAACGGCGCCATGTGGGGGAGTTTTGGTCTCCTTGCGCATCCATTACCCCTGGTGTCCCCACCCGCTGCGCGCGGGCACACAGCATCTTCTGTTTAGGATGTCCTTAAGGGGGGGTGGTCCAAGGGGGGTAGGTAACCTAGTAATCCCCATTATTCCCCAATACTCCCTAAGCTTCCCTAAGGTTCCCCAAAGCTCCCTAGTACCCTCCCCCCTTGAACCACCCCCCCTTAAGGATCCTATAATCTGTTGGAATCCAGGTGCTTTGCTGAGTAAGTCCAACTTAGGCGGTGTGTTGACAGTGACCTTCAAATGCATTGTTTACAAATCCCTAAACCCTAAGACGGTAGGGGTTCCTTATTACAGTTATAGCTTAATGGGCCCCAAAACCCTATTCTAATTATTAAGGCCCCTATACCAGTGATCCAAAGAGGTCACGGTCTTCCGGCGAACAGCTGTTGACATTTGCATCTGGCAAGAGAAGCACATCGCCCGCGAGGCGGTGACGGGCCAAAGGGTCGGAAGATTCTTGCCTAGGGTTCCTAGGGTTCCTGTAAAGGGGTCTATAAGGGCTACTATAAGGGCTATGATAAGGATTTACTATAGGGGCCTTAATGATTACTTATACCATTTTGAGGGTTCCTTCTTATTTTTATAGTATAATTGGCCCCCAAATCCTATTCTAGTTATTAAGGCCCCTATACTATAGAACCCTGCTATAGGTCCCTTATAGACCCCTGTAAGGAACGCTTTAAAGGAACCCTAGTCTTTTTATGAAGTAGGAGCTTAAGCCCGAGACTCTCAGTTTGAAAGGGACAGCAGCAAGTGGCTAAGGGTATTTAGGGTTTAGGGTTTAGGGGTTTGGATTGGGAAGAAAACTCTAAGAGCAACTTACCAGTAGCGAATCGGTCGAAAAGTTTTGGGTCAGTGGCTCTCAACAGTACATCTTAAGCCCGAAACTCGCTAAACCCGAACATCCGAAACCCTAAACCCGGAAACTCGTTGCCCTGCATCGTGTTTTCTTGCCCGGGCCAGACTGCCAGGCTGCCTTGCAGGCAAAAGCCACAAACATAGACGCACCTTGGCTTCGTTTTGGCTTACTTGGAGGGTCGGGGGACTTAGTAAGTAGGTAGTAAGTAGACTTATAAGTACCCTAAAAGGGACCCTAATTGGGGTTATGGTACTTATAAGCCCCTAAAATAACCAGTTACTATGTCCCCCGACCCTCCAAGTAGTCCCCGGCCATCAACCCTAAACCTTAACTTGTGGCTTACCAAAACCCCTGGCCTGTTAATGGAGCCCTCATGTTCCTTAATGGTGGGTATTTAGGGTATATTAGAGGGTAGTTGGGGGGGCTAAGTAGGGCTTGGGGCTTGGATTTCGGTTGCATGATTGAGGGCTAAGTGGGATGTCCTGGTTTCTCTCAATCGCTGATTCGCCTCGGTTCCTGAGTAGTGCCCTTTTGCACTGTTTGGTTTTGGCGAATGAGGCTACTTAGGAACCTAGTCATAACCATCGTCAACCACTCAACATCGTCATCATCGTTACCGTTTTGAATCAGCACTCGTCGTAACAGGCCTAGGCAGAAATGTCTGTATATGTACCCTGCGTCATGTATATATGCAATGTACGTTCGGCATGTAATATAGGGGCTGTAACAATTGGAATAGGTTTGGGGGGCCCATTATACAAGAATAAGGAATCCCCAAAATAGTATTGGTAACTATTTAGGCCTCTATAGGGGTAAGTAGAAAAATCATCTTTGGCTTTTACCATCCCTAAGAAACAGCTAAAATTATAATAGTTGCCAGTGGTCCAAGTTCAGTAAGTCTAAAGCCCTAGGAAAACTGCGGCCAGTAGCAATGGCGGCAGCAGTGGCGAAAATCGCAGTCAGCATGAGCAGTAGTAAGTTACCCCCAAACCCCAAAGCCTAAACACGAAACTTCTAAACCCCTAAGCCCCTAAATCCCTTCACCCCAAACCCTTAAACTCTAAGTCCCTAACCCCCCCTAAACCCCTAAGCCCTTACACCCCCCTGAATCCCTGAACCCCAAACCCCTAAGCCCTGAACCGTTAAACCCCTGAGCCCTAAATCCTTAACTCTGACCCTAAATCCCCTAAAGGGAGCCCTATTCTAGAACCCTATACTACCTTTAAATCTGCCGTAGTTTGGGGAACATTTTACATTTTTATGGGTACTTAAACCCATTAATAAGGGATAAACATGTAAATTGTCAATACTACCCCAACCCTGAACTAGTAAAAGGGACCCTAAACCCCTAAACCCCTAAACCCTAAACCCTAAACCCCTAAACCCTAAACCCCTAAACCCTAAACCCTAAACCCCTAAACCCCTAAACCCCGAGAGATGAGGTCGGCTTTGCGGTTTTCAGGAAGTTGGGCCCGGGCTCCGACGGGAAGATGAGGTGCGCCTTAGGGTTTAGGGGTTTAGGATCTTGGGTTTCGGAGTTGGGGTTTCGAATTCCGAGTTTGGGGAGTTGGTGTTTTTTTTTACAGTTTAGGGTTTTCGGTGTTTTTTTGAAGTTGTGGTTGAGGGTGTTAGGGTTTTCGGAGTTGTTTTTTGTTTTTAGGGTTTAGGGTTTTCGGAGTTTTGGGAGTTTGGGTTGAGGGGTTTAGGGTTTTTGGGGGGTCTGTGGGTTTATTTAAGTTTTGGATTTAGAATTTTCCGAGTCTGTGAGGAGTTTGTTTCGGTTTTGGGTTTAGGTTTGGTGTTGACGTTAGAAGGGGCCCCCACCCTGTAATAGTGACTATAAGGATTATATTGGGGTCCCCTCATATTCCTATTATACCACTATTAACTATTACAGGGTGGCGGCCCCTTCTAATGTTTACGGTTTTCGGAGTTTCTTCTTTTTTCCGCCCGCGGGCGGAGTGGAGGGGAGAAGCTTTTGGTTCTTGGGGTTTAGGGTTGGGGCTTGGGTTTAGGGTTTAGGGTTTATCAAAGGGGAAAAGGAGGGACCCTTAATGGGGACCCCTACCCCATAATGGGGCTATATGAAGGGTATATAATAGCTATATAAGGGGTATATACCTGGGGGTCCTTATTAAGGGTCCCTCCTTTTACCCTTGGAGTTTAGGGCTTGGTGTTTGAGGAGGGAAATTTCGGTCCTGAGAATTATGGGGTTGAGGATTTGCTTGGTTGCTTCTCAAGTTTGTGTCTTGTAAAGCCATCGGGCAGTGTTGTGCTTAGCAGCATTCTTTAGCATGAGCTTTTCAGTTTGCCATACTGGCTCAAGCAGTGTGCTGCAAGCCCAAACAGCATTCTCACACGCGCTTTCGCTTCCCTATCTCGCCTGCACAAGCCCAGTGCCTCGTAAATAAAGTTAAGCAGTTGCTCCTTCCAATCAATTTTGTGTCGTGTCTTTGTGGGTGGGTATTCGGCCTTATAGTGAACACTAATAAAATCCTCGCAGGACCTCTTGAAGGAATCCTAACTTCAAGGTATATTCCTTCATTATAACCGGTATTGAGCTCTCCGGGTAAGCGGCTACGACCCTGTAATAAACCCTTATTTCCCTTCTTGAAGGGCCCCTTAAAGGAACCCTAACTTCGAAGCGTTATTGGGCTGTCCTGGTAAGCAGGTAACTCCCCATATTATAGAACCCTTATAGATCTCTTGAAAGAACCCCTATAGATCTCTTAAAGGAACCCTTATAGATCTCTTAAAGGAACCCTTATAGATCTCTTAATGGAACCCTGATAGATCTCTTGAAGGAACCCTTTATAAGGAACCCTACTTGCTAAACCCCATGAGCCTTGAAGTAAGCTTTTCCCCTGTGGGCCTGCCTTCCCCTAAATCCTAAACCCTAAAGAGATGTGAAGGCCCCTACATGAAGCAGGTACGACCTCACAGCTAACCCTTATAGAACCTTATAGATCCCTTAAGATAACCTGTAAGGAGCCCTAGTTACTAAGTCCCATTATATAGCCTTACCTGGACCCTAAGGAACTTACCTTTTTAGGGTTGCCTAATATGACTTCTTTATATAAGTCCTTAAACAGGTAGGTTACTTGGGGTTAAGGTAAAGCAAGCAGGTACGACCTGACTGAGTATGTTGGACGCGCCCGAGCCGACGACGTCAGCGAGGAGATGATCCTCGAAGGCAGGTACACCAGGGAAAGGCTTACTTCAAGGCTCCTGGGACTTTGTAACTAGGGTTCCTTAAAGGGTTCCTTTAAGGGATCTTTCAGGGTTCTATAAGGGGGAGTTTAGGTTACAATGCATTTAAACACTCCTGCATCCCAGAGCCGAACCCTGAAACTCAAGAACTGCTGTAAAGTCCAAGCACTAAACACTGAGCTACACCCTAAAGCCCTAAACCCTGACCCCATACAGCACAAACTCATTAAGTGGAGTTCTTGAGCCGCAAGCAAGAACGCCAAGCCGAAAGCCCGAATGCACAAGAGTGCCATCGGAGCCTTGATAGCTAGACTAGGGTCGGTTCCTCAAGATCGGGTTCCTTATCATACTGTAATTATATCTACAGCGTAATTATGCCCCTGAAAGTTTGTGCTAACCATTATCAACCCCCTATATTGTCCAGCTGAAAACATGGGTCCGGCCCTCAAAGAAAGGTAGTTTATTAATCCTTGGACCCTAATCCCTTAGCCCTACTTAAAGGCTCATGGGACTTAGTAAGTCAGGTTATTAGTAGATGATAATAAGGAAACCCCCATTTGTGGGACTTGTAACCACAATTAACACCTACTTACTAAGTCCCATGATCATTTCAGCCACCCCCCACCCTTGTAGAACCCTTATAGATCCCCTCAAGGAACTCTTCAAGGACCCTAACTTCCAGGATCACTCAGCCCTAAACGCCCTCCACGCAGGGGGATACGTCTACCGTGTTGTGCCCGTCTCCTTCGGCCTTGCCCAGGACTCCTCCGAGCTTACGCAGTTGGAGGGTTTAGGGCTTCAGGGTTTAGGGTTTTAGGGTTTAGGGGTTTAGGGGGCATGCAAATCCCAACCCAGGGTCCAAGTTCAGGATGTTGAAAAGTTTAGGGCTTCAGAGTTTAGCGGTTGAACGGCTTACTTAAAGGCTATTGGGACATAGTAAGTAAGGTTATAACTAGGTTATAATTAGGATATTAGGGGACTTGTAACCCCAATTATAACCTACTTACTAAGTCCCATGATCCTTTACCTGAACTCCCCCTTATAGAACCCTTACTTATTTATAGATCCCTTAAAGGAGCCCTTTGAGGAACCCTAGTTACTAAGTCCCATGATCCTCTAAGTAGGGTGTCAGTTTCAGATTTCAGGGGTTTTGGGGTTGGAGGATCCCGGGGCTTTGCAGTTTATTCTTGTAAATTGTCTATAGTACCTTATGACGTTTCGTTTGTTGTTGTTTTCTTTTTTTAAAAAATTTTTTGTTCGTCATATAAAACCCAAGAGAATGTTAAACATAGTAGTTTTCATTATGGTTCTCAAGGGGGTATAGTGTAGGGTTGAGGGTTTAGGATTGTTGGGTTAAGGATTTGGTGCTGACATACACACAGTTGTTACAGTGGACAGGACATCCAGCAGAGTCACGACAGTGACATGACATGTTAGAACTTGGGTACTGCCCTCACTCCGTAATAGTTGAATAATATTCATAATACAGATATACTAGGACCGTGATAGTAGCCCTATTATAGACTCTTACTGTATGGGGGCCGTACCTAAGTTAGAACCCAACCACGACCTGAACCCGAGAAGGGTTTTTGCGGCTTATGGCTTAGGGACTTTAGGGTTTTGGGATGTCGGGTTGTGGGGGGGCCCTGAGTCGTGTAAACCCTCAACAGTACTTAAAGGCTCATGGGACTTAGTAAGTAGGGATATAAGTAGGTTATTGGTAGGATAACCTCACTTAGGGGGCTTGTAACCCCAATTATAAGCTACTTACTAAGTCCCATGATCCTCTAATTAGGCTAGGCTAAACCGTAAGCCCTCAAACCTAAACCTTCATCACATTTTCGGTTTAGGCCGTGTGGTCAGGTTGTGATTATCTGATTTCGCTCAAACTGAGACTGAGAGGGGCTTCTGTCGCGCATTGCAGTCCTCAATTTCTATTTAGGGAGTATCCAGCTTTTCTGTGGTGTCTTTTACAATAATGCTGCTTGGGTTTAGAGGGTTTGGGAAATCACAGGTCCATTTTCTCTGGCCGATTAGCGGTTGTGGTTGCGAGATGAGGTTAGACATCCATCGCGCAATACCATGACTTCGCGGGAAGCCGCCGTCACAATGACTTCAAGCACCAGGTTAGCCTCAATTCTCATACGCTTACGTGCAGAAGTATGCTAGTCTTTCCGTCCCTGCACAGACTTCCACTGCCGCCTAAGTACTATAGTGTTAGGGACCCCGAAAGCACATACGCATAAGATTTTATGGGATATCGCTTCAATATAAGGGGGTTTAAATGGGAACATCCCTATCCTAATTTTTGCTTATGCGCTTTTTGGGGCCCTATAGTCACGAACAGGTAATGCCCAAGCCCTCCGCCTCGCTAGAAGGCATTGTGAACATGTCGGGTTCCCTCTAAGTGTCATAGGAGGCCAACAGGGGTTTTAGCCTATTGGGGGTTTAGTAGGGATTAGGGTTCCCATAATAGGGTTCATATGAAGGAATCCCTACCCCAAGAATCTTAAACCCCCCTTTTGGCCTCCCATCAGAGTGCCTTCAAAAGGATGCCAAACCGGACGCGAAGGATCGAAGCGGGACCTGAAAGGGTGTCAAACAGGACGGTTTGGGGTTAGGGTTTAGGGTTTAGAACAGCGAGCCTGGCCCAAGCTTGCTTGCAAGGAAGTCTCGCCACGCAAAGCCGTCGTTGCGGTACATTCGGTCGGCAACTCAGGGTGAACCTGAAACCCTGAAACCCTAAAACCCTGAAGCCCTAAACCCGAAAAACCCTAAACCCTAAACCGTTAAACCCTGGCTCTTGAAATTCGAGAAAGTCGCAGGTTTCCCAAGTCTTCCTTGTTCAGGGCCCATTGCAAGGGGTAGAGGGGGGGTCGGTCCTTTCAAAGATCCCTAATACCCAACCTTTAAAAACCTTTTTGGGTTCTTGTAGTTTAGTAGGAATCGGAAAGTTTTAGCTTTTGTTTCTGTGGTTTATTGGGGTAGTAGGCTTTAGTTGGCCGAACATTGTCTGCCAGTTTGCCGTGCGGGGAGTAGACGCTTTCCATATATGCCTTGCCGCCCTTCGAAGTCTGGCAAATGCCCGCAGTTCCCAGGGTTTGTGGGAAGGTTTGCGTCATCCTCATTATGCTCATCATCCTCATCCTCATCGCTACCGTCGTCGTCATCGTCATGGTCGTCACCGAACACCACCATCGAGTTTGTAGTCTGAGCAGACTAAGAAGGACCGGAGCACAGAGATCAAGGCGTCAAACCATCCAACTGACGCACTAGCATATTACATTACATTCTATTATTATGTTGTCTTAAACATACGGTACACTCATCCATGGAAGACACCAGAAAACAAACACACACACACACACAGACATCTTTGGGTTGTCCCTTACACGAAAGTTGGGCGTCAGCCTGCAAGTGTCTCCGAGGTCCAGACCATCGAGACCCAGAAGGTGACGCTGGCAGGGAGCTGAGTCAGGCTACAAGAAATACTAGGACCCAGAGTAAGCCCTTATTCCCTTTTTTGGGGTTCAGTTCCCTTATAAACACCCTTTGAACCAAAAGGAGCACCCTTTTTATTACCAGGTTACTCTTGGGTCTAGAATATTGTCGCCGAAATAATTATCAATGTATTGTTCCTTAGGGTTCCTGACTTGATTTATACTGCAAAGAAAGGAATTCAACACCCTACATTTGTTAATTATTGAGGTCCCCACAAAAGGGTTCAGAATGGTGGCGGTGATGTCCACAGTGGTAGCTGAGGCCGCAGCAGCATTCACCGAACTTTCAGATCGCAGTGTGCTTAGACCCCTAAACCCTAAACCCTAAACCCCTAGACCCTAAGCCCCTAAACCCTAAACCCCTAAACTCTAGGGCTATGAACACCCCCCGCCCCCCATGCATGCGAATTTTCACAGTGTTATGCAATTCGATGCATCGTTACAGCACTGCATGATGAACGACCTTCTCTGTGACTCTTATAAGCCACTTGGAAACCATTCCTTTAACCGTGAAGATGCCACCAAAGCTCCTTAAACAGGGAGCCTGAAGGAGAACCTCCTGGTTTCTACCAGAGTGCCGATTCAAAACCGGGGGGGTTGAATTTAATTCCTACATGCTCCATCCGCAAGCCGCTATTCTTTAAGAAGCATTTCGGGTTTGGGGTGGAAGGTTTACCGTTTAAGGTGTAGGGCCAAACCCGAAACCCTGAAGCCCACTTAAAGGATCATGGGACTTAGTAACTAAGGTTATAATTAGAGACTGGTTATAATTAAGGGAACTATACTTATAACTACTTATAACCCCAATTAAGGTACTTATAACCTTACTTACGAAGTCCCATGATCCTCCAAGCAGGGTCAGAAACCATCGCGAAAAGCCTACTTAAAGGATCATGGGACTTAGTAAGCTTATAAGTAGGTTATAATTAGGATAACCCCACTTAGGGGACTTATTACCCCAATTATAACCTACTTACTAAGTCCCATGATCCTCTAAGTTCCCCAAACTCCCCCTTATAGAACCCTTATAGACTTATAGATCCCTTAAAAAGGAGCCCGTTAAAGGAACCCTAGGGTTTCTTACTAAGTCCCATGATCCTCTAAGTATTGAGGATTGGTCGGACACAGCTGCGGCCGTATTCGAGGGCGCACGGCGGAAAGGCAAGAAGAGGCACCGTCGTAGGTTTAGGGTTTAGGGTTTAGAATTTTGGGTTTAGGGTTTATAATTTAGGATACCTTTGAAAAAACTCCTTTAAGGGATCTATAGGCTTTTAGGGTTTAGGGTTGATGATATAAATCCTGCATTACCTTAACGACCCTAACCTATGGGAATTATTCCTTATCATGGGTAATGCAGGGTTTATATCATCAAACGTAGGTTAACTGCCGACACAGTTGAGGGTTCGGGGTTTTGGGCATCTAGGTTCTGATCGTCAGCCCAGCTTCCTGCACTGAATACACGCTTCTTCTGCCGTTTCTGAGTATAGTATGGGAGTCGGAACGCTTAGTGATACCATCCACAGCCCCTGTATGTCCATAGGACATAGGATTTGTGGAGTTTCCGAAAACTAGGGGTCCTCATTTTGGGTTCGTTTTTAAAGGATCCTACTATTTAGGTCCCCTGTTTTCGGAAACTCCCATCTATTCAGACTTTTTCAGGCCCCTCGACTACCAGGTTGGATTTTGGGACATTTTTGATTTTCCTTATTTGTGTTTATAAGGGACCCTATATATAGACATTTTTCATGGTGTTTAAAGGCCAACCCAGACTATGAAACTCCTGATCTCCAGGTAAGATGTGGGAGTTTCCGAAACTTAGGGGGTACCTTATCTTGGGGTCCTTTATTACTACAAGGGTACTATAAGGGTTCCTTTCAAGGGCTCTATAAGGGTTTGTAAGGGTTTTCCAAGAAGTAGGGGTACCTTATTTTGGGGGCCTTATAATAAGGATTCCAGTGTTTCGGGTACTATATTCGGGTCCCCTATTTGTGGAAACTCCCATGCGTCGTCCATATGGCTGGTTCTCTGAATGAGTCAGGTAGTCTATTTGACACCCCAAAATTGAAACGACCTCAGTTTACAGAGCCGCCCTTGGGATCTGCAAATATCCATATTCGCCCACCTGCGTCTCAAACCCTACACCGCGGCGATTGCGAAGCTGTGCGAGGTTGTAGGAGGAAGGAACTTCTCAAGCTGCAGGGACGCTACGGATGCTCATGAAACTACTGGGATCTTGCTCAGGAGCGTAAGTATGTTCCGATTGTGGAACTAGAATGAGTTGCTACGGCTAGTATGCTGATCACAAGCCGGGTTTCTGGCCTGGGGGTTAGGGATCGTCTTCCGTCCAGTACCAACACCGGTTGGGTTAAAGAATCAAAAAACGTAGCCATCCCAGTGAACTGCTGCGACTGCCAGAAAGAAGCACTAACTGGGAGTAGCACAGAAAGGTTGCGTCTGCCTATACTTATGCACTTTAAGTGCATGCAAAACCCGTAGACAAGTTCTCCAGGACATACGGTCGTGAATTACGTCGCTCTCGATTAGGCACTAGGCCTGACGCGAGGATTTAGTTTAGAATTTACGGCCGCGCAAAGTGCTGGAGTTTGGGGTTTAGTCCGCTGGCCTGTGTTGTCCAACGAAAGCCACTCCAACCTGTGCAGCAGTTCAGCCGTATAACCTACAGGCCCTAGCTTAACCCCGAATAGCCTACCTTTTCTATCCTTTCCTATTGACTTATACAAGGAACTCATAAGCAGGAACCCATGAAAGGTAGGTTAGTCAGGGTTAAGGTGAGTCTTTTGACCACGTAATACAGAGAAATCTTCATCGTCAAACCAAGCCCCAAACCAGGCCTTGCACCATAAGCTTCACGAAGCTTAAGCCCTAAACCCTAAACCCTAAACACCTAAACCCTAAACCCTAAACACCTAAAACCCTAAACACCTAAACGGCTTAATCCCTCAGTTCCAAGTCCTGTAGGCTAACGTGCAAAAACTCGAGGCAAAACCATCCTAAGCCCTGGAGGCATGTTCAATCCCAAACCCAATAACAAAAAAATGACTGGGCAGGGTTTCTGTAAGGTTTCAGGCTCTGGGGTTTAAGGTGTAGAGTTCGCGCCTTAAGACATCAGATCTAGGGTTTAGGGCATCAGATTTAGGGTTCAGGGTTTAGGGTAGAGAGAGAGAGAGAGAGAGAGAGAAAGAGAGAAAGAGAGAAAGAGAGAAAGAGAGAAAGAGAGAAAGAGAGAAAGAGAGAAAGAGAGAGAGAGAGAGAGAGAGAAAGAGAGAGAGAGAGAGAGGGTTCCTTCAAAAAAATTGGCTGGAGGCAATTTCCAAACTTGGCAACTGGGGTGTCGGCCTTTGTCCTCCAAGAGGAGGCAGGTGATCGAACCGGCTTACGGGTTTTATATGGGTGGTTGTCAAAATTAGGGTCCCTTTTTGAGTACCCTAAATAACAGTGCCGTATTACATTAAGGACCCAAAAAGGGACCTTAATTTTGAAAGCCACCCATATAAGTTCCTAGAGATCTCTATGACCCTTAACTCGGTAATATACATTAAACTCTCAGTGGCTTCATATTTATGATATAAGCTTTCTTCCTCAATTAAGTTTTATGTGTGCTTAAGAGGGTCTTATTTCAGAATACTTCTTGAGGTCTTTAAAGGGCCAACCTACTTAGTTTTAGGGTGCAGGATTTCAGCACTCGGTCAAGCCCTCACCTCCTCATGTGTTCAGGCCTCGTCGCTTCGTCCAAGACACAGCCCCCTTCAGCCTGAACCGCAGACCTGAAGACCAACAACTCCTAAACCCCAAACCTGAGCAGCAAAAACTTCTAAACCCTACCTTAACCCCAAGTAACCTACCTGTTTAAGGACTTAGATAAAGAAATCATATTCGGGACCCCTAAAAACGTAGGGTTCCTTAGGGTCCAGGTAAACCCTGAACCCAAACCTGAAGACCAAAACGCCCTAAGTCCTAAGCCCGAAGCCATCCTAACACCATAAAACCTTGAAATGCCCCCCACATTGCCGTTCGTACCTTCACTTCCCAAAACCAAGTCATTTTTAGCTAGGATGCCCAGTAGTTCCCTTATTCCTTTTTTTGGAGTCGCAGGTTCCTTATAAAGTTACTCAATACCAAAAAGGGGCGCCCTTTTTATTCCTAGGTTACTGGGCATCCTAGTTAACGTCTTAGTATCAAGCCTCATAGAGCTTATAGGGACCCTGCCAACAAGTAGGTTTTGCCTGGTGAGCCCAGAGACTCCAATAGCCCTTAAAGAAGGAATATTGCTTAAATCACATTAGGGATCCTATTTGAGTTTAGGGAATATTCCTGAATGAAGGGATATTGGAGTCTCTGGGAAGGGGGACGTTCACCATCTTTCAGGCCGGTTTATCTCTGGTTGCCGAGAACTCGTCGGATCAGTTGGCAGCCATGCAGGCCCCTGGCACAACTGGCAGTTTCGGCTTAGGGGTTTAGGTTTAGAGTAAGTAGGGTTTTAGGGGTTTAGGGCAAAATAGTTTGTGGGATGAGAGTTTGGGTTTATGAGCTCAGGATCGTGGCAAGCGTAGGGTGTGGAAAGCCGTGGACATGATCATCTTCTTGATTCCTTCTATACTGACTTTGCCAGTCTTGCTGTGCGTCATCACGTCCCGACTATTATGTTCATCGTCGTCATCACCATCATCATGAGCATCATCCTCATGCTCATCCTAATCATCTCAACTGCTTCCTTGACTAGTCTACATCCTAAAACCCTTAGGCCTAACGGCTGCAGGGCACATCGCGTCCCTTCATGTGCCGTTTCCAAGCTTTCGTGTGTCTCGGGACAAGGATCCCCCCGTCCCGCCCATCCCAACAAACCGGACCCACTTCTAAATTACTTTTGAACCCAAGAAACCCGATAACGACCCTTCTCACATTTTGGAGATTCCACAAGCACTACGAACGGTTGCTGTGTCAACCGCTTCCAACTTTCGCCTTATGTGGCACTGGCTAAGTTCATCTTCCAACTTCTAAGTTTTGGCAGGACCACGCTTTCCTATAATACTGATGCCTTTTTGATTAGAATAGGGTTTTGGGGCCCATTATACTATCATTATATTATAGTTAGAATAAGGAATCCCCAAAATAGTATAGGTAAATACTTAGGCCCCTACATGGCCCTGGCCATGATGCACTCAATCCTCAAGACCGTTTAGGGGTTTAGGGTTTGGAGGCTCAGGGATATAGGGGCGCAGGGTCGGGGGGGTTCAGTGCTTTAAGGGTTTACGAAGGATCATGAGAGACTGCTCAGACTGTGTCAGAGAATGCGAAACACTGCCGACCACTGCAACAACGTCAGCGGGACCTTTGGTGAACCTCGTGCACAGCTCTGAACATCTCGAAGCTGAAACCGTGAAACCTCAAACCCCCGAGAAGCCGTATTTAAAGGCACATGGGACTTAGTAAGAAAGGTTCTATGCAGGTTATAATGAGGGTAACCCCACTTAGGGGACTTATAACCCTCAATCATAACCTACTTACTAAGTCCCATGATCCTTTAAGTATCCTAAACCAAACCCGCAAGGTCGATGCAAACGACTGCATCGGCGGTGGCCCTAGCAAGGAGTTTGCAGGTGTCTATTAAACAGATTTGAACGACAAACCTGCCATAAAGTCGAGACTATTTTCTAAACCCTAAGCCACGATATCTGAACGCTAAATAGTGGTGCAGGCTTTTTTTGGTATAGAATTGGCAGAGTTGCTGGTACTATTGGTGCTTGCACAATGAGTAGTATTGTTCCTTAGCTCAGATAGCCAAGGGGAGAGCTTCACATTTTCGAAGCCTCATGTATTTGGTCTATCTCAGAAAGTTCCAGCTTTTTTGGGCGCGGTTATTGAAGAAGAACATTAAGGTTCCTTGATCTTCCTTGTAGTACATTGCTTCGGTTGGTGATATAAATCCTGCATTACCCAGAATAAGGAATATATCATATCATATATATATATATATACACATTTATATACATATAAAGAGAGAGAGAGAGAGAGAGAGAGAGAGAGAGAGAGAGAGAGAGAGAGAGATATATATATACATATATATATATATATATATCCTACTTACCATTCCTTCAGGTAATGCAGGATTTCTACCAGGATGCTTCATAGCTTCAAATCCCTCCAGCGCGAAGACCTTCCCTCACAGCCTGGCGTGCAAGGACTACTGCCTCTCCGGAGTGAACCAAACTTAGGGGTACTTTGAAATGATTTTTTTTGGTTATTACAATCCCTAAGAAACAGCTAAAATTATGATTTTTGCTAGGGCTCTAAGCTCAGTATAGCAAAGGTCACTTCAAAGGTCTGTCCGGAAGGTAACAGTGGACCGTTCATCATGAGAACCGTGTTTTGAGGTATAGTGTTTAAAGCCTAATCTGCAGATGGCGGAAACGGGCCCTAATCGCAACCGAAACCCTAAAAGGCCTTAAGCCCGCAACCGAGTTGAAACTCTTACTTCGTGAGCCCCAAGCCCTTAGCCGCGAAACCCTGAAGCGAGTTGAGTGCCTTGGGTCTTAGGCCCCGAAATGCCTTTCCTCTTAGGCCCTTTGCAGCCTTTCGCACGGAAGTGTCCAAAAGGGGCCAGTGCCACCGTTCATATAGTATAGAGTATATAGTATATAGTATATAGTATATAGTATATAGTATATAGTATATAGTATATAGTATATAGTGTATGTAGTATAGTATAGTATACAGTATATTATACAGTATATAGTCCCAGTGCCACACTGGGTTTAGGGCTTTGGTTTTAGGGGCTAGGGCCGAACTATCGGCATCCTTTCGATGTTCACAATAACCCCCCCCGGCAGGAAAATTCAGGGTTTAGGGGTTAGGGTTTAGGGTTTAGGGATTAGGCTTAAGTCAGTACTAAGCTAACACAATTCTACATACAAGGAGTTCTTGCTAAACGAGACTCATCAGGCCTTTGTCAGAGAACCCTCCTCTCAGCAAACCTCCCAAGGCTGTGTCAGCTCTCGTGAGAGCTTCGACGCGGTGGTTGCCTTGCCTCCCAAGTCGCGGCAGGCGAGGTATAGAGCAATAGTAGCAAGAGTATACTTGACGGCTCGTGGGACTTCATAAGTACAGTTTATAAGCAAGGTCATCATTATGATAACCCTACTGCAGGTAACCCAATTACAACCTTACTGACTAAGTCCCATGATCCTTTAAGTAGGGACCAAGGGATTTGGGATTTAGGACGTGAAGGGTGTGAAGAGACAGTTTGTTTGGCCTCAACAGGGTTCTGGGGCTTTCGAGGCTGAATGGTTTTGTAGGCCGGTAGAAGGGTTGAGGGTTTTGCGATGAAGATTTCGGTGCTGGGTTTTTTTGTGCGCCAGAGGCCATGATACATAACAAGTCCAAGGGCCTTCCACGAGCCATGGGAATGTGTTGCTGAGGTCAGCTGAAAATTATAGGCGACTCACCAGACCACCATGCTTCTCCTTGCAGGTGTCGGTGAACTTAGGGGTACTTAGAAATAATTTTTAATTTTTGGTTATTATAATCCCTAAGAAACAGCTAAAATTATGATTTTCGCTAGGGTTCTAAGTTCAGTATAGTGACTGCTAGAAGAACGCTTTGCGGTAGGTAACGACTAACCTTGTGGGGCTTATATAACCCTGCCACAATGGAAACGGCTAACCTTTTTTGGGCTAGGGTACTCAGCCCTTAAGAAAAGCATCCGCAACAGGGACCAATACTTCCCTAAACCCTAAGCCCTAAACGCTAAACTAAACCCTCAATTCTAAACCCTAAACCCTGAACCCCCAAACAGGGACCACTAATTCCCTAAAGCCTAAGCCCCAAAGCCTAAACCCCTAAACCCCTAAACCCCAAACAGGGACCACTAGTTCTAAGGCGTCGAACCTCAGAGCTGCCTCTGCGACATCCCCGGGTGAGCCCCGAGCTCCGAATTCCGATCGGTGATTTTCCTTAAAAATAGGGTTGATGATGTAAATCCTGCATTACCCATAATAAGGAATATACCATAATTCCCATAGTTTAGGGCACTTAAGGTAATGCAGGATTTATATCATCAACCCTTTAAAAAAGGGCCTAAATGGTTACTACCTGGACCCTAAGGAACCCCACCTTTTTAGGGTTCCCTAATATGAGTTCTTTATATAAGTCCTTAAAAAGCTAGGCAACTTGGGGTTAAGGAAATGGTTACCAATGTTTAGGGTTCCCTTTTATGGGGGTCTTTGAAGGCTACTCTAAGGGCTCTTATAAGGATTTAATCATCGGGGCCTGGTGGTTACCAGTACTATAACTATAGTATAGTGGGGCCCCCGAAGGCCCTCTTCTAATTCTGATAGAACCCAACTTTGTAGTATCCTTAAGGGAGGGGGGTCCAAGGGGGGTATATAGCCCAGTGATCCCTAATTCTCCCTAGTACTCCCTAAGGTTCCCTTACAGTCCCCTAAGGATTCCTTATACCCTCCCCCCTTGAACCACCCTCCCTTAAGGATCCTATAACAACTATAGATCCCTTATAGGCCCGCTTTTTGGAACCCTTAAAAGGAGCCCTCTTCTGTCTGATCATTAAAGGTCCCTATATTGCTAGGACCCAGAGTAAGCCCTTATTCCCTTTTTTGGGGTTCAGGTTCCCTTATAAACACCCTTTGAACCAAAAAGGGCACCCTTTTTATTACCAGGTTACTCTTGGGTCTAGATTGCACCTTCATCGGTTCACTGTCTGGTTCTGAGTAGGGAATGGGGGAATGGACCCCTATAGTAGGCCCTGTATATTCCCCAACAATAGTCCCCATAAGCGATTCTCTCATTCCCTACTAAGAACCAGACAGCCTACTAAGAACCCTAACCCCTATGGTGTAACCCATATAGTACGTAACTCCTACAGCAACCCTTATAGTAACCCTAATAGGACCCCTCCAGGGAACCCCATTCCCTACCAAGACCCAGACGGTTGAAGTGCGGAGGTTGTTCTGGGCATCGCCTTCGCTAGAGGGGCCATACGAGTCATGACAGCGGCCGGGCGCTCCGAAGTGCAGTTTTTCAGGGTTTTGGGGTTTAGGATTAGGGTTTATTATTTAGGGTTTAGGGTTTAGGATTTCGGGTTTAGGATTTAGGATTTAGGGTGTAGGATTGAGGGCTTAGGATTTAGGGTTTAGGATTCAGGGTTTAGGGCTTTAGGGTTTAAGGTTCCGTTTAAAAGGGGTCTGTAAAGATGACTCTAAGGGGTGTTATCAGGGCAATATAGGGGCTTAAGATAATTACCTATTCTATTTGGGGTTCCAAATAAAATATCGTATGATGAGCCCCAGTGACCTATTCTAATTACTAAATTAAGACCCTAAAGGATACTGTTTAGCGTGCATAAGGGTTTAAGGCCTGGGTTTAGGCTTTAGACGCCCTAAACTGCGTTTAGCATGCATAATTGTTGAAGGCCTGGGTTTAGGCTTTAGACGCCCTAAACTGCCCTAAACCCTAAACCAGGTTCAGGCTCTACCTGTAGCCCGAAAGACCTACCTAAAAGCTCCTGGTTATGGTTTCTATTTATAGTTCCTTAAAAAAATAGGTCTTTTCGGCTACAGGTAGGCTCTGATTGATAACCCTAAACCCTAAACCCTAAACCCTAAACCCTAAACCCTAATCCTCATCCCCAATCCTTTTCGACTGAGCATTCTGGAAGCATTCGGATTGGTCCTGGGGTCTCGTATTCTTGGGTTGCATGTACCCGGACCCTAAGGAACCTACCTTTGTAGGGTTTAGGGTTTAGGGTACCTTTGTAGGGTTCCCTAATATGATTTCGATATATAAGTCCTTAAAAAAGGTAGGTTACTTGGGGTTAAGGTAATGCTTGAGGCATGGCATGCTCGGCTTGCGCGCTCAATGCTCCTGCACGTGCCGTTGTATAGCCATTCATGCGATTCGGGGGCTTGACAGCTTCATCTTGGTTTCTTAGTCGTTCTTTCCTGTTCTTGAACTCGTTTTCTCTTTGGCTTCCACAGTATTCCGAGTTTATGCTGAGGCCTGTACATCAGGGCAATATCGCCTTTCACAATGACTTTACCTTAAGCCATGCATTGAGACGCAAAGGCTTGACAACGGGAGGTTTATTGTGGGCTTCACATTGAGGCATTTTTGAGGACTCATCTTTAGGTTCGCACATTGAATAGCTACAGGCAGGCTGTATTTCGGAGTTGTGCATTCCAAGATTTTGTGCCAAGAGAGCAAATTTACATATTGACGGTTTACTTTACCGTGACGGCACGTTTGCTCTCATAACGAAGGGTAGTGCACGACGGGTCGACTGACAGTTGCGTTCTATTTACGGGTTTTCTGGAACCGGGGTCGGGGTCTACAACGGTTTCTACATGCAGCTTTGACACTTTGGTTTTGTTCTCGACTTCAGCAAATTCTCAACTCATGGTTTTTGTGTTTGTTAAGACTCCCTTTCTCCAAGCGTGCCATGTTAATTGCGCATCAGTTTTGGTATTGAGGCTTGTCATTGGTGTTCTAAATCTCGGCTCTCGTCCTAGACGGTTGGAGCCACGACTTACCATTACTGCCGTGAGCCTGTCTTTTGTGGTTATGCTCGCCGCTACAGCCGTAGCAGTGGTGGTGGTACAGTCGTCCTCGTATGGTCGGAGAAGGAGAATGAGTGGGAGCGTGAGTCGGAGGAAGCAGAATCCGCAGAGACAGAGCAGCGGTGGTTCGGTCCATATTTGGACTCTACATTGGGCCTCTATATATGTTTACTATGATTATTATTACTATTATTATTATTATTATGATTTTTATTCTTCTTATTATTATTGTTGCCATTATTACTGTTATTACTACTGTTGCTATTGTGATTACTATATCTGCACTGATGTACTATCGTGATTAATATGTCTACACTTTAGGTACGCCCCCCACTCAGTAATAGTTGAATAACATTCATAATACAGATATATTAGCACCTTCATAGTAGCCCTATTATAGACTCTTACTGTATGAGGGCCGTACCTAATCTACATAGTAAGTAGGTAGTAAGTATAAGTCCCTAAAATAGACAGTTACTAAGTCCTCCCCGACCCTCCAAGTACACTGATGAAGGTTGGAGCCCAGGGCCTTCCCGGCGAGGCGGCGAACTTCGCGCTTGCAGGAGGGGCGGGCGGACCGGCGCGTGAAGGGAGACTTGACTTGACGGTTTTGGGGTTTAGGGTTTAGAGTTTAGGGTTTAGGGACGCTTTCGTGGTTTTGGGGTTTAGGGTTTAGAGTTTAGGGTTTAGGGACGGTTTTGTGGTTTTGGGACCGGTTTATGAAGGGGCTTGTGAGGCTTTTGTAAAGGTTTGAGGGGTTGGAGGATAGGTCTTGAAGGGGGGCTAAGAGGTTTGAGAGGATTTCGGCGTTTGCCGTTTGAAGGTTTGATGCAGGTTCTACGATAGGGTCCTCGCTGCTATTATACCGGCCTTGTACGCTCTGAATAATGTTCGGTAGGGCTAGGGATGAGGGCTTAGGTGTTCAGCGTCTAGGGTTCCTAGGCTTTCGGCGGGCATCAACCGGTTTAGGGTTTAGGGTTTAGGGTTTAGGGTTTAGGGTTTTAGGGTTTTAGGGTTTAGGGTTTAGGGTTTAGGGTTTAGGGTTTAGTGTCGGTTTCTGGGGCGCGGGGTGCAAGGGTTTCGGTTTCGTGACCTTTCATTACTACAGAGCACGCAAGGCTTTTGACCACCGCGAGCGCGAGTGGAGAACGCATCGTGACTCTCCATACTGGATGTTGAGCCTCGGTCCTGACCCCTAAACCTGGCGTGCTGAACCTTCAAGTCAACCGTAAAGCCTCAGACCTGAAGCCTCCGACGGCTCAGACGAATCCTGCAAGAATCTGCAAGAATCCTAGACAAGGCTCAGCAGTTTAGTGCTCTTACAAGGAAGATGTTCAGTTTTTATTTCAATAGAACTCCAAGGGATTAAACGTCATCACTGTTGTATTATGGTCCAAAAGTCGGTTAAGATCAAACCATACAGGATAAACTCAGAAACCTGAACTGACCCAGAGAGCCCAATACTGCTTACTGAAGAAATATACCGTCAATCACGGGGGGCTTTATATAATATGATTTCAAGCAACCTTCCTTCATTGATTCAGGGGGTACTGGGCTCTCTGCCTGAATCCCTAAACCCTAAAACCTAAACCCTAAACCCTAAGCCCTGGGATGCAGGGGAAGGTCTTCATGTTCCGCTTGGCTTGGCTCCCACATCAGGCGTGCCAGGGCGATCGGATGTCAGAACCCAATCAATGTAGGGGTACTTTGAAATAATTTTTAATTTTTGGTTATTATAATCCCTAAGAAACAGCTAAGATTATAATTTTTGCTAGGGCTCTAAGTTCAGTATAGAATCAATGTAGGGGCCTTATTAAGTAGAATAGGGTTTTGGTGGTTTCCTTCTTTATAGCTATAGTAGAATGTCCCCCCAAAACCCTGTTCTAATCATTAAGGCCCAGAGTGGGTTGGTGGTTCGGGGGGGTTGGGCTTCGCGGCTTCGTGTTTGCCTATTGGAGGCTAATCTTCAGGTTTAGCGTGCCGAATTCAACTGAGTAGTTGTCAAAATTAGGATCCCCTTTTTGGGTCACTATTCTAATACGGCACCTATCATTTAGGGTATCTTAAAAGGGACCATAATTTTGACAGCCACCCATGTGAGTGTATGTTCAGTTGCGAATGATTCGGCGATGGCATGTTTTCTGTAGCTGTCAAGAGGAGGTGTCAGGTGTCCGTGTCGCTTTGAGTGGCCAGACAGCAAAACACTCTGCATATGCTAAATCCAGAACCTTACACCCTGCAGGCGGGAAATTACCGAAAAGATGACAGCCGCTTTCTAGCCCTCTACTTTGTAACACATGCAAAACATAAGCTCGAGCGGAAACTAGTTGTCTTGAAGACCCGTATTACAGGGGCCTCAACAGTTACCTTTACTATTTTGGGGGGTTCCTTGTTATAATTATAGTAGAATGGGCCCCAAAACCCTATTCGAATTATTAAGGCCCCTCTATTGCTCAGCCACGAAGTAACTGTGTTCGAGTTTGAATACCAAACCGATGAAACTTCGACCTCGGCACGTTCTGATGTTGTGGTTTAGGATTTAGGCTAGGACCCAGGCTAAGCCCTTATTCCGATTTAGGGTTCAGGTTCCCTTATAACAGCCTTTAAAACAAAAAGGACACCCTTTGTATTCCTAGGCTACTCTTAGGTCTAGTAGGGTTTAGAGTGAGAAAGGAGTGCTGTCTTCCACCCGAATGGTTGCGCAGCTTGAAAAACCAATCGCAATTAGCTCACCTAGATTGAAACCTTCCCTGAGTTGACCTTTGCCAAGGGGATGCTGACTCCCAAAACCCTAAACCCTCAAGCGTGGAGTTGCAGGGGAAGCAGATATAGGGATTCTTGTCTTCGTTACGTACCTCTCTGCGCCGTCACCAAGGGCTAAGGGTTTAAGAGTCTAGGGTTAGGGTTTAATGAGCTTCGTGTGCATGCATATATGTGAGGTGCTCTCTCCTGATACCCTTGACGAGTAATGTAGCGGCCTTACTAAATAGAATAATAAGGTTTTGGGGGCCCATTATGCTATCATTACTTTTCAGGACCCCGATATTAAGTGCCGAAACTCCCTAAACCCCTAAACCCTACCTGTAGCCGAAAAGACCTACCTTTTTAAGGAGCTTTATGCAGAAACCATAGGACTGAACCCTAAAAAGGTAGGTCTTTTCGGCTACAGGTAAACCCTAATCTCAAGACTTCGGTTTCCCTGCATGCTTCGAATGAAGGCATCCCCCCGCCCGACGAGGCGAGCCGGGGCGCTGGGGATTTATGAATGTCCCACATGCACTCCTGCTGGGTTCCTTAAGGCCACTATGAGGGCTATCATAAGGTTGTGAAAGCCCCACGTGCACTCCTTGCTCTCTGTGAGTTTCAGGTGCCACGACAAAGCCTCGCTGTCCGCTCTCAATCCCTGAACTCTTGAGCAGTTGAACCCTAAACCTGAACCTTTACTAGCCATTGATATTGGAGGAGCTAAGGAGCCAGGGATCATGATAATCCCCATTAAGTAACTGGTCAGTTTACCCTAAACCCTTAAACCCCATACCCAAACCCTAAACCCTTAACCCTAAACCCTTATCCCTTAACCCTCAAACCCTAAACCTGAAACCCGGAACCCTAAGCCCTTCAACCTCGCCCCGGGTTCGGAATCGTTGAGGCTCCTGGCTGCGGGCTACGAGACTTTGTTAAAGTGTTCGGGGTTCTAGGTTTTAGCGCTTGGGGGTTTAGGTGGTTTCAGGGGTCTTGGGTTTGGGGGTTTGGGGTTTAGGTCAGGTTTTAGTATGGGCTCCAGGGTTTCAGGGTTTAGGGTTTAGGGCTCCAGGGTTTCAGGATTTGGGAGTTTTGGTTGCGAGGCTATGGGTCGAGGACTGTATGGTAATCTACTTTACTAGGATGCCCAGTAGTACCCTCATCTCCTTTTCGTAGTCCTGGGTTCCTTATAAAGTTACCCAATACCACAAAGGGAGCCCTTTTTATTCCTAGGTTACTGGGCATCCTCATCTACTTTCGGGCTCAGGGATGTCGAACTACGTCGGATTTAACTCTCGGGTTTTCGTCTACGGGGCGGAGGTTCTGTGGCTTGGGCTCCGGAGTAGCATGCTCCTGAATCCCGAGGATAGCGGATCGACGAACTGTGCGGAATATGTTGGCCGGCTTTCCGAAGATCCCGAATCACTGTGGTTCACAGCCCTGACGCTCGCAACTTTCGCGGACGACACCGGGGGACCATTGCCAGAAAATTGGGCCAGGGTCGTCGCGGTAGCTGTGCCTCAACTTCCGGTGTAAGGTAAAAGCCAGAAAATTGGAATATGATTATCCTAACCCTTCTATGGTAAATTATAGGGTATCCTGCCATGAAACCATATTCCAACTTTCTGGAGTTCCCTGCAAGGATGCTTGATGAGTCTTTGGTTGAGGAGCGCTAACCCCGAGACTCCGAAGCCCCAAGCAGTGCATGATTCACATGTTTTTCAATAGGTAGGAGCAGGAGTAGAGTAGGAGCAGGAGGAGTTAGGAGTTAGGAGTAGTCGTCCCAAAACAAACTTGTCAACTTTTGTGGGTTCTTAGAAGATTTTGTTTTAACTTGAAAGTGTTAGCCTTTTGCCTTGTGACTTAGGGGGAAGTAAGAGTATAGCAGCCCCGACATCAGCCGGAACCATAGTCCTTTCAAGGCTCCCAGGTGTGGTAAGACACCGTAGGACTGTATAGGGAACTCCAGGAAGTTGGAATATGGATTAATGGTAGGATCCCCTATAACTTACCTTAAAGGGGTTACGATAATGATATTCCAACTTTCTGGCTTCTACTGTAGGAAGCTAGTTGTCAATCCTATATCCCCCACCCTGAACCCGATAGGGTTTCACCTTTCCTCGGACTTTCGCAAATACCTTAGTCCAAACGGAACTCCGGAAACCGCGGGCTCAAAGGGACCCAAAGCCAAGACACAGGAACCCGCAGCAGAAACCCTAAACCCTGAAAGCCGAGAGCAGTCACCGGCTGCAGGCTATCCTCGCACGCGCGCCAGCAGAGAAGTCCCATGCCGAGACTGTCGTGTTCTAGAATTCTGCGGGGGTGGTTGTATATTAGGGACCCAAAAAAGCACATAAGCATACGCATTTTTTATGGGGATATCCCTACCCTATTGGCCTTCCCTTTGAGGGGGTTTATATGGGATATCCCTACCGTTTTCGCTTATGTGCTTGTTTGGGGCCCTATATAAGGGCTTTGTAAGGGTTAAGGGTCTTGTAGACTATGGCTTAGGGTGTTGATGTAGGAACCTGATTAAGGAACCCCTGGCCTTATGACCCCGAAATAGTGGGATTCATATAAAGAACCTCCATAAAGACCTAAGCTTTCTTAACCAGGTTCCTATATTAGAAGGGGCAGATTGCATGGGGTTGTGTTGCGCAAGACTTCTTTCTGAGAAAAGAAGTGACTAATCTTCACAGCCACCAAAGCTTGGAGGGCGGCTAATATGGGGGCCTAAATAATTACAGACTGTCACTGTAGGGTTTAGGGTTTTGGGCCTATACTATTGTGGGGTTCCTTCTTGTTTTTATAGTATAATGGGCCCCCAAACCCTACAGCAATGCGACTTAATATTCCTCAGCAGCAGCAACACAAGAGCCACATGCATCATAGCAGTAGCAAGCAGGCTAAGCTGCTCAGAGTCGCAACCATTGTGAACATGGTAACGATGCTGCTGATCATGGTTGTGGTAATGATGGTTTCCGGACGGACATGGTTGTCTTTAAGCAATTGGTGTGACGTTGCCGTCGCCCCTTCCTACCCCCCAGCAAACGCCCATGTTGCCTTTAATTTGGTTTGCGGTGCTTCCTTTTTACCCCGAAGGGAACCCAGATAAGGCCTAATCTCTTGTCCCTGCCACTTGTGAGCCTCAAACCCGAAGACAACAGACCCTAAACCTTAGAACCAAAGACCCTAAACCCTAAGCCCTAAACTCTGAAGCAGTAGCATACTCTAAAGGCCCTCGCTAAACCCTGAAATTCAGGTCCCTATCTCGGCTCTTCAGTAGTACCGTTGTGCCCTTTTTATTCGAGGGTTCCTTGATTAGGAAAAAGGGTACCCTGATTATTGAGGGGATATTAAGGAACCTCGCTGTTAAGACGGGCTTTCAGAGGCCATCCCTGCAGCGGAACATCACTCGAGGCAGTTCCATGAGCAGTTGCCTTAGCACTGGGCGTTTCTCCGGGAGAGGAGCTCTGGTTTTTCGAGCTCCGCCCGGGACCCTTGGGTTTGAGGGGTGGGTTAAACCTTGGGTACGGTCCCCACTCAGTATAGTTGAATAGTATTCATAATATAGATATATTAGGACCTTAATCGTAGCCGCTCTTACTGTATGGGGGCAGTACCTAAGTTAAACCCTACACCTTCAACCCTAAACCTTATAAACCTTAAAACCGATACGCCTTAAACCCGCAAGCCCGAGACCCGATAAACCCTTAACCCTGTAAGCCCTAAACCCGAAGCAATGAAGCATTAAGCCCTCAACGCTGACTTTTGCCCTCAACCCTACATCCAAGACCGTCACCAAACCGGAAAATCCCAAACCCTACAAGCCCAAAAAATCCTGAACCGACAGACCCCAAACCTGACGACATTGAAAACCCCCAAAACCCGCAACCGCTGGACCTAAACGCAAAGCCCAGATCTTGACACGAGTTGCGCGTTAAATTTCTCATACACAGGAAACTAGGGTGCATTAGATGAAGGGATTGTTTATGGATCTTTATTCGAGGCTCACCCAGTGTACGCAATGGGTTCATAGAGCTCAATATTACTACAACTGATGGGTGTGCCGGTGTATGAGTGTGTATATACTTGGGAAAACCCTAATCCTTACCCCTACAACTTAAATCCTACTTAGACCCCCAACTACCCTCTAACATAGCCTAAATACCCACTATTAAGGACCCAGGGCTCCATCCAAGGCCCTAACCCACTAAATCCTAAAGCCCTAAACCTCAAACCCTGAACCACGAAACCACCCACTCTCTACAGGGAACTCCAGAAAGTTGGAATATGGATTAATGGTAGGATCCCCTATAATCTACCTTAAAGGGGTTACGAGAATGATATTCCAACTTTCTGGCTTCTACTGTAAGCCCTAAAGCACCGAAGCATCTACTTGCTGTTTTCAGACCACTGGCTCGGATAGCCCTCAGCCGTCTTGTTCGGGTACCGGCTTGGGGTTTAAGGGTTTAGAGTTCAAGGGAATGCCCCGAAGCAAGGACAAGATGTGTGCTGTTGCCAACTTGTAACATATAGGTTTAGATTCAGGTTAAATTTTCCATTTCTGCCAAGTTATTTGTGTTCAAGCGCGTTTATGCCTGGAGAGAAGGAGAGATTTCATAAAGGACTTGCTGGCGCCGTCCGAGGCCACGCAGCCCCCGCATTTAGCAGTTTGGCAGTGAGCTGATCCAAAGCGGAGTCTTTCTCATGTCATTGATCTTTGAGGTAAGCCTCATAAGTGGCAAGACAGTGTCGCTGCGGGCAGATGCAGACGACTCTGTGGAATCGCTACGGGTGCGAGCGCAGAAAGCCCTGGGAGTTGGGAAAGGGCGACTCTTGGACTCCACTGGAAGTATTCTTGATGGAGGAGCCCCGCTAAAGCAGGCTAGGCTACAGAACGCGGAGCCGAATGTGCAGCCGGAGCCACTAACGTTGCAGGTTGGAAGAGTCGGTATATCTGGCGGACGCATGGCCTGTGCTGCGATACTGGGGGATGGCTCCGTCGTAACTTGGGGCGGCTTCGGTGGTCGCAGCAGTGCTGTGCGAAATCAGCTGAAGAATGTGGAACAGATTCAAGCAGCTTGGTACACGTTTGCTGCGGTCCTGGGGGATGGCTCCGTGGTGACCTGGGGCCTACCTGTCGCCGGGTGACAGCAGTGGCGTGCGAGATCAGCTAAAGACTGTGCAGCAGATTCAGGCAACTTCTCGAGCTTTTGCCGCGATCCTGCAAGATGGCTCCGTCGTGACCTGGGGCTGCGCATACTTTGGTGGTGACAGCGGTGCGGTGCAACATCAGCTGAAGACTGTGCAGCAGATTCAAGCAACGCAGGGTGCTTTTGCTGCAATCCTGGCTGATGGCTCCGTCGTGACTTGGGGCGATGCTGCGGATGGTGGTGACAGTGGAGCAGTGCGAGATGAGGTGAAGAATGTGCAGCAGATTCAAGCAACTGGATCGGCCTTTGCTGCAATCCTGGCTGATGGCTCCGTCGTGACTTGGGGCGATGCTGCGGATGGTGGTGACTGCAGTGGAGTGCGAGATCAGCTGAGGAATGTGCTGCATGTTCAAGCAACCAGGAAGGCGTTTGCTGCGATCAGGGGCGACGGCTCTGTCGTGACCTGGGGCGATGCTGACTTCGGTGGTGACAGCGGGGCAGTGCGCGATGAGCTGAAGAATGTGCTGCAGATTCAAGCAACTGGATCGGCCTTTGCCGCAATCCTAGGGGAAGGCTCCGTCGTGACCTGGGGTTGTGCTCGCGAAGGTGGTAACAGTAGTACTGAGCGGGATCAGCTGCACAACGGCTACGAGTAGAAAGTGATGTAGCTTGCTAAATGTTGGCGCACTTCTTCTGTGCCTGTGTCCGTGAGAATTTGGTCGTGAAGTTTGGTACAACAGTCACCTAGGCTCCTGAGTAGTACCCTTTTTTGCCCTTTTTGTTTATGGGTCCCCTTATTAAATCGAATAGTAGGAGAAAAAGAGTACCCTTATGAAAAAGGAGATACGCAGGAACCCGAACCCTAAACCCTTTTAGCACCCCTATAGATCCCTTTAAAGGAACCCTTGCAAAGACCCTTGTTATCTGGGACCCAGAGCAAGCCCTTATTCCCTTTTTATAGGGTTCAGGTTCCCTTATAACCCCCTTTAAACCAAAAAGGGCACCCTTGCTATTCCGAGGTTACTCTTAGGTCGAGCTTGTTATAGTGGGGCTGCACAGGTTTAGGGTTTAGGGTTTAAACCCTAAACCCTAAACCTAGAGCAGCCGTCACTAAACTCACGAGGTCTCGGGGTCGAAGCCACAAGCAACTGCCGCGAGAGGACCCGGATCCCCAACTGAGCCTTTGAGCCCCCTTTGAGAGGGTTAGGGTTTAGGGGTTTGGGGGTTTAGGGTTTAGGGGTTTGGGGTTTAGGGGTTTAGGGTTTAGGGGTTTAGGGTTTGGGGGTTTAGGGTTTAGGGGTTTAGGGTTTAGGGGTTTACGGGTTTAGGGTTTAAGACTTTAAGATAGGCTTTGGGGGTTTGGGGGTTTAGGGTTTAGGGGTTTAGGGTTTAGGGGTTTAGGGTTTAGGAGTTTATGGTTTTAGGGTTTAAGACTTTAAAATAAACCGTGCGGGGTTCTCTAAGGTACGGTCGCTTGTGGGATCCTGATTACAAAGGCTATGACGGTATCGGCAACCGAAAGGAACTACCCACATGTGTGTATCGGTGCAGAACCGCCGCAAAGATAATCTATCAACTCAATTCCACCCCTCGGCAATGTTACCATGCCAGGCCAAAAGACACACTTAACAGCCTGCGGGCCAGATGCTCCGCCTCCTTCCAGACCCTAAACCCTGAGCCCAAAACCGCCTCGGGTGTTGGTCTAGCGTTCGCGCAATAGCAGTTTAGGGTTCCTCGTTATGAGCATGGTATAATGGGCTCCAAAACCCTATTCTAATGATTAAGGCCTCTATATTAGGTTCGGGCTTTCCGAGTTTGCGGTTCCTGTCTACAGAGGTGTACTGCCCAGGGAGTGCCAAGGGCCCAGGGTCCAGGGCGCAGGGTCGAGATTCAGGATCCAGGGGTGTCAAGAGGCCCCTACTTAAACGCTCATGGCACTTAGTAAGTAGGGTTATAAGTAGGTTATAGTTAGGATAGCCCCACTTAGGGGACTTGTAACCCCACTTATAGCTTGCTTGCTAATAGAATATACTACGATTCGAAAGGTTAACCTTTTTGGGCTAGGATACTCAGGCTCTAAGAGGATGTACATACTTAGAGGATCAGGGGACTTAGTAAGTAGGGTTCCTTAAAGATTCCTTTCAGGGCTCTATAAGGGGGAGTTTAGGTTACGTGGAGGATCATGGGACTTGGCAAGTAGGTTATAACTGGGGTTATAATTCCCCTAAGTGTGGTTATCCTAAATATAGCCAGCTTATGACCTTGCTTACTGAGTCCCATGTCTTTAAGTTGAGAGCTCAGGAAACCAACAGCCCAGGGTCCGCTTTATCAAATTCATAGGTTTAGGGTTTAGGCTAGGGTTTAGGGGTATAGGGTTTTGGGCTCAGGTCATAGTCTGGATCCCTTGTAAATTTAAGGTATATTCCTTGATGAGTGGGTATGGGAGTCTGTAGGTAGCATCCCCAATATGTCCATACCATACTTCAAAGCAGCCGGGGCTAATTGAGCCTGTTACTTTAAGGGAACCATTTTGAAATACCCTAAACCCTAGTCCCCTAAACCCTAGTCCCCTAAACCCTAAACCCCTAAACCCTCAGCCCTAAACCCTAAACGCGTAATCCCTAGACCCTCAACCCCTGAACCCCTGAACCCTTAACCCCTGAACCCTAAGCCTCAAACCTTAAACCCCCTCAAAGCTTAGAGCAGCAGAGGCAATGACGAGATGCTCCAAGCAGCCATGGAGCTGTCGATGCAAGCGAGGCCTTCACTTCCCCAGGGTTTTAAATACAAGTCAAGGGCTCTAAGGGCTTTAAGGGTTTAGGGTTTAGGGGCTTAGGGGTTTAGGGTTTCGAGGTGTAGTACTGTAGGGGTGTAGGGGTTTAGGGTTTAGGGGCTTACAGGGTTTACGGCTTACGGAAGTTAAGGGTTCTAAGGGTTCCATGGTTTTGTTGGGGCTTTGGGCTTAGGGATTGAGGCTTAGCGTTTTGGGTTACTAGGATGCCCAGTAGTACCCTTATTCCCTTTTTGTAGTCCTAGGTTCCTTATAAAGTTACCCAATACCAAGAAGAGAGGCCTTTTTATTCTTAGGTTACTGGGTATCCTAGGTTAGGTGTTTGGACTGCGGGTTTGGGGCATAGGGTATCGGTTGGGGCCCATGATTTTCGTCTCGGGGGTTTAATCTAGGGTTTAGGGTTTAGGGTTTAGAGTTTAGGGTTTAGGGTTTAGGGTTCAGAGTTTAGGGTTTAGGGTTGAGGGTTTAGAGTTTAGGGTTTAGGGTTTAATCTAGGTGGGAGTTTCTGAAAATTAGGGGTATCTTATTTTGGGGTCCTTATAATAAGGATCCTGCTATTTAGGGTACTATATTAGGGTCCCCTATTTTCGGACACCCCCAGGTAGGCCTTTGGGACATTTTATATTTTCCCTTATTGGGCTTAATAGGACGGGCCAACCTAGTAATTAGGTTGTTGGTATTTGGGTGTTGGCTTGGGCCCTGAACCCTAATAAAACTCCTAAACCTTAAACCCCTAAACCCCAAACCCCTAAACCCTAAACCCCTAAACCCCAAACCCTAAATCCCTAAACTTCAGGGTCTAGAGAGTCTGGATTTGGGGTTTACAGGTTCAGGTTCAGGAGGTTTAACTGCAGGGCGCGTTCAGGGTGTTCGGCTTCAACTTAGGACTTTTCGAAAACAGGAACATTTCTGGAAATCTCCCCGCGACCGAACCCGAAAATCTGCACCAAAAGTCCGAAACGCACAGCTTTGATCCCTGAACTGCATCCCGCAGCTTCCGAACATCCCAAATGCCTGTGGTAATTGCGGTTTAGGGTTTAGCGCTCAGAATTGAACACCTGACCCCAAAACCACCGCAAAAACAAACCCTGTGCCGTTTAAACCCCTAATCCCTAGTTAAGCCCGAAACAGGCATAAGGCAGGTCCCTTTTGTTGCTAGGGTCTTCTTTTGTGGACGTTTGTGGTTATGGTTTTCGGTTTCATCAAGGGAATGTAGGAGCCTGATATCTAGTTAGAATAGAATACGGTTCCTTCAAGAGGGTCTGGGGCTTATGGTTTAGAATGGGGTTCCTCTAGTTCGACTCGGGTTGTCGGGATGTGTTGGTGTATAATATATAGAACGAGAATTCTTAGGGTAAGATTCAAGTTCTACACTCTGAGAGCCCAGTAACTTGTATCATTTTGTTAAGTCGCTTACAATCTGAGGTAAGTCCGTCAATTAAGTAGTATTGGGCTCTCTGGATTCTTTTTCAGGCCCCTACATTCACCCTAAACCCTAAACCTTGCGTACGGCCCCTACTCCGTAGTAGTTGAGTAATATTCATAAACATAGAATTATCAGGACCTTAAATATAGCCCTACTATAGACTCTTACTGTATGGGGGGCAGTACCTAACCTACAACCCCTAACCCTATGGGGGTTTCCGAAAATAGGGGGATCCTAATATAGTACCCTAAATAGTAGGATCCTTATTATAAGGACCCCTAAATAAGGTACCCCTATTTTCGGAAACTCCCCTACCACCCCTAAACCCCACCATCTCCAAACCCCACCATCCCGAAACCCCAACACCCTAAACCCTAAACCAAAAAGCTCGGGGTTCGTGGGAAGAGCGTAGTCCCGAGGCTGGCTAGTCGCGGTTCAGCGAGCCCCCCGAACCGTGACCAGGTTTAGGGTGTAGGATTTAGGGTTTAGGGGTTTAGGGTTTAGGGTTTTCGAATTTAGGGCTTCCCTTAAATCCTAAACTTTCCCTTAAATCCTGAACTCTCAACCCTGTAGCTCCCAAATTCTGAACCCCAAACCCTAGTTACCCTAAACCGTTGTTTCCCCTGAACCCTAAACTCTAAACCCTTATGTCCATAAACACCATAAAAACTCGAAACCCCTAAACCCCAAACCTTAACCTGAAGTCCTGCGCACATACGGAGTGATGTACGGAGACTCCCAAAAATAACTCCATCTGTCAGGCCAGCAGATGCTCCACCTGCCTCAGCTCAAGCTGGCGCCATGGAGGTGCATGAAATTTGCTTAGTAGCTGAGTAGATAGACTTTAACCTTCTGGGGTTTATCTAATCCTACCATAATGGAAAAGGGTAGCGTTTTTTGGGCCGGGGTATGATTGTTGGTGTGGTTCTTATTGACAGATACCATCGCCAGCCCGACGTTGATGATGCTGCTGTTGTTGATGATTATGGTGATAATGATGATAATCATGATGATGGTGGTGAGGATGATGCTGGTGATGACGGAGATGACGGTGATGGTGAAGATGGTGATGGTTATTTCTGCATATTTCTGCGGTAGGAGTAATATTCATGTTTAGTACCAGTGCGAGGGCTTTTCACTGCTGTTAGTGCCACTACTGTTCTGGCAATTGGTGTGTTCTGTGATTTGTTGTACGCAAGCGCTGTCGGTCGAAGCTCCTTCCCAGTGCACATGTGGGTGGTTCTCAAAATTAGGGTCCCTTTTTGGGTCCTTAGTATAATACGGCACCTACTGTTGATGGACAAAATCCTGCAATACCCATTATAAGGAATATACCATAGTTCCCATAGATTAGAGTCCTTAGAGTCATGCAGGATGTTGTCCATCAACAGTACTTTTTCGGGTACCCAAAAAGGGACCATAATTTTAACAACCACCCATGTCTCAGTTACCGTGCATTCTCCCAGAGCTTCAGTCGACAGCCGTCGTGGGTGCAGGGTGCAGGGCCTCGGGTTTCGAGTGTCGGGCCTGGTAGGGCATGTAGGACTTAGTCTCCGATGTGGGAAATCTTTGTCTCACCTTTTTTTCGCATCCTTTGAAAAAGTGCCGAAAAAACGAACAGCTAAGTGAACCCCGCACTTTCACAGCACAGAGAGCTTGCAGCAAAACGCCCGACAGCCAGTCCACGTGCAGCAGCGGCGTAGGTGGATGATGACCTGGCCGCGGCCATCCAGCTGTCAATGCAAACACAGGCCAAGGAGTTCGGGTCTTACTCTTAGTAGCTGAGTAGGTAACCTCTAACGTTTTGGTTTATTGGCTGCAAACTCAACTTTTCAACCTTTGCGGTTCTTATAAAGTAGTCGATTCTGAAAGTTACAACTTTTGTTTCCCCTGGAATTTCGGCCAGCGAGTTGGCTGCTGTATCATCTTACCGTATATTTGACAAGGTTAACGGCTACTCGGCCTCTAAGTACTTACTCAGGCGTTGAATTTCAGTTAAGCCCAGAACCCAAAATCCTTCTGGACCCCCACTCCGATGCTTCTTCAATTTGCCCCAATATTCGGAGGGTTTAGGGTTTAGGGCCATACAGGGAACTCCAGAAAGTTGGAATATGGTTTCATGGTAGGATGCCCCTATACTTTACCATAGAAGGGTTAGGATAATCATATTCCAACTTTCTGGCTTTTACCTTATTCTACAACCTGGAGTAGGCCCTTATTCCCTTTTTTTAGGGTTCAGGTCCCCTTATAAGCCCCTTTAAAGCAAAAAGGGCATCCTTTTTGTTCCTAGGTTACTCTTGGGTCTAGTATTCTAGCCGCGATTACGGGACCCAAGAGCAATGCCGTGGGTCTTGGGTGGAATTGAGTGGGGCTACCAGCTCGGAGCAACGTCCACACCCGTTATACGGTTTAGGGGTTAGGGTTTAGGGTTGAGGGTTTAGGGTTTAGGGTTTAGGGAGCCCCCTGTAAATTCATAAATGCCTTTTCGTTAATATCATTTTTGCCCGCCTGTTTATAGACCCAGCCAGACCTTTGGAAACCGTACAATAAAAAACGTGTTGTCAGTTGTCAGCCCCAAATCCTATAAGCCCTATACTATAGACCCTTTCAGCCATGTAAACCCTAAGCCCCCAAAAGCACATGCAAACCCTAAGTCTTACACCGCCCCTTTGACAGTATACCTTAAACCAAACTCAACAGTCTTGATCTTCGACCTTCGGGATAGTGGAGTCTTTCTCAAAATCCTAAAGCTGTACAGAAGCCTGTTCTGAAACCCAATAGAAGACATCATAAGTTATAACCTGCATAGAAACCCTGTATAAGCTCCATCAAGCCCCATAGAACCTCTATATAAAGCCCAAAACTGTGAACCGCACACCCTACACCCTAAACCTTAAGTTGTAATCCCTAGACTTTACACAAAGAACCCTTAAACGTTAAATTGTAATCCTTAAACTTTACAAGAAATCCCGAAACCTTAAATCTTAATCTTAATCTAAACCCTACCCAGAAATCCCTAAACCTTAAGTTGTAACCCTTAAACCCTACCCAAATATGCGAAGAGAGAGCCTGGAGAGGCGGCAGCGCCGCCACAGCCTCCAAAGGCCGAGCCAGAGCACGTTTTTCCAGAGACTCCAATATCCTTTAGGACGCCCAGTAGTACCCTTATATACTCCCTTTTTGTAGTCCTAGGTTCCCTTTAAAGTTACCCAATACCAAAAAGGGAGCTCTTTTATTCCTAGGTTACTGGGCATCCTAGCCTTTAATTAAGGAATAATCCTTAGGGCTCTTCAGGGTTCTTAAAGGGTTCCCTGCAGGGGTCTATAAAGGGTTCCTAAGGGTTTCTTACTTTTCCTTAAGGGTTCCTTAAAGGGTTCCGTAAAGGGATCTATAAGGGTTCTATAAGCGATTTAAGGAATGTTCCTCAAATCATGATAATTAAGGAAGACCTGGGGTCCTTTAAGAAGTCGTAAAGGGATCTCGGAATATCTTTTAGGGCTCCTTTCAGGGATCCCATAAGGGGTCCATAGCGTTTAGGGGTCAGGAAGACCGATTCTAATTTCCCCTAATTGAGGAATATCCCTAAAATCATATCAGGGGTCCGACCATATTTCAAGGCATATTCTTTACTTAAGGGATATTGGAGTCTCTGGGTTTGTTGGGGAAGGGAATGGGGGGAAGGAGGAGGTGGAACTTTATAAGGTGCCTGTTTTACGGTTTGCGGTTTAGGGGTATTGGGTTTTGCTGGGTTTGTTAAAACCCGACAACCCTATGCCTGAATTCTTGAATATAAAACCTTTGAATCCCTGATCCCTGAACCGCCTACTTGGAGGGCCAGGCGACTTAGTAAGTAGGTAGTAGATAAGTAGACTTATAAGTACCCTAAAAGGCATCTTCATTAGTATTATGATACTTATAAGGCTATAGAATAACTACTTACTAAGTCCCCCGACCCGCCAAGCAACCCCCCGAGCCCTAAACCGCTTCAGCCCGATACCCTAACAACCCCCTTAACTAGGGACCCGAAAAGCACATAAGCATAAACATTTTATGGAGATATCCCTACCTTATTGGCCTTCCTTTTAAGGAGGTTTATATGGGATATCCCTACTCTTATTTTTGCTTGTGTGCTTTTTGGTGCCCTACTTATTCCCCTGCAGCCCCGATGCTGTAGCCTCGGTCTCGGATCCCGGCCTGAAGGACGGCTCGAGTGTGCAGCGCGAGACCCGGGGTGTGAGCAATGCAGCTTTTAAGGGTCTACCGTACCTGAACCCCAAGTAACCTACTTCTTTTAAGGACTTCTTAAGAAATCATATTAGGGAACCCTAAAAAGGTAGGTTCCTTAGGGTCCAGGTAGGATTTAGGGCTTAGGATCCAGGGCTTTTAAGTGGTTGATAGGGTGGCGTTTGCAAGGTGTTCGAGGCTTTTTCAAAAGGGCCTTAGGGGCTTAAGCATTTAGCGTTTTGATTGTGTAGAGTTACTAGGGCTCAGCATTTGGGCTCTCAAGGCTATACTACTTTAGCAAGCAAGGTTTGGCCTGTTGAAGAAAGGTCTGAGCAGTTGGTGCTAGCATCCCCCAGGCCCGATATATTGTACAAGGTATCGATTTAGGATAGCTCGTAATTTCCCGCATGGTTCTGATTGAATATATAGAGCTGTAAGTAAAAAGTATGATGTTGCGGACTGTTGAAAATCGACACCTAGTATAGAGCATTAGTGATTTGGATGGTGAGATTGTCGGGTTCACAAGATGTAGTATTGGAGTGGTTTTGCGGCTTCGTGGCTTCAGCATCGTGGGTGTAGGGCTTAGGCACCAAGAAGATGTAAGTCCCGGATAGAAGGTAAGTAGGGTGTAGGGTCGAGGGTTTGGGGTATAGCGGTGAGGGTCTGGGGTTTAGGGTTGGGGCGGCCGAAAGTTTGCGTTTCGCGGTGACATTTGGCTCGCAAAGGTAGAGGGTTTAGATTTATGCCGGAGAGCCCTATAGAGTGCCCTAGTCTCTTGTGAGAAGTGTTGCGGAGCAAACCTTTTACTGTGTGCTCCTCCTTCAGTGTAGACTAGTAAACCCAAATGGTTATTGAAAACAATGGGTCTAAGGGCTTGATAGTAACCCCTAAACTCCCAAAGCTTAAACCCTAGGTAGGAGCATCCATGCCCGAACCGTAATGTGGTCCACATGTCCTTGCCTGAACCGTAAGAAGATCCACTCCGACCCATCCGGCTGCCAGCACCCGAACCGTAGTATCTGGTCGACTCGGACCCCATCTGATTACCAGCGCATCAGGGAATTTAGTGCGATCCGACCCCATCCGACTACCAGCACATCCACTCCGACCTCATCCGAATACCAGCGCATCCGTATCCGACCTGTAACAGCATCCACTCCGATCCCATCCCGAACCGTAACAATTAACGTCCACTCCGACCCCATCCGATTACCAGGGAACCCATGCCCGTACCGCAATAACGTCCACTGCGACCCCATCCAAGTACCAGCACATCCATGCACGAACCGCAATCGCGTCCACTCCGACCCCTTTTCACTACCGGAGTTTCCATGCCATGCCCGAATCTTGATAATGTCTACTCCGACACCATCCGATTAATAGTGCATCAATGAGATATGAAACTCTGTCTTTCTATAAATATTACGCATACATGCGCATACATACATACGTACAGACAGACAGACAGACAGACAGACAGACAGACAGACAGACAGACAGACATACACATGTATTTATACATGGTATATGTATATACATATACATATATATGTGTATATGTGTGTATATGTGTATATATATATATATATATATGTATATATATATATATATATGTATATATATATATATATATATATATGTATTTATATATATATATATATGTATATATATATATGTATATGTATACTATGTATGTGTGTATGCATATATGTATAATATATAGAGCATATATATATATATATATTTATAGATACACACATGTATTTGTTTACATATGCGGAGACCATTACCGTTGCTGTGCTGCAACAGAGGCTGCGACAGCAACTGCGGTTATGACTACGTAGTGACTAGGACGGAGGCGAGGAGCACTAGGATGACCACGGTTGAGGCTTTGGGGTTTAGTGAAGTTTAGGGGTTTCAGGACGAAGGACGAAGACGAAGAAGGCGCCGACGACGTTAACCCCTGGATGCCTATGCTGCAATGTGTGTGTGCATATATATATATGCATATACATCAGACTCAGAATAATCCACAACAGACTAGCAGCGACACAGCAGCAAGCATCTTGATGATTGCTCGCACCTGAAGTCCAATCGCTGTTGTGTTTTCTCGGGAGGCCGAAAAGAAGCACAGCAACCAAACGCGGTCCTGTCGAGCAACCGTCGCAAGTCGTTTTCAGTAGCGTTTACACATGACGAGAATGACATTAACTTAAGACTTGCTTGTGCCGCCCAACACTCCACAGCCCCTCGCGTTTGACATGTTGGCCATGGATTGAACCGAAGTCTCCATCATGTCACGGACCTTTGAGGTGAGCCTCATAAGCGGCAAGGCTGTTTCGCTGCAAACGCACGAGGACGAATCCGTGGAGTCACTGAGGGTGCGTGCACAGAGAGCCCTAGGAGTTGGCAAAGGTCGACTCTTGAACTCCGCCGGAAGCGTTCCTGGGTTCTTGTTAAGGAGTTCAATTTAAGTTACCATAATTATATTCACTATACATCCCTACTATGATTACTTAAGTTAAACTCCCTAACAAGAAGTATAGTAAAGATAATGGGTTCTTTATTATGGTAACTTAAATTAAATTCCTTAACGAGAACCCAGGTTCTTGATGGAAGAGCCCCGATAAAGAAGGCCAAGATGCAGGCTAGGGAGGCGCTAACATTGCAAGTTCGACGAGTCGAGATTCAAGCAACCGAGACGGCCTTTGCTGCGATCCTGGGGGATGGCAGCGTCATGACCTGGGGAAGTGCAGAGAATGGTGGTGACAGCAGTAGCGTTCGAGATCAGCTGAAGAGTGTGCAACAGATTCAAGCAAATGGTGAGGCTTTTGCTGCGATCCTGACTGATGGCTCCGTCGTGACCTGGGGCGATGCTGACGATGGTGGTGACAGCAGTGCTGTGCAGGATCAGCTGAAGAATGTGCAGCAGATTCACGCAACTGGAAGGGCCTTTGCTGCGATCCTTGCTGATGGCTCCGTGGTGAGCTGGGGCAGGGCCCACGCCGGTGCGGACAGCAGTAATGTGCGAGATCAGCTGAAGCATGTGCGGCATATTCAAACAACTTTCTTTGCCTTTGCTGCGATCCTTGGTGACGGCTCCGTCGTGAGCTGCGGCTGCCATCCTATTGTCAACGGCCGTGGTGACATCACAGCTGGGCGAGATCAGCTGAAGAATGTGCAGCAGATTCAAGCAACTTCGGCAGCCTTTGCTGCGATCCTGCGGGATGGCTCGGTTGTGACCTGGGGAAGTGCTGACAGCGGTGGTGACTGCAGTGCTGTGCAAGATCAGCTGAAGAATGTGCAACAGATTCAAGCAACCCAGAACGCCTTTGCTGCGATCCTGGAAGGTGGCTTTGTCGTGACCTGGGGCGATGCTGAATTCGGTGGTGACAGCAGTACTGTGCGACATCAGCTGGAGAATGTGCAGCAGATTCAAGCAGCTCGCTATGCCTTTGCTGCAATCATTGTTGATGGCTCCGTCGTGACCTGGGGCAGTTCTAACAGTGGTGGTGACAGCACTGCTGTGCAGGATTGTCTGAAAAATGTGCAGCAGGTTCAAGGGAATGATGAGGCCTTTGCTGCGATCCTTGCTGATGGTTCCGTCGTGACCTGGGGCTATGCCCGCTGCGGTGGTGACACCAGTGCTGTGCGAGATGGGTTGAAGAATGTGCAGCAGATTCAAGGAACTAAGGCAGCCTTTGCTGCGATCCTGCGGGATGGCTCGGTTGTGACCTGGGGCAGTGCTGACAGCGGTGGTGACTGCAGTGCTGTGCAAGATCAGCTGAAGAATGTGCAGCAGATTCAAGCAACCAGCCGGGCCTTTGCTGCGATCCTGGAAGATGGCTCTGTTGTGACCTGGGGCGATGCTGACGCAGGTGGCGACAACAGTGTTGTGCGAGATCAGGTGTAACGCACCTACGAGCAGCAAGCAAAATGGTTCGATATGAGCTGTTCGGCATTTTCCCAAGTGTTATCCTGGTAGTCCTTAAATACCCTCATCAATAAAGCTCTGATCCTAGAACATATCCAGATAAAGATCTCAAACCTGCCGACAAAATCTGGCCGGAGCCTTTCACCACGCCACCTTTAACAACCCTAAACCCTAAACCCTAAAACCCGAAACCCTAAACCCTAAACCCTCAACTAGAGAGCGAGCGTCCGGAAAGCGTTTAAAGTTTAGAGCAGCAAGGTAACACCCAACATCGTCTTACCATGTATCCAGCCTATGCCATACATCAGCCAGTAATGTAGGTGTCGGATGATCAGTAGGATCCCCTTGTAGCCCCTGTACGTCTAAAATACGATAAAGATCCAGTAGGACCTAAGCTGATGGTTGTTATAACCGCCTTCGGAACACCCTTGTAGAGCCCTACAGCTCCGCACAGAAACCTCATCCAAAAGTCAAAAAAGCCCTTAAGAACCCTGTTAAGGCCCTAACGCTCTAGACCCTATATTTGCCGAGCCCTGAATACCAGCATGCTGCACAAAAAAACCTGCTGAATCCCTAAACCCTAAGTAGAACCCTTGCAGAAACCAGAACTGTGCATCCATCTAAGCCAAAGCCCAAAATCAAAAGAACACAGGGTTTAGGGTTGAGGGTTCCTCAATATAGAACAAATTAAGCAAGAGCATGTACAACCTTACTCAGAGGCTCAAGGGACTTACTTAGTAAGTTGTAAGTAAGGTTGTAAATGGTTTCAATAGGCCCAGTTAGGGCAGTTGCAACCCCAACTATAACCTACATACTCAGTCGCCGGAGTCACCCGCCTGGGGGCTGACATGGGCGCATTGATCATCAGAATCCGGTTTATCATATTGTAGTTACCCAGTCAAGTGCCTTCTAACCCTTAGCCCTGACAACCCTAAACACCCTAAGCGGCCCTAAACCCGAAGTAGTAAATCCAATTATGTATAGAACCGTAACCCCTAAACTCTAAACCTGAAACCCTGAACCCCTAAACCCTAAACCCCCAAACCCTAACCCCTAAACTCTAAACCCTTGACCTATGATCCTCCAATCAAGGAAGGAGCAAATGAGCCTTAAAAGTAGGGGCCCTATACCCATATACTATGAATCCCTATATGGTATATGAACCTTAAGCCCTTTTAGGGTTAATTTCGTCCTTAAAGTCAAGGAACACTACCCTAAACCCTAAACCCTGAACCGCCAGTCAAGGAAGGAGCATCCACCAGTGGACAAAGCGGCTCTGCAGCTTCGGGTCAAGGCCACGCTTGCGCAGAAACCCATGGGGTGTCAGGTTTTAGGGTTTACAGTACAGTAGAAGCCCAAAAGTTGGAAACCCCAAAGCCTCAATCCTTAAGAGTAATGGGGTCCCGGCACTATTTGGCCTTAATCCGGTTTCCAACTTTATGGGGTTTACTGTAGGGTGCATAGGGCTTTAGGGACTTAGAGTTTAGGGTTTTAGGGCTTTTCCCTTTCAGAGTTTAGGATTTAGGATTGTGTTGGGTTTTGAGGAGTTTGTCAGGCTTCTGGTGAGAGTTGCATATGGTTTTTGTGAGGGCTTTGTGAGTAAGGAGGGGTTCTTTGTTGCACAAAGGTTTATATTAGCCTGGTATGCGGTTCTATGCGAACGCTGTACGGTTTTTGTTGAGCTTTGAAACGTCCGGAGGGGAAGGGTTCTACAAGCTGTACAAGGGTGCCAGAGGGTGTATTTAAGGGTTTGGGCTTAGTGCTGGTGGGGATAGCGGCTGTGCTTCTCAGTGTGACATTCTTGAGCAACCGCGTTGCTTCCAATGCGTATGCGGATGTTTAGACCCAGACAGCCCCATACTATTTACTTAAGGCGTATAGCAAAATCATAATGTTAATATGGAGTCCCCCATACTTTAAGCTACATCCCTCAAATGAGGGGTATTGGATGCTTTTTGAAGGCTTCTTGCAGTATCCGGCTTGTGGAGTTAATTTGCTGGTGCTTTCTAGCTTCGGACATTTCCAAGCTGCCCATCAGAGCTGTGTTGAAACCGTGCAACACCCTATAGCTAATAATGCTCTAAAGCTATCCTATATTATCCCCCTTTTTAATCCTTATACCGACGATGGTTAAGATTCAAAAGTGCCCTAACTAGGGCTATCCAAACTCTAACCTTACTTATAAGCTGACGTACTAGTAGCTACAAACTCCCATGAGCCTTTGAGTAGGGTTCCCTTTAAGGGCACTATAGCCTTCTCTAGTAGGGTTCCCTTTAAAGGATCGGGTTCAGGGCTTAACTTACTATTGATATTGGAGGAGCTAAGGAGCCAGGGATGATGATAATTCCTATCAAATAATAAGGAGCTAAAGAGCCAAGGGACCCCCCAAAACAACTGGCTAGTTAAGTAGCACTCATATGCTAGTTTATAGACCCGAGATCCTCTCAGGCTGTTTCATAGGAGGCCCAAAATGGGGTTTAGTAGGGATTAGGGTTCCCATAATAGGGCTCATATGAAGGAATCCCTACCCCAAGAATCGGTTTGAGAGTGTTTTAGGTCACGGCGCTTTCAAGAATACTGTTGATGCTATAAATCCTGCATTACCCATTTTAACAAAGGAATATACCATAATTCTCATAGTTTAGGGTCCTTAAGGTAATGCAGGATTTATATCATCAACCGTAGCTCATCGATTGCTTGGTCTCTTCTTTGCCCTGCCTCCCCCGTTTCGGAACTCGAAGGATCGGGCGATAGCAACTGGTGTATCCAGGGTGATCGGTGTGATACTGTTGATGATATGGGTGGTTGTCAATATTAGGGTCCCTTTCTGGGTCCCTATTATGATACGGCACCTAATATTCAGGGTACCCCAAAAGGGACCATAATTTTGACAACCACCCATATGAACCCTGCATACCCCATAAGAATGAATATACCCTAATTCCCAACGTGTAGGGTCATAAAGGTAATGCAGGGTTCATATCATCAACCGTAAGTGCCTTGGGTTGCTAAGCCCCCACCCCAGATCCCACAAGACATTTTCCAAATTCCGAGAAAGCCAGGAAACAACGCAAAACACCGTAATACAGTTTCGCGAAACCTCAAAAAGCCCTAAACCTAAACCCCTAAACCCCTAAACCCTAAGCCCCTAAACTCTTAAACCCCTAAACCCTAAACCCCTAAACCCTAAACCCCTAAACCCTAAACCCTAAACCCCTAAACCCTAAGCCCTAAACCCAAAAGCCCTGCTTACCAAGTCCCCTGATCCTTGAAGCACCACGCAGGCCCTCTTCGAGCAATATCGCTCCAGCGGCATGCCGCCCAATGAGGCCGGCACTATTAGGGTTTCAGGGTTTATCAAAAGGGGAAAGGAGGGACCCTTAATGGGGACCCCTACCCTATAATGGGCGGTCCTTTTTGAGGGTCTCTCCTTTCACCCTTGGAGTTTAGGGCTTAGGACTTTTAGGGTTTAGGCTTTGGGGTTTAAGGGTTTAGGTTAAGGGGTTTAGGCTTTAGGGTTCTTTCAAGGGGTGCATAGGGCTACCGCAATTCAGGGATAGTTCCAAAAGGGTGCTCTCATTGAGGTCTTGGTGTTGTAAGGGTTTTGGGGTCGGGTTTTGGGTTTTGTTGCGGCCTCCATAAGGGTTACTTGAAGGTTTGCAGTGATGTGGGCGTGCAAAGGTCCGGGGTGAGCGCCTGAATTACGTCAGCTACTTCAAGTTCAGGGTTTCGCGGTTTGGGGGTTTTGGGGTTACTTCTTCGGTTTCAGAAACTCAGGCCACCCCCACCCCGAACCACCCCCAGCCACGCTCCACGCACCCCACCCCCGCCCCCACCGCCATCGCCACCGCCACCACCACCACCACCACCATCACCACCAACAGCAACAGCAACAGCGCCATCGACAGCCATCTTCACATCCATGGACTGCACCAGCAAGCCAGTAAGTCACATGATTTGGATCTTCGACGCCTACCCTCCTAGCCTTCAAGGTTTATGTTTAGGTAGTTTGCGCGGCTCCTGTGATTAGCTTGCACTAGGCAGCGGCGAAAGCCATTGCGGACGCACAGCAAGGCCGCTCGACCGAGAATTGTGCATTCGATTGAGGGGTCTCGGATCTATTATTGATGGTAGTCCTTCCTCCTCCTGGTAGAATTGTAATTAGCGGTAGGCCGCGCAGCAAAAGAATAAGCACACTGTAATGACGTGCGCCTGTGCTGGAGTTATGTTCGGGGTTTACAGCTTGGGCGTTGGTGAGATGAGGCCGTCTTGAAGAGGTTCTTGTGTGTGGCCGAAATAGGCATCCCCTTCCGCCGGTGACCTCAATTGTATGTCCATCTCCTCTTCGAATTAGAGCCCCCGAGTTGGTACACTAGCCGAACCCGATTCCAATTATAAAGGGCCCCTGCTTTGCTTTATAGGGTTCATCCGTGCCGTTGCACCCTTACAGAAGCTTAGGTTTAAGAGAACCCTCACAGAAATCCTAGGCCTAAACCCTAGGCCCTGGACCCTAAAGCCTAAACCCTACTTGGAGGATCATGGGTAAGTAGGCTATATATGGGGTCATAAGTCCCCCAAGTGGGTTATCCTAGTTATAAGCTACTTGTAAGCTTACTTACTAAGTCCCATGATCCTTTAAGTAGACTCCGCCCGTAAGTTTGAGGCTTCCCCTCATGCGACCTCACAGTCGCAAGCAGTAGCTCGGAAGAATCCTACCAAAAGGCTACTATGGGGTTCTTTTCTCAGGCTTCAGGGTTTAGGGTTTACTTAAAGACTCACGGGACTTAGTAAGCAAGCTTCTAAGTAGCTTATAATTAGGATAGCCCCACTTATCGGACTTGTCACCCATATATAGCCCACTTACAAGGTCCGATGATCCTCCAAGTGGGCTTTCTCAGAGGCCTTAAGCTTAGGCTTCAGGGCTTGGGGTTCACAGTTCAGCGTTTAGGGTTTAAGGTTCAGGGTTTGGGGTGCAAAGGGGCCTTCTGTAAGGTGCCAAAGACCACATAAGCACGGGGATCCGATATTTAGGGTGAGGCCCCCCTACAGATGGGAGTTTCCGAAAATTAGGGGTACCGTAGTCTTGGGTCCTTATAACAACGATCCTACTATTTAGGGTGCTGTATTAGGGTCCCCTGTTCTCGGAAACTGCCAGATAAGAAGGAATCCAGCACACGCCCGCACAAACGCAAACACACGCACACACACACACACACAGCTACATACACAAGCAAACCCAAGCCCTAAAGCCGAAACACCCTTAAAGTGACTGATCTTTGAGCTCTTCAAGTTTAGGTAAGTTGGGCCCAGGGATGACTTGCAGCTCTGTAGCAAGTAGGGTTTTCCTTGACCCTAAACCGGAATAAAGCGCCACTTTGCACCGTAAACATCATGATACCCGCAAACCTACAATCTAAACCGCTATCCTAAACCTATAGAATCCTGGAGACCTTTCAAGGGGGTGCTTTGATCTTAGTGGATCGTCGCCGAGGCCACTGACCGCTGCGCTCGCGTGCCGGAGCAAAATCGTGCTTTTGCTGCCCGAAGATCTGGCGGGTATTCTTCTACCCAGACTCCCGGAAGGATCTAGAAAGTAGATCCCCTAATTTGGGGCCTATACTACTAAGGGTACTTTATAGGAACCCCCATGAAGGGATCTACTTGTTGGATCCTACCGGGGGTCTGGGTAGGTCCCGGAGTATGACCCTAAACCCTGCACCACTGAACCCGAAAGCCTGAATACCAGACCAAGCTCCAGAGAGCCCAAGGTTTAGGGTTTAGGGTTTAAGGGATATAGCTTAAGCTAGATGGGGTACTTTAAGGCCCGTACCAAGGGTTTTAGAAGGTCTTATAGAAGGAAAACAGCTTCAATTCATAATGTGAAGCCCCTTATACAGTAGAAGCCACAAAGTTGGAACATCGTTGTCCTGGTTCCCTGAAGGTCAAGTACAAGGGGTCGTGGCACGAATCATCCTAAAACCATGTTCCAGCTTTCTGGGTTTTTCCTGTAATGCAAGGTAGATTCCTCAATTGAGGCGTGTTGGTCTAACGGAGCTGGTTATGGCTCAGATCCGACATATGGGGCATGTGTTGAGGATGTAGGCCTCAGAAACACAGCCATGTCGTCCTTAAGGTGTTCTGGGAATGACGGAGGAAGATTACAACAAGTGCTGTAAGACATGGGGCCTCCCAAGCAAGGCCTGCGTACGAATTCCTAGTCACCGCAGCAAAACCCAACCAAGACAAGTTTTGGGTGAAAGCCGTATAGGTTTCTTCAAAACAGCAGAAAGCCAAATATGCAATCCTATCAAACCCGCACAAGGCCGTGTAGACAACCCTAAGCCGTTTATAGATTCCTGAAAAGCCCGACTTGCCAAGCTGCCCTCAACACCCCGCACTGTGCAGACCCGAAGTCATGACCGCTGGAGATGTTTCCGGTAGAGGGCTTCACGCGTTCAGAGCATTAGGGTTTTGAAGTCTACATAAAGGTTCACGGGACTGGGTAAGTCAGTTAAAGTAGGTTACAGTTTTGATAACCCCACTTAGGGGACTTATCGCCCCACTTATAACCTACTTACTAAGCCCATGATCCTCTAAGTATTCAGGGTCAAGGGAGCAGCAGCTGTGAGACTCTTGAGAAAATACAACAGATCCTCGTGAGAAGTGCTCGGTGCAGTACCGATACCAATGTCCTCAGCTCTACATCCTCAACCCACGACCCTTTATATTAAAATTGAACCCTTCCCACAAACCCCTAAACCCAAAACCTTCCCACCGCGGCAACGCCGTGCCACAGGGTGCTTCAGCAGATGATGACGCCGAGGCTCATGAACAAGTTGAGTTGCAGCTTCCCTAAACCCTAACGGTTTCGGGTTTAAGGTGAGTCTTAAACCAGCTTAAACTCCAGGTAAAGGTTTTGTTGCACTGGTCGGGGTTTGGCGTTCCTGGATTTGGATTTGTTTGCCACGTCCTGGATCCCAATCTCAGCAGTTGCGGGACACCCCAAATCTCATATTCTAGGTATCGATTTGGGATAAAGTCTAAGCATTGGGGACTGTTGGAATCGACATCTAGTGCCCAGACCCCCGGGAGGATCCAAACAGTAGATCCCTTAATGGGGGTTCCTTTAAAGTACCCTTAGTAGTATAGAGCCCCAAATTAGCGGATCTACTTTCTAGATCCTCCCGGGGGTCTGGGTAATAGATACCTCCGGCTGTCTCCTCTGCCATGACTTCGCACCAAATTCCCAAAGCCCAAGCCCCAGCTTGAACTACCAAACTTATCTTTGTTTGTATGGTCCCTGTAAATTCGTCAAAAAAGGAAGGTTTTGGTAGTTTAGGGTATAGACACTTTATCAGAACACCGGCCCTAAGCTCTGGGTCAGAACAGCCCTAAGAACCCTATGCGGCATCGTTCGACGCTTACCTACCGAGAGCAAAGCAGACTGATGCACATTGCCTAGACCTTACACGTTTTGAGGGTTTAGGGGTTTAGGGTTTAGGGCTTGGCATTTAGGGCTTAAAATTAAGCTCAAACGCAACTGTGTATAACATGAGGATGTTAGGGTGGTTTTGCAAGGGCTCCGAAGAATGCCAGTGCCGAACCCATTCTGCTCAGCACGACTTCGCCGCCTTTGCTGAATCCTTTGCATCTATCCCTCGCTTGTTCTGACTTCGTGACTGTGTACTTAGTTCTCCAAGACCACAACTATGAAGTTTTGTTGGCTTCTTACTCTTCTAAACCCTAAACCCCAAAACCTTAAACCCCAAAACCCAAAACCCTAAACCCCAAAACCCTAAACCCTCAACCCCAAAACCCTAAACCCTAAACCCTTTCATTTGATTGGATCTTGGGGCTGCAAGACATGCCCCTATGGTTTCCTATCAGAAACCTACACCCTCCGGCCCTACTTGAAGGCTCATGGGACTTAGTAAGTAAGGTTATAATTAGGATAACCCCACTTAGGGGACTTATAACCCCAATTATAACCTACTTACTAAGTCCCATGATCCTCTAAGTATGGTTTCCTATCAGAACCCTACACCCTTCGGCCCTATGTAAGTCCCCAATCCCAAACCCTTCTTACCAAGGGGTCACTGGGGGCCAAACCCTGAACCCCTCAACCCTTTCTAGTTCCCCCACGCACCGACAAGCCTCGAAACGATTGTCGGTTGTTGCGCAGGATGCGGATGCAGCAGAAGCCGAGAAGGAGGTTCCTTGCTCCAGTCTTCAATCATCAAAGCGGAAACCAGGACCTAAACCATAAAGCCGTAAGGACTCAGGCTTCAAGGCATACAGAGGCCCGCGACATGAGAGTCATGCAGGTTTTGATAGGTTTACGTAAGGGTTTTGGGTTCTGGAGTCTAGGGTTTAGGGCGAGAGCCTTTGTAGGTCTGCGCTGCACTGTGACTGCGAGTACACCCTAAGGGCCACCGCGCCCCTCACCCCTTAGCTATGCATTGTAGGGCTTGCTGTATCTGTATGCAGAAGTGCTGGAGCTGCAGATCAAGGGTTCTAGGGTTTAGGGTTTAGGTTGAGCGTTAGGCTATTTTTAGGAGTAGCCAGTCTACTCCAGGTTCTGCGGCCCAGGTGTTTGAACTTGCGGTTCAGACACACCGCCTGATGACAACTCAGTAAATCAAAGACCGAAACGGGTGGATTGAAGGCAAGACGGGTAAAGCATGCCGTGCATTATAGTGTAAAAGGGCTCGTCCCTACGCAAAGATTCAGAGCCAAAAACATGATGCGAAAGAACCCAAACTCGTAAAGTGTGCGGATCGCAGGCCAATCCTTACGCCCAGCACTAGTTCGAGGACACAAGCCATGAAGATCTCCTACAGACCGATATCTATGCACACAGCCCGCCGTTTTGATGAGTCTCCATCAGGGCCCCTTGCTACAGATCCGGGTTTTGTGTCGACTATGCAAGCTGGGTGATTGAAAATACACAGGCGAAGCCCAAAAAGAAGGACGACAAGAAGGTGCCTTGGACTGCTGACCTTTGGGTTTAGATACAAGAGAGGTTCCGGAAACTAGGGGTACCTTATTTTGGGGCCCTTATAAGAAGCATCCTACTATTTAGGGAACTACATTAAGGGTCCCCTCTTTTCGGAAACTCCCACATGGCCGAAAGAATGAACGAAATTCCCTCGGAGTCCCTGTAATAATCTGCGGTAGAAGACTCACGCAAAGACCTATCCTAATCCAAGGCCCCTGTATTGGCGCTCTGCGGTAAAATGGTTCTGTTTTAGGATTTTAATACAGGGGCCTAAGTAGTTATCTATGCTATTGTTGGGGGTTCCTCTTTATAACCATAGTAGAATATACCCTAAAACCCTATTCTAATTGTCAAGACTCCTACAATATGGAACCCTACTATAGACCCCTTTTTAAGGAACCCTTGAAAGGAGCCCTATGCTAATTATCAAGGCCCATATATTAGACTTGCAGCTTCAGGGCTTGGGGCAGGGGTCTCCGTGGTTCGACTTTATGCTTTGGGGTTTAGGGTCTGTTGGGGCTTCAGGGTGTAGGGTTTAGAGTTTAGGGGGTGGTTCTTTAGGGTTTAGGGTTTAGGGGTTGGTTCTTTAGGGTTTAGGGTTTAGGGCAGTTTAGGCTTTAGGGTGTTTTTGGTCTGTTGGGTTTAGGGTGTAGGGTTTATTTATACATGCATCCATGTCGGACTGTCCCGAGTGTTTGGTTGGGGTCTCTAAGTGTGGGATACGACTGATGGACAAAATCCTACATGGCCCTATATGCCGAAACTATGGTACTCTTCTACATTTCAGGTAATGCAGGATTTCGCCCAGCCACCGTATTGTTCGACATCCTCAGAGCCATGAAGAAGGTGATGGTCAAGCGGAAGCCATTGGTTTCAGTGCCTTTTAAAAGCCCTGACGACCTAAACCCCAAACCCCTAAACCCTAAGCCCAAAGCCCTAAGCCCCTAAGCCCCTAAGCCCCTAAACCCCTAAACCCCTAAACCCCTAAACCCCTAAACCCTAAACCCCTAAACCCCTAACCCCTAAACCTTCCTAAACCTTCCTAAACACCTAAACCCCTAAACCGCTAAGCCCTAAGCCCGGAAGCTCTAAGCCCTTGAGCCTCCTGGCCCCAAACCCGACATCTGCGACCAATGCTCTCAAAGCCAAGTGGATTGTTGTCAAATTTAGGGTCCCGTTTTGGGTACCCTAAATATAAGGTGCCGTATTTTGTTAAGTACCCAAGAAACGGACCTAATTTTGACAACCACCCAAGTATGTTTAGCCTCAGACTCTGCCTGTAGCCTAGAATACCGGTGAACGAATTATACAAGTCAGGAAACCTGAAACGGTAGGTTCTTTGGGCTGCAGGCAGGCCCCTCTAAACATACGCCAACCGCTCACCACAAAAACCTGTCAGGCCAAAGTGTCATTGCCCCGACCGTAGTTTCACCCGAAACCCAAAACCCACTTAGAGGGTCTGAGGACTTTGCAAGTCGTTATTTATGGACTGATAAGCATCATAACCCCAATTAGGGTCCCTTTTAGGGTACCTACGGTTGATGATATAAATCCTGCATTACACATAGTAAGGAATAAACCATAATTCCCATAGTTCAGGGTCCTCAGGGTAATGCAGGATTTATATCATCAACACTAGAACTCTACTTCTTACCTACTTACTAAGTCCCCCGGCCTCCAGCTAAATAAGGCCTCCGAGGCCCGAAACCCGAAACCCAAGCTCCAAACCGCTCGGAGCCCTATGCTTAGATAGTGAACGGGCGATTTTTTTCAAACTTTTTGGCCTTATAAATTAGCTCTATTTTAGAAAGTTTGAACTTTTTTGGGCCGGGTTGTTGAAGAAGAGAGTATAAAGCCCAAGCTAAGACCCTAAACCCTAAACTTCCTACACCCTGCACCTCAAAATTTCTAAAGCCCAAACCCTAAACCGTAAATTTCCTAAACCCTAAAGCCTTGAACTTCCTGAACCTTAAAATTACGCCCTAAACTCTAGATCCTAAAAACCCCAGGAGCTCTCAACAAAAAACAAAACCGAAGGCCCTCAGCCCTAGCAAGGCGAAAACTGGCACGGCCAAAGAGGTCAAGGACTACACCTCGGGGAGGTTTACGGGGTTTCAGGCTTATAGGGTTATAGGGCTATAGGGTTTTATGGTTATAGGGTTATAGGGTTCAGGGTTTGGTTTTTCTGTTTGGGGTTTAGTAGAGTTTAGGGTTTTAGAGTTTTGTTGACTGTAAATGATTTTTTATGGCATTATCGGATGTCAGACTGTTCGTGGTTGTTCATAGGATGTTATGGTTCGCCGGGCTTTAAACGGAGTTTAACGGCTCGAGGGTTTTCAGGTCTAGGGTTGAGGTTTGTCGGGCTTTGTGACCTTTGGGTCCAGGTCTTGTTTACGCCTGGAAAATTAGCGTTTGTTTCTTTTCGCGGCGCTGCAGGGACATTGTGCGTGGAGCCTCAAAGTTGTCAAGTCCAGCAGGAGGAGAAGCAGGAAGACAAGGAAGATTTGCAGATAGAGCCGGACCGAGCTCTCATCAAGGCCCTGCCACACAGGTTACTTAAAGGCTCATGGGACTTAGTAAGTAAGGTTATAAGTAGGTTGTAATTAGGATAACCCCACTTAGGGGACTTATAACCCCAATTACAACCGACTTACTAAGTCCCATGATCCTCTAAGTACCCTAAACCCCAATATAGAACCCTTGTAGATCCCTGAAAGGAACCCTTTAAGGAACCTTACTTACTAAGTCCCATGATCCTCTAAGTAGGGTGTAGGCCTTCGTGATAGGGTTGCTTCTCCGGTCAGTCTAGCTCCAGGCCCAGACCGAACAAGATTCAAACAGCGTAGACCTTACTTTTCGGTTTCTCATAGGGGTTAGGGATCCCTGGGGTTCCTTTAAAGGGATCTATAGGGGTTCCTTTAAAGGGATCGATAGGGGTATCATAGGAGGCCAAAAGGGGTTTCAGCCTATGGGAGTTTAGTAGGGGTTAGGGTTCCCATAATCGGGTTCATATTAAGGAATCCCTACCCAAGAATCTTGAACCCCCCTTTTGGCCTCCCATCAGTTTCAGTGCAGAAGCAAGCACAGTTCGGTGAGTTACACCCCCCCGATCTCAAAGCCTAAAGCCCAAGCGTCAAAGCTGAACCAAGAGTCGCCCCGGCACTACATGGGAGTTTCCGAAACTAGGGGTATCTTATTTTGGGGTCCTTATAATAAGGATCCTACAATTTAGGGTACTATATTTGGGTCCCGAATTTCGGAAACTCCCACATGATGCTAGAAGCTGCGACGGCCAAAAGCCCCTGAGCCGAGACCCTAGAAGCAGTTGAGAATAGTTAAGAGCCAAACCCGAAGTTGTAAAACAGTGCGTAACATCGCTAGACTAAACTGCAATCCTTCAACCCCACCCTCATCCAACTGTCAGTTGTAATTTGGACTCAAGCATTCCGCGGCCCTAAGCGACATTGCTGTTTAAGTTTTGCGGTTTAAGGTTAAGGGCTGATTTGGTCGGAGAAGGCGCCGGCTGCCTCCATCCGACACGGCTTCAGCTTAAACCCTGACATCGGGAGGAGCTCCTTATCGAACCCTAGTACGCCATAGCCCGAAACACCCTTAACTCGTATGCCTCGTGACATACCGCAAACTTACAAACCCTAAACCCTAGACTTGGTGTTTTGGGTCTTTAAGGTTTGTGGAAGGCCAGTAACTGCTATAATCCTTACCTCAAAATCCATGCTTGACCGTGTGGGTTTTCTGTAGCGCATAGTTTGGGTACGGTCCCCACTCAGTAATAGTTGAATAATTGTCATAATATAGATATATTAGTACCTTAATAGTAGCCCTATTATATTATAGGCTCTTACTGTAAGGGGGCAGTACCTAACGTATAGTCTGTTGAGTGACGCTCCTTTCGAGTCGGTGTGGTATCATGGCTTTGAAGCCCTGCTGTGTAGTAGCCGGCTCCGACATGTGTGCGTGTGTGTATGCATTAGAAGCTGCCCCCACCCTGTAATAGTGGTATAATAGGAATATAATAGGGCCCTAATATAATCCTTATAGTCACTATTACAGGGTTGGGGCAGCTTCTATTGTATGCCTGTATGCATGTGTATGGATGTATGTATTGTGCACACAGGATGTACGGATGTATTGAGGATTTTCGTATGTACGTATGTATGTATGTATGCATGTACGCATGTGTGCATGGATGCAAGGATGGAAGATGCTTGGATGCATGGATGGATGGATGGATGGATGGATGGATGGATGGATGGATGGATGGAGTCTGTGTGGGCATGTATCTCCATGTGTATACATGCCTGGATGTGTGTGCATACGTATGTATGTGCTCACACATGTGCAGTTGAGTCGGTATGTGTATGTATTCATCTGTATGGAATTTGTGTATGTGCACGTCCAGAGTCTATGTCCAGGATTATGCCTGTGTCCACGTCTATGTATGCAGGTCTGCGTTTACGTTCATGTGCATGTGTGGCAAAAAGTTATGTGTATGTGCAACTGTATACGGACGTGTACTACGGATATTGCTGACACGGTGCTGTAATCCCATGCCGTACACACACACACAGAGTTTGAGTCCTAACTTCGACGCCGAGCGGCTCGAACATCCCACAAGCTCGGAGATATCTGCAACGACGCAGAGAGTCGACGCCATGAGCCGCGTGACCTGAGAGTCGGGATGATGACGTGCAGAATTCTGCCATATGTTATTGCTGGATGCGGAGTTTGGGGTTTGGGAGTTTAGCAACAAAAAGTCCGTTAATGGATTCAGGACTTAGCATCTAATGTGCAGGCCTAAATAATTACCAATATTATGGTGGGGGTTCCTCATTATAAGTATAGTAGAGTGGGCCCCCAAAACCCTTATTCTAATTACTAAGGCCCCCATATTACTATATGATGATCCTGCATGTTCACTCGACAGTACCAGTGGAAGGTTGGCCGCATACCCAGTTCATCAATCAAGCCAGGCAAGGTAAGGTGTGGTCTTTGTTCCGTCTGCATCGGAACGTCTCTAAACCTTTAGGATGCCCAGTAGTACCCTTATTCGCTTTTTGTAGGCAGGTTCCGTTACCCAATACCAGAAAGGGAGCCCTTTTTAGTCCTAGGTTACTGGGCATCCTAGACCTAGACCTCGAACCCTTGCCCCTAAACCTCTAGATACTCAAGCCCAAGCCCCTAAACCCCAGAACAGAATCCACTAAACCCTGAGCCTTGAAACCGTAAACCGTCAAATCCTAAAGCCCAAAACCCTAAAGCCCAAATTCCTAAACCACAAACCATCTGAAACCCTATAAAAGGTTTCAGGGACTTCTTTCAGCCCAGACGGCCTAGCCCTTGAAGGAATTGTGGGTCAAGCGTGAAGGGGCTGAGGTCTATCTAGGGTTTAGCGGAGAAGGACCAGTGTCTAGTACTGCATGGGTCTAAAAAAAGCTAGAACAGGGCTTTGGGGTCTCTCGTGCTATAACTGCAAATAGGATATTATTTCTGTCTGATCCTTACCACGCGAGTAGGCTGAGTTCGTTCTGTCCGCAGAGGGTTGTCAGCATAGTGGCTTCAACTGCAAACCTAGAGTCTAACCCTGACGCCCTGAACCCGAACCCTACATCCCAAACCCTGCACCGAAACCCCAAGCCGCAAGTGTTGGATTCCGGCCAACAATATTTTGCACTCGAAACTTGAAAGCCAAGCTAAGGCGACGCAACGGCGCAGCATTGGCATGGCCTCGTTGCTGACACCGTCGGCCACAAGCGGCTTGTCTAGCCCTGATGATACAGCTGGTTGCGGAAGCTCATAAAGGTTTGGGGCTTTAGGGTTCCTTATGAGGTTTCCATAAGGGTTTGTTCTATATGGTTTCCATAACAATGGGATTGAGGGTTTATGTCTCAGAAGGTTTTGCGGCATTTTAGGGTTTGAGGGGTTTGAAGGTGGCTTCAGGCTCAAAGGACGTAGCAAGTGAGGAATAAACGGGATTAGACATACACTTGCTGGGATTCTCCCGACTTGTAAGTACGGGAGTCATAGGTGCAATTAGGATGACCCCACTTAGGGGGACTGCAAGCCCAATTGTTACCTACTTTCTAAGTCCCATGATCCTCTAAAGTAGCCTCCCTAACTACTGTTGATGGTATAAATGCGGAAACAATTCCTGCATGACCGGTCATCAAAGAGGTGATGGAGGCGAGAGATGCCCATTGGCTGGCCCCGGCGTTCCCTGACGCGAGCCCATCCGGACCGAAGCATGTGCCAGCAGTGGCCGAGCCCGCTAAGGTGTCCTCTCTCTTTGTTGCGGGCCCCGTGGTAGGGGGCAAACCCACGGCCAAGGTCATGAAGGACGGCACGAAGTTGTGCGGGGACTTCCAGAAGGAACTTGCAAGAATTTGCCACCGTGCCCCAACGGAGCTCACCGTTGTGCTGTTGTCCTTCGTGCTGAGCGGGTGTGTGGGGCACCCAATCACGGAGCGGCCAAATGCAAAGCCATAGCGAAGGCCAAGAGCTCTTGACTCTTGATGGGGCCCGGCCCAGCCTCTGGGGGAGCTGAGCCTGGGGTCGACGACTCCCCCTTCGACGGGGAGATGACCCCCAACCTGGTTATGTTGTTCCCCATAATAAGGAGTATGCCATAGTTCCCATAGTGTAGGGTCATTAAGGTAATGCCGGATTGTTATCATTAACTGTAAGCCCCCTAAACCTTTGAGTTGGGTTCTTCCCTGACAGCACTGCTTCGGGTTACCGTCGCCAAGCGCAGGCCCCGCGATTTAGGGGTTGAGGGTCTAGGGCTTAGGGCCCGGATCACGGCATCTCCTACAACAGCTGAATCTGACAGCCTCAACCCTCGACCCCAAACGGTTTAGGGTTTAGGGTTTAGGGCTAAAAATCCTGAACCATAGGATTTAGATGGATCTAGGGCCAACCCTCACTCAGCCCAAAGGGCAAAACCCTCAACAAGCACCTAAGCACTAAACCTGAGACCCTAAATAGCACCGCAAAGCCACATGTTCCCTGAAGGTGGAAAAACCCCTTAGAACGAAGCCCAAGAAGGTCAGGATATCCCTATTAAATGCTCATGCTTATGTCCTTTGGGGGGGTCCCTAAACCCTCAACCCTAAACCCATTTTGTGGTGTCTTTTTGTGAAGGTGGCCGTTCCCCAAAGCCAAATGTTCTATATTACCCTCGATTCTACACCAAATACCCACAATTATGGACCAGGTGGCCTCTATGAAAGGGCCCTCGGAGGGTTTTGGGTAGGCTCTTCCGTGAAGTATCCTTTTCAGGGTCCTACTAGTAAGGATCCTACTCTTTAGGGTGCTACATTAGGGTCCCCTACTTACGAAAACTCACACGCAGTCAATATAGGAGCTTCCATGCTTCAGAACGTCGCTCTCTCATCGGCTATGAATCGTAGTAGGATGCACCCCCACCTCCTCTCATAAACAAAGCTATTCTCTGAACCCTAAACCCCAAAACAAACAAAGCTATTCTGTGAACCCTAAATCCAAAACCCTAAAATACACAAAGCTATTCTGTGAACCCTAAACCCTAAAATCAACAAAGCTATTCCGTGAAGGTTCTAGGGTTCGAAGTATAGGCCCCTAATATGACCCTTAGGCCTTTTTGAGGGAGCTCTAGGGACCCTTAATCTATTCTGTGAAGGAGGCCCCGTGGCCCCTTCCCTGCTGTGTATGGAAGCTCCCAGATCCCTTAATTACTTAGAGGATCATGGGACTTAGTAAGTAGGTTATAACTGGGGCTATAAGTCCCCTAAGTGGGGTTATCCTAATTATAAGCTATTTATATCCTTACTTACTAAGTCCCATGAGCCTTCAAGTAGGAGTATGCCTAAGGGTTCCTTAAGCGAATCTTTAGGTTCTGTGAAGGTGGCCCCTTCCCCGCTGTGTGGCCAAATCCGACAAGGCGAACCGCGCGGACCAAGGCTCTCGGAGCGCTCCTCACGGCTTCGGATTTCGATATTTAGTGTTTAGGGTTGGGGGTTTAGGGTTTCGGGGTTTAGGGTTTGGGATTTAGGATTTGGTCTTTATGGTTTCGGGGTTTAGGGCTTAGGGTTTGGTGTTTAGGGTTTGCGGTTTAGGGTTTCGGGGTTTAGGGCTTAGGGTTTGGGATTTTGTGTTCAGGGTTTGGGGTTTACGGGTTTAGGGCTTAGCGTTTGGTGTTTGGTGTTCAGGGGTTTAGGGCTTGGGGTTTGGTGTTTAGCGTTTGGGGTATAGGGTTTAGGGGTTTAGGGCTTAGGACTTGGTGTTTAGACTTTAGGAGTTTAGGGTTGCGGGGTTTAGGATTTGGGGTTTAGGATTTAAGGGTTTAAGGGTTTCGGGTTTTGGGGTTTAGTGTTTAGGATTGGGGTTTAGGGTTCACGGTTCTGAGTGTTCCTTCGGGAGCATCTCTTGTAGTGTAAACCCAACGGGTTCTCAAACATATGTATATACTAGTAAAAGCAGTTAGTATACTATTAATAGACATCATCACCATCATCGTCATAGCAATAACCACTATATATGCACACATGTACGTATGCGTATATATATATATATATATATGTGTATATATATATATATATATGTACATATATATATATATATATATATATGTATATATATATATATATTTATGTACATATGTATATATACATTGGGTCTCAGAGGCTTCTAGAGCTCATGCTTCAAGGTTCAAGGCTTTGGGGCTCGGTTCAGGCTTTCGGGTTTCGGTTAGGCGGCTCAGGGTCAACCCGTTTAGGATTTAGGGGGTTTGGGGCTTTACTGTGCCGGTCCGAAAGTTCGTCGCACTCTATGTTGTTGTTACAACATGTGTGTTCAAGACCCCTTTTCCCCGAAGACTCCTCCAGAAGTCCTCCGCCGGGAACAACTATAGTACTAGAATTTCATTCCCGGATGATACTGCCTCCGCCTCCCAGGCCAGGGCATTCCTCACAGCCCGGACTCCGCGTACCCCGTTCAGTGTTGCTAGCGGATGCGACGAAACTTTAGTACCGGGCATGTAGGGTTTGTGGCTTTAGGGTTTGGGGTTTGGGGCTTAAGGGTTTAGAGTCCAGGGTTTAGATTTTAGGTTTTGGGGCTTAGGGGTTTACGGTTTAGGTTAGGGTTCAGGATTTGGGGTTGGGGGTTCAAAACCCAGAAAGTTGGAAAATCGCTACATGCCCCTGAGGTAAGGTAGAGGGAATCCCAGGATTAGTCATCCTTAGTCCATGTTCCAAATGTCCGGGGTGTACTAAATACCCTAAACCTCAAACACCGAAACTCAATCGAATGCTTTAGAAGGTCTTATAGGATCCGGGTTTCTCTTTAGGACTTTAGGGCGTTGAACCCTAAACCCCAAATTTGGGATTAGGTTTTTAGGCTTCTTTGACCGATGTAGGGATCCCTTCTTCCTTGGAGGCGTGATGGAATCTCTGAATTTCTGGGGGGGTGGGGGGGCCAGCGTTTGAGGTCTTAACGCTTAGGTCCTAGAGCCCACCTCTGAAAAGACAGTAAGCCCTAAAGCCTAAAAGCAAACCCTAAAACCTAAAAACCCTAAACCTTAAACCCTACAAGGAAAGCCTGCGGGTGTAATATAGGGGCCTTAACAATTCGAACAGGGTTTTGGGGTATATTATAGCTGAAACTACAATAAGGAACCCCCAGATTAGTATTGGTAATTATTGTAAGGCCCCTTATGCCCTTATGCTATAGACCCCTACTACAGATCCCTTCTAGACCCCTTCAAGGAGCCCTTTAACGGAACGCCCAAAATGTTGGGTAGCATGCTGAGGGAGACCCCTTAAAGGGTACCCCTTCCGAACCCTACTTCTGGTTCTCTTAAAAGGGAGCTTATTGAGAGCGTCTATTTCCTCGAGGGTCCCCCTAATCATAACTCCCAAATGTAGGCCCCTCTAGTAGGGCAGGCAACAAGACCCCTGCCAACGAGTACATGGATGAGCCTGCCGTCCTTGAGGCCAAGGCCAGGCCTTTAAGGGGCTGGGTTTAGGGTTTAGGGGTTTAGGGTTTAGGGTTACTATATCAGCTGTTCCTTTAAGGGTGACTATATCAAGTGGTTCCTTTAAGGGTTACCATATCAAGGGTTCCATCAAGGGTTCTATGAGGAGTTTAGGATTGATGTACAGTGTAGGGTTGAGAGGTTCAGGAGTTGATGATGGGTGTAGGTTTTCGGGCTCCTTTGATGAAGGGTATATCCCTTAATTTAGGAAAAGTCTTTAAATTATAGTAGGATCCCTAATATGATTTAAGGAATATTCCTTAATTAAGGGATATTGGAGTCTCTGAGTAATGGCTAAGGGATCAGGGTTTCGGGGGTTTAAGGCTTTTGGAGCATGTTTGGATGTATCTACTCTACAAGCCCGAAGCCGGTTCAGGTAGACCCCAGGCCTAAACTGAAGACCGCGGCCGTGAATCCCTTGGGCTCTTGGAGTCCACGTAGTTAGTTTAGGATGAGTTAGTTTGGGTTTAGTTAGTGTAGGGCTTAGTTAGCTAAGTTTAGGGTTGAGCTAGTCAAGGGCGTAATTTGTTTAGGGCTTGTCTATTGGAGTCCAGGCATTAAATCGAAGCGCTAAGCTGGAAATGCTTCTTTAACAAAAAATCAAACATGATAGTAATACACGGTTTAGAGTTTATGGTTTAGGGACACATTTATACAAAGAAAGCAGAAGAAACTATGAATGTTTCAGGTAGACATACTTGCAGATCTTCTCCACCGCAGCCGCTCCACCTGTGCCTACACTGGCGCCGGTCTTTCCAAGGCCCGAGGGTTTCAGGTTGATGGCTTACTTTAGGGACCCCCAAAAAGGCACATAAGCATAAGCATTTCATATGTTGATATCCCTACCTTGTCGGGCTTCCTTTATAAGGGGGTTTATATGGGGTTCCCCTATCCTAATTTTTGCTTATGTGCTTTTTTGGGCCCTATACTTGGACCCTAAACCCTGATCTGGGTTTGGAGTACCATACTTGAATACTTTTTTTGGTGCCTGTTCCTTAACGGAACCATTCTGAAATAAAAGTCTAGGCTTTTTTCTCCCTGGTTACTTCAAAGTCCAGTTAACCCTAAAGCCCTGAGACCCCAAACCCTAAACCCGGGCCTTATAAGACTCTTCGCGGTACTAAAGTCCTGAAAAATAGGTAGGTTACTTGGAGCCTAGGTAGGGTTCAGGGTTGCGGCTTTCGAGGTGTAGGGTGGTTTTGGATTTTTATGGCATGTTAGTGCTTTGGGGGTGGGGGTTCCAGTAGGGTGGAGGTCTGAGAGTTTATGGTGCTTTAAGCCAAACACCCTGGACACTAAACCTGACCCCCCCGCCCAGAAACTAAACCGCAGTGTGCATGTGGTTTAAGGTGTTCCTAGTAGCTGAATCAGTCCACTTTAATGCTGTTAGGAGAACATGACCCGCTACCGAACGAAAAGTTTAAAGGTTTACCCCAAAGCTTTCTCTAATTCCCAAATTTACACTCAAAACCCTAAACCCTAAACCAAGACCCGCCTAAAACCCCGAAGCTAAAAACTCGAATTCCTGGAAGAATTCCAAGTGGCCCTAATCCAGATTAGGTTTAGGGTTTAGGGGACAGTCAACTCTAAATCCTTGCAAAAAGACTACTGCGCTGAAGCTTTCAATTGGCGCAACGCCTGTGTCCTATACCTATTTACTCCATGAGCCATTGCAGGGTTCATGTCGTCCTAAACGCTTCTTTGTGGCAATTCCATAAAAGGTCCCGTGTGCACCGACCGTCCTAAAGGCCATAGACCAAAACCAAAGCAACAAGCCCCATACCCCAAATCTGCGCGTAATGAACCCCCCTTTAACCCCAAAAGGGCACCCTGTTTATTCCTTGGTTAACTCTTGGGTCTAGTGAAAAAGGCCTCTGGCATTCCCGACTATGCCACCAAAGCTGCGAAGTCGGTCGTGGCTGGGCCAAAGGCGCAACTTCGGGGCTAAAGCGGATTCTATAAGGGTGGTTGTCAAAATTATGGTCCTTTTCTGGGTCCCCCTAAACCCTAAACCCTAAACCCTAAACTCCTACATCTTGAAGCCATAAATCCAGAAGCCCCAAGCTCTAGACAGTACGCTGTAATCCCTATGTCCTAAGTCCCACGCCCCAAACCCCGAAGCCCCAAAACCCGAAGCCTTGAAACCCTGAAGTCTACACCCCAAGCCCAGAACCGTAAACTCCAACGCCAGATAGAACCTTGAATTGCAGGGCCCCTTACCCAGAACCCTAAACCCCTAAAGCCCTGTAGAACCCTTTAAAAGGAACCCTTAAGGATCCCTTGTATTCACCCTGTAAACCCTTTAAAGGAACTTTGAAGGATCCTTGTTAAGAACCCTAAAGCCCTGAAGCCCCAAAGCCTTGCTGTGAGATCCGAAGCAGCTTCGATGCTCTGCCCACCTACGCACACCAGTGCCTGGCTCCCTTGGCTTCTATGGGGGCAGTTCTCTAAATTAGAGTCCCTTCTTAGGTCACCCAAGCAGTCCGGCACTTTAAAAACCTAAATGCGAGCTTTAATTCAGAGAATTACTTATTGGGACCTTAAGCAATTCGAATAGCGCTTCGGGTTTAGGCTACTATCCGGTTTCAACGATTCCTTTGTGGAGGTGTCTCTTAGGGACGGCGTTTATAGGGTTGAACATGGTGGCCTTAATCATTAATCATTACCATAATGTTCCCTGTTCGGGTTCCTTCAAGGGCTTTATAAGGTAAGGCATTGACGCACCCTAATGATTCGAATGGGGTGTCCGGGTACCGTCTAATATTAACATAAGGAGCCGAAAGCATTTTGGTATATTTTCGTTTAGGGGTTTAGGGTTTAAGGGTTTAGCGCTTGCATCAGCAGCAGCCGCATGCAGCGACCACATGTGTTCTGATCGGAGTGCTACCACCAGGACATGTGATAAGACGAGTTACCCTCAAGCCTAAACCCTTTACTAAAGCCTATAAACTTAGGAGGGGCCCCCACCCTGTAAGAGTGACTATAAGGATTATACTAGGGCCCTATTATATTCCTATTAGACCCACTATTTACAAGCTGGGGGCCCCTTAAAACCTAGAACCCCTAAAGCCGAAGCCCGAAACGTCAGAGTCCTGAGCTTTGGGGCACCCCAGGGGCGGAGACCCCCTGTGCTCCAAAACTGCAGCCACCTGAAGGACCAAATGACCCTTAAAGGTAGGGGCCCTTTTCCCATATACTACGGTTGATGATATAAATCCTGCATGACCCATAATAAGGAATGTACCATAATTCCCATAGTTTAGGGTCCTTAAGGTAATGCAGGATTTATATCATCAACCGTATGAATCCCTAGATGGTATATGAACCTTAAACCCTTTTAGGGTTCATTTCGTCCTTAAGGCAGGCCGTGCCCAAGCATTTCTGTGAAGGCCCAGGCCCTGAAACCCTAAAACCCTACTTGGAGGATCATGGGACTTAGTAAGTAGGTTATAACTGGGGTTATAAGTCCCCTAAGTGGGGTTATCCTAATTATAAGCTAGTTATATCCCTACTTACTAAGTCCCATGAGCCTCTAAGTAATCTAATCTTTTTGCACCAAAAACCACTTGAGCAATTTCGAGCATTCAGTGAGGTACTACTCCATCAGAACAATCTGATGCACTCTTGGGTTCAGCCAACTGCCTGCAAAACTTGGGGAGTATGGGCCTGACATCCGGGCAGTCTTCTTCAAGGCTTCGATAAGGCAAGGCTTTGGGGGATTGGGATTTAGGATTGGGTTTTGGGGATTGGGGTTTAGTTTTAGATTTCAGGTTTTGGGGTAGTAGAGGGCTAAGGCGGGTAAGGGTCTACGGTTGTAAACTAGGATTTGGCCATTCGTTTCTGTTCTCAAGCTTCGGGGCTCAGCATCTTTGTTGGGACCCCTTATTCAATGAATTTTGGCGCCGTTGGGCGGGTTTAGGGGGAGTGGCTGTGGCAAGCCCGTAAACCTTAAACCCTAAACCAAATTCACCCTTATTTCGAACCTGGACCCTCAGACTTAGAGCTTAGAAACTCTGAAAGTCCTAGACTTTATAGGGTTTAGGGTTTAGAGTTTAGGGTTTAGGCATAAGCTGCACAAAATGGGGAATTCTAGTGTTGAAGGAACCTCGGATCTCGCGGCCTGTGGCTTTGCTTAGTCTAGGACCCTTATTCCCGGGTTCCCTTATAAGCCCCTTTAAAACCAAAAAGGGCACCCTTTTTATTCCTTGGTTACTTCTGGGTCTAGTTAGTTTATCATCACGGATACAGGGCCAAACGTTCGCGGCTTTCTAGGACCTAGAGTAGGCCCTTATTCCCTTGTTTTAGGGTTCAGGTTCCCTTAGAAGCCCTTCAAACCAGAAAGGGAACCCGTTTGATTCCTAGGTTACTCTTGGGTCTAGCTTTGGGATTCACTGCGTTGGAGTTCTTGGTTTAGGGCTTTTACGACATTAGCCCTAGACCTAAACCCTAATCCTTGCACCCTAACCCCCAAATGCTAAACCCCAAACCTTAAAGCCTACATCCAAAATGGTAGTCGCGGACTTGCATGGTGCTTGCGAGTGAGCGGCGACTTGCTCGGTGAGCATGAGTCGGATGGCAAACTTTGGGAGTTGCAGGAAGTGGCCCTCGACCGGAGCTGTTGCATCCTGACGTTCATGGCCGGCCTCAACCCAGAGACTCCAATATCCTGTAATTGAGGAATATTCCTTAAATCATATCTTATCAGGGATCCTACTATGATTTAAGGTATATACCTTTTATTAACTTAATTATTGGAGTCTCTGGGGTCAGACCCAGAACTCGGAAATTGTCGTGGCCCTCGAACCGGCATCGGCTGCTGGCAGGCGGGGGTGGCACTGACTGTGCTGCTGAAATCATGTGGGTGGTTGTCAAAATTATGACCCTCTTGGGGCACCCTAAATATTAGGTGCCGTATTATAGTAAGGACCCCAAAAGGGACCCTAATATTGACAACCACCCATGTGGGGGTTTCCCAAACTAGGGGACCCTAATGTACTACCCTAAATAGTAGGATCCTCATTATAAGGACCCCAAAATAAGTACCCCGAATCCTCGGAAAACCCTGTATAAACCTTATGTGAGTAGAATCCCTGAATCCTTGATAGCCGAAGTTCTGCAACAGCATCTGTATGGTTGAGTTCGTATACAATTCCCCTGAGCGCAAAGACAACCCAGAACTCCAAACCCTATTCAATCCCAAAACCCTGAACCCAAGACTTTGTATCATACTTGTAAAGCTTGAAATCCCCACAAGAGCCCCCCACCCCCCCGGAATCCGTGTAAATCAGCATCCCAAACCACCAAAAACCCAGCAAGTAAGGTTATAAGTAGGCTGCAATCAGGGTAACCCCACTTAGGGGACTTATAAGCCCATTTGTAGCCTACTTACTAAGTTCCATGATCCTTTTAGGTACCCTCAATTCTTCTAAGGCAGAATCACGATGGCCTACCACAGAAGGCAGGCTTCCCTCAGGAGCGATAACTTGGTAGCTGAGTAGGTAACCTTTAACCTTCTGGGGTTTAGGGGTTTAGGGCTACGGGTTTCTTATAGCTTCAGGTAACGTTTAACCTTTTGGGGTTTATACAATCCTAAACCCTAAACCCTACTATAATTCAAAAGGTTAGGCTTGTTTGGGGGCTCGGGTACTCAGCCCATAGGGATAAGGAGATGAAGGTTGGGGCTGATGATTTAAATCTTTCATTGCCTTTAAGGGTTCCTACAAGGGATCCTTGTCTAGGGGTTTAGGGGTTTAGGGGTTTAGGGGTTAGGGGTTAGGGTTTTAGGGTAGTTTAGGGTTTACCCAGACCTCCGGGAGGATCCAAACAGTAGATCCCTTAATGGGGGGTTCCTATAAACTGCCCCTAGTAGTATAGGTCCCCAAATTAGGGGATCTACTTTCCAGATCCTCCCGGGCGTCTGGGTAAGGGCTCCTTTAAGGGATCTATAGGGTTTAGGGTTGACGGTTGTGTTCCACATCCTGCATTCCCTTGATGACCCTAGACTATGGGAATGTTTTGGTACATTCCTTATGGGTAATGCAGGATTTATATTATCAAACAACCCAAAACCCTAAAGCCCAAACCCTAAACCCCAAACCATATAAACCCTAAGCATGAGTAACGCATGCTTTTTAGCATCAAAAGTTGGGCTCCAGGGTCTTACAGTAGAAGCTTAAAAGTTGGAAACCCAGTAGCCTCAATCCTTAAGAGTATAAGGAATCCCAGCACTATTTGGCCTTAATCCGGTTTTCCAACTTTATGGGGTTCACTGTAGTCTTTTCCAGAGTTGGGGTTCGAGGGCTTCTCGAGTGTTTAACTTAGGGTCAAAAGGATTTCTTTTGGGTTTGGGTGAGGTTCTTTTGAGCCTTGGCCTCGAGGGGTTTAGGTTTAGAGGTTTGGGGTTTACGGTTTAGGGTTCAGGGTTTAGGGTTTATGTATGTATGATGGCACATTGATGCCTGATGGGTACCAAGAATGAATTGAAACACATGTGTGCAAGCATTTTTCGTCTCAGACTTGGCAACTATACATCTTGAAATATCCTATCTACAGATTGAGTTGTTAGCTGTGTAGAATTTGTTGCAACCCTGTCAAGCTCTCTCTTTGAGTCTCCCCGGCCACGATCTGTTAGCCTCTGTCGGAGGTTACGCTTTCGGCTTGAGGGTTTAGGGATTAGGTGGGATGAAGGTAGATAGGACGAGGGGTCCATTATACAAGGACTTATATTCGGGATGACCCACGTCAGCCCAACTAATTCGGAGGCCTCCAAGTTTAGCATCTGGGCTACCGCAAATGAAACCCCAACCCGCACGGATCTGGTCTTTACGTTTGTAGGTTTAGGGTTTAGGAGGGCTTAGCTTTCAAGTACCTCCATACAACCGGACATAGAGAGAATCTAACCGTAGTTCACTGCAATTACATTACATACACGTGGGTTATAATGTGGTATTTGTTTGGCAACCGGTAACGCCAAAACTCAACTTTTCAAGTTTTGAAGCCCTAAACCCAACTACTCCTTTAGCTTTTAGGTTCCTTACAAGTAAACTCAAGCCGCCTAAACCTTACAGCCTAAACCCTAAATTAAATCTTCCTGAACCAAACATCCCTAAGCTGCGCCCTCAACCAAACTATGATCTCTGAAACAGAAATCGTAGTGCATAGGGTTTTTAAAAAACCCATGCACCTCCAAACTGTGGTCTCTTAAACCCTAAACCCTAAAACCGCTAAGCCCCTAAACTCTTAAACAGAAACCGCAAGGCCCTCAACCCTAAACCCCTAAGCCCCTGATCTCTCAGACAGAAACCGCAAGGAGCACGTCAACGAGATCCATGGCGCTTGGTTCGATCCCAGCAACCCCGTGGTCTCTTGGCTCTTCTACGGTTGATGATATAAATCCTGCGTTACCCATAATAAGGAATATGGCATAATTCCCGTAGTTTAGGGCCCTTAAGGTAATGCAGGATTTATATCATCAACAGTAGGACCCAGAGTAAGCCCTTATTCTTTGTTTTAGGGTTGAGGTTCCCTTATAACCCCCTTCAAACCAACAGGGCACCCCGTTTATTCCTAGATTACTCTCAGGTCTAGTCTTCTAATGTTCAAGATGGTTTGGGCTTCAGGGGTCTAGTTCTTTTGGGGTTTAGGGTTAAGGGTTACTTGGAGGGTCGGGGGACTTAGTAAGTAGATAGCAAGTAGGCTTATAAGTATCATAACCCAATTAGGGTCCCTTTTAGGGTACTTATGAGTCTACTTACCATCTACTTACTAAGTTCCCCGATCCTCCAAGTAAGGGTTGAGGATTTAACGGGTTTTCTGATCTTCGAGCCAGGGACTCCAATATAGTATCCCTTAATTAATATACGGTTTAGGGTTGATGGTTTAGGGCCTATTAGGGTTTGGGGGATATCCCTTTAATTATAGTAGGATCCGTAATATGGTTCAAGATATATTCCAAAGTTAAGGGATACTGGAGTCTCTGGGAAGATGTTTGGGCTTTAGGGTTCTAGGGTAGCCGTTTCCCAAGCGTCTTAGGTTTTACGGGCCCATGTCCCAAGGTCTACATTAGGGTCCCGTTTACAGGTTTAGGGTTTAGGGCCTTCTGGCTGAATGATACAATCTCGTTTGGCGGACCAGAAGGAATATTTCAGAAGGGCTGGACGCTAGAGGTGCAGGGACACCTCCGGCTGGCAGGGATCAGATGTGGAGTATTGGTGAAGGTGAGAGGCGGAGGAGATGACCAAAAAGCCCTCATCGGGAACTATAAACCCTGGCAGGGGCGTCGGCATCGAAGAGTACCTCTCGCTGTATCATGATGACACGCAACCGTCAGTACTATCACGAAGTAGTTGAGATATGCTCCCTCAATGACACTCGCCTGAATTTTGATGAAACCAGTTGGGACTTGTTCATCTGGATGGTGTCCAAAGAAGCAATAGACTGATCGGCATTGCTTGCAAGCTGCACGAAACGGCTTGCCAGAGCCAGTGTGCTCACCGGTGACACATTCACCACCCAATGGTCGTTTCAGCTTGTGCTGGGGCAGGATCACTCTCAGCAGCTGCCTACTCGCTGGAGCCGTTCCTGCCCTGCATCGTTAATTTGATTATAACCTGCTTACTAAGTCCCATGAGCCTTTAAGTAACATGCCTATCACATCCCTCGGGCCTCGACGCAGCGTTCAGGCCACAGGGTTATGGGCTTCGCAATGGGTCTACAAGGCTCTGTGTGCGGTTTTGGTTTAGGTAGCTTCGCTCTTACACCTACTACATATCTGCACCTTATTCTATTCAGCCCTAAGCCCTGAACCCTAATTTCACTGGAAGGGTGGGGGATAAGCTGGCTTGGTTCGCAGAAGGGTTAAGTCTAGGGTTTAGGGCTTAGGGCTTTAGAGTTTAGGGTTTATATCTTCAGGGTTCAGGGTCTAATTAGGGTCTAGGGTTCATGAGGGCTTAGTCGGTGTTGAGGGTCTGGGGAACTCATGTATCCCGCAGCACCCGTGCAATCCTAAACCCACCTAATGTGCGAATGCCGGAGCTTTACTTGTGCTCAACCTTATAAGCCCTGAACCCTGTAATCCTTGCAACTGAAAGGTTTGGGGTTAGGGGCTTTCGGTTCGGGTTCAGGATTTAGGGATCGAGCGTTCTTCGGGCTTTAAGAGCTTAGGCCTTGGGATGGAGGGCTTTAGTGTTCGGGTTCAGGGCCCAATTCTGAAATCCAAGACAGCAAGCTCACAATTTATGTTAGATTCTAGATCATGTGGTGTTCTATGCTATACACGGGAGTTTCCTGCACTTAGGTGCAATTTGACGGCAGCCTGCGGCATGACCTCTTCCAGTGGATGTTGGAGCAGGAAAAAGCAACCGCACCTTGCCTTATGCAAAAGAGGGCGGTAACCTCCAACCCTTAAGCTCTAAGCTAAGCCCCTGGAGCCCCGTAGCCCTGAACTCTAAACTTTCCAACCGCTAGAAGCTAAGAGGCCTTCTCGAACCAAATCCCCTGAAGTGGGTTCCAGTTACGGAGTTTAGCTTAAGTTGCCAAGAAGGAAGACCAAGTATGTACTTGAGATCCTTGTTCCCAGACCCCCGGGAGGATCCAATAAGTGGATCCCTTAATGGGGGTCCCTATAAAGTACCCTTAGTAGTATAGGGCCCCAAATTAGGGGATCCACTTTCTCGATCCTCCCGGGGGTCTGGGTATCCACATAACCGCCAGTAATGGCATCCCCTTTGTAGCACCCTTACAACTGTATTGTGGTACACAACATACTCCAAAACCCTGTTCCAGCTATTCAGGCCCGCTTCTCAGACCTTCCAAAATCCCGTAATTAAGGAACATTCTCCTTAAATCAGATTAGGGACTCTACTGTAATTTAAGTTGAATTCCTTACATTTAATTAAGGGATATTGGAGTCTCTGGGTCTGCTGAGTCAGATGCTAAGGACCTTTGCCTGTGTTTGGGGACTTCGCTGAGCGGGATGAATGCCGATCGGATGGCTGGAAGCCTCAGCTGGTTTGGGGCTTAGGGCTCAGGGCTTAGGGTTTAGGGCTTAGGCCTTCGGATTTGGGGCTTAGGGCTTGCGGTCTAGGGCTTAGGGCTTTGGGTTTAGGGCTTAGGGTTTAGGCGAGGGCTCAGCGCTTTAGGTTTGGGGTTTGGGGTTTAGGGCGCAGGGTTTAGGGCTAAGGGTGTATGGTTTCAGGTACAGGGTTTCTAGAAAGGGCCTAGGGTTCAGGGCTGATGCAGGGGAACAGGTAGGAAGGTTTTGCAAAGTTTCATGGGGTCTATGGTAAATAAGGGCTTCATAAGCGCACCCCCTGAGCCCGGTAACCTGTGTAGTGGGTTGCTGTGGTTACACAAGCTTACATAGGGTTTGAAACGGTAGACCACTATGTAGGAATATCACTGCACTCCCAGAGTAAGGTAGCCCTATAGCACTATTCTGGAAACCCTAAGCCCTATTCTCTCAGCCCTGATCCCTAAACCCTCCTTGCTGGAAAAAGGGACCCAACAAACAGCACAAACCGTCAACCCTAAACCCTAAGTCCTGAACCCAAAACCCTAAGCTAAGTAAAGCCCGTAGCTTACGTTGTTGTTCAGGTCGAGATGCCCATATCCCTTAAGTAAGGAATATACCATAAGTTATAGTAGGATCCCTAATTTCGGGATATTGGAGCCCCGACTATTGTGGGGGTTCCTCACCATATTTATAATGGGCCCCAAAACCCTAGTCTAATTGCTACGGCTCTATAACCATAGAACCCTTACTGTAGTATCCCTTATAGACCCCGTTAAGGAACCCTTTAAAGGAGCCCTATTTTAACCCTAAACATCCCTAAACTCTATAGGCCCTGTAGATCCCTTAAAGGAACCCTAGGCCTCACACCACTATTAAGGCCCCTACATTACCGGGTTGTTCAGGTCGAGACTCCGGCGCGCCGTGCTGCGAAGTCGCCACCTCGAGCTTTGGGTTCGGCCACGCGACGAGCAAGCAGAATTCGTTGCAGGGCTTTAGGGTTTTTTAGGTTTTTTTTGGTTTAGGGCAGGGTCTTAATATTTTTAATACTTTGAGCAGAGTTTGGAGGTGGTATCAAACTGAAATTCCGGATGCTGCTAGTAATTATTCCGGCCCCTGCGTTGAACTAGGGTTGGAGGGTAGGGTTTACGGTTTGGGGTAGGGTTGGGAGATGTTTGGGGTTTTCAGGATTTTGCACGGGTGCGTTAAAGGGTTACTATAAACCGGAAAATCAGAGGTGGCTATTGTATTGCTCAGGCGTGTTGGTTAGGTACTTCTTGTTTGCCAAGGCTCCGGCTCTGGTTTCCTTATCCCTCCCTTCCCGCCTCTACGCGGGCTGAGGGCTGTACAAGGTTACACGGGTTTCTTGAGGGTTAGATGTTTCGGGCTTTCGGGTTATGTTTACCTGGACCTTAAGGAACCTACCTTGTTAAGGACTTATATAAAGAAATCATATTAGGGAACCTTAAAATGGTAGGTTCCTTTAGGGTCCAGGTAGTGATTCAGAGTTTAAGAGCTTAGGGTTTGGGGGCTTCAGCTGTTAGGGATTTTGGGCGAAACCAGCACCCAATGCGAACGAAGGGTCGTGAGGTCTTGTAGAATTAGGAGCTCCATGTTAGCATGTTAGGGGTGTTTATAATTGATGACAGCAACAGATAAGCAGACGGAGAGACGTACGACATATGCCTGCATGATGCTGTATGTACGCGTGCTCTTTGTCAGGTACCTACATCGACACACACACACACACACACACACACACACACACACACACACACACACACACACACACACACACACACGTGCGCGCGCACACTCCATATGCAAGATCTTTACACCATGTGCTTATGACTTTTGACTGTCATCGTCGGCATGGTGTATGATTGCTTGTGCATTCTTGTTTAGGTGAAGGTTTCTACGTCGCAATAGGTTTGCATCCACCGAAACGAATGACTTGGCCTGAGACTGTGTCTACACGGGCCTTCCGCCCTAAACCCTAAACCCTCATCATGCCTCTTCAGCAGTTCAGGTGATCATCAACCTGCAGAAAACTCGGTTGGATGCGAAATCGACGGTGCCGCACCTACTTGTGGTCTGCACTACCCGTAGGCGGCAATTGGGCTTGGGCTTGGGCCTTGTTTGGCAACGTTGGCATTGATGCAGGCTGCTTGCGTTTGTTCAAGGCCGTTGTTGGCTGGAGCTGGATGTAGCATTGAGTCTTTCGTCCATGTGCCCAATTCTGAGGTCCAAAGTTAGGCAAATTGGTTTGGGCTTGTACTTGCAATTGCTACTCAGCAGTTAGAATGTACGAGGGCATGATGATTAGGCATGTCGGACCATTTGGTAGTCATGGGCAAATAATCCATGGGCGCTGTTCCATGGTGAGCCTTCAGTGGCTTTCGGGTGTAAGGTGGACACTCCAAGGCTTTCCCACCAAAAAATTCCCGAAGACCTAAACCCAACACCCTAAAACCCTACACCCTGAACCCTAAACCCAACACCCTAAATCCCTTCTCCCGAGCACTGCTGTCAGAGTAGCACCATGCCCTTTTGAACCAAAAGCCTCGCAACCTCCGCAAAATCCTCCAAACCCTGGGCTTAGGCTTTACCTGGACCCTAAAAAACCTACCTTTTTAAGGTTCCCTAATATGATTTCTTTATATAAGTCCTTAAAAAAGTAGGTTACTTGGGGTTAAGGTAAGTCCTAGTCCTTATTACCTTTTTTAGGGTTCAGGTTCCCTTATAACGCCCTTTTAAACCAAAAAGGGCACCCTTTTTATTCCTAGGTTACTCTTAGGTCTAGAATCCAACAGCCCACGGAAAGAAAACAAAGTTCCGCAAGTAGAAGAGAACCAGATTACTACAAAGCACTAGTAGAACAGTGATTATTTGTGATAATTATGATCACAACTATTGCGATACCACAATGGCTATGACGTAGAATATAATGTGAAAACGTCTCAGAACCAGATGAACGGTAGTTCAAGCTATCGCGGTAAGGGTCCCTGGGTTACATGCACTGATAACACTAGGTCCGGTACTGTCCGTGTTTATCGTCATTAGCAATGATACTAGTATGGCAGTTCAGTGGTGGTAATGCTAGTGCGAGAAAGCTGCAGAACCACAATAAAACCTACCAGAATGATGACCAATGGCACGAAAATGTGAGCCCACCCGCCCACGTCCAAAAAAGCAGAAGCAAAATCCAGCTGACGAAGTTCTGAGAAGGTCTGGTGCTTAGTAGGGAATTGGGGAATGGATCCCTATAGTAGTCCCTGTATAATCCCCAATAATAGTCCACCCATTCCCCCCATTCCCTGCTAAGAACCAGACAGAAGGTGCGAATATGGGGTAAGTTGGACGACGTCTTCCAGCTGCTGCTGCGGAAGCTGTCCTTAGCGATGCCCCATGGAGGCCAGATCTTTCCCTCCTATCGAATGGGAATTTCCCAAAATACGGGACCCAAATATAGTACCCTAAATAGTAGGATGCTTATTCTACCGACCCCAAATAAGGTGATTACCCCCCTAATTTTCGGAAACTCCCAAATAAGGAGCTGCTGATCCCAGGGAACCCGCAAAGCCGCTAGCTACTGCTCTTTGGAACAAAAAAATTGAATTTTCTTGTAGTATAACTTAGAAGCTGCCCCCACCCTGTAATAGTGACTATAAGGATTATAGTAGGGCCCTATTATATTCCTATTATACCACTATTACAGGGTGGGGGCAGCTTCTAAAGTAGAACTTAAGGGGGCTAGTAAGAATATTGTTTGTATGTTGGTTCCAAGGGCGGCTAAGAGCTAGAGACTTTTGTGTTTGAGGCGCTTAGGTCTCAAGGGTTCAAGATGGCTAAGCTGACGGTTTGAATGAAGTTTGGCTTTCTTAGGGCTTAGGGGTTTAGAGGTTTAGGATCCCTTAAACACCAACCCTTGCTCTTTGCACTGTTTGCCTTATCGTCATCGTGGTGTGAGCTTGGCACAAGAGCTCGTCATCGTGCTTATGATGGTGCATCAGCGTATGGCATCCCTGACGACTTTCGGTGTAGCTGCGGTTGACGATTAAGAGTTTGGGGCTTGAGTGTTCGAGGATGACACTGCTGCGGGCGTTTATGACGATGGTGCCTATCCTGGTTGTGATGGTTCTGTTGTGCTAGGCAGCATACTGAATTTCATTTCTTAGACGTGTGGCTTCTGTTGTTCTGCAAACTTGCTTGCTGAACATACAGATAAAGTTTCGATGGCACCTTGCCAAACCTCTTTCGCCCTAAACCCTTATGAAACTCTTCTCTAAACTCTAAACCTGCAAAATCCCTTTCAAACCTTGTTTTGAACTTCACACAGCCATTCAACCACCTCATAAAGCCCTTATAACCGCTTGATGTTTTCTGTCGTATGTTAAGGACCTCGTCTTCATTCGTAGCCTTAGAGTCCGTTCTTCAGGGCTTCAAGCGCCGGGAAGTCAGTTCCTGCTACTCAAAATAAAGGGACTCTATAAGGCATCCTCAGAGGCTTCTTTTAGGGATCTATAGGCGATCAGGGTGTAATTACTAGGTTCCCGAGTAGTACCCTTTTGTCCTTTCTGTTTAGGGGTCCCCTTGTTTAACCCGAATAGTAGGAAAAAGGGCACCCTTAATACAAAGGGGCTACTCGAGAACCTAGAAAAACTTTCAGGCCTTCAGTCCTAAAGCTACCAACAGAAGCCTTACATTCTTATATGGGAGTTTGCGAAATAGGGAACCCCAATCTAGTACCCGAATAGTAGGTTCCTTAGTACAGGGACCCCAAAATAAGGTCCTAATTTTCGGAACCCCCCCAATTAATTCGAAAAGGCTTTCTAGAGGTCTCGAGGCCTTCAACCCTAAACCTTAGCCCCCTGGTCCGAGGAAGGGTTGCCAATAGTTTATAGCCCAATCACAGCCTAGTTGTTTAAGACTCTTGAGCATTAAAGTTGTAAGAACCCACACAGATCCCTATGAGAATCATGACCCTTTCAGTAGCCCTAAACTCCCACCCTAGACCCCAAACACCCAAATGTATCGCGCAGCTCCCGAGGACTTGCAGCGACACCGCTTCCTCCCGGTGACATCTTTGTGGTACCGTACAATGTTGCAGGGGAGCCGGACTCCCTCCCACAACTGGTGTTCAGGTTTAGGGTTCAGGGTTCAGGGGGCAGGGAGGGTTGTTCGGTTCCGGGTTGAGCTTCAGGTCTAGTTTGAACTAGCGGGTTCATGTTAGTAGGTTTACGGCGTTAAAGGTTTCGGGCCTTAGGCGTTCGGAATTACAGGTCTACTAGTGGGCTTCTGAGTTTTAGGCTTCAAATCGCTGTAGGAGCTTCAGAGTTTTAGGCTTCAAAACACAGGCCTCAAGATTCGGCTACAGGGGAGTTTTATCGACAATTAGGCGTATCTTATTCTGGGGGTCCTTATGATAAGGATCCTACGTACTATGTGGGGTACGATATGCGGGTCCCCTGTTTTCGGAAACTCCCACATGAGTCCTTGGCAACTTGTCAACATTCGTTCCCTAACAACTGTTCCCTAATCCTCAACCCTTAATCCTTAATCGCGAGCCGGATGAGAACCTATGACACTCTATCTATCTATCTATATATATATATATATATATATATACAGATATGCATAGTAGATATGCATGCACACAAAGCTCCCCAAGTACCAAGTACCAAGTATTGTCGAAGCCGGAATAATTCCTTTCATACTGCAATATACCCCTAAACATCCCCAAATCCTATTCTCACTTACTATTAAGGCCTCTATATTACACCCTAGATCCAGCTTTTCCACCCCGTCCAAGGAACTGGAGCAAAACCGAGCTTAGTTTGGTAAGCTTTCGGGGTTTGCCCCCAGAATCCCGGGAACGGCTGGAGGGGACATCAAAGCTGAATAGACTTTGAGGTTAGTCTCTAGGATTTAGCGCATCGTGTCTTGACTGAGAGAGCCGCAGCCCTAAACCCAAAGCCCTAAAGCAAAGGACTCTCGGGTGGAGATGAGACTGTGACTCGTATGACTCGGAGAGATCTGGTCTTCATCAGATGTTCCAGGTCTTGCAGAGCTCTCATGGGGGTTTTGCCGTATGACTATAGGATATTATTTAGGGTTTGGGGGTTTAGGATTAGGAGGGGTTTAGGGCTTAGGATATCATTGGGTTATAGCGTCCTGCATGTCTTCTTTAATCCCACACGGAGGTCTGGGTGCTGTTTGCTGGTTGATCTCGGTTTGGGTAGCCTGTCACTGCACTTCATCCCCGCGCTGCAAACCGTATTGGAAAGCCAGAAACAATCTGGATTGAGTCCAAGCTTTGCCTACGACACCATACTGTAAACGGTCAACCGTACCCATCCAACGAGCTTCAGACGGCGTTTGCTCCAGATTTCTTCAGAGCGTGCTTAAGCTTGCTTCGATGTGTAGCTACACTGTCCTACACCAACACATGTCACAGAAGCGTCCACTATGCCACAGTTATCTTCAGGAACCCCAAGGTGACCCTTCTAATTTTTCGAGGGCCCCTAAGTTTTTTCAATCAAGAATGGTCCTGTCGGTCCCATCAGCGCGCTAGCTCGAGGTCAAGTTCATGACTTGTTGTGTTTGACCATGTGGAAGCCTGTGAACTTTGAAGCAAACGTTAATAAAGGCCCCACATATAGGGATCTGAACAAGTCGTATATACCCTCAAAACCCAAGTCGAGTTCCAAAGGCATAGAACTGAAAGTCCAAATTACATTTGTTGGTGCTGAGGAACTCAGCAACTAAGTTAAGCTACCCAAGTCCACTTTTGAGCATATAACACCTTCGAGAGCTAGAAACACCTATAGAACCCTTTGAGGGAACCATCAAGGCCTTTTAGCCTTGTAACATCTTCTAAGGTTCCTTATAAAAACCTTCATCGAACCCTCGAAGGAACCATTAAGGCCCATTATTAAAGCCCTTCCTTATAGAAACCGCTCTAGAACCCTTGAAGGAACCACTAATTCTCATTAAGGTCCTTCCTTATAGAAAACCCTCCAGGCCATGAAGGCCCTTCCTTGTAGAAACCCCTCTAGACCCCTTCAAGGAACCAGTAAGGCCCCTACATAAAGCTGCACAGGACCAAAAACCCTAAACCCTAAAGCCCGAAACCCTGAACTCTAAATCCTAAAGCCCTAAAGCCCGAAAGCCCTAAAGCCCTAAAGCCCTAAACCCTAAAGCCCTAAAGCCCTAAACCGCTGGCAGAGGAACCTTAGCCTTGGCACAGCGATTACGGTGCCGAACTCGCATGCCGTGAACTTCCAGCAGCTTCCCGGCGCCGGAGTGCTCAGGGCTCAGGGCTTAAAGGGATCTATAAGGGTTCCTTTTAAGGGGATCTATAGGGTTTAGGGTTGAGGGTTTAGGGTTTAGGTGTTTTCCCTGAACCCTAAACCCCTAGAGCCTTAAATGAAAACGAACACAGGAGGGCTTACCCATAAAACCAGAAATGTATTAAACCAAACCGATTCCTTCTGTGTGGAGAGATTCTGATTGGGTTCAGGCCTAAACTAGAGCACCGACGATGCCTATAACCAGGGTGTTTAATAAGAAGCAGTTTCCCGCAGGCATATCTGCAGAAAGCATTTGCAGACTGGCAGGGCATAGGCATAGGACTTACCTGGACCCTAAGGAACCTACCTTGTTAAGGATTTATATAAAGAAAGGGAACCTTAAAAAGGTAGGTTCCTTAGGGTCCAGGTCGGATAACCTGATCTAATGCCAGCTAAGCAGGCTTAGGGCTATTATATGGGAAATAAGGGAGAAGGGGTCTCGGGCTTAATTTGCTACAACTCAGGGATTAGGGCTTAGTGCTTGGGGTTCAGGGATTAGTGTTTAGGGCTCAGGGTTTAGGGTTTTAGTGTTTAGGGATTGGGGCTTATTAGGGTTTAGGGCTTAAGGATTAGGGCTAAGTGTTTAGGGCCCAGGGATTAGGGTTTTAGGGCTCAGGGATTAGGGCTTAGTGTTTAGGGCTGGGGTCAGGGAATAGGGAGTAGGGCTTCGTGTTTATAGGGCTCAAGGACTAGGGATTAGTGTGTAGGGCGCTCAGAGATTAGGGCTTTTTGTTTAGGGCTGGTCTCTGCGATTAGTTTTTAGGGCTCAGGAGTTTGGGCTTTGTGTTTGGACTAAGGGATTAGGGCTTAGTGTTTTAGGGCTCAGGATTTCGGGCTTAGTGTTTAGGGCTCAGGGATTAGAGTCTCGAGTTTAGGGCTCAGGGATTCGGGTCTAGGGATTAGGGTTTAGGGTGTTGGCGTAGGGACAAAAGTTTAGGGTTTGAGAGGGATTAAAGTTTAGGGTTATGAGGTTTTGAGAATAAGGTTTAGGACTTAGGCGGCTTGTTCGCGGAAGTTGTTAGGTTTCCGGTGATCCGTGCTTGTGTGGGTCTTGCAGTGGAGGGCGTGCCTGCAGCGAAGGCTGCTCTTCGCCCGGTTCTGACGGCCCGACTCTTTTCTCCCACCCTGCGCCGAGGCGGCGCAGCCGCTCAAAACTACTCCTTTTGGGTGTTATAAGGGCCTACACTCATTTCAAAACAGCGTGATGAACCAAGCATTGGAACCGTCTCCAGGCAGCTTGGAGTTTCTGGGTTTCTGGACAAAATCACCAACATGTGAAAACGACCCTTTTCGTAAAGCCACCTCGTCTCTGCGGGTTTCGGGCGCGGGTTTCGGGCTGTCAAAATGGGGGGAGAACCAAAAAGCACCGTAAGGGCTCACGAATTTTAGGGCTCGGGGCTTGTAGGCTTTACTTTACAGGGTTCAGAGTTTATAACTTATAGCGCTTGGAGTTTGCTGTTTGGTTCTCAGGTCGTTCCGAAACCCCAAAAACTTAGGCCCTGTACCTCCCTAAACCACCCATCTACCCTTCATGGTAGCCCCTAGTTACCTGTTTACGGGATAGGAGATCCCTCCAAAGAATCCTTATTTTGGAGCCCTTGAAGTTACCTTTTGAGAAACCCTTCTGTCTGGTTCTTTGGATTATGGAGACTACTATTGGGGATTATATAGGGACGAAGGGATCCATTCCCCCCTTCCCTACTGACGAAGTTCCAGACAGTCTTTAAAGAGCTCTTGGAAGGGTCCTTTCAAGCCCAAATCGAAGCCCAGGATTGGCCGGGTGGCGGGCAAGAGCAGCGATGGCAGTCCTGGTTGCATGCAGCTCTTTAAGGCTGTTCAAGGGCTTATAAGCACCCTGTAAGATTTGCCAAGTTGTTCATGGTTTCGTGATTTGTGTCTGGGTTTTGGTCCTTCCGTGTTTTAGGGATCAGGTTTCAGTATTTAGGGCTGATGGGCTTAGAGGGTTTATCGGCTGTAAGGGTTTCAGTTTTAGGGTCCAGAAGTTGTCATTGCTTCATGGTTTAGGGCTTTGTGCACTGCTAGTGATGTAGTCTGGGAGGTAGAAACAACATCACTATGTTGTTTTGTTTTTTCCAAGGCCCTGAAGTAATTAGTCTCCAGCAGCAGGTCTGGAGTGAGTACGGTCATGGAGCACGTGCACCAGATCCAAGGCTCTTTTTTGCTGCTATTTGCATTCTTTTGATGGCAGAACGGTGGTTGGAGCAAATCAAGCCAGAAGCGCTGGACACCGCTGCGCCGCAAATCCCCGGCAGCAGCTGGGATCCTGTGCAGCCATGGCGGCTTCCTTGTTGACTAGGATGCCCAGTAGTACCCTTATTCCCTTTTTGTAGTCCGTTACCCAACACCAAAAAGAGAGGCCTTTTTGTTCTTAGGTTTCTGGGTATCCTAGTTGAGGTCGTGCGTCGATGGGATCTTCAAGATGCTGCCGGTGCTAATGTAGGAACCTGATTAAGAAACTCTGGGCCTATAACCCTAAAATAGTAGGATTCATACAAGGAACCCTAAAAATAACCAGGTTTTCCTAATCAGGTTCCTACATTAGCCCAGGCAAACTGCCGAGTTGGAAGCATGTGAGTACCGACCTGCGCCAACAAATGGCCACAGCAGTCGGCCGGACAGTCCGAAGAATGCTCCAAAGGCCCAAGAAGTCCGTGGATAAGGCACTTGAGCAGCCCCCTGAAATTATTCCCGTGCCGGGCCGCAAGTCGAGGAACTCCCGGACAGATCGGGGGACAGCAACATTGACGGGGAAGAAGATGAAAGCTAATGTAGGGGCCTTAATAATTAGAGTAGGGTTTCTGGGCGTTCCTTATTAAAATTATGGTATACTATCCCCCAAAACCTATACTAATTATTAAGGCTTCTACATTACCATGGTCAAGTTCATCCCAATGCCCCCGATGACCTAGAGCGAGTGCCCGTCATGAATGAAGCCGACCAGTCATATACCCTAAACCTAGTTACAGCTTTGAGCCCACATGCAGTCTCCATTTAGGATGGTCCGAATAGTGGGTGCCTCTGTTATCAAATGAACACTATCTCTGGGAGTTGTTTGGTTCATGGCTTTATCTTTCGGAGATCTCAGCAAGTCTTGCTTGCCTTCTTCGTAGAGTAGAGATCTTATTGCCAGAATTCATGGCTTACGGTTCGCGATTTAGCATTTTCTTCAGCATTTAGGATCTGTATGGATGTATGGTTTAGGGTTTAGGACTCAGAGTTTGGGGCCTCTAGGGTTATAAGTTATGAGCTCTAGGAAGCTTCAGGGTTTCTCCCCAGAGCCTCCAAAATACTCGGATTGGGCAGTGTCCTGAGTTACGTTAAAGGTGGATCCTTCAGATCAGTTGAAGTTTTCATAAAAAATCACTGAGGGTGTCGGAGTGTCTGGGTTCTTCGGCCTAAACACGGCGCCTAAACGGCGATTGGGCTTGCGTACGTCAGAAGCTAATTATCGACCAACAGGACGTCTTATAACAAACCCTACATCCTCAAGACCTACTCACTCTACTTAAAAGCTCATGGGGCTTAGCAAGTAAGGTTATAAGTAGGTTGTACTTAGGATAACCCCACTCAGGGGACTTCTAGCCCCAACTTTAACCTACTTGCTAAGTCCCATGATCCTCTAAGTACCCTAAACTCCCCATTATAGAACCCTTATAGATCCCTGAAAGGAACCCTTTAAGGACCCTACTTACTAAGTCCCTTGATCCTTTCAGTACAACCCAGACCCAGAGCCCAAAAGATCGATATGCCCTTTGCTGCGGCGCTTCACACTTCCGCGATTTATCCCAAGGTGTCGAACCGTTTAGGGTTTAGGTGTTTGGGGGGTTTAGGATTTTAGATGTTTTGAAGGCTTTTGCGCTTCGGGGTTCAGGTTTTTTCGGCTTAGGAGGGGCTTTTTGTTGAAAGCCCGTAGGCTTCGGGCTTACAGTTACAGGATTTAACTTAGTTCAGGGTTCGCGCATAAGGTCCTCGTATTTATTAGGTTCACAGTATAACGTGCCCCAAAACCCTAAAATGATAAGGCCTTAGAAGCTGCCCCCACCCTGTAATAGTGACTATACGAATTATACTAAGGCCCTACTATTACAGGGTGGGGGCCCCTTCTCTAATAAGGCCCTATATTTGGGTTTTGAGTTCAGGTAACTTCTGCTCTAGCCTTGGGGAAGCAGAGCTCACGTGCATCTTTCAAGTTAAGTTGCATGCCATGACTATGCCATAGAGATGTTTTGTGGGAGTTTCCGAAAATATGGCACCCCAAGACAGTACCCTGAATAATAGGATCCTTTTGTCGGAAGCTCCCTTGTTGAGCCTTTACTCAAGTAACCTAGCTTTTTGAGGACTTATACTAGGATGCCCAGTAGTACCCTTATTCCCTTTTTGTAGTCCTAGGTTCCTTATAAAGTTACCCAATACCAAAAAGAGAGGCCTTTTTGTTCTTAGGTTACTGGGTATCCTAGTAGTAGTAGAGTAGGTAACCTTTATCCTTTTTTGGGGTAGTTTAGTCCCTATATAACCCCTATATAACCACAAAGGTTAACCTTTAGTTCTCCATGTAGGGAAGACTAGGCAATTACATCGTGGACATCGATGGTGTGCGTCGTGCTTTGGGCACCTGGTTGCTTGGATGGAGTCTGACTTTGGCTTTGGGGCTGGGGGTGTGAAACCCCCAATTAGACCGTAAACCCTGAACCCCTAAAGCCTAAACCCCAAACCCCCTAAACCCCTATACCCGTCAACCCCTAAACCTCTAAACCCCTAAACCCCAAACCGCTCTAATCCTTGCAGTGAGGTTTACCAGGTGCCGGGTTCAAGGGTGTTTCGCATGAAGTTCGGGCTTCAGAAGTTCGCTCGTCGCTGAGGGTTTAACGTAGAAGCCTAAATAAGGGGCTGGGGCTTATAATTGGAGTTTAGGGTTTAGGGCTTAAAATTGGAGTTTAGTGTTATATTGTTCCTCAGGGCTTCTTGATGTTTTTATATTGTTGAGGAGCTCAGAATCTGATAGTTTAGGGTTCCTTGGAATAGTTATACTATTGCGGAGCGCAAAACCGATTCTAAATATTAAGGCACTACATGAGGGTTTAGGGATGCTCATCGCTACGGTTGATGATATAAATCCTGCATTACCCATATTAGGGAATAGTCCTTAAGGTAATGCAGGATTTAGATCTACCCTAAACCCTAAAACCCTATAGATCCCGTAAAGGTACCCTTATAGATCCCTTTAAAGGGAAACCCAGGATTTATATCATCAACAGTATCTCGGACCTTCCCGCAGTATCCCCAAGCTCAGAGTCGACTTTTTGTTAGGGCTTTAGGGTTTAAGGGTCGGTCTAAGGGTTTAGGGTTTAGGGTTTAGGGTTTAGGGTTTAGGGTCTATGTCTATGGAAATCAAAGGGAAAAGGAGGGACCCTTAATGGGGACCCCTACCCCATGTATATAATGGGTATATAATAGCTATGTTAAGGGTATATACCTAGGGGTCCTTATTAAGGGTCCCTCCTTTTACCCTCGGAGGAAATGAGGCTTAAGTCCTAAAGCTGCAGCCCTAAACCAAGCTGCTGACAGAAGCGGTTGAGAGCGAACTTGTAGTCATCGAATCTTTTGCTATCATACCTACACCACCTTGCGTAGCCGTAACGCAGCCCCATGTTGACCACATGTTCCGAGTGCAGTGGCGCAGTGCACACCTCGATCTGTATCGTTCGGAATAGAGAAACCGTGGTCTGCAAGCCATGATTCCAGAGGATGATTGATGCTGCCATACGTGGAGCGCTCCCGCTGTTGCCCATCATGCTCCTCCGGCCTAACGTGTATGAGGGTTCAAGGTGTCAAGCTTCTGAGGGTTTAGGGTTTCGAGGTTTTTGTGGGTTAAGGGTTCAGGGTTTCAGTCTTTGAGGGTTTAGGGCTTCAAGTTTTTGGTGTTTAGGGCCAGGGTTTCAGGTATTTTGAAGGTTCAGGGTTTAGGGTTTCAAGCTTTTGAGGTTTACTGTTTAGGGTTTCAATATTTTGAGGGTTGAAGGTGTAGGGCTTCAAGTGTTCAGGTTTGAGGGTTCCAAGTTTTTTGGGCGTCGAGAGTTTAGGGTATCAAGTTTTTGGAGGGTTTAGGGTTCAGGGTTTCGAGGTTTTCAGGGTCGAGGGGTTTTGAAGGCTACAGGTTTTGAGGAGTTTAAAGGTTCTTTGATGGGCCTCGAAGGGAGTTTAGCAGCTGTTGAATTTAGGACTTGGTCTAGTCTAGTCTTAGGGAACCCTCCTTTTGTTTCAGGAGTGCTCCTTGACTAATTGAAAGTATGCGGAAGAAGCACCTTAAAAACAAGAAAAATCGGAGTTTAGCCGTTTAGCCATGCTTTGGGAGATAAGGGTCTGGGCTGAGTACGTAGAGTGTCCTCAGTTTCGGTTTAAGGTTTAGGGCTGCGGGGGTGTATTTGATGGCTTCGGGTCTTGGACGTGCAGCCGAATTCGAGATACCTGAGGAGGCTGGCAAAAGAAAGGGAATCACAGGATATGAGCTCCGCAGAGAGTTCATGGGCGTCCTGAATCCGCCGGTAGGTAGGCAGGTACAGAGGGTGGTGACGGACTTCGACTGCCTTCTTTGCTTAAAAAAAGAACCGGAAGCTTGGAAACCCCGCTCCCGGCAGCGGCAGAAAATTTCACTCGGCTTGGCTCGGCAGAGGGAAATCTTTCGCCCGGTGCCGTGATCATGAGCCCTGCATGCGGCATCTGTATTGCATAGCATGACAAAGGTGATGCATGATCCTTGGCATTCTGAGCTGGGTCGGCCTCTTGATTGTGGCTATATAGTCAGTGCATTTGCATAGAAGAGTGTCAGGTTTTCTTGAAGTTCGGGATATGCTTCATTTCAACTCCAAACGTTGTCGTTGCTTATCCAATCAAATAGTTAGAGGGGTCACATATTCTGGACCTCTGTCGGGATTTCAAGGAAACCGACCAGGTGATTCGAAGCTTCATGCCCCAAAACCCTATTCCACGTGTTAAGCCCCTTATGTTCACTGTTCAATCATAAATCCCCAAACTCTACACCCTGAGCCATGCAGCCTGGGTTTAGGGTTTTCCTGCTTGCACCCCAAACCCCAAACCTTGTAAGTAACCCTACCTTAACCCCAAGTAACCTACCTTTTTAAGGACTTATATAAAGAAGCCATATTAGGGCACCCTAAAAAGGTAGGTTCCTTAGGGTCCAGGTAAACCCTAAAACACAAAACCTTAGGGTCCAAGTACCCTAAACTCCCCATTATAGAACCCTTATAGATCCCTTAAAGGAGCCCTTTAAGGAACCCTACACTTACTAGGTAATCATCAGATCCGAAACTCCGCACCCGGAGCCGGCCCTCGGATGCCTAGGAATCCAAAGCCCACTGTCCGAACCAAGGACAGAGGGTTTGGGTTTGGGTTTGGGGTTTGGGGTTTAGGCTCCAGGGTTTAGGGTTTAGGGTTTCGGGTCTAGGGTTTAGGGTTTGGGGTTTTGGGTCTAGGGTTTAGGGTGTTTACGGCTTAGACTCAGGGCTTTTAGGGTTTGGGATTCATGGTCTAGATAAGGTTTAAGCAAAGAGTTAGGAGTTAGGGTTGGGATTCATGATTAAGAGAATTTTCAACCAAATGACCTTGATACCGATATGAAGGGATACTTCTCTTTATGTCTGCACGAGCATTTCCGCATGGGGGGGGGGGTGGGCGTGGGGGTTCGAGCGACCACAGGAAAAGTTTGGGGTTTTGGGGCTCCAAGTCTTTGGGGTGTTAGGACTTTGGGCTCAGGTGCTCAGAGTTTCCAAACCTTATTGTTTCGAAGGATACCCTAAAACCCCGAACCTCGCTGTTTCGAAGGATGACGTCAGACCACCTCCACCGCCGCAGCCGTGGCAAGTCCAAATTTGAGTTTCCGAAAATAGGGGACCCTAATATGTTACACTAAATAGTAGGATCCTTCTTATAAGGACCCAGAAACAAGGTACCCCTAATTTTCGGAAACTCCCTCATCGTGGAGTCAAGGATTTCGGCCCCAGGTGATTTTGGGGTTTTAGGGGTTCAGGGCCTATTGAGTTTAGGGTTTAGGGCCCATAGGGTTTAGGGCTTGAGATTTATAGGGTTTAGGGCCTATGGGGCTTAGGGCCTAGAATCTGTTATAAAGCCAGAGACGTATAATTACCGTAAATGCGGAGTTTCATCATCTCTCAACCGGGCGCCGGAAGTTCCAAACTCCGTACCTTCAACCCTCCACCTTCCACTAACCCCAAAACTGAACTTTGGACCCTAAACCCGAAACCCTGACTACATCTGAGTACTAAATGCAAAAAGCTGTGCCGGGCTGATGGAAAGTGCTCGGGCCATGTCGGGCTGCAAGCAATTTCAGGAACAGAGGAGTCCGGTCTAATTGTTAATGCCCAATTTGGGGTCAAACCGCAAGCCCCCTAGAACCTGAACCCTGCATTACTGAAAAAGCGTCTGAAGATCTCCCTAAACCCCAAAACCCTAAACCCCTGAACCCCTAAACCCTGAACCCCTATACCCCTAAACCCTGAACCCCTAAACCCCTAAACCCAAAGCCCCTCAACCCTAAACCTCGAAACCCCAAACCCTAAGCCGATCTCATTATGCCCAGGCCCCCAAGAGGATCCAAAAAGTAGATCCCCTTAATGGGGGTTTCCTATTAAGTACCCTTAGTAGTATAGCGCCCCAAACTAAAACTAGGGGATCTACTTTCTAGATCCTCCCGGGGGCCTGGGTATGCCCAGGCAGATGACTGAAGATGACATGACGCGGAAGCTGCGCCTCGGCTGCTAATGGGGCCTTAACACTTAGAATAGGGCTCCTTTAAAGGGTTCATTGAAGGGCTCTGTAATGGATCTATAGTAGGCTTCTATAATGTAGGGGCCTTAAGAATTAGAGTAGGCTTCTATAATGTAGGGGCCTTAATAATTAGAGTAAGGTGTTGGTTTGCTTTATTCTAAAAAAGTTAGTAGCATATGACCCCAAACCCTATTCTAAACATTGAGGCCCCTAGAGTAGAATTAGTAGAACATGACCCCAAACCCTATTCTAATTATTAAGACCCCTAGAGTAGAATTAGTAGAATATGACCCCAAACCCTATTCTAATTACCCAGAGTAGAAATAACGTACAGCGGCATATGCAGGCTATACATCCCGCGAGGTTCCTTTAGGAGCTCCTGTAAAGGTTCTATCGAGTTTAGGGTCGAGGGTTTGGGGTTAAAGGTTTAGTTTCGAAGCCTGACAAACTACGAGCATTCTTCCTCGGGGTTCTTGTTGTAGTTAGGTTATCACATACTCCAAAACCCTACTCTAATTATTAAGGATCCTATACTCGTGCATTAAGCCCTTATTCCCTTTTTAGGGTTCAGGTTCCCTTAGAAACCCCCTTCAAACCAAAAGGGCGCCCGTCTTATTCCTAGGTTACTCTTGGGTCTAGTAGTGGTCTGAACAACTTGTACAAGTTAGCTCTAAGAGTCCCACAGTCCCACGACGTGGAGTTTTCAAGGGCAAAGAGGACAGCACAACTACATATTGGGGAGACCTAGGTATTCTTCGAGGGTAGAGGGCTGGGACCTATACGTAACTGTATCAAAGAAATCTTTACGGCACGTTTGCAAGACGAAGTGTGTACCAGAACGTGTGAGTTGAGTTCCGTTCCTTCTCGAAGTTTGGGTGCCTTGTGACTCAAGTTAAATTTGTGGAGCTAAGCCCTACAACCTAAGATGCCAAACCCCAAGGCCTGCGCCCTAAAATTCCTAACCCAGAAATCCTGGCTCATAGGAGGCCAAAAGGGGTTTTAGCCTATGGGGGTTCAGTAGGGATTCGGGCTCCGATAATAGGGTTCATTGGCCTCCCATCACTGGCATTTTTCGAGGCAAGAGATGGAGATCACGAAGGACTGGCCTGGATTTTGTGTTCGCACTTGGGACGAAGCCTGAGGCGGTCATGGCAAGAGAAGGTTAGCGGTTTAGGGTTTACGGTCTGGGGGTTTAGGGGCTTAGAGTTTAGGGTTTAGGGTTTTAGGGTTTTAGGGTTCAGGGTTTGCCTGGGACTGTAGAGTTGGAGTCCTGGAGGCTTTCTAAGCCACTGCTCGCATCTTGACTGCCGTTCGGCCGTTTGTTCTTCTAAGATCGCAAGCCCTGAACTCCAAAGCCATGCAGTTTAAGGGTTTAGGGTTTAGGGTTTAGGGTTTAGGGTTTAGGGGTTTAGGGTTTAGGGGTTTAGGGTTTAGGGTTTAGGGGTTTAGGGTTTAGGGGTTTAGGGTTTAGGGTTTAGGGCTGCCCCCCTTGAGGAGTTTTGGAGGAAGGTGCTGACGGACTCAGGCTCTCTGCCCCTGAGTCCAAGGTAGAACCACCGCCAGTACGAGTGTAATTTGGTAAATGCATGTTACTACACGTTTAAAGTGATGAACATGAGGCCGATAGTGATGCACAGGATGATGATGATAATGTTGTTGATGACAGCGACGATGAAGGTGGTGATGATGATGATGGTGACGCCGATGGTTGTGGTGATGGTCATGATGATAGTGATGGTAAGTTTTGATCAGGAAGGTGGTGCTGGTGATGATGAACAGGATGATGGCAATGAGCAGGGCATCTATTACGATTACGATTATACTGACTAATACATACTATTACTATTACGATCACTATTACTATTGCTATTACTAGTACTAGGACTAGTACTATTACTATTGCTATTACTATTACCAGTACCATTAATTACCATTACTACAATTACAATGACTACTATATTACTATTACTATCAACTGCAAAACGGCCTTGCAGGACGCTGGCGCAGCCAGGAGTGCTGTTCGATTGTCTCAGGGAGATCTTGGCAAGGCCAGCGTTGAAACGACGTGTGAGTTTAGGGCTCCTTTAAAGGGTTCCTTAAAGGGGGTCTATATACAAGGGATGTATTGTAGGGCTCTGTAGTACAAGGGGCTTAATAATTGGAGCAGGGTTTGTGGGGATACTATATACTATAGTTATAGTCAGGAACCCCAGAATACTATTGATAATTATTTGGATCGCCATGGCAGTCCTCTAAGTTACTCCCCCTTTTAGGGTTGAAAAGGGCCCTAATTTAGAGAACTGCCCATGTGTGTTTGGGAGCCGGGCATCTAAAAATGCTGTTTGGGCTTGCGGGATAGAGTTAAGGGCTAGGGGCTTTAGGCCTTTATCGCGATTCTTGCTTAGTGGTTATATTTTGGGGTTGAGCTCTTGAAGCCAAGGTTAGCCCTGACTAGCGATGTCTGCAACTTTTCCTGACTTGAGTTCATTTTAGTAGTGGAGCGGGTAACCCTCAACCTACTTGGGGTACTGTACTCCCCCTAAACCCCCCAGACCCCTAAACCTAAAACCTAAACCCCTAAACATTGTACTCCCTATATAGCCATTAAAGGTTAACCTGCCTGTGCTTTGATATACTCAGCTTACGTCGCAGTCTGGCCTCTCAGTCAAATGAGTTCCTGGCTTTGTACGTAGTATTAGGTGCCTTACTTGGAGGGTCGGGGGACTTAGTAAGTAGTTACTACGTAGACTTTTCAGAACCCTAAACGGAATCCTAATTGAGGTTATGATACTTATAAGTCCTCCAAGTAATAGCCTTGAATAATTATAACAGGGCTCTTGTTACTCAGGGTTCCTTCTTAAAGCGGTCTATGGGGGATGCTATACGGGCTACTATACGGATTTACCAGAGTCTTTGGGGTTTAGGGTTTAGGGTTTAGAGTCTTTGGTTGCTGAAACGTTGCCGGGCCACACATGTTGCTGCGGGCAGAGGTTTGTTGGAATTTCGAGGAAGTGCATGTACCCTAAACCCCAAACCATGTAAGCCGCCTAAGCCCTCTACACCCCAAACCCTTTTAGCCCTAAACCCTACAAACCTTGAATCTTAAGTCTTAAGATCCTATAAGCCCTAAACCTACAAGCTCGAAACCCTGAGAAAAGACTGTAAGCCGTAGGTCATCTACTATCCTATAAACCCTAAACCCTGAACCTTGTTGGGCAAGGTGAAATGGAAGCTGTGGGGCCATTAAGCGGGAAAAAAGCTCGGGATGTCCAACCGAATCCCACTTCATTCAAGCCAGCCCGTATACGTTACAGTTTAGGGTTTTGAGATTTGGGGTTTAGAATTGCTTTCGCGTTTTCGGATTAATGGATTTAGGGTTTAAGGCGTTTAGGGTGTACGGATTCGATTCAAGGTTTCGGGTTTAAGGATTAGGGTTTAGAGCTTAGGATACTTGGACTTGGTGGTCCGCGGTACTTGTTGATCTTGTGGCTCTTTGTTTAGCATTGCACCCCAACTAGGATGCCCAGTAGTACCCTTATTCCCTTTTTGTAGTCCTAGGTTCCTTATAAAGTTACCCAATACCAAAAAGAGAGGCCTTTTTGTTCTTAGGTTACTGGGCATCCTAGCCAACTGCAACCCAGGCAAATATGTGTTTCTACGACCGGACATGCAGCTGGGTTAATAGATGGGACTTAGTAAGAAACCCTAGGGTTCCTTTAAAGGGGTCCGTTTTAAGGGATCGATAAGTCCATAAGGGTTCTATAAGGGGGAGTTTCGGGAACTTACAGGATCATGGGACTTAGTAAGCAGGTTATAATTGGGGTTATAGGTCCCCTAAGTGGGGTTATCCTAGTTATAAGCTACTTATAAGGTTACTTACTAAGTCCCATGAGCCTTTAAGTACAGGTCACGTCATGCTTCGGCTTCTCCCCGGCACCTGAACCTCAAGGCAATCCCAGCCCCAGAGCGTTCAAGTTCAAGTATATATTGAACAAAGCTCCCTAAACCCTGAACCCTAAGCCCCAACCCCTAAACCCCATACCCGAAACGCTGCACCCTAATCCACAAAACCAACCTCTCAAAATCCTCAAGCCAGCTGTATGGTGCTTAGTAGGGAATGGGGGGAATGGATCCCTATGATAGCCCCTTAAGGTCCCCTACAGTAGTCCCAATAACCCATTCCCCCATTCCCTACAAAGAACCAGACAGCCTACTAAGAGTCCTAAACCCTTATATAGTATGACCCTTATAGTAACCCCTATACCAACCCTTATAGTAGCCCCCAGAGCAACCCTTGTAGGACCCCTTGAAGGAACCGCATTCCCCACCATAAACCCTAAACCCTAAACAAAGAACCAGACGGCTAGCCCGAGAGGCCGCCGGGTTGCTATTGGAGAAGCCAGACGATGGCGAGGATGTAGCGGCCGGTTTGCACTTCAGGGTTTGGGGGGTTTGGGGGTTTTGGGGTTTTGGGGTTTAGGGATTTAGGGGTTTAGGGTTAAGAGTTTAGGCATTTAGGTGTTTAGGGTGTAGAGTTTAGGGGTTTGGAGTTTAGGGGTTTAGGTTTTAGGGTTTAGGAGTTTAGGGTTCACGGTTTAGCGTTTGCGGTCGAGGCTTGTGCATAGCTTGAAGGGTCGGGCTCTAAATATGTCGTCCACAGAGACTCCTACATCCTCTGCTTAGAAGGTTTGATACTGTTTCTGCCAGGTCCTTATTCGTTTTTGGAGTCGCTGCATCTAAGGCAGGATCGCACTGGATCGCACTGCAACGGGGGCTGAATTTCGACCCGTAGCCCTCCCTTAACCCTAAAACATCAACTCCAACCTCTTGCCCTGGCCTAACCTCCAACCGCACGCGAAACCCCGAACCCCAAAACCCCAACTCAACTTCAAAAATAACACCTTCGACCCCGCCACTCACCCAGAGACTCCCAATCATACAGTGAATAGACGAAATCTTGCACCACCTGTACGTTACATGCATACTTCAAACGAGTGAGGCATCACGGCCCGCACCACCGTAGTTAACATGGGTAGGTAGGAGCAGATAATTATATCCTTACGGATATTTCCCCCTTTCTTGGTGGGTCGGTGGACTTAGTATGTAGTTATTTTATAGACCTTTGAGTATCATAGCCCCAATTAGCATCCCTTTTAAGGTACTTGCTTAACTCTGCTTTCTGCCTACTTACTAAGCCCCCCCGACCCTCCAAGTATTTACCAAGATGCATGAGCCTTTAATTATAACTTGATTTGTATTATACCCTAAACCCTAAACCTAAAACCCCTAAACTACTAAACCCTAAAAGCTTGCTAGCTAGGTCCCATGAGCCTTTAAGCACCCTAATGTAGAAGCCTGTTTAAGAAACCTTGGGCCTTTGTTAGGGTTCCTTTTATGAATCCTAATATTCTGGGGTTAGGGGCCCGGGGTTTCTTAATCAGGTTCCTTCAGTATGGAGTTTCCTCAGGGTGCCTTATTAGGAGTATACCCCTAAGGGTTCCTTAAAGGGCTCCTTCAAGGGGTCTATACAGGTACTGCACCCCAAACCCTAAACCCTAAACCGTACCCTAAACCCTAAAACCCTAAACCGTACCCTAAACCCTAAAACCCTAAACCGTACCCTAAACCCTAAAACCCTAAACCGTACCCTAAACCCTAAAACCCTAAACCCCAAAACCCTAAACCCTAAACCCTAAGACCCTAATCCGTACCCTAAACCCTAAAACCCTAAACCCTTATATGTTCCTAAACCCTAAAATCTTAAACCCTTATAAGCCTATACCCTATAGATCCCTTTAAAGGAACTCTATAGATCCCTTTAAAGGAACCCTAGAGATCCCTAAACCCTTATATGTTCCTACACCAGGAGATGTCAGATGCCGAGTCGGAGGACTCCGAGGTTTCGGGCGCCGACGCCCAGGGCGCGAGCACCGTGGCTCTGCAGTTTAGGGCTTAAAGGGAACTCCAGAAAGTTGGAATATGGAATAATGGCAGGATCCCCTATAATTTACCTTACAGGGATTACGATAACGATATTCCAACTTTCTGGCTTCTACTGTACGGACGTGGTTTAACTAGTTACTAAGTCCCATGATCCTCTAAGTAGGGTTCGCGGCCGAGGTTTGAGGTCAAAACCCAATACAGGGATTATGATAATGATATTCCAACTTTCTGGCTTCTACTGTAGGGGTTTAGGGGCTTGGGGGCTTTTAGAGTTTAGAGGTTTAGGGATTCAGGGATTTGGGGGTTTAGGGTTTAGAGTTGAGGGCTTTAGGGATTCAGGGGTATAGTGTTTAGAGTTTATTTAGGGATTCAGGGATTTGGGGGTTTAGGGTTTAGAGTTGAGGGCTTTAGGGATTCAGGGGTATAGTGTTTAGAGTTTAGGGGCTAGGGATTTAGGGGTCTAGTGTTTGGGGTGATAGGGTGCCATGTTTAAGGTTTTGGGTTTTGGGGCTTCAGGTTTTTTATGTATGGCTCTTGATGGTCATGGGTTGGGGTGGAGGGCTCCTAGGTGTAGGGATGTGTAGGGCAAGAGGTTTAGTTCAGGCTTTAAGGCTTTAGTTTACGGCTTTAGTTTACGGAGGGTTTTGGGGTTTGGGGCCCCCCGGGTTTGGGTTGTTTGGGCCACCTTGGGCCGCGGTTACGTGTGTCTAGGCTGCGGGGCTTGTAATTTGGGACGTAAGACAACTGGCTGGAGTTCAGGGTGTTGAAAGGGTCCTAAACCCTAAACCGTTTTTCTGAAACGCTTTCCAGCAGCTTCATAAGTAGGCGGCTTTGAACCGGGTCGCAATGAGACCTGAAACCCTGTGCCTATATCCGACAGCATTGAAGCCTAAAGCCTACACTACACCCTAAAGCCAGATTGTAATACTCTCTTAACACCCTTTCCACACTTTATTGTTAAAGCGGATCTGAGACTCCCACATCACCTGAATCTAAAATTGCAAGCCATGCATCCCTAAAGCCTTCAGCCTTGAAGTCGTAATGCCCCTATACTCCCGGAGTCTTAAGACGACCCCAGAACCCCAACAGCCCAAACCCTGTCTCCTTCATGACCTGCAGCCTTCATCTCGCCTCCTTCACGTTCGTACCTTGTGAGAAAAAGCGCGATATACATAGAATAGTGTGGCACTGTTAGGGACCGAGATATAGAGAAGACGTCCCAACAAACAGAGAGATTCACAGACGTGTATTGTGTACATAGTCATATTGCATACATATGTATATACATACATACATACATACATATATATATATATATATATATATACATTGTTTTTCAGCGCACACATATATACATGGCCGGATTCGACTTCGTTTGCATCCGTGGTGACTTGTGGCACGCCAAGTAGGTGTTTCCTAACCCGAAGCCCCCAGACCGGCAAAACCCCAACCCCTAAACCCTAAACCCTAAACCCTAAACCCTAAACCCTAAACCCTACCGCCTAAACCCAGAGCCCCGAACCCTGAACCTTAAACCCGAAGCCTTAACATCCGAAGCCTTCAACCCTTAACATGAAAAGAAGCCCTAGACCCAGAGTCTGCAATGTCAGGGAATATGCATTTTTTTAAGGGCAATAAATGTCATGACGAACGCAATCTTCCTTCTCCAAAAACCCGCATAGAATCCTTGGAAGGGCCCTTAAAGGAACCCTAGTTTAAGCTGTATTCTTTAATGAAAGGGTATCTCTAGGGCCCCCAACGACCCTCTGTTATACCCTAAATACCCACTAGGAAGAACCATAAGGGCTCTATTATTAAAGGGCACTTGGGGGTTTAGGGTTTAGGGTTTAGGGTCCTGGTTGGGCTCTCTGGCAAGCGCTTTCGAAGCTTCAGGTCCTCTGCCGGAGTTTATCGAGGTGATCCAAAGCCACAAGCGACACCTTGATGAAGCACTGGGGATTCTATAGTGGGGTTCTTCCGAGGCTTCCTTTAGGGGATCCTTTAAGGGCTCCTTCAAAGGATCTATAGGCTTTAGCTTTTAGGCTTCAGGGCTTGTGGTTCAGTGAGTCAGGTCCAGGGCTTAGGGTTTGAAGTTTGAGGTTCCGCGATTTTGGGTTTCAGGTATCACTTCAGGATTGGGGCAAGTCGAGCAAGTTTCGAAACAACTTAAGTCTACCCTCGCCCGTGAACCCTAGACCCCTTTAAATGAGAAGCCTCGCAGAAACGCTTTTAAAGGAACCTTGAAAGACCCCGGTTAAAACGAAACCTTATAGAAACCTCTTTAAACCTTTCTAGAGCCCTTGAAAAGGAACCCTTGAAGAACCCTGTTGAAGGAACTCTTTTAGAACCCTGCTTGACGGAAGCCGTATATTCAAAGCATGCGGCAAGGGCTGCACATGAGTTAGTATGTCAGTTCTGGAGCTCTCAACCCAAGGGTTCAGGCTTAGGGTTTAGGGTTTAGGGCTTAGGGTTTAGGGTTTAGGGTTTAGGGTTTAGGGTTTCGGGTTTAGGGTTTAGGGTTTAGGGTTTGGGGGTCTGGATTGAATAGCCTCTTCATCACTCTGCTAGAATATGCCTCTACACTGGGGTCCTCACGATGGTCGCCATGGTAGATGCCTTGATATTCAGGGTACCAGACTGGCAGCAAAAGCAAATCTTTTGGTGCTGGGCAAGCGACGCCCCCAATCATATGTGATGCAAAATCACATCACTGTTTTAGGGCAACCCTACACCCTAAAACCTGAAACCATAAACCCTAGACCCTAAAACCCCAAGCATGTTCCACCAACAGGAACCTAGAGACTCCAATATTCCTTAATTAAGGAATATACCTTAAATTATAGTAGGATCCCTAATATGATTTAAGGCATATTCCTTAATTAAGGGATATTGGAGTCTCTGGGAACCGAATCATGATTTGTCTGATCAGGGAAGCTCCTTGAGGCAACCGCAAGCCCTAAACAGCCGCAAAATCCAAGCCCCCCTATCTTGGGACTTAGTAATTAGGTTATAACTAGGCTACAATTGGGATAATCCCCTTAGGGGGACTTGTAGCCCCAATTATAACCTACTTACTAAGTCCCATGATCCTCTTAAGTACCCTAAGCTCCCCCTTATAGAACCCTTATAGATCCCTTAAAGGATCCCTTAAAGGAACCCCTATGGATCCCTTAAAGAAACCCCCTAGGGTTTTACACCCACCGAGGAGTGGCATCGAATGATGAGGACGGTAACCAACACGAGTGGAGCCTCCGACTGCGGGAAGGCCGGATTAGGATTCAGGGTTTTAGGGATTGGGGTTTAGGGGTTTAGGGTTTAGAGGTTTAGGGATATTGAAACTGAGCCCTACTTAAAGGATCAGGGGACTTAGTAGGTAGGGTTATAAGTCAGGTAACTATATTTATATGTACTTATAGCCCCAATCAGGGAACTTATAACCTTACTTACTAAGTCCCACGATCCTCCAAGTAGTCTGCATTGTAGTTCCTTTTGTTGGTTTAACTAAGCACTTCCGATCGAAAGTGCCCAGGGAGCCCAATACCCCTTGATAATAAAGGGATATGGGAGTTTCTGAAAATAGGGGATCTCAATGTAGTACCCTAAATAGTAGGATCCTTACTATAAGGACCCCACAGTAAGGTACCCCTAATTTTTCGGAAGCTCCCTTTTCGAAACTGAACCCTGGCGGCCCTAAACCCTGAGAGGCTAGACTTGCTGCGAGAGCTGCACCTTAAAAACAAAGCCTTGCGCCCTGCAACCCTAAAACCCTCGACTCCCGGACCCCCTAAACCCTAAGCCCCTAAACCCTATAAGCCCTAAACCCTATGAACCCTATAAACCCTATAAGCCCTATAAACCCTAAACCCCAAACCCCCAAACCCTAAACCCTAAACCCTAAACCCCAAACCCCAAACCCTAAGCCCCTAAACCCTAAACCCTAAACCCCAAACCCTAAGCCCCTAAACCCTAAACCCTAAACCCCTAAACCCTAAACCCTAAACCCCTAAGCCCTAAACCCCTAAACCCTAAACCCCTCGACCGCCTCGATTTTCAGGGGTTTTAGGGTTCATCTATTTGGGACCTCTGGCTTTATCTCTTGAGGTGTTAGGGCTCATCTCAATGTCTTAATGGGGCTCTGGGTTTAAGGTTAAGGGGTTAGGGTTGGGAGATTAGGGTTATAGGGTTTAGGGTTTAGGGTTTAAGGTTAAGGGTTAAGGGTTTAGGGTTTAGGGTTTAGGGGAGATTTGAAGTTTATGGGCTCCGTCGCCAGAAACTCGGCAAACAAACGAGGCCGGGACGCTTTAATTCTGCGATGTCGGAGCCCTGATCCCCTCATGTCCGAAACCCCTTAGCGGTTTTGGGGTTTAGGGCTTTAGGGGTTCAGGGCTTTAGTGATTTAGGGGTTTAAAGATTTAGAGGTTCAGGGTTTGAGATTCAGGTTTAAGTATGTTTAAGTTATTCACGGTTTACGTTTAGGAGCTTAGGGAGTATGATTACGGTTTAGGGATTGTCGGTTTAGTAGGAGGAGCTTTATGGCGCTGCCCCAACCTGTTTCAGATATCAGGCCCAATTCCTGGGTTCCTGAGTAGTACCCTTTAAAGGGTTCCTTATAGAGGGCTCCTACAAGGGTTTAGGGTTTACTAGGTTCCTGTGTAGTACCCTTGCGCCCCGTTCATTTTAGGGCGCCCTTATTTAAAACCGAAGAGTAGGAAACCGTTTATATACCCTTATTCTAACGTGGCTACTCAGGAACCTAGCAAACCAGCCAAGCACCGAAAGCCTTGCCAGGAGCGCAGCAGATTGTGCAGGAGGCAGGCAGCAGCGTAGGATTGCAACAAGTCCGGGCTGACTCATTGTATACTTACATCTAGCGGTATAATTATAAGCCAGACTCTACCAGGTGGTTTGGGTATCTTTTATTGGTTTCCTGAGTTGTAGAACCAGAACCGTTGCTGCCAGCACGTGCATCTTCGAGTTTCCAAGTGTTCCGTTTGTAGGCATCGGCTGTTTGGGAGCTCTTGGGAAATACGTCTTGCAGACGAGATGGTTTGTACAGCTCGTTGGTTGGAATCTTTGATGTCGGGGTTTGCCGAGTCTTAACCCCAGCCTGTACAGTAAATCCCAAACCCGAAACCCCAGCAGTAGTTACTGAACACGAAACGCTTAACCCCTGAACCTTTAAACCGTAAGGAATGCAGGGCTGTGAGTAGGTTGGATGGTCCGGCGCTTCGAACTTGCTGGTTTTGGGTGGCAGGTCCTGTGGCGACTCCACCCGACTTTCCGCAAGCCCGACGTGAAGGTGCCGAGAAAACCCAGTACTGCTCAATTTGAGAATAAACCTCAAGTTACAGAGAACCCGAGATTAACTAACCATTGATATTGGGAGAGCTAAGGAGCCAGGGATGATGAGCATCCCTATCAAAGAAGGAGTTAAAGAGCCAAGGGAACCCCGAAAACCACTGGTTATTAAGATGTACGGTAGATTTCCCAGTCGAGTTTGCTGGTTGGGGCAGGGTTTCTAATCAGATTATCGGGGTTGAGCTTTAGCCTGCAACTCCCACCCATCGTAACAACCACCGACATCTGTAGATTCGACGTAAGTTACCCAGAGAGCCCAATACCCGTAATTAGGGAGGATGTCTTTTAGTTATAGGGGGCTTCATACTATGATTTAAGCTATATTCCGTTGATTAAGGGGTATTGGGCTCTCTGGATAGAGTCTTGGCAGCCTGGAAGGCTCGAAATTGCAGACTTGAGGTTTTGGGGGTAGGGTATTTTCGCCAGCCGGGGGGCTTACACCCCCTGAAGCCCCATGTGCCCAATACCCCTCAAATCAGGGATACCGTTTAGTTCCTATTTGAGTTGAGAGTTTTCGGTTCTTGAGAAGTATTCAGCGGCCGCAATCGAGACCTAAGGCCATCGCATTGCCAAGGCTGTAAAGCCAACACCGAAAAGACCAAAAGGCAGAAACCTCGAAAACAAGTGACCTGAATATCAAGTCATGTTTTATCAGCTATGAATGAGTCAACATTCGGGCTTAACCTCAAGTACTGCGGCCTCCCAGATGTCGGCCCCAAAACCCGAAACCACTTATGCTAACAAGACAGACGTTTAGGGTTTAGGGTTTAGGGAAACCTCGAGACAAAGCCCTTATATATGCAACCACAAGCCCGAAGCCTAGCGCCTAAACAGGTCAAAGGACCTACCTTCCAGATAGATCGCATCGGCTGGGGCGTTTTCGAGGCGGAGGGTGCCGGTAAAAGGTGCTTGGGTTTAGAGGTCCTGTAAGCGTTCCTTCGAGGATTCCTGTGCGGTTTCTATACGGGCACCAGAAGGATTCAGGGCTTGGGGTTTCGGGCATGAGGCCTTGGGGTGTGTAGGGTAAAGGTCATCGGGTCCCCTACTATACCCTGGTTTAGGGTTTAGGGTTTAGGGTTTAGGGTTACCTGTTTCTGAATCCTCTTACCCTACGTGCCCCGACAGGGGGCGAGAAGGCTTTGCAGGAAAGGGCCGCTATCGTAGTTAAAAAAACCTGAACCCTAAACCCTAAATTTCGAACCTCACGGTGGAGCTCCAGGAAGTTACCAAGTCCAATGATCTTTTCAGTCCCTAACCCCCTAAACCCCTGAACCCTTAAACCCCCGAACCCTACGACCCCTGATCCCGAAACAAGGATGCCCAGTAGTACTCTTATTCCCTTTTTGTAGTCCCAGGTTCCTTATAGAGTTACCCAATACTAATAAACAGGGAGCCCTTCTTACTTAGAGGATCATGGGTTAAAACTGGGGTTATAGGTCCCCTAAGTGGTGTTATCCTAGTTATAACCTACTTGTAACCTTACTTACTAAGTCCCATGAGCCTTCAAGTATTCCAGTTGTTTAGCCCGGAACCCTAAAACCATGCAGAACCCTTAACGGGCACCCCCCGGCACACCCCTGTAAACCAGATCAGTAGTCTGCGCTTGCTGCATTCCTAGTGCCCCTTGGGAGTTTCTCCTGCAGACGATGCTGAAGAAGGCTTATATATGAACATCATTAAGCATGTTTTGCCAAAAGTTGTCTTCAACACGCGCGCACCGTGACTGTATAATTCATTTAGTAGAACCTACCCGAAACACTAAACCCTAGCAGCCAAGTTTTGGGTCCTGCTCGGAACGGAGTTCGAATGTATAGGGATCCCGAGTAAGTACCAAGGTAATTCGTTAGGGCTCCTTCTCGTATGTCCATGGTTATGTATTCCCAAAGCCTGTACCCTAAAGCCTGTTCAATTTATCGAGACCCCTGTATCTTTGTTATGCAGCTTTACTTCTTGTGTCGGGGTTCTCGCTAGGGCACGTACCAGTGCAAACTATCATAGTAGGTGTGTATAGTAAGCCATATCCTACTGTTGATGATATAAATCCTGCATTACCTCAAGGACCCTAAATTTCTATGGGAATTATGGCATATTCCTTATTATGGGTAATGCAGGATTTATATCATCAACCGTATGTCATGCTCAAAATTTGCCTAACAGCACCCCAGTAAATGTGGGCTGTCTGGGTGTTTTTTGTTGATCCCTAGGCATCTAAGGACTCATATATTGAGGCTTTTGTGCCCAAAGACCATACTATATAAGGCTTTGGGCTATTTTGATGCCCAGGGGATCAGGGTGCCCAGGGCGCCGGCAAAGTTGTAAGTTGGAAAGAACATTCCAGCATAGTTTGGCCTACTCGTGTTTAAGGTCTGGGGGAGCAGATTTTCAGGGGTTAACCCGACGACCTCCTACTGAGAGCCTATCTCTCTGTGCACTAGTGATTTCAGTTCAGTGAAAGCCAAACCACAACGCTGAAGCCCTACTTTAGCGGCCGAAATAATTACCTATACTGTTTTGGGGCCTCCTTATGTATACTGTACCCCCAAAACCCTATTGAAATTATTAAGACCCTTGTATTAAACCCCACCTTCCGACAATAGGAAGTTGCGGACCTGAGCTCCTATCATGTTTTTTTATCCCGCCCCCCTCCCCCCCGCCCCAGTTTGTCTCAGCTTGAGGCTCCTTATGCCACTGTCTTACCCTAGCAGTCAGTTCAGAAAAGTCTTCTTTCAAACTCTGGTGTTCTTAAGTTTGAAGTTGAACCGTTCCGACTTTTACTGAAACATGAGAGGTTGCCTGGGTTTGGAGTACCATACTTGAGTATTTGTTGTTGGTACCTGTTCCTTAAAAGAACCATTATGAAATACAAGTCTATACATTTTGTCTCCCTGCTTACTTCAAAGTCCAGAAAATATTGGAGTTTCCGACAAGTAGGGGTACCTTGTTTTGGGATCCGCAAAATAGGGCTCCTACTATTTAGGGTACTATATAAGGGTCCCCTACTTTCAGGAACTCCCATATGAGAGGTTGGCATCATGGTCAAGCTGCAGCCGCATATCCTTGGCGGCAAGGCATTCTGGTTGGGAAGGGGCCAGGGTTTAGGAGTTAGGATTTAGGGTTTAGGGTTTAGGATTTAGGGTTTAGGGTCTAGGGTTTAGGAAGGTGTGTGGCTTGCAACCGAATCGCTACCAACATCATTCCTTAGTCTCCTTGATAAAACTATGCTATAATAGACATCCCCGAAACCCTACTCTTACTTTTGAGGCCTTTATGCTGTTTCCAAAAAAGGCATGAAGGACGGGATCAGCGGGCAGATACTGCGGTTGCATCACTGAATTGGCGACGGGTTGCGGGCTTGCACGGCATGTGCAAATTCATGCTTCCTGGCTTCAGGCTCTGACCCAACACAGACTTTGTACCTGAAGTCTACATGCGAATCCCTTGACTCTAAGCCCCCTAAACCCTAAACCCTGACTCTAAGCCGCGGGCCCTAACCGCCCAGTTGCGTTCATGGTGTGCGGGGGGAGTGGGCTCGGGGTTGAGGCTTGGGGCGACTGGCCCAAATCGAAAAAGCTTAGCACGTTGTGCTACTATAGACTAATATAGGGGCCTGAGAAAATAGAATAGGTTTGGGGATGCATTATTATACTATACTTTGAATTCTTAAACCCTCTTCTAATTCTTAAGGCCCCTACATGACTATAGACCCCTCGTCAATACGGCTGAGAGCCCTTCTTCACCTGCTTCCTCCGAATCTATTACAGCGGAGATTCCGATCACGATGGCCAACCCTTACATTGGTTCCTTGTAAGGGCGCTATCGATTTCTTCTTGCGGCAGAAGTGCTCGGCACTTGGATTGGCTCAATCCGGCACAAAGGCGAAACTTCTTTCCAGGGTGCAGGACGAGGAGAAGGCCCGCTTTGAGCTGTGGGACTGTCCATCTTCAAGTGCCTTCAACCCATAGAAAACCGTGTTGCAGTCTCGGGCTCGTCCTGCTACGAGCCGGCCCCGTGCTGCGGCGGAAGGTGGGCAGGACCAAGGTTCCCTTTAAGGAATTAGGGCCCATTCAGGGTTTAGGGTCTACTTCTGTAAGGGCTCATGGGACTTAGCAAGTAAGATTATAAGCCTACTTGCTAAGTCCCGTAGAACCTGATAGGTCTAGAGCCGTAAATAGAGAGTGCTTTGGTAACCAGGTGTCTACATTACCAACTCAGAAAACTATTGTATAGATCATCAGAAGTACATGTTATAAACCATATATAGCGTCAGGGCTTTTAGGGCCGAGGGTGCCTACAAATAAGGTAAAATCATGTAAGAAATTGTCAGAACATGCGATTCAACTATTTTCAAACAAACCGCAGGTACTCGAGGGATCTCACATGCTCACCTTCGAGCGTGAGGGAGACAGGGCGGCGGTGACCCGCATCCGCCTCTGAGCCTGGGATTGAGAGGTTCGGGCTTTGGATTTCAATTCTAGCGCTTGTTTCCGGC